GCCTGATTGCTGCCATAATGATCTCGAATGCCTGGTCGAAAGTTCATCAAACTCTGATTGCAACAGGAAATCATAATCTGCATCATCACTTTAAGATGGATCGGTTGATTTTCGGGATTACAAAAAAGTCTAAAAATATTTTAAAAGATATTTTTCTATCTTCAGGAGTCAGGAACTGTAACTTTAAGATTCGAATTTGCATTACTTGGATACAGTTTGCTATAGGGACTGATATTAAGCCCTAAAGGGTATTACTATTCCCAAACTATATATTTTGTCTTCTATTTATCTCTGATGTCCATAATTGATTCGCAGTGCAGCTCTCTCTATCTATCTATCTCAATTTCGGCTTGGTTAATTTCTGCTTCTCTGTGTGTTTTTGCTGACTCTGTCACATTTGGCGGCGAACAAATTAATTTCTGCGCCTACATGCACTAATTGACTCGCATATGGGCGTCTGTCTGATCTCCGGCGGCGTTTAGTAATCCCCAAGAAATACAGGCGGGGGCAGCAGCAAAATACAGATGGGAAAGTTACTACTTTTTATACTCTGCTTAAAGGGTATTGTGCATTTTACGAGAAGTTTATAAATCGAGAAACATTTTAGGTAATTATTCAATAGAAAAACTTATAAAAAATAGGAAAAACTCTTAATTAATTGTTACAATCAGAATAAATTTTAAGCTCATTTAGGCCAAGTTGATTATTACTTTGGATAATGTTTGTTTCTTTAAGGGGTTAGGCCCCGCATTTACCAACTACCCAGAGGCTCGGTTGGTATCATGGTCTGCTCATCTTTTGTCTTTCGCCCACACAACAAGGCGAACGAACAAAAGACGCCGGCAAGACGCAGCTTGACCTACAAATGGCTTAATAGATAGGAAAAGCCGACACCCGACACACAAACACCTGGTTGAATGCCACATCGGATGGTGGCGACTATGGTGAACCTGGGCAGCTTTGGAACACAGAAGCAGATCAAGTGCACACGTGAGAACATTCACACATGGACACTGGCACGCAGCAAATGCAAATGGTTAATTAGAAATCAATTGAAACGTATATGTGCTCGTAATTGGCCAACGCCTGCGAACAGCAAACTGCCAACTGCAACGGAGAGCCGCCAACTGCGACCCAAATACGCCACCAATTAGATGTGGCATGCAAACTGCAAACTGCAAACGGCGACGAGAAACCAGTTTGGACTATGCCCCTGCCCCTGCCACATTCACACCGCTAGAACTTCCAATTCCAAAGTTGCATTTTCTCAAACTCAAATCAAATTTCAGACCAACTTCTATTGTTCTAAGAAATTCTTTTAATTTTTAGAAAATATTTAATAGAGTTAGAGCCTTCAGTCTGCTCGAAAACACTAGAAAATCAACAACAAAAGCTTTTCGCTTAACGAGTCAACTAATCGGCACTTGGCTATGAATGAAGTGTCAAAAGTACTGCCGCCATAATAATATTATTTAACGTATTTTCCGTATGCACAGTGTACACTTATTTAACAAGAAACTATAGTTTGTTATATATTACTCTGTTATGATACCAAAATTACTTTTGGGAATTTAAGTCTTTCATGAAAATTTATATAAAATAATATTATTTAAAGTATTTTCCTTAATTAACAAGAAACTATAGTCGGTTATATATTACTCTGGTATGATATAGCATATAGCGTGGATAAGATCCTGAATCTTGAAGAATTGAATCCTGAAGAATTGCAATTTGTTTTCTACCTGTTATTCGTGGAAAACTTGTTTGCTGGGAAATTGTAGGAAGTGGGTTCTTTTGTACTTGCCACTTGCACTTTTTTATTTTTATTTATTTATTTTTTTTTTATCCGTAGCTCAAAGACTGTTGTCAGGCAATTTAGCTCACTTCCCAGAAGGTTAGAGGCAACTGACTCTTTGGGCAGGCAGCTCTTCGCCTTATCGCCCGCCGCAGGTTTTTTATTTGTATTTGCTCTTTTTTCGCTGTATTGTATTTATTTTTTATTTCTGCGGGCCCGAGAGGTTGAGGTTGCACTCGCAGTCGCGTCAATGCACAATTTGCATGCATGTCACGTTCCCTGCAACGATGACGGCTTCGTCACCTGGCCCAACGCACAGCCCCCCCGAAGAGCAGCCAGAATTTGTACATTTCAGTACATTTTGTACATTTCAGGCAGGAATAGTTCAAAAAAGCAAGCCATACAAACGGTTTAGATTGGCTAAACACCGGTTTAAAAATACACTTTGCTTATGTGGATTATGTACTTATCCTAATCCTTAATAAATATAATTTCTTTTTTTTATTTTCTTACTGTAAAATTCCCTGAAATTTGTTTTTAGTTTTATGATTTCTGTAAACAAATATACGAAAAGGGTAATCCATAAAATATTTACAAATCGACTATAAATGCAATACATCTGAAAAATATTTAATTTATGAAACACTTGATTAAAATTCAAATGAGCTAACACAGCACAGTTTTAAAACACTATTACTCACAAATTTCCTTTTAACTATTAAATCATCTTTGAAGTCACACATGTGACATGTATTCGTTGTTGCCTTGTTTTACTCTATTTTTAACAATCGTGAGCAAAATATTAAAGCCGTTGAAAACGAAAATTGTTTTGTTGGGAAGTCAATTAAAAATCTTTGGCCATGTTTTTTGGTCTGTGTGGTATTGAATTTAATTCACGGTTGGCGCCTTGATTTACGATAAAATAGAAACTAAAACTTCTTCGATATTTTAAAAGCAGATGGTTAATGTTGTGATTATTAGACTGTTAGACATTGTAGTGATTGCACTCCATTATTTGCTCATAACTTGTTAATGAATGGTTCGATTTTAAAATTTTATAATAACCTGTGAATTTAAATTATCCTTTTTGTTTTTGATAAGTTTTTCTTCAAGTGCAGGCCTGCTGGTGTTGCATCGGCCGTGAACAACGCGGCTTTGTGTAAATTGGCAGTGCGTAGTGAAGCAACAACAATATGAACAAGAGCTTCTACATCTGCGAAGCGAGACTGTGGTCACAGTTCATTGAACCGTTGGAGAACACACTTTGCCTAGCCGCAAAGATGCTGAAGAAGATGCATCCCGAAGATGTGGATTGAGACCGTGCTGCACAGACAAAATATTGCGACATTTTCCATTTCGATATATCATTTTATATCATATCAAAATAATACAGAAACTATTTTCTTTTTAAGTGGCTAAATGACATTTTTGCTATAAATATTCACTAAATCTACATAAATAAAGCTGCTGAGCAGCGCTAACGAGCATCTATCAATAATTTTAAGATGTGTCAATAATGTCTGACTTATGCGGAATGTTGACAATCGTATATCTCATAAAAGCAAGATGCTACGTTTAGCAAAGCCGAAGTTTATATACCCTGGTAACTAAAATTAAAAAAATTACAAATCCGAAATATTCTATTCTCGTTCTTTCTCAATATTGTGAGAATAATATATTTAAATATATTATTTTAATAATAATAATAAAATACGATCATGCCGAAGCAACCCAATATAACGCCATAAAATTTTAGTCATGTTCCTTTGTCGTTTATTTATTGTTTTGCTTATTATTTGCTTTGCTTGTTATTGAGCTTATTTTTCTCTGTGTGCACATGCCGATGATTCTGTAGGTTGGTTGGTTCCTTGGTGGTTCAGACAAACACTTTAGAGCGTGTCAACAGTGGCACCACCGAGCCAGAAAAGCGATGCCTTTCAGTGGTTTTAGAAGGGGAGCTTCTTGGGCTGTTCAACTACATAAGATTGAAACGTTTTTGATTTAGGGATAAAATATAAAGAGCTTTCAGCTAAAAAGATTTTAATAATATATAAAATATACCAATGATGATAAAATATATTTATATTTAAAGAGATAATATATTTTTCAATAATATATAAAATATATCAATAAAGATTTCCGAACATCATTGTATCATTTCTCAAAAACGATGTTTGGGTTTTTCAGATCCTACAAGTATTTTTTTTTGTATCTATAGTTTTTTTTCCGCAAAATCTAACACTAAGGACAGTTCAAATTGGACTTTGTCCTTCAAGGAATCTTTTGTGTTTATGGCTCTCGAAACGCGATAATCCGTGGGTGGTCGATGGGTCATCAGGCGTACATGTTTAGACCCTCAACCTCAGCCGCCCACTTGACCCACATCCTTGAACTCGAAATCTAAAGCAAAACGCGCTTTCGGCGACCCTTTTTTTTGATGATAAAAAATAAATTAAATATTTATGATATTGTGCACGGGCAACATGAACTTAAGAAGGCCTGTGAAGAGGCTACATTGTGTATCGTGTGAACATTGTCTTGGCGACATCGAAGGCCAAGAAGGCCAATGCACCAAGTGTTATTACCAAGATGCGATGTGTGCCTGCCACATCAAAGCGCAATTCAGCGGAAGAGCGGCTGACTGGCTGACTGGAGAAGCGTTTCAGGGGGAGGGAATCTTCATCTTCCCCAGGGAGATCATCGCCATCGTGAAGACCATTTAAAAATAGCAAATCCTAACGAATCCCATCGCTTTTACGGTGGCTTGTCGCATGTCTCACTGCCTCCACGATTCGTTTGGAGGTCGAGAACAGAAATACAAATACAAATAAAAAGGAAAAATCGGCGGGGAGAACGGAAAAACATGTGTCAGCTGCACCACACGGATTTCAAAATTCAAAACCTATTGCCAATGATGCCCGATGTGCTTAGACTTCCTGAAGAACCAATATTAAGAATTCGTATAGTTGATATATATTATAATTAAATCCGTTTGGTAATATATTTTATTCCATTGAATATTTAATGAATATTATTTATTCAACCAAATATTACTGATTTTTTTTCTATCGTTGTAATTCCATAAAATTCGCGTCTATGTTTAATTATTTTATTTTGACTATTGGAACTTACAAGATGCATTTCTTATATCTAAGGTTCTGATGTTCTTAAATCTTCTAAAAAGTATCTTATTTTTCGGACTTACCCAAAAAGCAACAACGATTGTGTTGCAAGTTGCAAGTTGATTTCGATTTCGATATCTTCTTTGGTTCCTTGTTTTGTATCTGTTGTTGCTTTTGTTGTTGTTGCAGGCTTAAGATGCATAGATGGAGAAAAAGATAAAAGAGTGAGAGAGAGCAATTTTGAGAGAGGAGCGAGCGAGAGAGCAAAAGAATTGTGGTAATTGAATGTTTGGCTTTTAATTAAGAAGAAGAATTGTGACACCCACGTCTGTGGGCGGGGGCGGGGGGCGTGGCAGCCGCTTATTTTGTTTTCTTCGTCGTTTGTCGCTCTCTCTCTCCGTTGGTTCTCTCCCCTCCCCCCTCCTCATTCTCAACTACTCTTTTGGTTATCTAATCCAAGGGTTTTCGATTGACCCTTTGGGGCAGGTGACATTTGGCGACTTTTTTGAGGAAGCAACGGCGAAAGCGGAAGTTGTTGTTTTTGCTGCTGCTGCTGCTTTTGCTGCCAATACCGTTATTGATTTTTTGCGGCAGCTTGTTGTTGCTGCTGCTGCCGTAAGCCGAAAAAAGGCGTGTGGCAAAGAGACAGAGAGGAAGAGGAAGACGGTGGAGGTGGGGGGAGAGGGGGAGTTGGAGTAACGTAACGAGAGAGGGAGAGAGGAGAGCCGAAAACGAGTTAAGACGAAGACGCAAGACAATGCAGATAAAGCCAGGCAACAACAAAAACACGGCCAAGAGCAACAACAACAATGAAAACGTCTTCTTCTCCTTCTTCTTCGGCTGCCACTGCATTTGTTTTTTTGGTGTTTTTTTATGTTAGTTTTCTTTAAGGAAAACTCAATTCTTTACCAGCTGCGTTTTTTAGTTTTCCCCGTTTCACTGCTTCTTAAATGCGCGCGCGCATTTCCACGACAAAAACGAAAACAAACTTTGTGGAAAAACCAACAAACAACAAAAAAAACACTGGCACCGCACCGAAAAAAAAATAATTTAAAATCGTCGCGTTATCCAACGGCTTTCCACCAACAACTTGACTTTCCGACGCGATTTCTTCGGCTAGCGAGGTTTGTTTGGCTTGGTTTGTTTGGCTTTCGATTCGGTTTGGTGTTTGTTGGCCTGGTCTGTTCTCAGTTCTCACTTCTCAGCAAAGCAGCGTCCGCGGCGCGTCCGTTCAAGTCGAAGCGAACCGAAACGAACCGAACCAAAACGAATACAAATGCGAATATCGAAATCGAAGCGAACGTCGGCGCGCTGCGAAAGCACAGTCCTAGAGAGCGATAGTATATCGATATATATCGACCATTTTCACCAGTCAGCTGATGCGTTTTTAAATTATATCATTATTATTTTATTATTATAAATATTTATTTATTATTTTTAAGACCAGATTTGTGACTAGTTCGACCGTTTCTGATCCTCCATTTTATAATTGGTGCTTATTTTAAATCATGTATTTCACTATATATTTTGTATACTTTCGCTTTTATATATTAGTTTTGATGTATTTGAGTTAGAGAGTGGATATTATTTTTAATACACAATGCAGGAACTGTTTTATAAAATATAACTCATATCAAAAACATCGATATCACTACTATCGTACTTAAACCATCTCTAGCGCGCGACGAAAGCTCTATAGAGTGACCGTTCGCTATAATTACTTAGAAAGCACTATAATACGCGCCAAATTTCAAAACCACTAAAGATAGATAATTCCAAACTGGATCTGTTGGAGCCCATGAATCGAGTTATTATTTTATTTATAATTTTAGTGAAAGCCAATCAGGTTTCTCCTCTTTTCTGTTAAATATTAATAAATCTCCAATAAATTTCCACCCACCAAATTAAAAAACAATTACTTTTGTATAATACACTCCATATATTTGTTGTATGCAGGTATTAATACATGTATGCAAGTATTTAACACTCAGTGGCGCATGCGGAAAAAGAGTGGAGGGTTCTGGGACAATTAGCTGACCGCGCAATATTTCAAAACTTCTCCATAAACTATTATCACTAACGTTTTGTTGTCGCCACTCCCCCTCCCTTCTCGTTCCGCCCACGCCACATTTACCATTATTTGTACAATTTTATGTATTTTGTGGGTTTTTGTAAATCTTTGTTTTGCCGAATGTTTAGCTCATACACACTAAAAACTATTAAACTGATTTCGTTTGTTGACTAGCATTTAGTTATTTGCTTTTTGTAAACAGCATAAAATGTAACTTTCTTATTTATGTATGTATATGCCTCTAAGTAAACTAAATTATTGCACATTTTATTTAGGATTAGAACATAGTTTGCCACACGTGCGCCTGAGTGCGTTAATGTGGATTTAAAAGATTCCTGCGGGCTGATCGGATCCGTCTGGATTGATGTCTTGAATGATATGTACGCTACGTTTTTGACTAATTGGATTTTTAGAGTTAAGATCGATGCCCGAATACTCATAGAGTAAAAATTTTGCCATTATTCATATTAATATAGCTGCAGTGATGGGGAAACGAAAACGAAAAACGTAATAAATGAATTGTTTTCTAATTTTGGATATTCCTTAGAGCTTGGAAAAATATTGAAAAAAATATCATTAAATCGAAATGATTTTTTCTGAAAATAATAAAGAAAATCCCTTTCTTCAATTTCTAAAACAACGACATTACGTTTTTCTTTTTCACCGTATAGTTTCGAAATTCGATAATGTATGGATTATACATATCATGCTAGCTTTAACAATATTTCAAATTTTAATAAAAAATAATACTTTTCCCATCACTGCAATTATATGGAGGTGAGTGAAAGTGAGGGCGTTTTGGTGTTAATCTAAGTGTAGGGTATTTCGCTGTCGGTTCAAAACAGCAGGGCTCCAACCACATTGAGTGCCTGATGGTGTTGCTTTTGTTGTTGTTGCTGCTGCTGTTGTTGTTGTTGGTGTGTGTGATACATGCTTGTGGTTGTTGTTGGCGATTTGAGTTCTTCCACTATAATGGCACCGTTCTCATCCACCGTGTGATTTAATAGTAAATTCTCAACCTGCTCATCGGACAGTAGCTCTTTAGGCTCTGAAGATCTGTAAAGTTAGGTTATTTGTTATGTAGTAGCTTTGCTTTAGGGAAATACAACAAAAAAACAACACAAAAACGGTGACTCGACAGAGATATAAGTATGATTGATAGTGAATTGAATGGGATAGATAGGTAAAATTCAATTACTACGACTAACACGTAAATCAAATGCAGTCGAGTTCATTCCGACTAAAAAAACCCAGTACTCTAAAATATTTTAAAATGTTTTTAAGAAATCCAATTTTTTCTTGGGATCTCAGAGGTTTAAGGACATCACTATATCAGTTTTGAAGATACCTTATGTTTACAAAAATAAATTATCTATTATCCAATGTCAATTACACTTTTTACTTTTTTTTAAAACAGAAATCCTACTTTTTTTAAGAAATCCTATTTTTCTTGAGATCTCAGAGGTTTAAGGACATTACTATATCAGTTTTAGAGATACTTTTACAAGGTTTACAAAAATAAATTATCTATTATATATTACAGTTTTTACTTTTAAAAAAACAGATTATTATTCAAAAACTAGAGTACTGGGTATTCGATAACGAAAGACACACATTCAATTAGACAGAGAGGGTAATATGTGGATGGCATGGCTTAGAGGGAGAGAGCAATAATGGTGAGGAGGTAGATTCAAAAGCGTTTAATGAGTGGAAATTGGAAAAGCAACAAACTAAACGGATTGATTAAACACAACACATATTTTTCTTGATTTCGGTTTTTGCGTTTTGAGCAGTACATACAGAATTTTTTGTGGTTTAAAGCGAGTGTGCGTTCGTGCTTTTGTTGTAGTTGTTGTTCTTGTTGTTGCTGTAGTTGTTGTTTAAATTTTAGTTGTTGTTGTTATTGTTGTTGTTGCAGTTAGTGAAAGATATATTATGAGAATCAAAGGTAGCAAAAGCAGAGACCAAATCAAAGCAGCCAATTTGTAGTTCATATTAGTATTCATATCATATTATTAGTGGGTATTAAATTTAGCAGTTGTTGATTTGTAGTTGTTTGGTTGGTTGGTTGTTAATTTTCTGAGATGGGTGCAAAAATTGCGCTGATCATCGCTGTTTTTTTTTCAAAAATATTTTTGTAAAATTCGGTTTCGTTTTCGGGATACGGATTCTGATTCAAATGAGCTTGGTGAGGCGGCTCTGCAGCGAGTTGAGCAAACTGCGACCACTGCCGCCGCCCCTAGTTGCCCCTTGACCACCGTCTACTGACCTGCTGAAGAGGAAAAAGTCACCGGCACCGGACAAGGCACCAGCTCCACCGGAGGCACTTGCTCCTCCACCGGAGTCTCCTTCTCCTGTTCCGCCTCCCAGCAGCGCCTCGCCCTCGGCTCCGCCGCATCCATCCATCTCCGACTCGCTGTTGCGCCGCTCCAGGCTGCGTCCCACCTTCTGGAACCCATAGCTAAACACATCCTTCACCTTGTCGCCGGCATCGATCAGCAGATCGAGGCTCTGCCTTCGTCCGCTGCCCTTGAAGCTGTTCGAACGCGACAGCCACTGGCTGAGGCTCTGCTTGCGGCTCATCTGCTGGCCAGGAGCACCAGATGATCCACTGTCATCCTGGAATATCGTCGTGCAGGTGACCTTGCGTTTGGGCTCATCGGACGACGAGGTCGAGTGCTGCGACTGGGCGTCCGCTTCCAGATGGTTTCGGCCCAGAGATAAGCCGCCGCCGCCGCCCGAGCAGCTCTCCAGGCCGTGCTGCTCGAGGAGCGACTGATTCGAGTAGCTGGAACTGGTGCTATCCGAATGCGACAGTCGAATCTCCGTCCACTGTTCGATATCGTTGTCCGCCGGCGCATTAGCACCCACTGAAGTCGAAACGGAGGCGGATCCCGAGGCCAAAGAACCGCTGCCCGAGGACTTCACCTCGTAGGGAGCATGCAGGCCCAGGTCCAGCGGTCCCAGGCCTCCTCCGGAACCCTCTCCCCCATCCTCTCCAGCTGCACCGGTGCTGGCGGACTTGTGCATGCCGCCGGCCAGCTTCTGGGGAAAGGTGAGCACTGCCTCAAAGTCGGTGAGAAGATGGCCGCCGCCCAGGCGATCCGGCATGCGCAGGTACTCCTCTGGTTCCTCCTCCTCCTCTTCCTCCTCTTCCGGAGCCTCTTCATCGAGTTCCTGGGCGTCCACCTGACGCAGCATGGCCTCGTAGTTCAACAGATTGTTGCGCTGCTGCCGCTGCCGGTGGATATCCTCGGAGATCTGCTCGAGATTCTTCAGCGCCTCGTTGTACGTCAGCTTCGCCGCACTGACCTTCGCCTCCAGCTCGTTGACCCGCGACTTCTGCGCCTTCAGCAGTCCATTGTAGTTCGCCCGCGTCTCGTAGTACGGCCTGAGATGTATGGATATTGGATATTCGGAGAATTGGAATTGGATTGGATGGACCACCAATCGATACTCACGAACAGAGGGTACAATACAAAGCGTGCATAATGCTAAAATATCTCAACAAAAGTAAATTGCGCTTGAGCTGCAATCTAAGAGAAAGGAAAACGACAAAAACGGAAGAAAATAAAAATCGTATACCAAAATTAGAAGCGAAAATAAATAAAGAGAAAAATAAATCAAATAAATGAATAACAAGAAAAGCTTAACTCCGGCGAGGGGCCGAAATTTCGACATTTATGGCTAATCCCTAAAATATTCTGAAATACCTTCCATTTTAAAACTAGGAAATTTTGTAAAAACTTTAGATTACTCTGATGGTTTTCTACATTCAAGGAGAATTTATATATCAGGCTTTAAACTGATCAATAACACGTCAATTATATCATTTCAAGATCTTATTGAGGAACTTGACAAATTTCTCAATTATATCGTAACTTTTGATTTGCTTTAAGGCCGTTTTTTAAACATTTTGTAAAAACTCTTCTTATTTCGGTATTGAAACTTGGTTTTGTAGGTTGGTTTTTGTGGGAAATGATATAATTGATGTGGACTTATTGAGGAACTTGACAAATTGCTCAATTATATCGTTACTTTTGATTTGATTTAAGGCTGTTTTTTAAAACATTTTTAAAAAATTCTTCTTATTCAGGTATTGAAACTTGGTTTTGTAGGTTTGTATGTTGGTTTTTGTGGGACACCTTTCGAAAGACCTGCTTATATCATCCCATATTTAGTAGCTATTAGATATTTAAGCCGCTTTTTCAAAGATATTGTATAAACTAAACCTATTTCGGTGTTGAAACTGGGCTTTGTAGGTTTGTAGGTTGGTTATTGTAGGACACCTTTCAAAAGACCTGTCTAAATCATCCTATATTTAGTAGCTATTACATATTTAAGCCGTTTTTTCAACGATAGTGTAAAAACGAATCCTATTTTGGTTTTAAAATTGTGAGAAACTGTGAATAGAAGAAGTACTCCTTCCATTTGACCCCCTTTCACACCTTCCTTAGTTGCTATTAGACAAAGACCCCTCACCTGGAGGCCCTGAGCGCCTGCTTGAGCTGTCCCTGCAGCTTGCCGACCCGGTTGTTGGCCACCTCGAGCTTCAGCTGGCACATCTTGAGGGCGTTGCGGGTGTCGGTGACCTCCAGCTGGGACTGGTTGACCTTGCTGGCCGCGTGGCTGAGCATCTCCTGGCAGGCGGTGTCCAGCGTGGACTTCTCGCCGAGTCCCTGCTCGGCCAGGTAGACCATCTCCTTGGCGGCGGCATGGATGGACTTGGCCTTCTCGTGGTTGGCGGCCGCCGCCTGGGTTTCCTTGGCCAGCTGGGCGGCATAGATGCGGGATTCGTAGTAGGGCTTGGCGGCATCGATGGAGTTGCCCAGCTTGTGGGCGGCGGCCTTGATCCGCACCACACTTTCGGCCAGCAGTCGCTTGAACTCGCACTTGGACTCCTGGAATAGTAATTCAGTTAATGGGGGAAACTGGGGAAAAATCAATACTCGCCCACTCACATCGAGCTCCACCTCGAATCGGTTGATGTTGTCCGTGGCGGAGTTGAGTTTCTCTAGCTCCACCTGGCGGGGATTAAGTTATAAAAGATCTCTGGGAATCTCTGGGAAAGATGGGGAGGTAAAAACTCACCTGAACCCGCGGATCCACTGGCGTGTTGCTCTCCGTTGACATGGCTTCTTGCTACGCGGCTACTTTCTGGGGGGGATTCCGATTTCCGGGGATCGCGGTGGATGCAGTGCAGCTGTGGTACTCTCTCTCTCTTCAGTGGTCAATTCGATTTGCTTCCATTTCCATGGCACAGTTTCCACAATTTCCGCACAAATCGCTAGGCAAATCAATTTCAGCGAGCTTTTGCTACAATTATGACAACAGAAAAGCTCCGTCAGCTGCTTGGTACCGTTACTAATCGGTAACTATCGATTGGCTCGTATCTATTATCGATATTTGTTGTTTAAAAAAATTACGTATCTATTTAAGGAAGAAATTTTTATTTTTAAGATTTCTTTATAGGAAAAACTTATTTTTTATAGAAAAAGATTAAAAACTACAAGTATCGACATGAAAAGCTCGATAGCCCGAAAGCTCTCTCTAGCGACCTATCGCCGTTATCGTTATCGTTTAACCAGCTGCTAAACAGAAAGGAAGTTGATTTTGATTGTTATTATATTTTTCCAAAATAAACCGATGCAATCGCGCAGCCAGGCCGAGATGAAGCCCATTAGGAAGGAGGTCCTGAATCCGGGCAATGCCTACATCGAGCTAACGCCGGGCACCAGGGTGAGTGCTTCCAAAATGAGTAGCTGCATCCTGTAGTTTTCCTCATTTTTTGCAGTTGCAATTTGGGCCAAGGCCATTCGTCATCCTACCACTTTTCCCGCATTTTCCCCCCTTTTCCCCAGGTCAAGTTCCACTTCCAGACGCGCAGGGCCGGCGACAGTCGCATCATCGACGACAGCAGGAAGATGGAGAAGCCCATGGAGCTCGTCCTGGGCAAGAAGTTCAAGCTGGAGGTCTGGGAGCTGATTGTGCAGCAGATGTCCCTCAACGAGGTGGCCAAGTTCACGGTGCACAAGTCGGTAAGGTAGAGCTGCAGAGAAAAAAAAAACGATATGATATTTCATGTCAAATTTAAGATTCAAACATATCAACATGATATTTTGTCATATCATAAAAAATACCAAATTTAGTATTTTTTGAGCAAATAATATAAAAAAAGATGAACATAATCTTTATTCATATCAAAATGATATCATTATGAATAACTTGATATCAAATTGACCATTACCTTTTTTTTTCTGTGTGTATATCCAGTAATCCGTTCCCTATTGAACTAGTTTCTATGCTCTGTTCCCCCAGCTCTGCGCCCAATATCCTTTTATATCAAAGGCACATATCAAAATGATATCATCATGAATAACTTGATCTTTAAAAAATATCAAATTGACCATTACCATTTTTTTTTCTGTCTATATACCCAGTAATCCGATCCTGACCTAGTTTCTCTACTCCCCCAGCTCTGCGCCCAATACCCTTTTATATCAAAGACCCTGCGCGACATTGGCAAGAAGCCGGAGGAGCGACGTCACTGCTGCGGCATGACGCTGCAGAACGAGGGCATCGGGTACCCGGATCTCGACGATCTGCTCCAGCATCCCGCCGAGCTGGAGTTCATCATCGAGCTCTTCTCCATCGAGCTGCCGGAGCAGTACGAGAAGGAGCGCTGGCAGATGTCCGACGACGAGAAGATGCTGGCCACCAGCACGCTGCGCGAGCGTGGCAATAATTTCTACAAGGCCAGCCGGTTTACGGAGGCGGAGACCTGTTACCGCGAGGCGGTGGGCATCGTGGAGCAGCTAATGCTCAAGGAGAAGCCGCACGACGAGGAGTGGCAGGAGCTGGCGGCCATCAAGACGCCCCTGCTGCTCAACTATGCGCAGTGCCGGTTGATAGCCGGTGACTTTTATGCCGTCATCGAGCACTGCAACGAGGTGCTCACCCTGGATCCGCGCAACGTTAAGGCTCTGTTCCGGCGGGCCAAGGCGCATGCCGGCGCCTGGAATCCCCTGCAGGCGCGTCGCGATTTTATCGATGCTTTAGCACTCGATGCCTCGTTAAAAACGACCGTTTCGAAGGAACTGAAATCGATTGAGGATCAACAGCAGGCACGTAACGTCCAGGATCGCATACACATGCAGAAACTCTTCTAGAACATAAGTTGCGTCAACGTGCTGCTCATGCTGCTTGTCTATTGGAGCAGCTACCTGCAGCGCTAGCAGTACCTGTACCTCTCCCTGCCGCCCATCCTCATGCTGGCCGTCACTGTGGCCCACAACCTCGTGCTGCTCTGCTCGCTGGCCAATCTGTTCCTCTGCTGCTGGACGCTCAGGAAGCTGCTGCGGGCCTTGGCGAAGATTTGATGATTTGACAGGATAAGACGACAGCACAATCAACTACGGTACCACATGCATTTCGGAGCCACTGCAATATATAATACATATACTCACTCACATTCTCCTGCGGTGTAGGCTAAACTGTATTGTATTGTATGTAAATGTGCCATCCATCGAGTGCAAAAGCGTTTACCAAAACACACTAAAGTCCATAAGTACGTTTGTATAATGTATTATGTGTATATCCCCCATATTTGCGATATTTACTCGTAGCTAGAATCTATTCTAAATCTAGACAAATTGTATAAGGTGTAATAAATGTGCTTTTGATGCTGTCTTAAATGTTAAATGTAGTTTATTGTATGTACGTGAGAAGGCCTAATAATATGCATTAGCATAAGGTATTTAAAGTGTATAAAATAAATATATGTGTAGCCCAAAATTGTTTTCCCATGGTTTTAGGGGGTTTTTGAAATGATAATAAGGTTTGTGGTTAATATAAAACAAAAGCATTAACAATGTGGGAATTCTTTTGAAGATAAGGAACTAAATTACACAAAGAACAATCGGCGTGTGACCGCAGGTCATCCAAATATCTAGTGAAATCCGCATAAATACAAAGGCAACGCACACATAACATTATTAATATTAAGTTTGATTTACTAATTAAAAATCACGATAAAGCGGCATCGTTAACGATTAATATACACAATAAATACACGAAGAGTACGAGCTAGTTAAATCTTTGGAGACCAATGGAGATGATTAATCCTACAGCCGCCACAGCCGACTGCTGTTGCCCCCGGTGGCGCCCTCGGCCTCGCCGCGCAGCTTGTTGTCGTCGGTGCGCCACACAAAGGGCTCCAGCCGGTCCTCGTCGTCCAGAAAGTTGTTGATCGCCTCCAAGCTGGCGATATTCTCGTGCAGCAGCGAATTGCACCTGCTCAACTGATGCGAAACGCTCCTGATCTTGGCAAATTGCTCGGCATACGAGGCATATGTCTTTTGCATGTCCACGAAACCAGCAAACAAAGTAGTGATTGAATTGCTCACCACCTTGGTGCGTTCCACCAGATGATTCTGTTCGCTGGCCACATAGCTGGCGCACAGATTCAAATGCGTCTGCATGCGCGAGCAAATGTTGACCAAATGCTGCGAATGCAGACGCTCCAGGATCTCCGCATCCCTTGTATAAGTGGCCGATGTGATGGACTCCCGGAGGACGGGCAGAAACTGGGGTATATTCCGCAGTCGGGCCAAGTCCAGATCCAAATCCTCGCCAGCATCGCTGGCACCGGGTCGCACGATGACGATATTGTGGCTGGAGGATGTGGACTGCGGTCGCTTTGGCTTGCTGATCCCACCGGGATGTGATTTCCTGGCCGCTGCCCTGCTAGCGCTGCTCTGCTGCTGCTGCTGGTGCAGCATGTGCGATGCCGGCTTGCTGCGTATCTTGGGTGAATCGCCGATGGGACGATCCGTGTAGGAAACGTAGGGCAAATCGGAGCAGACGCTCAGCGGCGGCGAGGGCGGGCGGCTCAGCTCGGAGGTGGAGCAGCCGGGCGAGGCAGCCTCCGCCGAGATGATCTGCTTGCTGGCTATCACAATGCTGCTGGCCACGGGTGATCCACCTCCAGTTAATCCTCCTCCTGTTTGCTGGCGATGGTTACCAATTCCACGTCGCTTATTCGCCGCCGCCGTGGCCGCCAGCATCATGGAGCCATTGTCGCCCAGGGCCACCGATCTGCTCGGGTTAATCCCGAGTCCCTGCGCCTGGCGGCCATCGAAGATCTCGTGGCCATCGGCCTCCGCCCGCTGCTGCGAGTGCTCGGCGCCCATTTATCGATCCAAATCGAATGAGTCCCGACTGCAAATCCCCGTCTGTTGCTCCTGGTTCGCTGGTACCACTAGTGGCGACGGTGTCACTGCTCTCCTTGGCCCACCTGCTGCGTCATTTCTGGGGAGGATTCACTCCCAAAAAGAGAAGGAAACAAAGCCTCGCCAGAAATCCAATCAGAATAAAATCGCAGAAAACTTTTAACTGCCAGAAACGCACTAAAAAATACCACAGCGCGGTATTAAATACCAGTTATGCCACGTCTCCACTGCAACAGATTACTTTTTGCAGGCGCGTAAGGGTTAATATAATATTTTAAATTTAAATTAAAACTAGTAACTAAATCAAAAAGGCGTACTGTTTTTAGCAGCTTACTACCCTATAATTAATATCAGTGCACTTTCCGACTGATTTGAGAAAATTAATTTTCGACCCAAATTTCGCATTTTTGATAAGGGGTACCATCATGATTTTTTGCTAAAAATGACAATAATTAAAATTTTCCAGGTTTAAATGCCAATCGATTTGGGATACAATTACGAGCTCAGCAAGGTATGGTTATCCATATTTGGACCATTATTTACGTTTTTATGGTCGAAATACTGATTTTTTTGGGTGGAAAATCAGGATCTTGATTTTTGATAAAAATATGATTTTTCTTACCGTTTTTTGGCTGTAACTTGGACAAAAATGGTCCGATATCAAAAAGGCTTATTGTTTTGAGCAGCTAACGACCCAATAAATAATATCCGTGCACTTTTTGAGCGATTTGAAAAAAATTCATTTTTGATTAAATTTTCGCATTTTTGATAAGGGGTACCATCATCATTTTTTCGAAAAATGGCAAAATTTAAAAAATTGTAGGTTTAAATGTCGATCGATTGGGAATTAAATAACGAGTTCAACGAGGTATGACACTTCATATTTGGATTATTATTTCCATGTTTATGACCAAAATACTAAGAATAAGAGTACGAATTTCAAATCTTGTCTATCATCAAAAAGTGATTTTGAATTCGAACTCTGGTTTACATAGTTTGTTTATTTATGTTATTACTTGCATTTTTTAATTTATTATTTATTTTTTGTTTCCGAAGTCTAAAGTTCATGCTCAAGACGATTGACTGTACAAGTAGAGAGGGTGTCGTAGAGGGGCAGATAAGCATAGGCGATAAGTAGAAAGCGTTCTCCCCGAGCTTCCGTATGGACTCGTATGGAATCGCCAGTGTTTTCGTGGCCGTCGTCGTTCTAACCGGCATTTCTGAGGTGCTAATTCAGCGCAAGATTAGGTTTCGTTTTCGGTTTCAGTTTCAGCACGAGCAATATTCAGCAAAGTCAGTTGCCCGACGACCGTGATCGCGATAGCAACACTTTCACCCAGCAAAACGGATCACAATGGTGAGTGAGTTTTCCGTAGAATAATCTTATCAAGCCTTTCCATCGATCCCAACCCAAATATAATTGTATATAAAAGCCAACTATTATAGTTAACGATCCCAGAAACACATATCTGTGGATAATCATGGAAAAAACCTAATAAACTTTTTAACTACTAGTAAAAAATTTGGACAAGTAAATTTAAAAGGATTCAAAAATTAAATCTTTAATGCTTACCTTTTTGGTTTGCTTTTTTTTTAATTATTAATATTTTTTTTATTGTTTGTTGGGTGAGAAAATATAAAGTTTAGGTTGATCTCTCGGTTAAAATGATGTTGTCCTAGGTCATGAATATATATTAGCACTAAGCAAAAATTTACAATTTTTAAAAAAGATTTAAAAAGATCAAGACATAAAATAGTAAAAAAAGAATTTTTATTTTAATTATAATATTTTTGATCTATCTTTGTTTACTTACATGACTTAACCCAGGCCAAACCGCAGCACATCCTGCAGCTGAGTGAGGAGCAGCGGAGCAGCTTCGTCGGCTCCTTCGATCGGGTGCTCAGCGACATTGATGGCGTCCTGTGGACCATGGAGCACAATGTTCCGCGGGCCGCCGACGGATATGCCGCCTTGGAGCGAAGCGGGAAGCAGCTGACCTTCGTCACCAACAACAGTGTTCGTACGGTGGACCAGTGCATCCGGCGATTCGCCAAGATCGGGATGCAGGTGCAGCCGGAGCAGATCTGGCATCCGGCCCAGTCCATCGTCAACTATCTGCGGGGCATCAAGTTCGAGGGTCTCATCTACATCATCGCCACCCAGCCGTTCAAGGCGGTGCTCCGCGAGGCGGGATTCCAGCTTCTGGACGGGGTAAGTGACTACTAGGGATCAGGGATCTAGTGCTTGGAAATTTTTTTTAAATTAAATTTTTTTTTAATTATTTAATTTTAAATTTGAAAATTTTTTTAAATATTTTTCTGAAAGATATTAATTAGACAACTAATTTGTGAAAGTTTCATCTAAATAAATCAAACGAGTCTCAAGTTATAATTGTTTTCCCTAAGAAGTGCCTAAATATTTAACCTCGGCTAAAAAATAAATGGTAAGAAATAAAAGAAATTTCGGGCAGGGGCTATTTTAGAATCGAACTCTATAAAAAATAATAAAATCATTATTTAAAGGACTTGAAAATCATCGCATATTTTAATTTTTTCATTTAAATAACTCAAACGAATCTCAAGTTATAAAATGTTTCCCCAAGAAGTGCCTAAATGCTTAACCTCGGCTATAAAATAAATGGTAAGAGATACAAAAAAAATGACAAAGACGGTTTGTTTTAGGATCGAACTCTATCAAAAAAAAATATTTAAAATATAGAAAATAATAAAATCATTATTTAAGGGACTTAAGATTCATCGCATATTTTTATTTTAAAAAATATCCTTTGTATTTCAGCCCAACGAGTTCATCGAGGAGAGCTACGAGTGTCTGGCCAAGAACATCTTCGACAAGGAACCAGTGCGTGCCGTCGTCATTGACGTGGACTTCAACCTGAGCTCCCCAAAGTTGCTGCGGGCGCATCTGTATCTGCGGCGTCCGGAGTGCCTGCTGATCGGAGGCGCCACGGATCGCCTGCTGCCGGTGGCCAAGGGCGTGAACATCATTGGACCCGGGGCCTTTGCCTCCATTCTGGTGGAGGCCAGTGGGAGGGAGGGCAGCTGCATCACACTGGGCAAACCGGGTCGCGAACTGGGCAATCTCATTGTGGAGCACTACAAGATCGATCGGCCCAGTCGGGTGCTCATGGTCGGCGATATGCTGGCCCAGGATATTGGCTTCGGGCGGCAGTTCGGTTTCCAGACGCTGCTCGTCCTCAGCGGCGGTTGCACCAGGGAGCAGCTCCTGGCGGAGACGGATCCGCGACACATTCCCGATTACTATGCCGACAGCATGGCCGATGTGGCCCAGTTGCTGGGAGAGACGCCCAAAGCGCATGTTTAGTTGTATATATATTATATATATATATGGGTACCTGGGTAATTGATTATCATCATTATTGCTATCAGCACAATACCGTATTTTATTCGTTATTATTTTATCTGAAATATAATTCACACTAAGCAAACAAAACGAAAATATTTAGAACTTGGGGATTCCCGGAAGGTAAATATGTATCATCGAGTCAATATGGTCGTTCTAGTCATCAAGTGCTGACACAACCCACATTTTATTTGTCATTTGTAATATGTGCAACTCACACTAAACGAGCAAAACAAAATTACGTGGAAAACTAGGGACATATTAGAGATATATCCTTAAAAAATAACAAAAATAATACTACTTTTGGTATAGGGAATATTATAAACTTTACTATTTGTATAATATAGATATTTTTTAGAACCGGTAGGTTAATCTAATATTTTGCATACTATTCTAAATATTTATTTCTTTTTATATTTACTTTAGAAATTCAAGTGTAAATTCCAAGTTCCATGCAATATTTTATTTTGATTCGTTTTGAAAGTAGGGAGTAAATTAATTTTAAATATTTTGCATTTCTTTATAGTGAAAAAATCAGATTTGTTAGAAATTTTTGTAGAAAATTATTTAATTTTAAATATTTTGAATATTTTTCCTAGTAAAGAAATCAAATCAAATGATTGTTGTGTTTTGTTTGTTCGATACGGACCTGCGGATAATCTATTAATTGTAATCTAAAACACTTTCTGGTTTCTGACAAACACTCGAAACGCTATCAAGTGAAATCCGCCGAGTCACAATTACTCGAAGGCGGATTATCTGCTAGCAGCTGCCCCAGGCAGTCGACCACATAGTCGGGCATCTGGGGATGGTCGGGCGGCAGTCGCTGGACGTCCTCCAGCTTGGTGCCACCGCTGAGGACGAGGAGCGTCTGGTAGCCACTGGCGCGGCCGAATCCAATGTCGCTGGCTAGGCTATCGCCCACGAAGAGCACGCGGCTGGGCGGGATTTCCGGGTGACGAGCCAATAGCACCTGGCGCAGATCCTCTCCCGGCTTGCCCAAAGTGATGGGCCGACGGCCAACGGATTGGGAAACCACATCGATAAAGGCTCCAGGTCCTGTTTTATAAAAGAAAAATATATAAAAAAGGATTATAGAATTTATTGGTAAAAATTTTATGGAAAGCCTTAAGTTTAAAATTAAAATATTTATTATATATCGTGTTGTTTATTTTTCTAGTACTTTTGGTAACAGAAATAATTGAAATCGAAGTCTTTTCATTATCTTATCTTTCTTAATGTGTGTTTATTTTTATTACTAGTATGTAAATAAATATTTTTAGGTAACATTTGCTCACCTATAATCTCGCCCTTGCCGAAAGGTATTAGGGCATCTGCAGCTCCCGCCAGGAAGAGGCACTTGGGATTCTGGAGCTGGACATGGGCTCGCATCATCTTGGCCGCCGACAGATTAAAATCCACATCGATGATGACCGCATCCACCGAGTCGCCGCCATAGATGGCCTCGTGGAGATCCCTAAGGCTCTCGATGATCCCGCTGCCGCTCTATTGAATTAGAGATTTCCATGAAGTGATCAAGAAGCAAATCTCTAGATCTCGATTTGAATCACTCACATCTTCTGCCAGCCGAAACCCGGCGGCCACAAGAAGTTCCTTAAATGGAGGCGTGGCCAGGCAGTAGATAAGTCCCTGGAAGTTAATGGACCTCAGATGATCGCAGATCGTTTGTGCAGGGTGAACGATTTGATGCTGTTTATAAAGAGTGAAAAAAACTATATATAGGTAGTATTTTAAAAATATAAAAAATATTATAAATATTCCTTATCTCTAAAGTTTTAATTTCTTAATTATTTTGTATAATCTCACCTCTTTAATCTTCAGTTGACCCTGTTTCTCGAACTTCTCAATGTGCTCCTTCACCGAACTGATGCTGTTGTTGGTCACAAAGGTCACCTGCTTGTTCCGAAGCGCCAAATGGGCCAAGGCCTCGGCGGAACCGGGAATAAAGTCCCTCAGGGGATACCAAACCACTCCATCGCAATCGCAAAGGACCAAATCGAAAGAGCCATAGAAATTCTCGATCTCACTTTTACTCAGCGTCTTCAGATGTTTTGCCTGGTTAAGAAGATCAGAACGGAAATATAATATCATCTTCTATCAGATCATATCATCTATCAGATCGTTCTGATGATCTCTGTTCTATTATTCTGTTTCTGCTTTCCATTCTATATTCCACCCACCGAACTCATATCGATCGCGACACAAATCCGGATTTAGAGAGGTTTTGGCTTGGGATTCCGATTGCGATTCCTAACAGCTCAAAGTTCCAGTCCAGCGACAGATTTGTAACTAAGTCCAGCGAGACGAGCGTGCCAATCTGGAAGACCCAACCAGCCCCAGGCCAAGCAAAGAAAATTGCTCGAATTGCCACGAAAAGGGGCCGATTGCATTACACATTTCAAATTGCATTAGACCAGCGGCCAGCTCAGCATGCCCTCCTGGGTTCCATTCAGATTGGGTCCGAGTCCGGGGTAAGTGGCGCACACTGCAAGAAAATATTCGCATTAGTTATAAATACCAAAATATAAATATTTAAATAATCTTAATTATTATTTATACATTAGTTAATATAGTAACAAATTGTAAGCTTAAAATTTAAGTACCTTTAGTGACATTACAACTTCAGGTTTATTCCTGTATATGGACCTAAAACTTATAAAAGATTTCGGTTTTATAAAACGGTTTAAAAATCTTTTAAGAAATGTACAAAATTCCATACCATGAGAATAAATATTAAATTAACAGTAATTGAACAATATTTGGTTTTAAAACAGCCTAACAAAATATTCTAGACTTTGAATTTAAAAGAAGAAACATTTGAAATAAATATAAAAATTGCAAATCTAAAACTGCTAGGAACAAATATTTTGTTACTTGTTTTTAATAAATAGAAATAAAAATTTTTCTACATCTTTTAAAATAAACAAATACACAAATATTTTTCTACATCTTTTTAAATAAATAAATTTACAAATATTCGTCTGAATCTTTTTCAAGTGTAGTTACACCTCAATCGTTCGTAATCCATGGGTGGTTGCTTGCCAGTGGATGAAGTGGTAAAGGGGTAGTACATACATATAAGTGGTGTCTCTGTCAATTGAATGTTGTCCAGTCAAGCCGCTGGTCAGCGTTCCAATTGATTTGCTTTCATCGCCTTTCAATTGAGCTCATTTTGTGACATCTTATCCAGTGCATCCGGTTTACACTCACACCTTACACGAAATATTTGAGATATCTAAAAACCGAACATCGAATAGATAAAGCCTGGATATTTTTACTCATTTCACTGTTAACATTTATGGGGTTAAACCCATTTTTTATTTGTTATTCTTGTTCTTTTTTTTAATTCGTATGCAGACGAGCACTCAACACAATTCGTTTCTGGCTTAATCTCTATCGTAATCGTAGTTGTTATTATTATTATTATCATCGTATAAATATGTTTATCAAAACAACAATTCACTATAGGTGTACGTACTGGTAAGTAAGTAGCATTTAGAGTTCTACAAAATATTGCGAAATGTGCAATGCTCTCTTGCTCGCTTGGCAATAATCAACAATAAAAACAATGGATCAGAGGGAGAGGATGAACCATAACCATAACCATATGTCTGAGTTCGCTTTCTCGGTTGTTTTGTTGTGGGTAACATTGTAAGGTACATTGGATTGTTTCTTAGTGTTTCAATAATGCTAGCATATTTTAACTTGCTTCTCGCACATTTTGTGGTGTATAATTCGTTAACGTTTTCGATTCATCATATTCATATGTAGGTATGTTGAAATAGCTACCAACGGTTGCGTTATTGTTATTTAAATAATAAATTAGAAATACTCCGTTCTTTTAATGCACTTTGGACGTGTGTATAAAATGTAAAAATATTCAAATACATATCTCTTTAACTGTATTTCTGTAATCTGTAATCGGTATCTTGTGTGCTGCTAAAGCGACTTGGCCACACATTGTGATCTCACGGGTAAGCTGGAGTTACGTGAATCTCTTGTACAAAATACAAATCCGTTTGGGAAATCAAGTAACAATATATAAAACCCTATTCGTGTGTGTCTGTGTACCAATGTACATGTATAAAAATGCAATTGCTTGACTCATATCGTCAGCATTTCGTTGAGCATTTCCAATGCAATCGAATCCGCAGTACAAAAATCATCTTAAGTACGAAGCACAACAATCGGTATATACAAAAGTTCAGCTAACTACTGGAGAAACCAAGGAATGATCAAGGATTATACAAAGGAGGTGGCCTCGTCGCGCCTTCGCAGGCCGTTCTCCGACTTTTGTGGCACCTCCTGCACCTCCTTGTGGGCCATCTTCATGGCGTGCTGCTTCTCATACTCGATGATGTGCTCCCGCAGCAGGAAATTCTCTCGCTTGATGCGCTTCAGCAGGCGTCCCGAGACATCCGGCACGGCCCAGCGCAGAATGCCTTGCAGCATGGTAATGATGTTCTGGTAGATGACGATGAAGGCCAGCCGACCCGTCAGTATTTTCCAATAGATCATGGGACGCTTGTAGGGATGCGGATCCTCTGGCGAGTTTCGGAACTCTGTGTAGCGGCACACCGTCTCGTTCACATGCTGACTGCCGCCCAGCAGGGGCTGCACCTGGAAATCCTTGGTGTTGAACACGGCCAGCGTGAAATTAAGGTAGTTGTTCAACTCGGGATCGCCCATGGAGGCGGCATACACGATTTTCGGTATGAGGTTCGTGCTAAATGCGATTATCATTGCCTGCAAGAAAGTTTAGAAATATAATTATTATAATATAAACATCAAAGCTTATGATTTGAAAGACTCACACTCGAGGCAACGGCTATGCGGGTGACGACGGTCATGATGCTGTGCCAAACGCCAATGTCGCGTGCTCGCATTCCCACCGGTCGTCGCAGGAAGCGCAGCATTTTGATGGCGTCCAGACGCACCTCAATCACATTGTTCAGCAGGGCCAAAAGCGGGGCCAACGGGAAGGCCAAGCTGAACAGGGTAATAAAGCCGAATTGCACAACTTTTCGAAAGAGATATGGATTAAAGTTAGGAGACAAATGTTTGACAAACAAAATCCCTTACCCATTTCGAGGTATTCCACGTAGAGCGAATTGTTCTCGGCGGGCAGTAGATTATAGTCCTCGGTGAACTGGTTGTAGGGCACCAGCCTTTGATCCTGGTGGCTCTTGTACCAGCCGTGCCGATAGCTTAGCTCCTTGAAGGTGCGCATTAGATAGGGTATAAGCATCTCGACTATCGCATTCACTGCCTGCTTGCCGGCCATGATGATCACCAGCTGCATGCAGAGCTCCATGAGGCAGCCGCCGGGATTGCATTCCTCCTGGCGAAAGCCCAGAACGCGATTATATTTCGCCGGATAGCCGACAAACTTGCCCTTGAGGAAGGCAATGTAGAAGAGCGAGGAGTAGTAGTTGACAAACTGGAACACATAGTTTTTGATTGTTAGGCTCTCGTCGTACTCCGTCTGGGTGCGGCAGTACTCGTAGTTGGTTAGCTTCACGGCCAAACTGGAGTACACCATGTCCAGCAGCGAGATGACAATCAAGTCAATCACGCCCGCCGTCATGGGCAGAATCATGACCTTGAAGGTCATCGAATTCTCGCTGCCCAGAATGCTGTGCGAGGCGCGCTGAGCCATTCTATAGATGATAATGCCCGCTATCGCAATGACTGATATGCAAATCTGCCAGGAAAACGAAACAATAATGAGCTTGCAGTAGGGAAAACTACAGGAAGTACTTACAAACAATACCATGATGCTGTAACTAGTAAAGTTGGGCAGGAACTTGATGCTCCAGAAGGGCACATCTGGATCCAGGGCGGTTCGCTTACCAGTCTGTTCATCCTCTTCGTACGCCTTCCCTGCCAGCCGCCTGGAGCGCGATATTTTGGCCAGGTATTGCGGACGCGGATGCTCGACGTGATGCGTGAAGCCAGTCAGTCCCCAGCGATGCACCAGGCCCGCCGAGTAGCGCTTCCAGAACTCCAGATAGACCACAGCCCAGATGGCCATCGAAAAGGCAAAGACCACCGTCATGTTGTTGTCTATCAGATAGTTGAACTTCGAACTCGTGCACGTCTCGTTCAGCCGCCAGTAGTCGCAGCTTCGGTCGCACTGCGGACACATTATCGTCCCGTTGTCGTTGCAAATATCGCGGCTAATCGGATCGCTGGACCACGTGACGAAGCCGTACAGGAAGCAGAGCACTCCGAAAACGCTGATGGGTATCAGCATTTGCGTGTAGAATCCCAGCCAGGCAAAGTACAGGGCCACCTTGGCTCCGAAGTAGTCTTTGATTTGGTCCAGTGGCTGCAGGCTGCAAGGAAAATCGGTTATATATAATAAACTCTTTAATGTAAAAATTTAATTTAATAATTTGTGCGGTCACACGCCTATTTTTCATTGGGCACACTTCGATTCTTCTTTGTGTCGCTGTTCTAAGATCTTTTCTTGCTCTTTCCTGATTAATAATAAATCTAAAGGTATTTTCCATTCATTAATTCCAGGTTAATTCCCAAGTTTTCTTTATAATTTTCAACTACAGCTGCATCGCTTATTTTTCTAGCTGCAAACTGGCTTCTAAACCGATTTTCCCTTTCAGAGAAAACAGAAATCAAGCTGCATAAACAGAATATCGGCTATTTGCTTACTTCTTCCACTTGGATATGTTGGCCCACTCCTTGAGCAGACGATCTCGATCGTCTTTCTGCAATAAAATAGACAGACTTAGTAAGTTAAATAGGTATAGATACAGCAGTAGACAGCCGTACATCGTGCAACGTATAGGCGCAGGTATAGACGCCATCCTGGACGAGCTTCTCGATGCCCAGATTGTCGGCCGTCTCCTCGCCCTCGACGAAGTGCTGGCGCTGCAGTATAAAGTTGATGATGGAGTAGCGGGTGCCGGCATCGAGGAAGTTCGGATGCTCCGTGTCGTAGAGCTCCAGATAGTTGCGGGCGAACTCGAGATGGATGCGCGGTTCGCGCTCGGGGAAGAGTTCCGTATTGAGCTGCACGGAGCTAAACAGACTGCGACACAGGCGGCTCAAGCAGGTCTTAAACTCGTGCGCCGACTCGGCAAAGATTTGCTCCTGGCCGGGAATCGGCTTCAGCGGCACCTTAATCTTCAGTATCTCCGCATATCGGTATAGCACCTCCGCCGGCGCATGGATCTTAATGAAGTGCACCCGCTGCACCTTGTTGTGCTCCAGCTGCAAACCCTCGCGCTGCAAATTCGCCTCGAAGATCTCGCACTTGCGACGATGCTCCTCCGACTGCGTTTCGCCATTGTAGGCCAGCACAAAGTCAACGCTGCGTTTGCCATCGTCGAAGCGTCTGTAGGTCTGGAGATTGGGCAGAGAATGAATAGAGAGATGAAGAGCATTAGTATAAGATTTAGATAGAGATATATTATGAGTCACTCTCGAGAGAGAAAGATCTTAAAAATACTTTTGCTTATCAACTAGATTCTGGACGGGAACAAAAAGCGTGTGGGTGCGTGTGCCTACACCTGCCCCTTGGGTCACCCAACTCCCTATCACCTCGGCGGACTCCTCCCTTTGATTGCCGCAGCGCAGGCCGCGCAGGAGGCAGCAGCTCAGCATTGAAATATATTTGAATATATAGGAGAACGAGAAACACAACCGACGCGACCGAGATACAAGAGGCAAATAGAGTGTGCGATATATTCCGTGCGATTTGCTTGACTTTATCTTCAGCACTCGAGTGCCTAACTTAGATATTAAATTACAATATACAAAGATCGTTAAGCATTAAGTGTTCATACCCAATCCCGCAAGCAAACTATAGGAAAAAGAGAAATATATAAACAAACAAAAGGAGAGCGTGAAAGAAGGCGGCAAGAACTTTATCAAGTGCATAGTATATCATTACAGCAAAACATTAGGATGGATATCATATATGTACGTGATCGTGACGAGTGAAGGCGATTTGTGTACAGTAAATAGGGGTTGCTCGATAGCAAGAACCTTTAGGATAGCTCATTATTTGCCTGGCAAGTTTCTAAAAATAATCAAGACTTTACTTTATATATCTAAATAAATCGATCTGCTTATTCTAAACTTAGAAAAATCTATTAAAATTTCACACAAAAGCCTCATTGTTTTATTTTTATACTTTATATATTGATTTTTAGGATAAATGAAAATATTATATATTTAAATTATAGAAAATAATTAACTTATCAACTTGTAGCATTAGGAAAACATTATAAAATAAATTGAAATATAAAAAATATATATATATACATATATATAAAATTGTTGTCGAAAAAAACGGGAAGTAGTAAGAATCACCTAGAACGGATTGACATAAAATCCTAAAAAAAATCCTAGATTCGAAAAAATTTTATATAATATATTAAGAACTTTAGTAGTTTTAAAAGCATCAAAATACTTGTAATTTTCCTTAACAGATTTACAATTAAATATGATTTTTGAAAGATACATTGTAAAGCAGATTATTTTTGGATTTTAAAAGATCCCTTTAAAAGGAAGCGACCACTGACCATAAAAATTCGAGTGTTTAAGCTTGGATGCGGGCTCTGGCAATCTGGCGATGAGAAGTGAAAGTGGATAAGCTGGATGATAAGGTGATGGAACAACAGCAAGCCAAACATGAGGGTGAGATTGAGATCGAATTCGATGCATCATCGGTGGCAGTGCAAAAGCAAAGGCTTTCTTCTAACCGAAGTTGTGGGACATATTTGATTTTGAGATTTGAATTTGAATTGGTTCGTATGCTACTGTCGTTGTTGTTGTTTACCCTTGATTTCCACTGGGAGTATGTTATTGGCAATTTCTTATCTTTATTAGAAATGTTGCTACTACTTCTTAACAGACGTCTAGAGACCTCATCGTCACCACCTCCTCCTTGTGCTCCATTTCCTTCGGTTACACCGATGCCAGTGGGCAGATGGTTTCGTCCATTTTGCAGTGCTATCATCTGAGCGGCTATAGCGGCATCCGTATGATCACCACCTCCGCCGATTCCGATTCCATTGAGGTGCTCCAAAGCCGTCGATTGGCGGTAGCCCGGTTGCCAGGCCAAAGCCGCATGCTCGGCAGCTCTGGATCTCGACTCATCGCCTGCCAAATCGACCGCCGAATGGTAGATAGTGTTGCGCGACTGCGAGATCGATTTGCGATGGGCCGCCGCAGCCGCAGCCTCCGAATCCGCCAGCGATATGGTGTCGAAGTACAGGCTCTCCCGCTCGTCCATTTCCGATTCGGGATAGTCGTAGTCGTGGGTACGGACTGCAACGAGGGTGGGAGATTAGTCGGAAGTTCTCGTAATCAGATGAGATGATCTGATGATCAGATCTGATCAGATGAGAGGTGAGTTGAGTTGAGGCGGTGGTGCTGATGAGTTGTTGGGTTAGTTTGTTACATTTCCACACTCCAATTACAATGACAAGTGCATGATAAAAGCAAATTATAAACAACAATATATGGAATTTACTAAGATAAATGGGTAGCTTAACTTCTGATGATAATCTCAGGGATTAAAGAGAATAGGATGTCTCTTTTGCAAAGTCAAATATCATTTTTATCATATTATATCTTTAAAAATACCCCTGATCTTTTGAAAGCGAAAAAAAAGAAACTCCAAGTTGTTAATTAATAAAGAACATCCAATTAGGTGACATCACATAACACCAACGCCCATGAATAATTTGATCTTGGTACCCTTAGAAATACAACACATAAATGTTTGCCCCTACCTAAAGAAAATTAAGCAAATAAACTTTAAAAAGAATGAGAGAAAAAACAAATCGCATTTAGGGGCACTTTTGGGTATTATTATTATAATTTATTATTTTATTTTTATGTGTTTTATAGGTAATACAATTGAAAGCTTGAAAAGACCTTTTGAAAATCGAGTTAGAGTTAGGATAATTTCCCCAATATAATAGTTAGAAAGAAAGGAGTGACTAGCAACATAAATATCAATAATTAATTGAGATTAAGTGCGGAACTCGTTTTGGAATATCAGTTAATATTATCACCCAATATTAATTACTGATAAGCCTGGAAATCCAGTGGCGATAGTGAGTCTGTTTTGGGGATGATGGAATTTGATGGGCCAATTTGGAAGCCAACTTATCGGAGGCCAGCTGTCGCTGATACCATTTAAATGCTTGACTCATTTAAATGCGGTCAATTACATAAGTGCCCCATAAGTGCGATGATATATAGTCGTGGAAAAGTGCGTGTGAATGAATGAATGGCAAATGGGGTGGCAAAACTACTGATGATCAGTTTCCGTCGCAGGAAACCCCCAATACTAACGAAATGAAAACCAAATCAAGCTTGAAACAAAGTCCCAAAACAATGGCTAAAGTGGAAAGATCAAAACGATATATAGAACTTGAACTGTACAAAATGAAACAAGTTGGGCGATCCAATCGAATATAGGTATGTGTTTATATGTATCGTATAAGACTGAACAAACAAATTTGCATGACAACGGGTGCGAGCGATGTTGGGAATTGTTGTTTACTCATTAAATTAAATTATTTACCCGCCGAATACATGATTTTGGTGGCAGGGGAAGAGCAGGTTGAATGTCTTGAGGGCAGTTTTTGGAAGTCGATCGATCGCCGATCCCTCAGGAGTTGCTATCCTGATGATCCTGCTGATCCTCCTCGAGTCCTGGATTTTTCGGCACTTTCTCGGCGGCTGCGCAGCGGCACCGACTTCCATGCATAACGATTTTCGGACTGCCGGCAGCCAGAAAAGAGAGCGTTTGATGCAGGATAAAAGAAAAGCTCGTGGCTCCACACACAAAAAATATATATATATATTTAAATTTGAAAAAAAAAGAAAAAACGAGACTGCAACACACAGAGATTCACTAGCGAACGATGATGTCAGAGGGAAAAATATAGACGTAGAGCCAGAGAGGCTAAATATGCGTACGCTCGCGTTGTTTGGCGATTACTGAAAAAACTGAAAACAGAGGCAGAAATACACATTTCGGGCTTGCCAGCCACAATAAACTGATTGCCCAAATAGGCGTGCAGCAGAACAGTGTCCAGAGATCGTGGGAAACTAAGTAAAATACCCACTTTTTTGTGACATTAAAACCCGGATAAAAGTAGAACAATTAACCTTGATGTAGGAAAATATTACTTTCTTATTATGCTGGCAAAGAAAATAGCTCAATTGGCCTAAATTTAAAGAAATGGTAAGCTTTAGACACCAACTTGTATTTTATTTCAAGCAGAAGTAATTAAAAATTTAAAAGTTAATCATTTTTCAATATTTTTTTATAAAAATATTATGTTGGAAAATTTTTTAAAAATTCCTAACTAACTGATATGATTTTTTACCACTCAGAATTATACTACCAAATGCCACTGTAGTCATATAAATATTAATATTGAAAAAAAGCAAGCGAACAAAACCACTTTTTGCTCATCTTACAGAAATAAATCCAAACAGTCGATTGTGGTTTAGAATTCGGATTCGTTTGTGTAATTCAAAGATTCGACATCTATATGTTGTTATACACAGCTTCTAATGCACTGCGATAAGAGGCTTTTTTTCTTAATTTTGACAATGATAAAATATCTCAAAATATTTTTAAAAAATCTTAAAAACCAAAAATTAATTTCTCCTTTAATTGTAGAAAATTAAGTGTTTCGAATTAGTAAGATGGCAAAGACCAAAAAGACCCTTAAATCTTCTAATTATGATAAATCCATCTATGGTCAAGCTAGAACTAGAAATTTTCTGATTTCTAATTTTTGTAATAAAGAAAGACCAGTACCTTAACTAGCACTAGGTCACATTGTTCTAGCCGTTAATGCATTATTTTCTTGGGAAAATGTTCTGCCGAACCAGAAACAGCCAGAATCGTTAACCTTGACGGAGCAACCGAATTCGAAATCCCTGGGTGCACACGAATAATTTTTGGGGCCAGAAGGGATTGGTTTAACATGTTGGCGGCAAAGGTAAAGGTCAAGTTTCTCCGTTGATTGTTGACAAATCAAAGTGCGAAATGGGTTCTCGCATTCGAATCGTATCTATAAGAACGAAACCTGTTTGGCATACATATAATATGTCTGAATGGAAATGGAATCCATAAAAAAAGTGGGAGGAACTAGTCCAAGACACGCGAAACGGGGAAATACGCCGGAGAAAGCCATGTTCCCGAAATCATGATGATGATGAGATTCCCGGTGATATGATGATGATATATCATCATGATATGATAATGCCGATGATGCACTACACCTTCGATTCTGTCTATGTGGACATTTCTATTTTTAGCTAACTGCAGTGGCCGCAAATAAACGGAATGCCAGCCGGTGGAATATTGGATAGTATAGCTATATAATGTCGAGATCTTGGTTAGGAACAAGGCGTTAGTTTAGCTGGCAACGTGATAATACCAATCCATTTGCATTTTTTTTTTTTGGAACTCACCTGGTTTGTTGTCGTTGGCTGTTGTAGTTAGTTGACGGCCAGGGCCATTTCCAGTGCCTTCCAAATGCTTCCCACGCAGTCACGCCTTTCGCACAGCCCGCAGGCAAACAGTGTAGATCGCAGGGGAAGAAGATAAACCGCCAGCAGCACTTGTTTTTATTAATTTATTAATTTACTTTACTTTACGCGTTCGAGGCCAGCGTTGCCAGATGCACTGGCTTATCCAATCAGCTGTTGAATGGTTAATCGCATTGCCTATCGATAGGTCATCGGTGATATAATAGGCAGGTTCCACTGGATTAAAAAATTAGTAAAAAACTAATAAACTCTGAAAATACAATTATTATGCCGTAAAACACTTAAAACGTCTATAAATTAGGCAGTTTATAATTTATGTTTTCCCTGTGAATAGGCTATAAAGAACTGTTTTCACTTTCACAAAACAGTGACTTGAGTCTATTCGATAGCAGTGACTTGCTTTGACTGCTTTGCCATCCCCAGTAATGTTTTGATACGTCGTTGTGAAAGATTAGAAATACGTCTTGATAAATTTGTGCAATAAATTGAGGCTGGCTGGAGCATCCTGGATGAAAGCGAGGCGCCATGGTGTACATCGACCATAGTGAGTTTGCAGCAACCAAAAATGTAATATTCTTTTAACATTTTGATTTTATTATGATTCAACAGATGGGCGCGTGTGGGAGAAGCGTCCTTGGGATTGGCGACGGATAGTGGAGCTCTTTGTGGGGATATGGTTTGCCATTAAGCAGCTGTAAGTGTTAAAAAACGTACACAAGTGTTGAAAAGCGGTTAATAAGGCACGTTTTCCCTGCAGATTCCTTACCTTCCTGGCTCCCTTCACGGGCACCGATAACCAGGCCAATCCACGTCGTGGAAATGGATGGGGTAGTGGCGGTGGTGGCGGCGGTGGATGGGGTGGTGGAGGAGGAGGAGGCGGCGGTGGCGGAGGAGGTGGTGGAAGACCTGGAACAGGAGGTCTAAGGCCAAACCGCCGTATTGGACGCATCCAGCCGTCAATGAGCTGCAATATGCCAGCGGCGGGTGGATGAGGATAGTAGCGACATCCGGTTCCCAAAACTCTTTTGGGAGGATGTCGCGCCGACAAGAGGCTGGTCGCGTTAAGCAGCAACCCAAAGGACTCGGAAATCTCGGTTTATCTCGCCCCCGTGGCGCCCATGACGCAGCCCTCCTAAACTCGAACTCGAGCGGAGTGCTGCTGAACGTGATTAATCACTGATTTCTGAGTCGCTGCTTACGTGGCCGTCGTCGGTCCTATGAACTTATGAACAAGCTCCAATGTATTTACAGGTTTCATACAAAAAACATGTGTTGTTATTCTGACGAAATGTTTAAATAAAAACCAGGACTAGCTTTTGCAAAACCCCTATTTTAATACAACCAGAAAGGATTTTTTTACATTTTCCGTTAATATAAAGTTAAAATTTAAAATTATCCTTAAAATGGTATTATGGTATAGTACCTCTAGCCTTTCTGATTTGAAAATAAAACATAAAACTGGATTAATAGAAAACTGTGATTTTCGAATGACATCACCGCAGGCCAGCCGATAGTTGGTATTCGTTTGTAGTAACATCAGCTGCTTTGTTCGCCCATCCCTAAACACCACGTCAAGTATATAATTTTGTATACAATCTTAAAAATTTTGTTTCGGTTCCAGATTGGAAATATTTCAGGAAATCGACAAGGTCTTGCACGCTGATTGGGCTGCATTATGGCGTACGTGGATCAAAGTAAGTGGAAATGGATGATCATAAGGAATCCAGTGGGCAAAACGCTTTGTTTTGCAGGTGGACGCCTCTGGGAGAAGCGTCCTTGGGACATGAATCGTGTTTTGGCCCTATTCGTGGGCATCTGGTTCGCCATCAAGCAGTTGTGAGTTGAGGACAATGGATTTTCCAAGTTCAGGGTGTTTGAACCCAGCACCTTCTTTGCAGATTCGTATCGTTCCTGGCTCCATTCAGCGGTAACGACAACAACGGTGATAACTCCCGTCGCGGAAATGGATGGGGAAGTAGCAGCTGGGGCGGAGGAGGCGGTGGAGGAGGTGGTGGTGGTGGCGGAGGTGGCGGTGGAGGAGGCGGTGGTTATGGCGGAGGAGGACTACGACCAAACCGACGAATTGGGCGCATACCACCGCCCTCCCAATCCTGCAGTGCCGGAGGATGCTGCGGTTAGACAATTATTCAAAGCATTTTGGCCCTAAGAACTGCAAAACCAAAATACTACACTACTTTACTTTGGAACACCCATCTCACCGCCGTGATGCAGCAACTAAAGTTTATAACTTTCTGTTTCAAATATATATTATAACTCGGTTTTAGACATAAGGTGGGGGATTCACGAAGCAAGACTCGAAACGGCATAATATTGTCCAATAAACTTCCTAGTTTCTCAACTCACAATGAATAAAATTTTTTTGGATCTTATTATTTTTCAGTTAATAATAAATTTATAACTTTGCTTATTGGTAATTTTTCAATACTTTCTCAAAACATTTTATTTATTAATCACAGTAACTAGAGGGAATACCCCAAATGTTTTTCTTGCAACTGCACAAACTGCGATCTGGCAACACTGCCCGGAACATATGTTCAGAGAAAAAGCACAGATGCGGCGCCTGGTGCGAAATTGGAATTGCCGATTGTTACTCAACGCCAAATCCGGCCAAGAAATCGTGCAAACTGGATATGCCGGCGTCCATCAGCAGGCCAAGTCCGAGTCCGAATCCTGTGCCCAGGAGAAAGGCGGAGGAGCACGAGCGGCGGATAAGAATGGTTATGCGGCCAAGCACTGCATGAGTTTGGTGGAGTAAGTAGTCCGAGTCGCGGATTCAATTGCTCCCTAATCCTAATCCCTGAATCGTTGCCTCTTTTATTTCAACCAGGAAGTACGACCACGAGAACTACCTGTGCACCCTGCTGCTTCCGAGGGAGCTGCGCCGTGCCGCCTTCGCTCTGCGGGCATTCAACGTGGAGGTCTCCAGATCGGTCAGCGGTCATGTGAGTGGATCTATAGGGATTTCTGTATAGCTCGGCAGGAACAGATGATTTCTCCATCAGTATTAGCTTTCCCGATATCCATTTCACATATTCCCACAGAAGTTCCTGAGAAATGTTCGCTTTATCCTGCTTGAAAGTCCATAAGCCTTAAACATTCTTGTCCTGAGTTCTGTATAATCCATGATTTTATCCACTTTCCATGGGTTTACCATCTCCCATCTGTGATTTATCCATCAGTATCAGCTTCCCCGATATCCATTTCACATATCCCAACAGAATGTTCACTTTATCCTGCTTAAAAGGCCATAAATCTTTAACAATCTTGTCCTGAATTCTGTATAATCCATGATTTCATTCTCTTTCAGCAAATCGAGCCGCAAATAGCTCGAATGCGACTCAAGTTCTGGCACGACTCCATAGACAAATGCTTCGAGGCCGAGACGCAGCGATCCTATGCCGAGGACCAGCCCGTCCTGCGCGAACTCAAGCACACGGTGGGCAGCCGCAAGCTGAACAAGGTCTACCTGCGTCGCCTGGTCACGGCACGCGAACGTCCGGCCAGCCAGGGATTCGAGTCGATACGCGAACTCGAGGAGTACGCCGAACAGGCCTTCTCCTCGCTGCTGCTCCTGCTTTTGGAGGTGGGCGGAGTGCGGGACCTGCAGGTGGATCACGCAGCCTCCCATTTGGGCAAAGCCCAGGGAATCGCCACCATGCTGCGGGCCATTCCGCTTGCGGGACGCCAGCAGGCGGTCTGCGTGCCGCTCGAGGTGCTCGTGCGGCATGGCGTCAGTCAGGAGCGCATCATACGCTCCAAAAGCGACGACAAGGGCGTCGAGGAGTGCATATTCGAGGTGGCCAGTGCCGCCAACACGCACCTAAAGCTCGCCCGGCAGCTCCACGAGCAGGTGTCGCCCCAGGTGCGCAAGATCTTCCTGTCCGCCGTGGCCACGGATGCCTATCTGGAGCGCCTGCGTCGCGCCAACTTCCTGTGAGTTTCTAGGGGGAAACTATAGCTATTTCTTTATGTAGTCAATCTTTTTTATATTATTTAATGCCTTGGTTATCTAAAATTTGTTCCCATTCCATAGGCTAACCCACAAGAGCTGCGTAGGACGCGACTCCCTGCTGCCCGCACGTCTTTTCTGGAAGTCCCTGCTTAATCGCTACTGATGGCAGTTAATTTAGTAGTAGTTTAGGCTTAATGCCTCATTGTTGACTTCTTTAATTAAAACTGTTTTAAAATGACTGTAAAGAAAATCTCTGGTATCGATGGAATCATTTTTCTCAAGTTCTTAAAGCTACAAGAGTTAATTTTTTAATTTATTTTGGTCTATTTGTGATTGTTTTATTTAATAATTGATTTTTTATTTTATTATGTTCGTATATTTATTAATATTTCCGAGACCCATTTAAAATCAAACAAGAAAGAAAAAGTTCTTAAAGCTACAAGAGTTCATTTTTGATTTATTTTGGTCAATTAGCGATTATTTTATTTCATAATTTATTTTGTTTGTTTTATTATGTTCTTATATTTATTATTTCCTAGTCCCATTTAAAATCCATCTAGATTCTAGAACTTTATTTTTTTTTATCATAATAGCAAATGAATGAAAATATGGGATTCAGTAGAAATAAAAATTCAAAAAGCATTGGAACGTTAGAACTAATAAAATAAATATTGAAAAGAGGGTTAAGGTTCGGAAGGAATACTATCGATGACAGGTGATCCAAAGATGATATCGGAGTGGAGCAATACGATACCCGAATATTACGGTAGTTGCTAGCTGATTTCAGAGCGTTTCAGGCGCACTTTTAGTTTATTTTTTATGAATGTTAGAATTGATGTGGAAAGTGTGTGTTGGGCTGGAATATTTTTGAAAAACGGAGCAGTGCAAGGAACGCTCAACAAGATATAAGCACCGTTTTTGTTCTTTCTTCCCGTTTCCGTTTTTGGTTCCGGGAAAATTGCAACGCCCCCGCATTTTGAGCATAGTGAGTTTTCTCGATTTGCATTTTTTTTTAATCTTACGATCAATTACCATACCATTTTATATCCATATTTATTCCATTGTCTCTATTTTTAACTATTTTTCTATTTTTTCAAGTTGCCGGGCTCTTTTCCCCTTTTTATTTTGCCCACATTGCGTTGCAATTTCGGGGCTCTTCGCATATAACGGTCCTTTTTCACCGCCTCTTTCACACACAAGAACGGGGGAAAGAAAGAAGAGAGAGAGAGAGACCGCGAAATAATATACGTGTGGAACTACGGTACTTTTACACTGGTGGCCGTAAAAAGTGAAAGTCAGCCTAAATATTTAAAAATCCTGAAATGAAATAAAGTGTTAATAAAGAATTAGTAAAGCCTAAAGGTAAAAAAGAAAACAAAACAAAAAAAAAATAAAAATTATAAAAATACACAAAAGACATCACAAACATAACTAAACAAAAACCAAAAAAAAAAACTATAAAATAAAAAACAGAAAGTTTTCGAACTCCAAAGGAAACTAAAAAAATAAAAAACATAATTTAAACCTAACTTAAATCTAGCACTAAGCAGCGATTCGTGCCGAGCAATTTTTTATACCCAAAACTCGAGCCACGATAGCCCCCCAAATAAACAAACTCTATGTTCACCACCCGAATAACCGGCGAAATGAAGATCTTTGCCGCCGATGTTGCCGAGAGCAGCGCAACAGCGGCATGCAACACGCCCGTGCAGCAGCAGCAGCAGCAACTCGAGTTCCGTTCGCGAATGTCCAACGGATCGCCCGGTTCCAAAGCGGGACAATGTCATCTGAAGTTCGGCAAGTACAACAACAAGACGGCCAATCTGCTGCGCCAGGTAAACAGTTGTCACAGCAGCAACAGCGGCAACAACAACAGCAGCAGCAGCAACCTTAGCAGCAGCAACAGCGAGGCCAATAAGGGCCAGCAACAGCAACAGCCACTGCACTATTGCAACAACAGTCACTCGTGGGCACGCAAAAAATACTTTGGCAACGTCAGCAGCAGCAGCAGCAGCAGCAACAACTTGCAACAGCAGCAACAACAGCAGCAATCTGCGTACTACCAGCGACAGCAGCAGCAGCAGCAGCAACACCAGATTCAGCAGCAACAGGATCAGCAATCTTTAAACAACAACAATGTGCTGATGAAGAATCAAAATAGCATACAACCGCTGATGCCAGATTGCAAGTCCAGCGACAGCAACAACAACTGCAGCAGCAGCAGCAACAGAATGTCGGCAAAGCCAGCCAAGTGGCTAAGCGACAGCAACAACAGCAGCAGCAGCAACATCAACACCATTAGTACTAAGAAGCGCAACTCATCGGCGGCAGAGGTAAATGCAGGATACTATCGCAAGGTTTCGGAATCTGGAAACTCTGTGGAAGCTGCGGCCGAGATGAGGGAAACGGATGCAGCTGCAGCAACAGCAACAGATGCCTGCCACAACAGAAGTCCTTCGACAGCAGAGACCACTGGTAGGGAAACCTCCTTGGCTAAGACCCAGGATCCGGAACAGGATCAGACAAATCAGGCGAAACAGCGACCCAGGCAGCAACCTCTCAGCTTCTGGAAAACCAATTACCCGCAGCCAACCGCCAGCCAGCTGAAAGATGTGAGTGGATGACTGTAAACTGCAATTTAAAACCATTCACAAATGACTCTTACTGCATCGTTTGCAATTTAAAACCATTAAACCGTTAAAACAACTGATGCATCCTTTACAATTTATAATATTTAAATGGTTTTAAAATGTTTTATTCTTAATGAAGATGAAGTACATTTGCTTTAATTAGGCTATGATTTTATACACATTTTTGAATATATTATTATTTGTTATTTTAAGATGACTGTAAACGATGCAGCATCCTTTACAATTTACAATATTTTAATGGTTTTAAAGTGTTTTATTTTAAATGCAGATAGAGTTCATTTGCTGTATTTTAGCAATGACTTAATTTTTCTATATATTAATATTTATTATTTAAAGATAACTGTAAACGATGCAGCAGCTACACAAATGACGCATACTTTACAATTTGCAATATTAAAAAGGTTTTAAAATGTTTTATTTTTAATGCAAATGAAGTTAACTTGATTTTTGCTTTAGTTAAGCTATTTATGTATATATTATTATTTATTATTTAAAGATGACTGTTAACGATGCAGCAGCTACATAACTATTGCATTGCTTACACTCATATTTTAAGGGTTTGAAATTGTTGTATGTTTAATAATAATTAATAGTTTGTCTTTATTTATTTTTATATTTTTCAATATATTTTTTTATTTCCACATTTCAGAAGGAGACGGTTGCAGCAGTTGTATCAGCCGCCGCAGCCGCTGCCTCCGAACAGCAGCAGCAGCAGCAGCAGTCGTTGTCGTTCGAACACCGGCGCAACTCGGGCTACCAGCAGCAACACCAGCAGCACAACAACTACTATCAATATTACTATTCACAGCCCAAGCAGTTGACCATTGCCTCGTTCCTGCAGAAGGAACTGCTGCCCGATAGTAGCGGCGAAAAGGCCAGTAGCAACAGCAACAGCAACAGCAGCAGCAGCAACAGCAATCTCATCAGCAGCAACAGCAACTACTCACGGCAGCAATATGGCCATCAATCGGTGGGTTCTGGCTACCAGCAGCGCTACCGCAATGCTCAGAGTGTCTACCAGCAATACCAGCAGCAGCATCACCAAGCACAGCAGCAACATTCCCATCAGCAGTTCCGTCGGAAGCACGGCGACAACAGCAACAGCAGCAGCAACCATGGTAGTGGAATCAATCAGAAGAAGATGCACTACAGCCCCACGGGAAAGAATGGTGATCCCGTGGAGAGATCCTCGAGAGATCCTGGACAGCAGCAGCAGCAGCATCACCATTTACACCACCAGCAGAAGACAATCGAGATCCTGGCCAGCAGCAACTTTAATGCCATGCACCGTCGCATGCAGGGCGGTAATAATAACAAGAATGGCTACTATCAGCACAACAACTATCATCCGCTGGCGGGGGAAAGCGGCACCACGCCCACTCGTTCGGAGCACCAGAACATCTACAATCTCACCTACGTGCATGTGGACATGGAGGCATCATCCTCGGGAGCAGGAGGCGATGCAACACCGGTGGTCAAGCCGAGCATTTCCATAACGCCGGCTGCCTCTTCCTCGGCGGCAGCCACCACGCCAACCACTGTGGTTGCTCCTCCGCTTCCACCGCCGCATCCACGTAACATGTTTGGGCCGCCACCGCCACCGCTGGTAATGCAGCTACATGTCTCACCGGTCAGCACGCCAACGCCCACCAAAATGATCAGTTGTGCCCAGTTGGACGAGGCCATTACGTCGGCGGCGGCGACGGCCAGTGGTGACCAGAACTTGGCCACGAGTCCTGGCTACAATCAGGCTGCAGCTGCGGGTTCCTTTATAACTATTCCGCCGCAGCAACAGCAGTCGTCTCATCCACAGCCACCGCCACCGCCGCCGCCGCTGCCGCAGATGTTCCACTTTCACTTTGCCGAGGGGTTCTGCAATCCGGTAGCTCCTCCGGGACCTCCTCATCCGCCCGTTTGGCCGCATTCAGGTTCGCCCTGCTACCAGGTGCCAGCAGGTACTTCTCCTCATAATAAAGATGTGAGTGCTGCGGTTGGTTTGCGGCCCGTTTCGCCAGCTCTTTCGTCCTCCTCGCTGGGCAGCGAGTCGCATTGGAGCAGTCGCTTGAGCCACGGAGGTCATGGAAGTCACGGAAGCCATGGAAGTCACCTCTCCATTTCGCCCACTCCCAGTGCTCAGTTGTCGCCGCATCCGCTGCAGCTAGCCAACCACCATGGGCATCCCCATGGGCAGATGAATGGGCATGCAATGAGCTCGTATTTGCCGCACCGACCACCACCTCCTCCACATCCTCATGCGGCCATCTCATCGCCGACGCCAGGCGCCACAGGTTCGGCTCCCTGGTACGAGCTGCTCCTGCCACCCGATCGCTACTTGGCCCAAGCCCGCAACGTGGAGGTGGCCGTCCAGCCGGAGAAGCTCATTTGCATGTGCAAGTACGATAGCCTGTCGGCGGAGATCTGGAAGAGATTCCGGGCAGCCCAGCAGACGCACAAGAAGTTCAAGGTGAAGATGCGTCTCTGGCGGTACCTCTTCCTCTGGATGAATGTAAGAAACTGTTTAAAATATATAGAATAATTATATAAAATATAAAATCATTTTTACCATCTGTAGCAGCCCATGTTTGAGCGGTACCGCATCTGCCTGGTGGGCTCGACCATTACGGGCTTTGGCACGGACTCCTCGGACATCGACATGTGTTTGCTGCCCGAGCAGGGGGCACATCCTCACCAGCAGCAGCAGCAGCACTACCACCAGCAGCACCACCACTTCCACAACGAAAAGCGCACCGAGGCGCTGATCATCCTCACTTTGTTCAATGCGGTCCTGAAGGACACGGGTAAGGGTATCGAAATTTCGATATTTTCGATAGATTTTCAACATGGATGTTGATCGGAAACATCAATGTTTTTTCTAACATTTTATTAAAAACAATATTATAATGATTTTTTTTAGATTTTGCTTTTTTCCTTGCAAACGTCGCTTTTAGCGATACGATATTTTGTAAACATCGACGTTTATTGGAAAAATCGATGTTTTTTGACATTTTATATTGTTAAAATATCGAAAATATCGATATTTTAAATATCTTTTGCAGAGGTCTTCCAAGACTTCAATCTGATCGAGGCGAGAGTGCCGATTTTGCGCTTCAAGGACGTCACCAATGGAATCGAGGTCGATCTGAACTTCAACAACTGCGTGGGCATTAAAAACACCTATCTGCTTCAGCTCTACGCACAACGTAAGATTCTAGCCAAAGGATTAAATCTAATGAAATGTGTTATTTGTTTAAATGAATGTTTTCCAATCCAACTTCCTATATGTATGTTCTTCTTGAGTGCCTGTCCTGTACGTTCTAAATACGTCCTAGCAATAATTTTATAAGGAAATTTATACTTACAAGTAAGTATTATTTTGATAAATAAAAGTTAAGCAACAATTAGTGATAAAATTTAATTTTTTAATTATCAAGACAGTTTGTGTTATGCGTTCGTTTGTTCAGTATCATAATATTTAATATTTAAGCTTTTAATTTTACATTACATTTCATATTTCAGTGGATTGGCGGACACGACCGCTGGTGGTGATTGTGAAGTTGTGGGCCCAGTACCATGATATCAACGACGCCAAACGCATGACCATATCGAGCTACTCGCTGGTGCTAATGGTCCTGCACTATCTGCAGCACGCCTGCGTGCCCCATGTGCTGCCCTGCCTGCACACTTTGTATCCGGAGAAGTTCCAGCTGGGCCAGCAGGATTGCCTTGACCTAGACCTCATCGAACCCATCGAGCCCTACCAGGCGCTGAACAACCAGACGCTCGGCGAGCACCTGCTGGGCTTCTTCAAGTACTACAGCACCTTTGAGTGAGTCCAAAAAATGTTCCTAAAAGTTATGGGATTTGTTAGTATAGGTCGTTAGCTGTTCAAAACAGTCGGTCCTTTAGCTGTAGGCCTTGAATTGTCTAAGCTACGACTAAAAAAAGGTTGTTTTCGTCGAAAATTCGAGTATTTTGTCAATAACAATTGAAATAATGATCATCATTCCCAATCGATTAGCATTCAAACCTAGAAATTTTTAAATTTTATGATTTTTCGCAAAAAATTCGTTAGTATAAGTCGTTAGTTGTTCAAAACAGTTGGTCTTTTAACTGTAGGCCTTAAATTGTCCAAGCTACAACTTAAAAACCATAAAAAATTACTATTTTGTCTTGCCACCCTGAAATATCACTATTTTGGCTGTAACAATGGGAATAATGGTCCAAATATGGAATGTCATACCTTGCTGAGCTCGTAATTTTATCCCCAATCGATTGGCATTCAAACCTGGGAAATTTTAATTTTTGTAATTTTTTGGAAAACATGATGATGGTACCCCTTATCAAAAATGCGAAAATTTGATCAAAAATGATTTTTTTTTAAATCGCTTAAAAAGTACACGGATATTATTTATTGGGTCGTTAGCTGGTCAAAACAGTAATCCTTTTTGATATCGGATAATTTTTGTACAAGTTACAGCCAAAAAACGGTAAGAAAAATACTATTTTTATCAAAAATCAAGATCCTGATTTTCCACCCAAAAAAATCAGTATTTCGACCATAAAAAGGTAAATAATGGTCCAAATATGGAATGCCATACCTTGCTGAGCTCGTAATTTTATCCCCAATCGATTGGCATTCAAACCTAAAAATGTTTCATTTTTGTCATTTTTCGCAAAAATGATGATGGTACCCCTTATCAAAAATGCGAAAATTGGGTCGAAAATTAATTTTCTCAAATCAGTCGGAAAGTGCACTGATATTAATTATAGGGTAGTAAGCTGCTCAAAACAGTACGCCTTTTCGATTTTGGAGCATTTTTGGCCAAGTTACAGCTAAAAATCTGTTAAAATGATCCAAGTTTAACCCACGATTTCTGATTTTCTTGTTTCTGTTTCAGCTTCCGGAACTATGCCATCTCCATACGAACTGGCGGCGTGCTGCCGGTGGCCACATGTCGGATGGCCAAGAGCCCCAAGAACGATGTCTACCAGTGGAAGGAGCTCAACATCGAGGAGCCCTTCGATCTGTCCAATACGGCACGATCCGTCTACGATTATGCAACGTTTGAGCGTGTGAAGGGTGTCTTTCTGGCCTCGGCACGACGCCTCGATCACACCCTCGATTTGGCCACCGTCTTTCGGCCCATTCGACCACCCGAGACCTTTTCCCAACAGCAGCAGCAGCAACTGCCCTATCCAAATCCCGGCCAGCAGCGGAGTGCAGGAGGAGGAGGAGGAGGAGGTGCCGCTCCAATGTCCAGCAAATTGATCCCAGATGCAGCCACAACCTTTGCCGAAGCGACGGCAGCGAATGTCGCTTAGTTACTTGCAGAAAATATGAAGAAAATCAAAGGATATACAAAAGAATGTCCAAGAATGTTAGAGAATCAAAACGAGAAACCTACCTCATAAATGAAAATTCGAGAGGAGCAAAAAACGAGAAACCAAAATTGCAATAGAATTTCCATTTGAATGCTTGCCTATCTTGTTAAATGTTATTATATTCAACTATTTATACTTTTATACACTCGATTTGTTTTATCGGATCCCAATTAATCATTGTAAACATCCACGGAGGTTAAACGGTGTGCGATGTTCGTGTCCCTCCTCCTGTGGCGTGTATGTAGTATCCTTTTGAAAAGCGAAAATGTCACCCGAAAATGTAAAATTGCAAGTTCTGTAAAATAAAGTAACAACAACAGATGTTCCCAATTAAATACACACTTTCCTTATTTGTTTCTCGCAAGGGAAAACTTAAATTCTTTATTTAGAATTTCCAAAAACAAAAAATGTTTCATTTTCTTGAATCAAAGAGTCGCGTGGGGAAGAAATAACTCACAATATATAGAAAAAATATACCATTTTCATATCGTTTTAAAAACAATTAACAGGCATCTGTAACTGCATTAATATTATTTTAAAATATTAACCTTTTTTTTCTGATCGTTGACCCTTCACATTTCTTTTCGGTTGGGCATGTTAATTATTGTGTAAATGGGCGATTTTTTTTATTTGGGTTGGAAGATCGCGAAGCGATTTTCCGGTTTCCAATCTGCGCTGGAAATTTGCATCCGCTTTTTGGGGGATCCGCCAGCGTTCCCGTGCGATTTAAAATTGTTTATTCATATCTTTTGAATTTGATTTTCTTTCGTCCTGATTTTATACGTTTTTTCTTGTTTTTTTTTTGGGTGTGTGTGTTTTTGTTTGTTAGCGATTAACAAATGCATACAGAAATCGAAAAAAAGAGTCCAAAAAATGTACGAAATTTACAACATTTACGGCAATATGGTGGGGAAATCGGTGTGAGTGAACCGTTTGTGTTTCTGTTTTGATTTGGTTTCAGTTTCTGTTTCGGTTTCGGTTAAGTGGGAAAGAAGGTTTCGAGCAGGAGCTAAAGATTGGCTGCTGCACTGGAGGCCACAAGAAGGTTTTTGGAAGGTAAGCCACTTGGTGAATACGTGTCTCCTTTGCGGGAGTTCATTGCGTTCATTGCGCGCCTAAGGCTCAGGCTCTCCTGGTTGCGAGTCCTGCGTTGGCAAGTTCAAAAGGGGAATCGTGTCGAGAAGTTTGTCCATCGTCGTGGCCCATCCATCCATCTCCTGACGGATGAGCTCCTCTCTTTGGAGCGCACTCGTGATGGCCAGTGGCCATTCGTGGCCCGCGGCGTTTCGGGAACATCTGCTTCGGTGCCTCAGTGGCTGCAGCAGTGCCTCTCCTCTTCTCTCTAAAATACACTCCTCATCTCGTTACCACCTTCTCTATCTTCATTTCCATTTCCATCTCAATTTAATATCCCGCTCATGTGCTCATGTTCCTAGGTCGCATTGTCGCATTTGTTCCCGCATCTGTCGTTGTTCCCGTGATAGTCCTCTTCGCTCGGTTCCTGCCTGCCGCCTACTGATGCTACTCCTTGATGATGACTTCAAAGTTGAGTTTCTTGTTGTTTGTTGTTTCGTTTGGGTTTGCTTCTTCTGTTTATCGTTTGTAGTTGCTGCACCTCCGGCCGGATTCTCAATAAGGCTGCGAGAACTGATTCAAACTGCGTTCGCCCGACTGCAAAAAGGGATAAGAATGTAAGCAAAATGATTGTTTAGTTAGTTACTAGAGTCCTGCATGAATGAATTCAATGAATTTTTTGTTTTATATGAATGAATTAATTAAAATTTTGAGTTTAATAAAAATGAATGAACTTGAATTTTGAGTTTAAAAGAATTGAAAGAATGAATGGCATGAATTCCAAAATAATTCAAACGACAATTTCTTTTGAAGAAGAAAGGGCCATCATTTTGTGGTTAAATCTGCCTGAATTTTATTTACTATGCAGTTTACACTGATTTGTTAAAAATGTTTCACTTTTTGTTCTTAAAAGAAAGCACAATAAATTTTTGGCAAATTCATAAAAATTATTCATTCATTCATTCAATTCGAAATGATTTAGAAAAACATAGAATTGAATTAAACAAATCAGAAACTAAGTTTAATCAAAAATTTAATGATTCACGCAGGGCTCTATTAGTTACTTAACGAATTAGTTAACTCACCACATTAAAGGCCACATCCTGCGAGAGCAAACCGTCCATCTGTGAGATTTGCCCAAAGTCCTGCGAAAGTTCCGGCTGCTGGGAGAGAGCAAAGCCGCTGGGCTGCGTCATCTGCAGCGACAAAGGAGCAGGCTGCTGGCTGAACGGAGTGCCCGCTGTGCTGTTTGCCTGTCCAGCTCCTCCTCCTCCAGCTGCAGCTCCTCTTGCCTCCGCTGCTCCAATGGCACGCGATTTACCCACTGTCTTCTGGGATTTCTTATTATTTCCAGCCAAGGCGCCTGCAGCTCCTCCAGTGATTGCTAATCCCGGCGAGAAATTACCCGACTGCTGCTGCTGCATGGCCCTATTCTGCTTGGCCGCCATAATCGCCTGCTGGTGTTGATTGTAGAACCGCGGCGGCAGGTTGCTCATGTTCATGAACATGCCCACTGGAACGGGCATGTTGCCCAGGGCAGCTGCTCCGTGCTCGTTGGATATGTAGCCAATGGAGTCGTGATGCAGGTGGGCGGCTGCCCAGCTGGGTCCATTACCTCCTCCACCGCCGGCAGTTCCTCCTCCTCCAAAGTTGTTATTACCGCCCATCATTGAGTTGGCGGCACTTGGAACGCCGTATCCCAGGGGAGCTCCTCCATACGGCCCACCATTCATCGCCTGATTCTGATGCATCTGACGACCCTGTCCGCCGTAGCCACCGCTGCGATCGTAGATGGACCCGGGCACCATTACCTCCTTGGCATCGGCCATCATGGTGGACATGAAGTGCGCACCAATGTTCATGCTGTTCACCAGCTTCTTGGGCTTCTGGAAGTGAATGAGCGACTCTTTGAGGTTGTTTAAAGAGCCCTCGACCAAAACCTTGCGATCCTTGTAGAAGTTGAGCAGGTGATTCCACAGCTGCTGCTTGGCCAGCACCTTGGGATTGCCCACGATAATGATGCCGTATTTCGCACGCGTTAAAGCCACATTTAAACGCCTTGGATCGTTGAGGAAGCCGATGCCCTGCCGCTCATTGGAGCGCACGCAGGACATGATGATAATGTCCTTTTCGCGACCCTGGAACGCGTCCACGCTGGCTATTTCGATCTCCTGGTAAAGGCGAGAGTGCAGGCTGCCCTGGTACTGCATATATTGCACTAAGTACGCCCGCTGACCCTCATAGGGTGTGATAATGCCAATCTGTTCCGGCTTGATGCCCGCTTTCAGGAAACGCGTCGTGATCTTCTCCACATTGGCTGCCTCCGTACGGTTGAGGAATGAGGTTCCTGAGCCCGCAATCTCCTCCTGTCCCTGAGTGACCAAAAAGAACATGGGTCGCTCGGGCTGCGGCCATGGAAAGTCGAGCTTGAGGCGGCGATCCTCGGCACACACGCCATTCTGCAGCGAGCCCTCGTAGAAGAAGTTGGACGGGAACTGTGAGAGCTCCGGATGCATGCGATACTGCACCTCCAAACGAAACGGACGGATGCCCAGCACAACCAGGCGTTCAAACAGACTCTGCGAGAGGCCAGCACGCGCGGCCTTCTTGCACATGACCACCGGTCCCAGTTGACAGTGATCGCCGACGAGGATCAGCTGCTTGGCGCCCAGCACCACGGGCACCATGCATTCCGGCTCCGTCGATTGCATGGATTCATCTATCAGTATCGAGGTGAACTTAATCCTCGACAAGCGACCATCGCCGGCTCCCACGCAAGTGCAACAAATAACATCAGCTGCCTCGAGCAGTTGGTTCTCCGTGCCGCGCTTCAAGCTCCGATAGCGCTTCTCATCCGCCGAGCTCAGCTCGCCGGTCTCGTCCTTCAGCTGCTGCAGCTTCTTCAACTCCGAATTGGTCTCCATGTTGCGGATTTGATTGTGCAGCGCCAGGAAGCTCACCGGACTGTCGATGGCCTCGCGACTCTTGGCGCAAACGCGCACTACTTTCAGATTGGTGCGGTGAATCTTCTCGGTCAACTGATCAACGGCTGTATTGCTGGGTGCGCAAACCAAGACAGTGCCGCCATGCTGCTTTACCAGCTGGTAAACAATAGTAGCAGACGTTACGGTCTTTCCAGTGCCCGGAGGTCCTTGGATAAGCGAGAGAGGTCGCTGCAGCGCATGCTTCACCGCATAAACCTGACTGCGATTAAGGTCAGGCAGATGGGGGGCGCTATACAACTTAGGCTGCGGTCCACGGAAGAGCACCTCGTCGTTGGCATCGGGACGTCCATGGCCCAAAAGCCGCGAGTAGATGTAGTTCGATACCGAGTTGCGATCCATGGCAAAGTTGCGGAGAGCACGAGTCATGCGATCGAAGGAGGTGCACTTCCAAATGAAATCCACGGAGAAGTTTCCAGTGCATTTAACGGGAGCATTCGAGGAGGTCTTTAGTTCGAGACCCACATCATCGCCAAAATTATCCGGCACCTTGATCACATGGCCAATTTCCGACCAAGGATTGTACATTTCGCCCACATAGCGCAAACGCAGCTCATCGCCATGCATTAGCTTCATATCCGAGTCCGTTTTGGCCAGCGTAAAGTAGGCAATGGTCTTCTTGTTCAGCCCCACATCCCAGCGCACTTCGATATTCTCCTGCGTGGCCGACTCCTTCAGCTTCTTGTCGTAGTCCGCCTCCAGGCGTACGAGCGGTCCAAAGGTCTTCTCGTACTGATAGCCATCCTCGTAGCGCAGCAGCACTTGCGCCGGCTCCGAATCGATTCCAGGCTTCTCGAGATCCTGGAACGTTGCCTCGATATTGTCCTTCCACAGCTCCTCCAGCTTGTTGATCTGGGCGGCGGAAATCTGTCGCGCCCTCAGCTGTCCCTGCTCGCTGGGCTGCTTGACCAGCCAGGGGAGGAAACAGCGATCAGCAATCAGTGGCTTCCACTGCTCCTGATCCCAGTTCATGTCCTTCAGCGAGTTCTGGGCGGCGCAGGGCTGCCGGCAGAGCAAGACCACCACGGAATCCGCCTTGGCGGGTATGAAACCCAGGACGAACACGTTCCTCACGCCACACGAGTAGCATTCGAGTATGGTCTCGCCCAGTGGGCCTTCGCCATGGAGCGTCACCTCGCGATGCTTGGCCCGCACCAGATGATTGATGATGTGCGAACCGGAGGTGCTGCCGCGGCCATTGCAGAACCATTTGCGGCAATTGTTGCACATGACCACGGTGGCGGGATCATGGATGCCGCAGTATTTGCAGGCATGCGGCGGCAGCTCCTTGACATACGAACCTCCCGCCTCGTCGTCCTCCTCCTCGAACTGCAGGTCAGCGAGGTCATTGGTGATGCTGGCCAAACGGGGATGCACCGACGAGGAAGAGGGATCGGTGCGACGGGGCTAAAAGAATGGAGATGTAAATCTATAACTAGATAACTAGAGGGATAGGATTTCTTACCTGCAGCTCCAGCTGATCGTTCTGCGTCTGGCTCTGCGATGTGGAGGGCATGGTGAAATCCCGGTAGTCGTACTGCGTGGGCTGCGTATCCGCTCCGGGCAGCAGCTCGTTGTCATCCATGTCCAAAAAGGAGAGCGCCGAGCTGGGCGCGTACGTGTCCACGCTCATGGCGCCGAATGTGCCTCACCGAATCCTGTTAATCTTGAGCTGTTATTTAGTTAGTTAGTATATATGTTTAAGCATATTATGAGAAGCAAACCCACCTGCAATCCCCGCGAGGAGCACACGATTCCCAATTCACCTGGCGGAGGAGCGTGGCCGCAATGATTATGGTATGTAGATGGTATGACACTAACGTTTTGGCGCTTTCCTCGCGTGGCCAGCCAATGCAGAAGCCGCTTTTTCGCTAGCGCGGCTCTTGTGTGCTGTGAATCGTTTGGTTTTGAGCGTTCCACGTTCGGGAAACGCACGTAGGATCGAAAAAAGTGAGCAATTCTCGCTTGTTTCAACAAAATTTGCCCGGCCTGCCGCAGTGTGTCGGCTATAAGAAATTTACTATTTATGCCACCTGTATTACTCAAAACTGCGGAGATACGGTCTCACTCGACAACATTTTAATGAGCTAGCCAGTACACACACCTATCGATTGCCGCACAGTGGGGATAACTTTTGAATTGTTAAATTGAGGAATTTCTGTTAGTTCTTTGTGAGCTATCCCCAAAATTCTAGTAAGTAGGAAAAATTAAATTTTCACATTTAAATAAATACCTATTTTTACCGTGACAATGGAAATAATAGCCCAAATATGTAATGTCATACTTCGCTGAAATTCCTACAAAATTAGCTATCGAATAGCATTTGAGCCTGGTGATACTTTTGACACTTTTGTCCAAAGTTTTGGTGCTTATTTTCCGCCCTAAGAAAAGGTTTTTTGTCCAAAACAAAGCAAAAAATGGTCGAAATATGAAGTGCCATACCTTGTTGAGCTCGTTATTTAATTACCTATCGATCGGCATTTAAATTTTACAATTTTAATTTTTTGCCATTTTTCGAAAAAAATGATGATGGTACCTCTTATCAAAAATGCAAAAATTGGATCCAAAATTATTTTTTTTAATTCAGACGAAGTGCACTGATATTAATTATAGGGTTGTAAGCTGCTCAAAACAGTACGCCTTTTTGATTTTGGAGCATTTTTGGCCAAGTTACAGCAAAAAACACTATTAAAATAATCACATTTTACCAAAAACCCATTACAAAAAATTAAAAACAAAAATCTTATTTATTTTTTAATTGTTTCCTTTTGTTCTTCTTTACTTACAAAAAAACATATATATAAAGGCAATAAATAATGCTAGGAGAAAGGAACAAATAAGTAAATGGCAGATTATGGCACTCCATAAAATTAACTTGAGTTTATAAACCAGAAATAAATTCTTGTGATAGGGGTAAGACGAACCATTCCATTCTCCTTTGCGATTTTTCATTATAAAACGGGAATAGTTCGAAATTATTATTTTCAACCTAGAAAATACAACAAAATATTGAAATGATTGTAAGTTATTTGTTTCGTTCAGCTTACTTTTTCTGCAAGACATTTCCACACACAGTTAACTATAAAATTTATAGTAATATAGGTATGAATTCCAGTAACTATTCGTTGGAATTTTTAATATATTAAACAGAAAAACTCCTTACGGGAGAGCAGTATATGGCATAAATTTACTTGTGCTTCGGTCGAGACTCTGGATCCGTTTGAAAGTGCTGGTGATGTGAAAAGATTTTCTTACTCAAATCGAATACATTAACATACATAAATGTGTACGTTTGTACGGATGTGCATATTTTTATCAAATTTCTACAGCGAAATCCATCAGAAAATGCGCATACAGCATTTTAGATATGCACTGGGAATTTAAATCTGTGAACATTTTGGACTCAAATTAAAATGCAACTAAATCGAAACTTTGTTAGTGGGTATATTTATTTATTTATAATTTATTTCAGAATTGTTTTAGATTACACACATATTTTTGTAACCAAAAAGCGAATTAAATATGTAAGTTTGTTTATAAGGCTGTGTAGCATGTCGGAATCGCATATTATTATTATTCATTTAATTATTTTATCAATTACACTTATAGTATATGTCTTGGACGGATTAGTACTATGTTACGATAAAATTGATAATCATGAGAAAGTATTGTGTGATCATCCTTTCAAAAAGGCATCAATCCAATTAGGGCCCCTATATCATCGATCTGTAGTTTGCAATCTGTGATCTGCTGTCGTTTAATTAGGATACCTGTATCCGATTCCAATATTTATGTATCAGGAAGACGTTGCGTTTGGGAATACTATTCTGTAGTAATACTTTCATTTCAAACCTGCGTGTATATTTCAAAAGTATAGATCCTCGAACCTGTTCAAAATCGTGTGCATGTGGCAGTTTGATCTCTGTATATCATACATATATACATTTGTAACTAGAAACAAAATAGGATACCTAATTTCGACGATAACTGGAAAGGAATTATTATTTAAGTAATCAGAGAGTATAAGGATGCTAGGATGCCTCATGTTGTGACTGCTCATACAAATTTCCTATCAAAAAAAAAAGATCAACGGCAGCCTAACATCTAAAGAACACTTTTAACTAAAATTACAACGTTCACATTCACCATCTTTTAAATTATCTATCTTGCTCCTAACTTTCTTTCTTTAGAACATATTGGATTAAATGCGAAATCTCAGTTGGGAGTGTAGAACACACGGTTGGAATTACCACTTGAGAAAATTTGGAATTTAAGTGATTTCGATCCTTCGTTTACAGTGGCTTACTTTGTCAGGCAATTGTAATTGGCACGTTTGTTAATTATTGTAAGGTTATGTACTCATATGACCCATTAATGCGAATTAAATATAAGGTTCGATCCGATCTGCCTTCCATCCTCGCATCGCGATAAGAACGGGAATGGTAATGAGAATGGTGGCGGAACACGGGTCTGCAATATATAAGTGGAGTTTTTGTGTTCGAAAAACCCTTTTTTTGTAGGGGACTCTCCTACCACTTGCGCGGGGGCAAGGGCATCTCCTTCTCGGCATGGTAGACCCTTCGATGGGTCTCCACATATTCACTCTGCGTTTGGGTTTGGGCCAGAATTCGCTCGTCGCTCCTTGCGGCCCTCAAAGCCAGGGGCTGAAAATATAAATAGTAATTTAATATCAATATAATAAATAATATATGTCTTACTTCTATATCAGAAACTTAAATATTAACCTTTGTCAGCGTCTTTAAAACTAAAGCTAAGCTAAAAGGAGTGCGAAAGAGATGCAGTTATGCAAGTAGTAAATCAACTGCTTGCACTGCTTCCACTGATTTCATGCCATACATTACTCATAACTTGTTAATGAATAGTCCGATTTTAAAATTTTCTTCTACATTTCGATAGGTATTAATTCACACAGCCAAATGGTATTTGCACTTTTTTTTAGGTCGTTCTACTAGTAGCACAAAACAGATATGGAAAAGGAGAGCGAGGGAGACGCAGTTATGCAAGTAGTAAATGAACTGCATGCACTGCTTGTACAGATTGCTTTCCATAATTTGCTCATAACTTTTAAATAAATAGTGCGATTTTAAAATTAAAAGTTAGTAGTATAAAACAGTTAGGAAACCCACCTGTCTCGCCTGTCGCCTGGTGCGTGGAGTGCCCTCCGGGGAGGAGACCTCGCCCTCCGCCTCCATCTCGTCGGGGGCGGTCCAGTGCTCGGTGAACTCGCTGGCGGATCGGGCCAGCGAGGGATGGCTGAGGGAGCGATGGAAGGAGCGCCGGTCGTCGTCGTCGTAGTACTGCATCCGGTAATAGCTGCTCGCATCGCTCACATTGTCCGGATGGGCGTCCATCTGGGGGCGACCAAAGTCCACGGTCACCTCGGACATCGAGCGGAAGTCGTTGTGGTCCGTTTGGTAGGAGGTGCGCGAACTCCTCCGCGATCGCTGTAGGTTGAAGGGTCCCCCTGGGCCGGTTCCCGAAGTTCCCGGTCCTCCGTGCACTAGGATCATCCCCGGATCATTGCGAATGGTCCTCACACTCGATCCACCATCGCTGTCGTACTCATAGAGCGTGGGCAGCGAACTGCGGCGGGATCGGGTGTCCCAGGGCTGCGGCGATTGCTTCTTGCCCCGGCTGCCCTTGGGCATGCCCCTCATCTCCACATCGGGATCATCGTCACTGGGCGGGGCCAGGATCCTAATGATCACATCCCAGGTCTGCGGCTCGAACACATGCTCGTATCGGGTGTCCTGGCGAATGCGCTCGAAGTCCTCGCGGACCACCGCCTCGGTGAGCATGGTGCGCAGCGAGGATTGCGTGGTGATGATCTCCTTCCACTTGGCCCGATCATCGTAGCTCAGCTGCAGATTGTGTGTTGTGTGCACCGAGCTCACATCGTCGTGGATATTGGTTCCAACCTCGGACATTTCGGGCTCCTCCAGGATCCGGATGAGCACATCCCAGTTGGGCACATCCTTGTCCTGCGGCGGCACCTCGATGGGCTTCATATTGCCCACCAGTTCGGGGCTGGTCAGTTTCAGTTTGTTGTCATGGATCTGCGGTGGGATCGGCGGCGGTAGACTCAACTCACTGCGCTCCATTTTCGGGGTGAGTGTCAGACCGGAGGCACTGGAGATATCGGAGAAGTTCTCCCACAGCTGCTGCTCACGATCGCTGGGATAGTTACGCACCCGCACATCGAACTTGGGATCCGGGATGGCCTGCGTAGGCGCAGGGGGCGGTAGCGGTGCCCTTGGCTTGCTCTTGTACTCCGTCACCCGGCGCTTGTGACTCTCGATATCCTCGATGGTCTTCTTCTCGGTCACCGTCCGCAAATAGACATCGTCGACGGTGTGCGAGGTCACCAGCGGTGGCGCAAGGGGCAGTGCCGGTGCCGGGGTCACCACCTCGTCCTCATAGTAATGCATCGTATCCACCATTGTGTCTGGCACTTCGGAGGCAAGATCGGTGATCTCGCTGGGCGCCCGACCATCGGTGTAATCGGACCAGGTCTCCGGACGACCGTCGACCACCTCGTGATGGGTTCGCGTGTACACCGAGAACTTGGGTTCGACTGGGGTCACCATGGGGGGTACCATCTGTGGAGCTGGATGCAGCTCCGGCACATAGGTAAACTGCGAGTGCATGGTCTCCACTTGCGGCGGCATCGAGTCCATCGTGAGCACACTCTCCCGATCCTCGTAGGCCTCCATTATGGTCGATAGGTTATTGCGATCCGGCCGCAAGGTGGCCACACTTTCTGTATCCGAGGTCACCGGCGACGGTGGTGGTGGTGGTGACTTCTTCACCCTCACCTGAACATCGAACTTGGGAGAATCGACGACGGCACCGATGGCCACCGCCTCCTGCAGAGGAATCGAGTGACGGGTCATCGAGGAGCTACTGATCACGGCATTCGCCAGGGGCATTTCCTGGGCGGGAGCATAGTGATCACTGTAGATGCTCGACGTTTCGTGGACAAAGGCACGATTCTCGAAACTGCCCGCCGAACTGAAGGGCAGCGATCGCGTGTCGATCTCCTCGATCTCCGAGTGCGATTCGCTGGGGTAATCCGACGGGATGAGGGCTCCCTCGCTGCTCGCCGACGAACTGTAGACCGCCTGGAGGGCAGCATGAGCCCTGGGGATCTTGACGCCCTCGAAGGCACTAATGTTGCCCACACTGCTGCCACTCAGCTTGGTGATCTCCGATCCGCTGCCCATGCTCATGGGCAGGCGACGCACCACCGGAATCGAGCGACTTCGCAAACAGTAGTAGGAAACGGCGAGTCCGAGGAGGAGGAGGGTCAGGAACATGATCGCACAGATGATCATCAGGATCTGGATGCTCTTCAGCGGCGGCTGCAGCACCGAGCTGGTGGCAATGGGGTTCAGGCTGTAAGGGGGGATTTCGATTAGTCAGGGGATTGGGTTTTCCAGGAGAGTATTTAGCTACTCACATGGGCGCAGGAAGGGCGGGTGGCAGCGAGGGAACGGGCGGTGGATAGCGGCAGACTATCGTGATGATCTCGTCGCCATCCATCTCCAGATTGGCGTGGAATCGAACAATGATATTGTTGGTGAACACGCGGGTGGGGTTCTGAATGGGATAGGATAAAGATTAAAACTTATTTTATTTTATAGAATCCTATAGCTCACCTGAATGGTGCCGCATCCCTTCAGCGGCAACTCGAGTCGGTAGCTGAGGGCTCCCTTTCCACTCACGCGACAGGCACTGCTGCGATCATAGTCGGCCTGGATGATGCCATGGAACGGATCGTTGAACTTGAGATCAACCTGAGGATTGGAAGAGAAACCCCGGGTTAACTTGTGGATCCTCCAGGAAATCCAGAAATCCACTTACCTGCATGGATCCTGCGGCGCAGTTCAGAGCGGCCTTCGTTCGGTTGAGGAAGATCAGCGGACTGATGTCATCTAGTTTGGTTACCTTTAAAAAAAAAAAAATAAAAGAAAAAAAAAATATTAATAAATAAAAAAAATAAATAAATAAAAAATCCAAAAATATATATATTTATATCCCTTAAAACTAAATATAAAATTGAATTTAATGATACTTTCTTATTTACCTATTGGTACCCTTATATACAAAATAATCTACCCATGAACCTAGAGACCCTCCACCGCAAAGTAGGTGCATTTTTAGTGGGAACTTTTAGTCATGCTCCATTTCGGTTGGAAAACAATAGAAAACCTGTGATTTTCCCTAGGATCTGTGCAACCAGCTCTGTGGAAAGCCGAACGAGCGAACGGCCATTGTTGGTTCGAAGGCACTTCCACTTCGGAAGCACAGAAACAGTTACTGATATAACACTAGCTTACAAAATGAAAAGATGCAAATGGAGCAGACAAACGCATCTGTAATTTGTAATTCGTGGTTGCAGCTGCTCTTCCGCATTAAAATTAAGTCTATTATTAAGCTAGCTTTAAGCTAGAAAAATAAATAAATAAAAAATAACTTAAACTAGCTTTGAGATGGAAAAAAATTAAATAAAAATAATAAAAAAAAATATACAAGCTTTAAATAAATAACAAATAAATTAATTTATAAACTACGTTTGTACTAGAAAAATAATTGAATAAAAATAAAATAGACAATTAATAAAAAAAAAAAATTATTTGAAACACTTATTTTGAATTTTTATTCTTTTTTCGGATAAACCAGTTTAATAAATTAATTAGTAAATTAAGTAAATTAACTATAACAAGTGCTCACCTTGCCGTCGAGAGTCGCCTCCTCGGGCAGTCCGTTGGTGGTGTAGTTGCCGCTGTCGCCGTGCTGCACATAATTCGACTGGGCCGCCGTCTGTCCGCCGAGGAGGAGGAGGATCAGGATCGGGATCAGGAGAGCCCGCTGTCCTCCGTTGGCCAAAATCGGCCCTTGGTCCAGGTTCATTTCGCTTGGCAGTTCCTCGCCGGGTTATCCAGAGCAAAAAATAATAGGTAAAATGGTGTTGGTCTAAGGGAATAAAATACATAAATAAATAAATATTATTCGTAGTAGATTTTACAAAATTTCTCATTTATTTTTCATGTACAATATTTGCATCAAATATTTAAGCTATATCCCAAATTTAATTTCGATTGGACCACGTTATTATTCTGCCTATTAACCAACATGGCGTATGCGTAATAAAACCTTATATGGTCCTGCATGTTTCGGGAAAAAGAGACATAAAGAGTAAGGTAACTTAATGGTTTTGACGAAATACTAGCCGGGCATATGTTTATTTTTAAACATTTGCTTTGTGGTTTTTCGTCTATCTCTCAAGCAACTCAAACAAACATATCAGACCATAAATCAGTTTGTAAAGTATAGCTATTCAAAAATGTACCGTTTACCGCTTAGTTGAACCGTCATCCCAGTCCTCTGAACTAAACTACATACTACTACATATGTATGTACCTCGCCCATTGTATATTTGTTTTTGGCGGCCTTCTGTCAACGACCTTCGCCCCAAATATCTGCGATACAAAGATACAGATACAGAGATACATATGTAAGTATATGTGATTCATGTGGAGCTCAGAGCTTGGCTAAGAAAAAAAAAATAACAGAACCCATTTTTTCAAGCGTCTTTCGCTGGGATCTCACTATCTCTCTAATGTATCTCTTTTTTTGGGTTTGCTTCCCGCTTTGAATAAGGCGTTTTTGATTGGCAGATGTTCAATGTTCAAGATTGATAGGTCAGCCAACTCGAATTTTAATCTGTCAGACGCAAAAAAAGAGATTGAAATGATTTGCAAACGGCCTAAAAAACAGAGAGAATTAACCATGAATATTATATTCAAATTGGGAATCTGTGTACTCAAAATATAACCTAGTATATAATTCAATTTTTGTTTATTTTACCTTTTATTCTCTTATTTTTTTTATTATTTTTTTTTGTTTCTTTTTTTTTATTTAGATATATTGAATTGAATATCAACTTGGGTATATTGTTTGCGCTTAAAAGCCAACCAATCCACTTACACTTATTGCATAAAAGCCTCTTGGCCAACGCAACACGAGAAAAGCGATTCGATTCGAAGTAAAAACCGATGTAGAAGTTGAGACCAGACCAAGTAGACCAATATAGCCAGACGCCTACGACAATTTGGCCATATTTGTCAAGCAATCGCCTTGACGCGGATCCACCAACTGCATTGCGACAAAGCAGAAAAGCAGAAGCAAAAGCAAAAGCAGGCGAAAAGCAAAGCAAAAGCAAAGCCAGTTAAAGTCGAGCCAAGACAACGGCTAAAAGTATAGCAAAACTTGGCTAAAACTCTACCCGATATAAGCTTACCATTTTTTGCAAGAACGGGTTTTTCAGCCAGCCAACCAACACACAGATTCAGATTCAGTTTCAGATACAGATACAAACGCAGATACAGATACTTAGGAGGCACGTAGGAGCGAATTTTAGCCCTGGCAAGGTAACTTTATGGCTTTTCAGTGCACCTGGGCCGAAATCCTGTTGCCGCTGCTCGATTTCTCGATTTCTGCACTCGAAAATATGTACTTGTCAAGGTTGTTGTCACATTTCAATAGACAAATCGACAAACCCCCTTATCACTAGCATTAGCTGACTCACCGAAAAGAACTTGTTTGTTGGTTGTTGGTTTTGGTTTTGGTTTCACCGGAAACTGGCTATATGCTATATAGGCATTAGGCATTACTGATCGGAACTTGGCGCATTATTGCTAAACTCTGATCTTTAAAATGCTGTCTTGAATACTATAGTGAAAAGTTTGAAGCTTTGAGCAAATCATCCAATTGTCGTTTCCAATGAAAATATTCTAAGGTCCTATGACGGATGTTGAGTCAGTTGTAAAAAATGCAATGAGTCAGTCAGATGTGCCTAAGGTATGTTTTTTATTTATTTACCTGAGAAAAGTGTGAGCCAGCTATCTTTAAATGCTTGTGCTGCATGTTAAATTAAGGCCCTAATAAATTAAAACAAATATTTTAATCGATCGTGGGTTCTAAAAATGAAGCTGCAATATGTAATATTACTAATATTTATTTGCATTAAAATAAATATTACATTTAAATAATTATTAACATTTTATAAATTTCCTGAAATAAATATTTTTTTTATTTTTAACCTGGCAAATCAAATTGTTATATTGTATATGTTATATAATATGATATTTATATATTATAACTTAAAGCCATATATTCTTATGCAACTTTTCTAATTTTCTAATTGCATATGAAAATCATAGAAAGTCTGGTTTTATTTTTGGAGTACTTGGAGTCTCGCGAAAATTCGCAATTAATTGGATTAGTGTTCTTTCCCATGTAAGAGAATTTTGGCGCACACATCGAAAATACACATGTACATAGGTATGTATCCGAGTATCTTTTGTATGCAGCTTCACAGGCGCAGTCACACACCAACACTGTCTCACCAAAAGGTATCTATAGATAGGTTTGCTTTGTCGCTCGGTAAAAACTGGTATTTTAACTGGCTGCTCGCTCCGGGTCTCAAATACTCCACAACACAACACTCCACTTCACTCCCCGTCCCATCTGATCCGAGCTATGGTTTAATGATTACGCGACGACTGAGAGTTGCCAAGGTATGAGTACCAGTTGAAATACAATTGCACTGGGAGAAATATGTAAATACATATCTCTCATATTGTATTATTTAAATTGAATTTATTAGGCAATATATTTTAAATATATATATAAATAACCTAAATATATTTGAAAGACGAAACGAAAAACTCAAAAATAATTTGAAGAATTGCTTTTGGTTGTTGTAGAATTCAGGAGGCTTCTACTTATTAAGACTGAACTTTTTGTTGTTGTAGAATTCAGGAGGCTTATATCTATTAGGAATACACTTTTGGTTGTTGTAGAATTCCGAAAGCTAATATCTAATAAGTCCGATATTATGGTTGTTGTAGAATTAAGACTAAATCTATGGTTGTTGTAGAATTCAAAAGGCTAATACCTATTAAAACTGAACTTAGTGCGTTTTCAAGATTATCCCACTGTCTAGTACCGAAGTACAGTAAAGATTTAAATTGTTTCTTTAGGTGTACGTCAGGTATGTATCGCGAACTCGGGCTGCGCATGCGCTGTGCGCTTATTAAGCTGTCTCCCTCTCTTTCTACTCTTCTCGTTCCCTCTCGCTCCGCTCAAAAGCGAGCTTGCCTCATCGGCATGCGTAAGCTTGGGAGACAGTGTTCGGTGTTCAGTGTTCAGTTTTCAGCGTTCAGTGCTCAAGCTCTGGAAAACAACAGCTTCTATGGCGGCGTTTCGACAGCATTCCAACTGGGCGATACCCACGCATTAACCATGAATACCTATACCTACACCTCTATATGTACCTTTGCACGTACAATCAGTTCTGGGGATCTACTTAGGATAGGTACCCTAAGTACATGCTTGTCCTACACAAGATTTAAATAAATCGAATCAAATGAAATTGTACCAAACTGAACTCTATATTATATATATTTCATTATAATCGTAACTAAGCTTTAGCATTTACCATTACCACTTACTATACCATATACCATTGTATTTTTTTAAGAATATTTTAGATAAACATTTTCTGAAATGTACTGAATCATTCTTATAGGAATTTTACATATGAAAGCTAAGTTATAAGCTATAATCATAGAAATATGAATGTTCATGAGTTTAAAGTGGTAAATTGGTATTGAAATTTTTCAAGATAGTGCAAAGTGCATTGGGCCTACCGAAATAATCGATTCAACAACCAATTCACGTTAAGAACTTAATGCAATGGGAAAGCATCTATGCACAAAAGGCAGACGTCACGATGGAGATAACAATTAAATTTGATGAAATCATCAAGGCGATGAGAACTCTCCACTCCGAAACGCTGCCACACTTCCGCACACGAAAATCAGATACAATTGAGTGAAACTTTCTCGGCTCCTCGGATCAGAATAAAAAGCAATTTATTCTGACGGGGGATTACTGTACCTCTTTTATGTTGTTTTGTGTTTATTTTGTGGGCGAAAGCCAAAGATTCTTTTGGTTCTTTTGTGAGTGGACGAATGCTATTGGAAATATTGGAAACAGGGCGCCATTGTCCACTTGACCGCACTATTTTCTTTATCTATTGTTCTAGTAAGGAATTCCTCGATGATTTCAATTTAATATTCTGGGTATTAAATCCCTTGGAATAGTGTCACACCTCTAATTCAGTCAATGCCATTTGAATGCATCACACATTTTAGTTTCTGTGTAGTATTTTTAGTTTTTCTTTAGTATTAGCACAGTTGCATTTATTAACATTTGTTAACCCACTTGGTGTTGAATTAAAAACTCAAACAAACGCATATTTTTTGTAACTTTTGTGTAATCAGTTTGTAGTTTTAATAGGTCATCATTGTTAAACCAATTAATTTACACTTGTTATTTTCGATTTTAGTCAGTTGTTATGCTTTTGCATCCTTACCAATTTATTTGCACTAGAATTTGGAATATTAGAGCCCCAGATGCCTAAATCAATATATAAAATATATGAATGCAACGTAAAAAAAACACTTAACACTAAAAAAAATACAATTTCCGTCACAGAAGATCACAAAAGTTGTTTAGCCACGCAGAGAGGAAGAGGAGCTTTCGCAAGGGATTACGGGAAATAGTTATACAAATAGTTGTACAAAATAGCAATACAAATAGTTACAAAAAGCAAACAAACTAAGGTTTATATACTTTTTCCGTTTGAGTCGCGATTCCGACGTCTGATATTCGTTTTATCCAAATTTTAATAAATGCCGATCTTTTGGTGTTTCTTTTTTGTATTTCTTTTTTAACTGATTTTTTGTGATCTGAGACCAGACTTGTCTCTAACACTGGTCCGTGCCCGAACGCGCTCTAGTGGATTACTCGCTGGCGACTGTTTTGGCCGCTCGCCAATCTGGAAAGCTGGCCCCACACACTGGATACTGAGCACTGAGTCGGCCTTCTCGATTCGAGCTCGTCTCGTTTCGTCTCGTCCCACAGCTTTTGAGCCAAGTTGAGTTTTGAAGTTGAGGCTGGGTCTCTGCTCTGCTCAGGGTACTTATCAATACGTTGGTCTCCCCACCAGCCAGTTGCCAGCCCACCAGAGGTGATAACCTAGCTACAAAACTAAATATTTTATTTATTAGTTTTTTTTTAACAGAATTTTCGAATTTATGTGATTTTTTAAAGATTTTAATGCTTATTCTTTCTGTATTATTTTGGCTACTTCCCGTTTTTTTGGGGAGACTTTTATATATTAGTCTAGATTTATTATCGAATTAGATTTGATTATAAAACCTAGGATAGATTGTGATTGGAATATAAATATGATTTAAATTTTATTAGTGTCATTTTACCTTTATTTAATCTTTATACACATATATTTATGATATTTTATTTTATTATACCCTTGCAGAGGGTATTATGATTTCAGTCAGAAGTTTGCAACGCAGTGAAGGAGACGTTTCCGACCCCATAAAGTATATATATTCTTGATCAGCATCACAAGACGAGTCGATCTAGCCATGTCCGTCTGTCCGTCTGTCCGTCCGTCTGTCCGTCTGTCCGTCTGTCCGTCTGTCCGTCTGTCCGTCTGTCCGTCTGTCCGTCTGTCCGTCTGTCCGTCTGTCTGTTTCTACGCAAACTAGTCTCTCAGTTTTTGAGCTATCAGGATGAAACTTTCCCAAAAGTCTTCTTTCTATTGCAGGTAGTATATATGTCGGAGCCGACCGGATCGGACAACTATATCTTATAGCTCCCATAGGAACAATCGGAAAAAAAAAACTTTAAAAAATTCTAGCTTCGGTGTTTTTTGAAATATTACCTTCTACTTTTGGGGATGTTATTTTTTAAATATATCTGAATTTCGAATTAATTATTTAAAAAATCGGACTACTATATCATATAGCTGCCATAGGAACGATCGGAAAATTAATGGGAAAGTAATAGGAAATAAATTCCAGCTTCTTTGGATTTTATTGTATTATCTTCTACTCTAGGATATGACACTTTTTAAATATTTCCGAATTTCAATTTTAATTTAATCAAAATCGGACGACTATATCATATAGCTGCCATAGGAACGATCGGAAAATTAATGGAAAAGTAATAGGAAATAAATTCTAGCTTCTTTGGTTTTTATTTTATTATCTTCTACTCTAGGATATGACTCTTTTTAAATATTTTCGAATGTCAATTTTAATTTGATCAAAATCGGACGACTATATCATATAGCTGCCATAGGAACGATCGGAAAATTAATGAGAAATATTAGAAAATTGAACATTTTTGCGATTTGTTAATTAATAGGAATGATCTGCAAGGGTATATAAGCTTCGGCTGGCCGAAGCTAGCTTCCTTTCTTGTTTTTTATATTTATTTATATTATTTTTATTTTCCTTGGCTGCTGCGACTTGGCTAATAAAATTCTAGAGGGCCCAGCACTGGGTAATAGCCATATTCCCCGTCTCATTCTTTCTCGTGCAATCGTCTAACGTAATTTCAGCTCGGGTTTCGGTTTAAGCCGCCTCACTCACCTTTGCTGGCTCACCTGGCTCAACGATGCAAGACGAGAGCTCACTTGTCACTTGGTTTTGGGTTTGTGTTTGGGTTTGGAACCCCAAATGAGAGCCATGTTGCCAAAACCTGTTGCGTACAGTGAACGAATTTTATTTGTAAATAACATAAGAGCAAACAAGCAAATATTGGTAGTTGGAAGTAAGATAAATCAATGGTTTTTTCCATTTTGAAAAGATTGCAAAATAAATATATTGCTTTTACAGATATACAAAAAGTAAGACATTTTAATAGCTTATATATTAGAACTATATATCCGTTGATAGCGTGATGAAAGTGGATATATTTTCTCTAAGTGTAGCAACAATTTCCACTCTCTTAAGCTCCCCACTAATTCTCTTTAGCTTTCCTGAACCACTTTTGTGGATTTTAAGCTTGGGTTCCGTTGCTAGTAATTAGCTCCAAAAATGTTAAATATTAGAATAGAATTATTATTATAAAAAAGAAACTATTAGAAAACGTTGTAAAAATATTAAGATTAAACAACTAGGTTTGCATTCAAAATCTAAAATACGCAGTAATACTATTATGTGATTCCTACCACTTTTCGGCCGATTTAAAAAATCCAATTTTTTAACCCGCTTTTCAGGTGTAACTTAGCCAAAAATGGTCCGAAATCTAAAAATCGCACTGTTTTGGACAACTTACAACCTAAACTAACAATCCTCATCACTTTTAGGAAAATTTAATTTTAATTTTTTTTTAATTTTTACGAAAAATGGCAAAATTTTAAAATTGTCAGGTTTAAATGCCAATCGATTGGGAATTAAATTACGAGCTTAACAAGGTGTGACACTCCGTTTTTGGATCAATATTTCCGATGTTTCGGCCAAAATACTGATATTTCACATACCTGTGGAGGATCTCGATGCACTGCATCTTGGAGTCCTGGAGTCGTTACACTGCATCTTGGAGTCCTGGATTCCGATTCCAGCCAGATGACATCCCAATACATAAATCTGCTGACGTCACTTCACAACCACCAACACCCACACCAACTTCCGGTCAACTGATTTATGGGCTGCCATAGCTCCTAGGTCGTAAGTTTCTAGCTAGAACCAGTTGGGAATTACAAGTGCCCACTGCGGGGATCACTTTTCAATTGTCATTATCGATGACGTGGCCCATTGTAAATTTAATTATTTTTATTTTTACACCAAAAATATTTAATTTAATTGAAAAATAACTAATTAAGGGCCATTTCTGGAGAGGATATCGAAGCACTGCATCCTGGAGTCCAGTTCTGTCCAGATGACATCCCAATACATAAATCTGCTGACGTCACTTCACAACCACCAACACCCACACCAACTTCCGGTCAACTGATTTATGGGCTGCCATAGCTCCTAGGTCGTAAGTTTCCAGCTAGAACCAGTTGGGAATTACAAGTGCACACTGCGGGGATCACTTTTCAATTGTCATTATCGATGACGTGGCCCATTGTAAATTTAATTAATTTTATCTTTACACCAAAAATATTTAATTTAATTGAAAAATAACTAATTAAGCACTGCATCCTGGAGTCTAGTTCTGTCCAGATGACATCCCAATACATAAATCTGCTGACGTCACTTCACAACCACCAACACCCACATCAACTTCCGGTCAACAGATATATCGGCTACCACAGCACCAAGGTCATGAATTTTAAGCTAGAACTAGTTGGGAATTATAAGTACCCATCGAGTTGATCTTTTTAAATTCAGATTTTTGATGACGTGGCCCATTGTAAAATTAATTAATATTACAACTGACTGTCGTAATTTGGACAAATCAAGCCCGGCAGTATAACGACCGACTCTTTTGAACAGCTAACAACCTAAAATAACCCTCATCACTACAAATTTCTGGGTTTGAATGCCAATTGATCTTCAAAGATTCGTTTTAAATTTAAAGATATATATGCTTTCTGGCTTTCTGGCATATTTCCCAGACTAGAAACAATTGTTTGTTTTTTGATAAATATATAAATTTTATAAACAGAATAAATAAGATGAAGGAGGGCCGTTTAGGGCGCTCTCCTCGGAGATAACGAGAGATTTGTTTTTGGTGTGTTGGTGTTGGAAACGGGATGGACATCCATCCATCCATCTGATTTACCAGTCATCTTCGACATCCTTGGAGATCTCAAGACGGAAGGAGGTTTTGAAGTTTTGCAGCTTGCGTCGGCAGTTTCTGCTCAACGGATTATTCCGAAGATCAACGAGAGCCAAAGAGTCACTGGCTATAGCCTCATCCGTATCAATTTCTAAGATATAAGATATGATATCGTATTATACTTAAATATTATATTATTTTTTATTATATTACCCAATATGGCATTGTCCTGGGCATCCAGACTGGCGAGACTCTCAAGCTTAAAGACTACTTGTGGTAGGACGATGAACGAGTTGTTTGAGATATTCAGCTTGGTCAACGCAGTCAAGCTGGCGAACTCCTCTGGCAGCCTCGAAAGTTTGTTGTGTGAAAGATTAAGATCTGTAAGAAGGGTTTTTTATAGAGTAGTCTAGATGGGGGAGACAGGAAACCCACCTGTAATGGTGCTGAACTTTTGCGAGAATTTGGGTGAAACGCTCTTGAGAACGTTGCCACTGAGATTGCAGGTCACCAGCTCTGTATTCCTCATTAGGTGATAGACTGCATCGGGTATCTGCATCAGTTCGCAGCTCGAAAGATCTGAAAAGGGTAAAAATAATAGTCATTAAACTTAAAGTATTGAATAAAGTCATTTAATAGAATTATTAGAAAAGAACGAAGCCAGCTGTGAAATAGCTTTTTACTATCAAAAAGCTTCCAAAATAATATTTCCCATTTCAATAGGGAAGAAATATATATAAGAACCCAATCTTACCTAAATGAGCACTTTCGTTGGCATTTTCACAACGCTCAATCACCTTCACCACCAAGTGCGCCATCACAACACCAGGTTTACATGCAATCCGTTGAGGGAACCTTCCTTATCAATGTAGCTATACCTATAATATATAATTCCCCCTTTGTTTCCTCGATCTTTACGCCAGCCCACTGAGCACGTGAATGGAACGGCCTAAATATAAATACGGCATTTCCCCATCTGCGCACGCAACTTATTATGCGAAGAGAGCCGATATCGGTCGCTCTTTATTCTCTATATAATATAAGTGAGTCACCGCCGATCGCAAAAGCTTTTTCGGATATTTCGTATGAGAGCAGGGAGATTGGAGAGCAAAATTGCGGAAATTGCGTCTGTCCACACTAGAATATTAATAATAATAAAATAATATTGAAATCTCCTTTGACTTACAATATTAAGTCAAGGGTTCTTAAGTTCACTTGTATATGATAATATATTATCTGGATCAGAATAAAATCAAAAACAAAAACACTATTAAAAAGATATAAAATGATGAACCTATTCCAGAAACGCCATTTCCATTTTCTGATATGATTAAATACTATATTTTAATATTTTAACTAGAATTAGAATAATTTTTTCGGGTTTTTAAGTAAAAGAAATATGTGTTTTTATTTTTCTGTATCAATGACCTCTGTTTTAAAAGTAAATGGCGTTGTTTTCACAAAATAAGTACTTTGAAATGCATAATTTATAGCGTTGTAAATGTCTTCTTTAAGAATGCCTGTAAAATATTGTATTTGTATACAATTTGTTGTATAAAATAGCAAACTTGTTTTTCTTAGTCTCAGTAAGTTAAGACGTCATTTTCAGATATCCAACTTTTATAATATCAACAAAATCGAAATCAATCACAAATCACAATCATATATGAGTAAGAAACACAGGTTGCGTATCAGGGAAGGCCAATGTCTTGGTAATTATTACGACCCCCACTTATCTGGCCCATTGATAATTACCCTTCTTTGTTAGCCCAAGACTGAAGAACTTTCGGAATACAATGCAGTGCATATAGTATGTATGAAACGATCAGCAGCGACGCACTTTCTGTGGGAAGACCCTCAAATTATAAACAAAAATTGTTGCTTTCGTATGGGGAAGTCGGTGCGCAATAACTGAAATTGGCTAATGGCCAATTGTCCATACTACGACCTATATAGATGGAACAAACAGAACTGCGCCTCAAAATGCAACAAAAAACAGAAAAAAAACCGAGTGGATGGGTCACCACTTGCAAAGGTGACCCAAACTTACCCAGCCTTTGGTTCTCCTTGGCGTCCTCGCAGCGCCGAACCACCCGGATGACTCCCTGACCGGCGATCGGAGGAAAGGTGCCAATTCCACCGATCCTTGCTATATGAGGTGGTATACTAGGATCGTCCGATCCATTATCCTCATTATCCTCGATGTTGCTGCTGCGAATGTTTCGCTCATTTCCATTTCCATCGTTGGGATCGTTACCATTATTACCATTACTTCCATTATTGGGGGGGATGTTTGTTATATCGTTGCCAAAAGGCCGCATTTTGTTTGATTTGTTTTTTTAACCGTTGTTATATATTTCAAATTGTTTGGTGTCTCACTGGCTAATCACTCGAAAAAAATAAATATAGATATATTTTCAATTTTCAATCACTGTTTATAGTTCAAAATATAACTGTATTTAATATTATTTGAATTATTTGGATTATTTAAACGCGAGCTACTTCGCAAACCAACTGAACGTGACTCTCTTCCGCATTGAAATATTGAAAATGCTTTTTACTTTCGGTTTTTATAGCACAAAGAAGAAAGAAAAGCTGCGCATAACAAAACAAATGAAAAATAAAATGGGAAGAAAAACAAAAACGACAAAATAATAACACACAATTTGGCTGATCTAATGGCACACCGAAGACACAATACTCTAAAACAATATTGATTTAAAGGACTCAGCTCTATAAGAACTAAACTGCTTGCTTGTGAAACTAGCGCCAGGTAAAAAGATTTTATATTATGTAATAATTAAAAAATATTTATAATAATGTAATAATAATTTTTTTTATTTTGGACCTGAGTCTTCGATTTCTATAGAAATTTATTTGGATTAAGAGCTTTGATTTAAACCTTCCTTTAAAAAAAGGTCCTTAAATTTAAACTACTCTATATCATTCTTAACAATTGACATAAAAATCTAAAATGCTCGGAAATAAAAGAATATAATCCTCTATTCTATTAAAACCTATTATTTTTAAAGTTTTAAAATTAATGTGACAAACTTGTGTATTTAACCCTTTTAACCCCATCTAAAGGGTATTGCTGCATCGTAGCAAACTGTCTTGTCATCCTAAGAGCAATAGCCTCTGATATAAACAGTCCTTCTTTCTCTTGCCAATAAGTGAGCTTGTTCTAGCTGCGAAAAAGTGTAAAAGTTCAATGCAGAGAGAGAGAGGATCGCGCATTGCACTGATTAACAAAATTAGGGAATACGAAATCGGATGAAATAATTAGAAAAAAAAGATTTTATATAAGAACCTATTTTCAAGAATTTGTAAGTTTTACCTTCTGTTAAAGAACATACATATATTATTTAAAATTTCTTCTTTAGTCTTCCGGGTTCCCAAATTTTTGTTGACCAGTGCTATCAGTGTAAAGAGGTCGAAATACTTATAGAACCGACATTTACGCATCAGCCGTTCTTTCCGTTTCTTTCCACTCAAAACACCGCATTTCCATGTAATATATGTGTAAATATAATATAAGACGTAGAGATCCTTACTTATTTAAGATAATGATCAATTTCAAGGTCGCCAAGGCCATTCTACCCATTATCTTGTGTTCTCCATGGGAACGGAGAATAAATGTAGTTCCAAGCGATCGAAGAGAGCTCCCAAAAAAAGCTCATCACTGCACTTTCTTTAAAGATAGGAAGAGCTTTTCTTTTACCATGGAAATTTGGGAGGTGTGTTTGAAATACCACAATACCCTATACTACATATATTTATCTAAACCTCTCTTCGTTCCAAGAGCAATAGCCTCTGATGTAGTCATTTCTTCTCTTGGCAATACGGTTCTTCTGGCTTCGGAAAAGTGTAAAAGTTCAATAGAAAAGGAGAATTTTCGGTGGAAAACGCTATATCACTCATACGCACTGTTGCCACTTTTTATAATTATATCAACTGGAATCATAACTGCTAAAACTATACCAAAACTATCTCAAATCAACGTCAAAAATGTTTAATATTATTTGCACACACGATTTTTATATATATATATTATACACATAAATTTAGCTATTAAATAATAATGAAATATCATCAAAAATGTGAAAGAACCTAAGGAAAATTTGGTTAAAAATTTTTTATTATTCGCCAAAACAAGTTTGAACGCTATAGATACCATTGATGTTTTGTATTTGGGTTAATCCCAGTGTTATGTATTTACAAATCGGTTTCAAAACTGACAAATAAGCGTATTTCGATTGAAACGAATGGCTAAAATTGAAATACTTCTAGGTAAGTATGCCACAACACGAATTAAAAATGCCCATTAGTTCACTAACACATTTCCAGTCTACTACTTAAGATAACGATACGACGATACCATTGACATATCTTAGAGCTTGAACAATATCGATATTTTGATTATATCGTATCGATAATATCGATATTTTCGATAATAAAATTTTAGAATAATATCGATGTTTCCAATAAACATCGATTTTTTAATATACCGAAATGTCGATACTTTTCAAGCTCTATATCAGATCCTTCTGATACCCTACTGCAGGACCACTCCCTGTGCATGCTGAAGACCCGTGCACAAGTACAGCATTATGATGCTGAGCGCCTGAACCCGTTCATCCGATCTGTCCGATTTCCAGGGCGACTGTCCGTGGATTTCCGTGGCCCTCTCGGCATCATTCATCTGGGTGTAGCCCTCGGTTTCAGCATCTAGGGCTACCTTTAGTTTCGTAAGCTGCGTAGATATAAATATATTAGATAATGGATATAGATATATTATATATACTATATTACCAACTCATTTATTTTGGCCACTCGCTCGTCGGGCGGCAGGCCAACATATAAATGTTTGCTGGTGCTCTTGGCCAGGTTCATCAGATCCTCGTGGCGGGTGTGCCGAACGATGGGCTCGGTGATGACGATCACCTGCTCGAAGCTGAGTTCCGGACAGTCCAATGGCAGGGCCTCCAAATGCTGGGTGACGCTCTCGAAGGGATTCTGCTGCAGATTCGGCGCCTCCTCCACTATCGATGATTTTCTGCAAGATTTTCAAGAGATTAAGATACACAGAAGAATTGACGTGTGCCCAAGATAGGCGTGTGACCGCAGGAATGCTTTTTTTCCGTATTTTCTATTTATATTTATTTATTTAAACTCACCGCGATGGCGTGTGCTGAGGACTGGGTGGCAGGCTCTTGGAGTTCATCTGCTGACCACCCGTTAGCGAGGACACGATGCCGGGTATATCGAGGTTGCTCGCCTGCCGCTTGATGCCCTGGGCCAGCATCCCGGTGAGACTGGATCTGTGCACATCCAGGCCAGCCGAAGCCGTGGGTGTCTGGATGGATTGGCCCTGATCCCCGCCAGAGGCTGCCGTCGATCCCACCGACGAAGCCAACGAAGCAGTTTCGTCCAAAACAGACGAACCCGGAGTGCTGCCATCGAGGATCTCTGGATTGTCCGGATCCGCCTGCGTGATGGTGAACTCCGGCCGGCTGATCATCGCCGCAGTGGAGCCGGAACAGTCCACCGGACCACAGACGGTGGCCATCTGGCACTTGACAATGCACTTCTTGTGGCACGACATGGAGCACTCGCGGCACTGCATGGCGTCCTTTAGCCAGATCTTCTTGCCACAGAAGTCGCACTGCGTGGCCCGATGGAAGTGGGTACGCACGAAGTCATGGGCCCTCGGAAGGCCCGAAGTCTGGACGCTCGAGGAATCGGAACCGGAACCTGCAGCTGTGGAGCTGTCCGCCGCCGGGGTACTCGTCACCTTCAGGAACTGATCCTCCACTGCCACTCGATCGTTTCTGCATTGAGAGAGATTGGGAAAAATAAAGATTAATAACAGAGAAAATTCTCAAAAAATTCTCTCTTGAAATCAGGGCGATTTTCTCTTAATTTTCAAGATTTTGCTCTCTAGTTTCCTCGTTTGTAGGACTATAAGCTTACCTAGTTTGCGTCTGCGACTGGGACTTGGGGCTGGAGCCACCTTTGAGGGAACCCTCGCCCAGCGTCAAATTGGGATTGCCCAGCCAGGAGAAGCCGAACAGAATGTCGCCAAAGCAGAGATTCGGATTGAAGCCCGACTGATTGGACAGGGGATGCGTCTTCCTGAGGGATAAATTGGATAATTAAAATACAAAATATAAACCAAATAACCCCTAAAAACCAGGGAACGTAACTGTTATAAGTTTTATTTTAAAAATCACACTTTAACAGTTATTTTCTGATTTGTAAAGTAAAACTCAAAGAATAACTGTTATTTTTTGAGTTTTATAATAAAAGTTGACAAATAACAGTTATTCGTCGTGATCAAAATAAAACTCAAACTTGATTTATGGCGATTTTGTGGGTAAACAAAATTTTAAAAAAATATAGGTATAAAATATGCGCGGTTGCCTTTTTTAACAAATTTTTAGTAAGTTATAAAAAGCACGGGTATTATGTTTTTTTTTAAATATTTCATTTTTTCAAAAATGTCAAGGGAATAACTGTTATTCATAAAAATCAAAAAATAACAGTTATTTTTTGAGTTTTATTATAAAAATCAAAAAATAAAAATCATTACGGATTTGTAAACTACAATGGCTAATAAAAATTGTGGTGTATTTAAAAATTTTTTAGGACCCTTCTAAGTGCGTGATTTTTTTGTATGAAAAATTTACAATAACAGTTATTTTTGTTCCCTGCTAAAAACACCTACACAGCCTGCAGCGATGCCGGATTGAGGCTGATCTGCTTGAGGCACTGGTTCAGACTCGTCTCGGAGCACTCGACCAGGATCTGACCGATCTGGACATTGTGGTAGCCCAAAAGGACACTCTCGCCGGCGGACGTCTTGCCGAAGACGCAGACGTTGAGGAAGCGACTGGAGTTGTCCAGCTGGAAGCTGCACAAGTCGTCCATGTGGATGAGCGGACTGAAGGCGCAGTCGATGGTCGAGTGCTGGTAGAAGTAGTTGACCGCTGGCTCCTCTGCCTCTTTCTCTTTGTCCTTATCCTTGTCCGTAACTTTGTCCTTTTCCTTATCCTTGTCCTTATCCTTGTCCTTATCTTTGTCCGTAACTTTGTCCTTATCTTTGTCCTTATCCTTATCGCCGGCATCTCGGCTCATGGTCTTCTTGATGGCCTTGGCTATGAGGTTGGACTTCTTGGGCGAGTTGGTGGGTGTGCCGCTCAAGCTGGGCTTCACCACCAGATGCTTGGGCAGCGGCGGATCGGCCACTTCCGCTTCCGCATCCACCATTCGGTTCGCCTGAGGAAGATCCCCCAGGTCCTCGTACTTGTCAAAGTCCTCCAGAATGGCATCGTTGCGAATGATGCCCGGAATGATGCGTTCAATTCGCAGACTAAAGACGGTGGCCTGCAGCGTCTTGACCACCTTGGCTATCTGCTGAATGGTAGTCACCGGCCTGCCCTCGATGGCCACCAGGACATCGCCGGCAAGGAGATTGGACTTGCAGGCTGGGGTATTCGGTAGAACCGATTCTATGCGGACCACCTGACTGCCGCTCTGCTTGAAGACGATGCCGATCTGCTGGTTCTTCGCCTTGTGAATGAACACGTCCATCGAGATGAGCACATTGCGGCTGTCCCTCTGATTGGCCTCGATGAAGGGCACCGGCGCCAGGGTGATGGTGCAGTAGGTGTCGCTGGCCCCCGGATAGGCAATCAAGCGGGAGAGCTCCGCCAGCTTGACCTGCAGCACTCCGTTTGGCTGGATGTCACAGTCCGCCGCATCCGCATCCACATCCGCCGCGGTCCAGTGGAAGAAGGGCTTGTAGCGCAGCTTGTAGTTGGGCAGCGTGTGTTTCCGGCGCACCGCCTTCCGGATCTGATTCGATATCAGATTGGTGATGTTCGACTGCATCTGGCGGCCCTGGTACTTGGACTCGATGTCCAGTATGAGCTCCGGATCCCCGAGGAAGCTAATTGACCAGTGGGTGTAGGGTTTCCGCGTGAACTGCAGACGCGCCATTCCCGAGAGCTGCTTGACTGTAAAAAAAAGTAATAAAAAAAAAAAAAAATTGTATCATTATATCATTAGAAATATATCATTTTATATCCATGGGATATTATAGTACACAATCTGAGATCTAGATATATTATCATATCATTTAGAAAAATAACAAAAATAGTAAAAAAAAAAAAAAACGATAGAATGATAGTATTATCATATCATTAGAAATATATCATCATATATCATCTTATATCCATGGGATATTACACTTAGATCTGGATATATCATCATTTCATCATAGATACATCATCATATCACCATATCTCCCTCAAATAACTCACCCTTCAACGTTATGGATCCCTTCTTGCCCAGCACCATGTCCGCGTCAATGGAAGTTGTGAAATTGCCCACATAGTTGATGTCCAGCAGGAGATCCAGGTTCTCGATGCGCTGCTCGTCCTTGTCCAACTCGACGTTGTGGACCGAAAGGGACCGGATGTCGGGGAATTGGTCCCCCAGCTCAAGCTCTTTGATCTGAAAGATATTGATTTATAGAGATATATCATCTTTCAACTTGTTACACTTTATCTATATACCCACCGTGAGCTTGTCTAGAAGTTTTCCGGTGGTAGTCTTTGTAATCAGTTCGTCCAGTTCGATGGACAGCTTGCGGTAGAACCATTTCCGCACCCGGTTCGAGTTCTTGAACTCGTGGAAGAGGAACTGCATCACGAAGTTCAGAGAGACCAGGGCCGAGGCTCTCCGTAGGCTCTCCTGGTGGTTCTCACATCCATTACCGGCTCCTCCTGCTCCTCCTCCGCCGCCGCCCATTCCGGAATTGGACAACCTCTTCAGATTTCGGGCCGTTTGCTTGATGTTCTATAGAAGATAATAAAGAAAAGGGGGTTATTATTACAATCCGATATAGTATAACTACTCACCAATGGCAGGGTGTATTTGGCGTTCATCTGCTTTTGCTCCTCGCTCTCATCCGGCAGATTGGAGAACTTGATAAAGATGAGATATTGCAGCAGGATCATCACCACCCCGCCGATCAACAGGAAGATCAGGCAGAGGAGTAGTATGTTCGAAATAGGTATCTCCATGGTATCTCCAGGTGGAATCGCTCTCACTCGTTTGAAATATCGAAATATATCTCCGGTTCCTCCGATTCTTCTGTTTGATTCTGGACCTCGAAAGCCGAAAAATCTGATGTCAGTCTTTTCAATTACGTTCTGGATGTGCTCGTGCTCGCATTGTATCGCCCAGTTTTGGTGTGTATCGATTTGGATGCCCCATCCATTTGGGTGGTACCCCTGTCGATTTCGCCAATATGAGGCTGGTTTCCAGCTAGCTAGCAGTTAGCTGTAAACTTGTAAACTGACAATTGTTACAACCACTGTACGGGCGACATAAAATCAATATGTATTTGCAGCAGTGGCTGCGCCTTTTTTTGCTCTCGATGCGCATGTCCCCGGATCAGCTGGTAATGGTAACCTGCTTCCTGGGGGTTGATTTACAGCCCATAGCCCATCTGGAGCCCAGCAATCAGCCGGACCTCACAGCCCAGCTGTTCTGGAACCCACTTTCGAACAGCCCTTATAATGGAAGCTCTATAAAGGGGGGGTTGCAAATCGGCCATGGGTCACTCCTTCGCATCCACTTTCGAAACACTAACTAAAGGCATTCGATTAAAAGATATCTAATATCATCTGAGGGCCATGGGAACTTTAATTTCACTCCAAACCTGATTCGATAAAAATATTGTATTTACATACAAAAGTTCTGAAAAAAATCAGTTTTTTGGCTGTAACAAGGAGAATAATGATCCAAATATGGGATGTCATGCCTCGTTGAACTCGCAATTAAATTCCCAATCGAGTAGCATTCAAACCTAGAAATTTTTAAATTTGATGATTTTTTGCAAAAAATTGTGATGCAACCATCATTAAAAAATGGAAAAATTGATCAAAAAATAAATATCGCAGAAAAAACCATAAAAAAAGGACTATTTTTGTCTGCAATTCTAATCCATATATTCCACCCTGAAATATCAGTATTTTGGCTGTAACAATGGGAATAATGGTCCAAATATGGAATGTCATACCTTGCTGAGCTCGTTATTTAATTCCTAAAATAACAGTATTGCTGCCTGGACATTGACCAATAGGAGGATACTTAAAAATGACGTCACAGGAATTTTGCATTACCTGCAGCCACCTACTTAAAATTCTATTCGCCTGGTACTTCGAATCTAGAGATTCGAGAGAATTGGCCGATCTGGCGGACCAAATTGGCCACAACTCGTCCCCAAATTTACCGTAATCCTCGACTTGTGCGTTTCAAGACCAATTTCCTGATTTCTGATACCAGGCACACAGAAATAATAGGAGGTCGCTGCTAATTTTTGTGACTTCTCTCACATAACGGTTCTTTTTTCAAGATGGCGGCTGGAAGCCAGCTATTGACCAATAGGTGCGAAGCTTACTAGAAGACAACCGTTAGTTTAAAGGAAAGCTTAAATTAGGGATGAGCAACCACGGTGTTCTTGTGTTCGTGCTACGAATTGGGCACGCTAGTCACGAGTTTGTATGGAGCGTGCCGCAGAAAGGCCATCCCTAAGTTGGAGTGGAATAAACTGATCAGCTGATCGTTGGACACCTGCTACTCGCTTCTGTTCGCCTGGTATCTGAAATCCAAGAATCCAAATTTCGCCGAGAAAAATGTTGCCTAATGCTTCATTATTTTGGCCGTAACAATGGGAATACTGATCCAAATATGGAGTGTCGTACCTCGTTGAACTCGTAATTAAATCCCTAATCGATTGGCTTTCAAATCTGGACATTTTAATTTTTTTCAGTTTTTTGAATCATTAAAAAAGTGAAAATTTATCAAAAAATTAATTTTCCAAAAACACGTAGTCACAAGATAAATCCAGAAAAAAAGCATCTGCAGTAAGAAAACAATCTTTGTTTTACCGCTATCATTCGGTTTCTTCATGTTTTTCTGACGAGCAGAGTATACAAATGTTAATTTTATTTTAATTTTAAGGGGGTTTCTATAATGTGTATAAAAAGTGAAATCAGTTTTTCTGTTGTTCATTTGCTGTAATAAAAGTAAATAAAAATTGTTTATTTTTATTGTCCGTTTTTTGCAATAAAAGAATTTTAAATTCACCCAAAAGTATGCTATATTTTATTGGCAAGAAATAACTTGCCCCGTTATCCCAAAAATGTTACCCAAACTCAGCTTAGAAATGATCCACATTTACCGTAATTTTCGACTTGTGCGTTTCAAGACAAATTTTCTGATTTTTTACACCAGGCGAACAGAATCAGCAGAAAAGTAGTAGGTCGCTGCTGAAATTTCTGAATTTGCTCACATAACGGCGCTTTTTCAAGATGGCGACCTGGAAGCCAGCTATTGACCAATAGGAGCATACTTCTATGGTGACGTCACAGGAACTCTCTATTGCCTGCAGCGACCTACTATTAATTCTGTTCGCCTGGTACTTCGAAACTAGAAATTCGAGAAAATTTGCCGATCTGGCGGACCACATTGGCCACAACTCGGCCCCAAATTTACCGTAATCTTGTGCGTTTCCTGATTTCTGATACCAGGCACACAGAAATAATAGGAGGTCGATGCTAATTTTTGTGACTTCTCTCACATAACGGTTCTTTTTTCAAGATGGCGGCTGGAAGCCAGCTATTGACCAATAGGAGCGAAGCTTACTAGAAGACAACCGTTAGTTTAAAGGAAAGCTTAAATTAGGGATGAGCAACCACGCTGTTCTTGTGTTCGTGCTACGAATTGGGCACGCTAGTCACGAGTTTGTATGGAGCGTGCCGCAGAAAGGCCATCCCTAAGTGGGAGTGGAATAAACTGATCAGCTGATCGTTGGACACCTGCTACTCGCTTCTGTTCGCCTGGTATCTGAAATCCAAGAATCCAACCATTTCGTGGAGAAAAATGTTGCCTAATGCTTCATTATTTTGGCCGTAACAATGGGAATACTGATCCAAATATGGAGTGTCGTACCTCGTTGAACTCGTAATTAAATCCCTAATCGATTGGCTTTCAAATCTGGACATTTTAATTTTTGTCAATTTTTTGAAAAAAATCATGATGGTACCCCTTATAAAAAATGCGAAAATTGGGTCGAAAATTAATTTTCCCAAATCAGTTGGAAAGTGCACTGATATTAATTATAGGGTTGTAAGCTGCTCAAAAAAGTTTGCCTTTTTGATTTGGGACCATTTTTGTCCAAGTTAGAGCAAAAAATCTATAATAAAAAATCAAATTTTTACCAAAAATCAAGATTCTGATTTTCCACCCCAAAAAATAGCAGTATTTTGGCCACAACAATGGAATGTCATATCTTTTTGAACTCGTTATTAAATCCCCAATCGATTGGCATTTCAACCTGGAAATTTTTGAATTTTGTCATTTTTTGCAAAAAATCAAACCATCATTTAAAAATGCAAAAAGCTGTCAAAAAATAAATTTCCCAGAAAGTGATAAGGATCAGTAGTTTAGGTTGTTAGCAGCTCAGAACAGTCGGTCTTATAGCTATTCGCCTTAAATTGATTCAATTATGGCTTAAAAACCACTACAAATATTTTAATTTTAAATATTAAGTAAACAAGAACTTCTTTTTCCTATTATTTGTTATCAACTAGAACTTTTATTATCCAAATTTTGTGTTAAATTTAACTTTAACATATTGTTATTCTTTTACGTTGGATGGTTTTTGTAAAACGTTTATTTTAATAGTTCGTTATTTTTTGGTTAAATGGGTAGGTTTTCGAAAAGCTTATTTACACACAATATAAAATGTTGCTTTACTGTTTACAATCAGTCTCGTTTTAATGTTTTTTTCCATTTTAAAGTTTCATGATGATTATCTAACGCTATTTTATACAAAGTACTAATGATAGCTACTAAATTACAGGCCCATAAATTGGTAAAAATAGTTGGGTGAATAAAAATACATCGATATAGACGCAATAATAATCGAATATTGACCAATCTTACAGTCGTTAGGAATACAATGTTAACGTGATCCTATACAGTAGCAAAAGAAGTAGCATATATACTATATATTAGCCTTAAATCTAGCTAACAAGCTATCTTGTTGTATTCCTAATTGACACCTCAAAATGTAACGTCTTGCAGCTCGTTCTGAGCCTGCGCCTGCATTTTGCACGTATGCGTTCGATGCGGCGCCGATGAGGACCCAAAGTTGTGCTGCTGCTGATGTTGTTCCCCACAGTCGGCTGGCGTTTTCGGCAGAGGTAGCGATCGTATTGAGATTTGCGAGAGGTGCTGCGATTGGTGTATTTGAAAACGACCCTGGTAGTATAGCGTTGACATTTGCGAGGGGTCTATGTTGACGAGAAAGGGCTGCAGGTTTCGACTGTGCTCCTTGAAAATGTCCTCCATGTGCAACATGCAATCCTGCACCTGAGCCTGTTCGTACAAGAAACACGTAAATGCAGGATAATAATAGGAATCACTCGCCAAAACTCACTTGCTCCACGCTGGTCAGGTCGGTCATCAGACTCAACAGGAAATGCAGGTTGTGACCCGACCGCAGATGCCACTTCAAGCCATTCATCGAAGCAGCGATGCTCGATGCAGCTATTGTGCTGGCCGAGAACTTGGCAAACTTGTGTTCTTTTCAAACGAAACGAAAGGGTAACATCAGATCAGTATCGTCACATATTGTGGTATATTTTATGAGCATACCTTTTGCCGCCAGCGATATAAATGCCTGAGCATGTCCCCTGACCTTGCCAATGTTTATGTCCGGGAAGTTTTTACTTCCTATCGGCAGGCGCATCATCAGGAGCTCAAGGAAATCCAGAGGAGTCACGGACGAAAGGTCCCAACCCAATCGGCTCAGCACATACAGCTCCCATTTCTGAAAGAGAGAGAAACCAATTTATTAAAATCATAAGGAAAAAATTATGGGAGGTGCTTACTATCAAATCGTCCTTGTATATGCTGTTGTCCGTATAAACAACCAGCAAATCCACCGAAAGTGCACGACAGCTGGGCTCACGGAGCTTGGAGGCAAGTAGAAGACAGGCAGCAGCCAATATTTGCAGATGGGTCTTGCGCACCGATTTGCTCGAAAGAAATCGATCCATGTAATTCAAGGCCAGCAGCACGACCTCTTCCTGGCAATTTTCCTCAGCACACACCTGTGGATAAGGAATAATAATTAAAAAATATATTGAATATCTTAATAAAGAACCTGAGTGACTAGAAAAATGTATTTATTAAAGGTAAGATCTATGAGATGGTATGAACTTTGCTTTCTCAGGAACTAGTATCCTAAATAATCTTATTTAAAAAATTTAACCGAAATTCGAGTTAAAACCAAAGTTCTATATCATTTATGTATTTATTGCAGGTGAGAGGTATGAACATTAATTTCTCAGGAACTAGAATTCCAAAGAATTGGGATCAAATACATTTTTCTAGGAAAAAAAATATATTAGAAGTATTAAAAAAAATATAATAATTGCTAAATAAATGTAATACCTCAATAAACAATCTGAGTGACTAGAAAAATATCTTAAGTTAACTTGGATTTTTTACAGGTAAGATCTATGAGATCTAGTATCCCAAATAATCTAATTTTAAAAATTTTAACAAAATCGGAGTTATAACCGAAGTTTTATATCTCTCGAAATACTCACTTCCATCATCCATTCGGCTACAATCTTCCGCATTGGCGGCGTTATGTCCTTCTGAATGGCGAAGTAGGTGTCCACCTGGTCCATCTGGTGGTGCTTCTCCTCGGCCTTGAGGGCATTCTCCAGGCACCGATCCGAATACAATGTGGGATCCCCGATGGCTGTGTTCACGTTGTCTGCTGCGGGTGAATCTTGGGCTGTCTTGGGCAGTCGATCGTTGTATCGCTGGGACTGTAATTGTGATTGGGATTGGGATTGTAGGAGCGACTGTGGCTTCGGTTCCGGTACTGATGGTTCCAGTTCTTCTGTATTCTTCGCAGCTTCTTCGACCGATGCGTATATATACACAATCTCCTTCATATTGCACACAACGGTGTTGTTGTTGTTCTGGTTGAAGTCCGAAGGACTTTGCACTGTTTCTCGATCTGTTTGGGGATCGGAATCGGGTTTTATCGACAATGGATATGGCGCAGACACTGACATTTCCTGTTGGCGTTGGTTCAGGCGATACAACGATGAATCAGATTCAAAAACCAGGTTCTCCGAACATAAAAGATCCATTGTTTCTTGGAGGTTCGGTTCGGTTCGAGGCACCCTTAAGCCATTTATGTGTGCCGAATTATCAAGAACTCTGGGCAACTCTGGGATATCGAATACTGCGTACAATACGAAGCGATCGTAAGTACATATATTGCAGCCTTCTCTTCACATACAAGTATTCATTTTATTATTATACTCGATCCTTCAATGGCTTATATGCACATACATATGTAAATACATACACGCACTACTTTGATTTCCTCTTATGCACATTACATGTCTTTATTTACATATGTTTTCGACCTGTTGAAAAATATGTCTTTCATACCCATGCATATGTATTGATGTACATTGCGCATACATACAAATATATATGTGATCGATTTGATCGCCAACAAATTGTGCTACGATCGGAATGAGCACATTTCGACGATCTCGAACTATATCCAAACTGCACCGATCTCCATTTGATGGAATAACTCAGTTATTGGGGAAAATAAACTCGAAGTTGCACACGTTTGCCACTTAACCGGCGTGGACAAAGCATTTATATGAACCAGCTAGTTACACCTTATAATAAAAAGTAACTAGTTCCACTTGCGTTCGCCGTTATAGCGTTTACTCACTGAATGGATGCGAAAATTTATCGATCTTCAGCGCATCGATTTTATTGGATTATTTAAAAAAGTAGATTGATTATGAAATATTTTAAATATTTTAAGTAAGTGGACATTATTTTATTGTAAGTATATAGTAACAATAGTTTAATATTTTAGAAATGTTTTATGCACCATTAGAAATAAATCATGGAAAATAAGTGCAGGAAAAGTTTTCTAAATTTAATAAGATTTTTAAATAATAATGTTTTTTTTTACTGCGAAGTTAAAATTATTATTGTTATTATTATATGATCGATTAAAACGAAATCGGCGTTTCACATCTCTGAAAAATCCCAACCGTTCCAAAGTGGATTGGCAGAAAATAAAAATACTAAAAACTAAATAAATCGTAATCGATAATAAATAAAAGATAAGATCAGTTGATATTTGAAATATTTCAATTCCAATCTAAAAAAATCCTTTGATGAGCCAGTAATTGAATTTCTAATCAATTGGTATTCAAATCAGAAAACTCTTAAAAACAGTAGATATTTATAACCTAACATTTTAACCCTTTTGGTTGAAAGAAATTATAATTAAAAAAAAGATTATATTAGGGTAAACATAATTAACCTGTAGAAATCTTTGTCAAATGATATATGTTTTTAATGGTCATCCTTTTGCTTCAAATTTTTGTCTGTTATCACAGAATAAAAAAATCTACTTTTTAACTAAATATAGTAAATTGGCTCTAAAATATTATCCCAAATTGGGTTTGTTTTTTAAGGGCAGTGATAAATAGGCTGGCAAATTAGTTTATCTCGAGTTAAAAGCTCGATTACCAGAAAAGAAAAGCTCAAGGACTCAGAGAAAACTTTGAACAGGACACGAGAGAGTTAAGTTTAACAGTCGCGTTTACCGACATCGTTTTCCGACCAAGGGATGCTGTAATGTAATCTCCGGAAATTTTATATTCGTTATATTCTCTAAGAAAACAAGAGACGTGCTGTACGAAAATCATTTTTCTTTAACGTAAATCCTCGCAAAAAATGTGTGTTGAAGAACTAACTATTCTGGTTGTTCTTGGCACTCGCTAAAAGGCATTAAAAAGTGCATAAGCTTAAATAGGTTCTTAAAATTATTGTGTTTAATATGCATATGTTCGCGTGTGTGCTGCGCATGACATACATAAATACCAACAAAGTCCTAAAAATCGTATTCACACTCAAAGGACGACTCTGCAGAACTCTATAAACACCTTTGTACACATTTATGAAATACTTAACCTTGTGCCAAAGCCCACGCAGTCAATAAATAAGCGTTGGTCCATCCGAACTCCCCAGTTGTGATATGAGAAAAGTGCCGCATGTGATATTGGTTCCAATGTCATCAAAGTGGGAGTCATAGGATATTGGACCTACAAAGTTGTAACCTTCCACTTGGCCACAAAAGCGTAATACAAAAAATATTGAGGGAGTAACAGTGACAACGAAAGAAAGTACAATTTTTTGATGTGGATAAATAATATGATTACTTTTAAAAGTTACATAATAACAAAAGAAAAAGGATTTATTTAAAAAAAATCGTACTTAAAAATATATATATTACATTCTTATTAAGTGACACCCACGCATAAAATAACTTCGGTTGAGTGTAGAATACACAACAGATACATCAGGTGGGCGGGATTCGCGAATGGGTACTACTCCCCCTCCCCCGCTCGACACACACCCCCCTGTCCCACCCACACACCCACACACCCCCCTATCCCACCCACACACGCACAACTTTTTGTTATACATGTAACAACAAGACAAAATCATTAAGTGAATTTCATTATTTAAAAAGTTCCGCCCCCGAAATAAAAGTCTAGATCCGCCTAGGGAGCCCCAAATATGTTATACGCAAGCGCTCAATCGAAAAATCTCTCTCTCCTAACAGAACCGTAACAGAAAGCAACAGCACAGTAACAGCACAGCAGCATCCGCTTAGCAGAAGCAGAAGCAGAGGAGCAAATGCTTTGGCAGCAGAAGCAGTAAAGCTCGCATACCGCCACTACATACGTAACGTGCCTATGAGTGGGCGGGTTTGTGTACATGTCTGGACATGTATTTGACAGCCTTTCCCTTTTGGCCATTGGTATGCTTCGTGTGGCTCTGTAAGTACCCGAATGGAATCGCGGGGGATATCTGTTAACGCCTACGTTGCACACAGGACCTCAGAAAAAAAAACAAACAACAAATATTCCTTGCAAGCTAACCCAACCCACTTTTAAAGCCATTATCTTATAAGGGATTTTGTTTTTAGTTTTCAAATGTTCCTATTCATATTTTAAACAAGAACAACTCTATTATTATTTTAAATGCTGAATTTTTTTAAAGAATACTTTTTATTAAAAACATTTTTGTGGAGGCCTTAGTATTTGGAATATCTACTTGTATATGAAATTTCAAAATATGTATAATTATTATTATTTTTTTTTTATGTCAATTGGTTTTGGGTGTTTTTTTCAACATCCCGTTTTTTGGGGAGACCCTTTTAGAGTAGTCTAGACTATTATTTTACTTATTTTTCAAAGCTATAATTTTTTTAGCATCGCTTCAAAAGAACTAACCAAAGTATTTTGATTTCGACTAGGTTTCGGTCTAGGCGACTTGACGAAATTCGCTGTCAAACGTAACGCGCCCCACTATGGAATCCACCCGACAAACGCACTGGGTCGTTGGGACTGGAATAAGCACAAGCAGCTGCACTCCGATGCCAGGCAGATCGGGCATTTAGAGACGGGTAACGAGTCGCGGGAGGACCAACTATCGGAGGAGCTGAGCAAATTCGGCGAGAAGCTCCTGCCCGTCTCCAATTATCCGCCCTATCAGCATAATAATAACAACAACGAGGATAGGGATAGTCAGGAGGTGCACTACAGTGGCGAGGGTCGATTGCATACGATGGAATCGCCTGTACCGTCGAAGGCACGAGCACCGGGTGGTGGTGGTGGTGACACTCCCAAATTTCGTAATATCGGTGCCCAAAGGGGTCGAACCGAGGTTGGCGGAGGCCTGCGGGAGGCTGATCGAATCAGTTCCCGCGGGCGGGATGGATTCATTGGCGGAGCCAACCACAAACAGAAGCCCTTCCGCGTCAATCTGGCCGTCCTGGTGCAGGATGATCCCAGTCAACCGGGCGAGACGTCGTACACCAATTGCCAGAACTCGCAGGAATCCGACGAGAATTGCCAAACGGATGGCGATGGGGATGGGGAAGCCGCGATGCCCAATTTGCAGAGGGATTGCGAGAAGACAGGGTTGCATGTGATGTGCCCGCGCACTTTCCGATGCATCAGCAAGTATTGGCTATGCGACGGTGACGACGATTGCGGTGATTATTCGGACGAGACGCATTGCGGAGCTCGTACGAACTGTACCGAGGATCAGTTCGAGTGTCTGAATGGCTTCTGCATTCCACGGACGTGGCTCTGCGATGGCGAGAACGATTGCAAGGACTTCTCCGATGAGACCCATTGCAATCGCACCAGCTGCACGGAGGAGCATTTCACCTGCAACGATGGCTACTGCATCTCGTTGGCCTTCCGTTGTGACGGGGAGCACGATTGCAACGATAACTCCGATGAGCTGAAGTGCGCGGCGGTGATTAACAGCTGTCCGGAGGGCGAGTTCAAGTGTCGCGGGGGACTGGGCGGTGCCGGTGGGCCCAGTGGTCAGTGCATCCTCAATCGCTTCCGCTGCGATGGGGACAACGATTGCGGCGATTGGAGCGACGAGGAGAACTGCCCCCAGAAGCCGTCGCTCTGCACCTCCAACGAGTACAAGTGTGCCGATGGCACCTGCATCCCGAAGCGCTGGAAGTGCGACAAGGAGCAGGACTGCGACGGCGGCGAGGACGAGAACGAGTGCGGAAGTCTGGGTGCGGAGCATCCGTTGACCTGCGGTTCCGACGAGTTCACCTGCAACAATGGACGTTGCATCTTGGTACGATCCTTGCTTAAGTTTTATTCTTAATCTATTTTAAACTTCCTATCTTTTTGTTGGAACGCACAAACAGAAAACTTGGCTTTGCGACGGATATCCAGACTGCACTTCGGGCGAGGATGAGGTCGAATGCCATCTACAATGCGACCTGGGACAGTTTTTATGCCCAACCAAACAAAACATAACTAATCTCAAGTGAGTATTCTTAGGTCAAAAAGTTCGTCTCTTCATTCTTTTTAGAAAACTTTTTAGCAATTGATACTTTTTTTTTTCTTTTTCTCTTTTTTTTTTATTTTTTTACTTATTTTTCTTTTTTTTTTCTTTATTGTTTTTTGACACGTTTAATGATCTTTTTGGTGCTTTTCAGAATCTGTGTTCATCAGAAGCACATTTGCGATGGCCACAACGAATGTCCCGCTGGCGAGGACGAGGCGGACTGCCCCAAGGAGCGAAAGTGCCTGGAGCCCAGTCCGTGTGAGCAACTCTGCATCGAGACCAAAGCGGGGTTGGATGAGTGTGCCTGTCGACTGGGCTATGTCATGGACAAGAACAAAGTCAAGTGAGTATATCTGTCACCTAGACATCTTAGATAGACCTAACTGATATTAAAATAATGCCTTAATTGATTAGCTGCACGGATATAGATGAATGCCAGTACCTGACCAGTCCCGTATGTTCGCAAAAGTGCCACAATACCCTGGGTTCCTTTAAGTGCTCCTGCGAAACGGGCTACATACTTCGTCCAGATCTGAGATCCTGCAAGGCGCTGGGTGGCGCAATGACCCTGCTGGTGGCCAATCGCTGGGACATCCGGCGGGTGACGCTCAGCAACAACCGATACACGGCGATCGTCAAGGGACTGCACAATGCGATCGCCTTGGACTTCCATCATCGCAAGGGACTGATGTTCTGGTCGGATGTCTCGACCGATGTCATTAAGATGGTCTATATGAACGGCACGCGAGTGCGGGACGTCATCAAATGGGGTCTGGAGTCGCCGGGCGGCATTGCTGTGGACTGGATACACGATCTGCTGTTCTGGACCGATTCGGGCACCCGACGCGTCGAGGTGTCCAATTTCCAGGGCAACCTGCGCACCGTCATCGCCTCCTATGATTTGGACAAACCACGCGCCATTGTGGTCCATCCCGGCGAAGCGCTGGCCTTCTGGAGTGACTGGGGACCGAATCCGAAGATCGAGCGTGCTTTTATGGACGGAACACAACGAAAAGTAATCATATCAAAGGGCGTTACCTGGCCAAACGGTCTGGCCATAGACTTTCCCAACAGCAAGTTGTACTGGGCGGACGCCAAGCAGCATGCCATCGAATGTTCCAATTTGGATGGCAGCGATCGCAACAAGATCCTCAGCACTCACCTGCCCCATCCGTTCGCTCTGACCCTCTTCGAGGACACCATGTACTGGACGGACTGGAACACGAAGACCGTATCGGCGGCCGACAAGATAACGGGCAAGGAGTTCCGGGCGGTCCACGAGAACTTCCACTTTCCCATGGACATCCATGCCTATCATCCGGCGCGACAGCCCGAGTATGCCGATCGCTGTCAGAAGGATCGACGAGGTCTGCGTGGCGGCTGTTCGCATTTGTGCTTGCCCAACAAGACGTCCCGTCGATGCGGCTGCCCCATTGGACTTTCCCTGAAGGAGGACGGTAAGACCTGTAAGAGTACCGCGGATAAACTGGTACTGGTGGCGCGACGAAAGGATATCCGACTGAGGCACCTGAAGAACAATCAAGCGGATCCCAACGAGGTCGATATGATTGTGCCGCTGGACAACCTGAAGCATGCCGTCGCTCTGGATTGGTGCAGCGATACGGACTTCATCTATTGGACCGATGTGGAGCGCAGCACCATTAACAAGGCTCATCTCAACGGGAGCTATCAACAGAGGGTCGTGCACTCGAATTTGGTCTCTCCCGTCGGCTTGGCTTTGGATTGGATAACCGATAAGCTCTATTGGACCGACCCGTCCACAAATCGAATCGAAGTGGCCACCACAAATGGCAAGATGCGCACCTTGCTCATATGGGAGAAGCTATACAAGCCAAGGGATATCGTCGTGAACCCGATTGGTTAGTTATCATAATATCATCTTATACCAATCCATTCACTAACTAACTTTCACATTTCGTTCTTGATTAGATGGCCTCATGTTTTGGTCGGATTGGGGTGATGAGCCTATGATCGAACGTGCCAATATGGATGGACATGATCGCATTACTATATCATCGAAGCGGCTTAAATATCCCAATGGACTGGCGATTGATTACGAGAAGAGTAAAATCTACTTTGTTGATGGTGGCACAAAGACCTTGGAGAACATGAACTTTGATGGCAGCGGCCGACAAGTAATCCTGAGTAAGTATTCTAATATCCAACCCGAAAAAAAACCGAAATAACATTAATCCCGAATCCGAAACAGATGGACTTGGCCATCCTTTTGGCTTGGATGTCAACGAGGGACGCGTGTTTTGGACCGACTGGGACACCAAGTCGGTGATGAGTGCCAACAAGCTGACTGGCAAGGAAACCAACGTGATTATCGCCAATAGTACAGATCTCATGGACATCCGGGTCTTCCATCGCACCCGAAGGCGCATTTTCAATGCCTGCGATAAACTAAATGGCGGATGCTCGCACCTGTGTCTTCTGAATCCCACTAGTTACACCTGCGCCTGCACGGTTGGAGTTCAACTGAAGGAAGATGGGCACACATGTTCCGAAGGACCAACCCAGTACATTCTGTTCGCGCACAGAATCGATATAAGACAAATATCACTGGATTTCGATCATCTTATCGACGTTGTCCTTCCCCTGCCGCCGATCTCGAATGCGGTCGCTCTCGATGTCGATCGGAAGACGGGCAACATCTTCTGGTCGGACACCATTGAGAATGTGATCATGAGCTCGAGTCCGGATGGTCTGCACGTGCACAAGGTGGTCGGTGATAGTCTGGAGAATCCCGATGGACTGGTTGTCGATTCGATCGGTCGAACTATCTACTGGGCCGATGCCGGTCGTCACACCATCGAGGTGGCCAGTTTGGATGGAAGCAATCGACATGTCATCGCCTACAAGGATCTGGAGTCGCCACGTGGCTTGGCCCTCGACTATGATGCTGGCCTGTTGTTTTGGACCGACTGGGGTCACTATCGCAAGATCGAGCGATCCCATTTGGATGGCAACGAGAGATCCCGCATTGTAACGGCCAATCTGGGTTGGCCCAATGGTCTGTCGTTGGATCTGAAGAGCAAGCGAATTTACTGGGTCGATGCGCGACTCAAAACCATCGACTCGTGTGATTATACGGGTAATCAACGCAAGCTCATCATGTCATCCCTCCACCATCCGTATGCATTGGCTCTGTCCGAGGATAACATCTATTGGACCGATTGGAAGTCGAAGGCCCTGCATATGACCGAGAGACGGAATATAAGTGCTAAGCGTGATATAATCACCAACATCGATGGTCTGATGGACATCAAGGTTATCTATCAGGATCAACCACTCACCGATAACGTCTGTGGATCGAATAACGGTAACTGCTCGCACCTCTGCTTGCGTAATCCATCGGGATTCTCGTGTCAATGCCCCATTGGTTTGCGATTGCGTCAGAATAGCACTACGCAATGCCAAAATCTACCAGAGGTAAGCTGGAAACACATATACCTAGGAAATCTACTTCTATAAACGATTTTTCCACAGGACTACCTGCTCATCGCCTTGCGTTCGGGAATTGGTATGATCTCCTTGAATTCCGGAGATTTCATGGACGTCGTTCTGCCAATAAATGGAGTGCATGGAGCAGTCGTTCTTGACTACCACTACCGAAAGAACTTGCTCTTCTTCGCCGATGTGAATTTGGACGTAATTCGTAGGGTTAATCTATTGAACTTTACCGAAAGCAAGGTCATTGTCGGCACCGAAGTGCTGACGCCCAACGGAATAGCCGTCGACTGGATTGCAGACAACCTCTATTGGTCCGATACGGATCGCAAACTAATCGAAGTGTCTCGGCTGGATGGGAGCTCTCGCAAAAGGATTGTCGAGGACAATCTGGGCGATCCGCGTTCATTGATTGTGCATCCGAAAAAAGCGTACGTAGAGTTTTCTATTTGAAGTTGTAGTGCAGTGTATTTACCTGCTATATCATTTCAGCTACTTGTTCTGGTCAGATTGGAGTTCCCCTGCCAAGATCGAACGTAGCTACTTGGACGGTTCAAATAGAACGGTCCTTATAACATCCGGTATTGGCTTTCCGACAGGCCTTACAATAGATTTCACGTAAGTTGTAATCTATTCTTAATTACATTATAAATTTCGTCATATTTTATTGCTATACAGAAATCGGCGGTTGCTTTGGGCAGACGCCTTGGAGGACAACATAGGCCAAGTGGACTTTAATGGCAAACGCCGTCAGACTATTGTTCCTTATGCACCACATCCATTTGGTCTTACGATGGTAGGGATGATTGGGTGTTGCAAATATGCCGTACTAATAGAACCCTTATCATCTCATCATCTAGTTTGATAGCAGCATATTCTGGACCGATTGGTACAACAAATCGGTGTATCGTTCCCAGCGGTTGCCACGCAGTGGATATGGTAATGCGTTCGAGGTGCGCGACGCCTTAAGCGGAGCTCTGGATATACGAGCCGTTTCGCTGAATCGTCAGCCCAAGAGCTGGAATCACTGCGCCCAGGACAACGGCGGCTGTTCGCATCTCTGTCTCTATCGCTATGTCGACTACGTGTGTGCCTGTCCGGACATTGTGGATCCCAAGGATGCGGCATGTTCGACGAAGCCCAAGGTTCTGGTGCATGCCAATTTGGAGAACGATCAGCTGCTCGAATACTCCGACGAGTCCACCGATGATTCCACACCGCCCGACCTGCTGGGCGAGTCGAGTAACCATGGCGACGATAGTCACACGAAAAAGAGCGACCAGGAACGAGAGTTCTTTGTCCTTGTGGCGCTGGGCGTGGTCATTGTTATGGTTGTCATCATCATACTCGTTATCTTTAGTAAGTTTATAAAATTGTTCTCGTACCATTTAAGATTTTTTTTCTTTATTTTTCTTTTTTTTTTCTTTTTTACTATAATATTATCTCTTTTCTCACTCACTAACTGTCTCACTTTCTTGCAGTGCTCGCCTTCAACACGAGCAAGAAGAAAAACAAACGAAACTCCCGCGGTTCCAGTAGATCTGTACTAACCTTCTCTAATCCGAACTATAACGTTGATGGTACGCCCATGGAGCCAAAGACGAATATATGGAAGCGATTTAAATACGACAAATCTCATGTAGGATTTGGAAATAATACAATATTTGTATTTGTTTATTATACCTGATACTGATACAATTTCCGATTCTCCCAGCAGGAACGAGCCGGGGTCTATGAAGAGCGTAGTCTGACCACGGAGACGGCTTCCTCGAGCCTTTTTGTCCCGACACCATCGCCGATGGCGTCGCCCTCTACGAAAACAATCCAACTGACAACGCTCTCGACTATCACATAGCTGGCATAAATAGTTAATGGCCCTCCTACATAAGTAAATCTTGGAAACCATTTATCGATTCATGCAATTGTGATTAATTTGATTGTAAATGTGGAAATCAACTGTTTTTTTCTTCTTTCCTTGATTTTAATTGCTCCTTAACCCCAGTAGTAAATTTCGTTAAATTTATTCGGTTTTTTTTTCTGTTTGTTGTAAGTGCAAATGTGTCCTGTTAAAGATCAAAGGGGGTTTTGAGATAATACGAAAAAGAAATATATTATATAAAATGGAAATGATATAATATTCAATTATGTATGTAATCACTAAATTATTTTCCTATTTTTTAAGTAATAAGTAATAACTATTAAGTAATTCGGGTGCTTCGACTTTGAAACAAACAGAATATCCTACTACCAGGCGCGTTTTTTGTTTGCTGATCACAAATTACAAAAAATTGACCATAACTTGGTTTATGTTTATGTCTGATTTCGCCAATGATCAAATCATTGTTAAGTCCAATCATAAACACAGTGAGTGTGCGGAAGTCTTTGAGAGATTTTCCCAGCAAAAGATTCCATTTTCATGCCCTAGCTCTTGTTTTACAAATGTGCTAGGCTGTCGATCCTAAGTCTGTATGCAAAATTGTACAACATAATTAAACGAAAAGGCGTCGAACACGTTTTTCGGAGTCCCAGAAAGCCCAACATTTCATTTGAAGAATATTTTTTGTCACAATACGAGAACCGCGGGCTTAATTCTATTCAGGGCTTCAGCAAAATATCTGGTAACTTAAGTTTTCTATCCGTGTTTGTAAATATATTTTTTGCTTGCAGATGTATGAACTATTAAAATACACAAAGAAGCATTCTTATATTTGCTCAACAAATTTGGGGCAAATTGATTTTTTGTCTTTTTCTGTTAACCCTTATGAATTCGATAAGTTTTCGGAAATTCTACTCAGAGATTGTAACTTTTGTAAGAGGCTTCCTAAAAAGAGTTAAAGGTTTTGAGGTTTCAAGGGTGGAGGCAAAAATGTAAGGAAATGTTTACCATCGGCGATGATCGTTCTGGATAACCGTGTGGTAATATCTACATTAAATGTTGTTACGAATTTACTTAGTGTACTTGATGTGTTTTATTTTGGAATCGAAATCACTAAATCAGCATCATCGTTGGTTTCTCTACTGCTTTCTCTTTCAGCCCAAAAAGGATATTTACAAGTAAGTATTGCTGCACTTTTTCTCGGATTAGAGTGAAACCGGCTACGAATTCGATAGAAGGACAAAAGGTCCTTAAAAAGCTGTACTGTATCGAGCTTTACAAAAGCTGTACTGTGCTTTTCGGTCCTTGTGCTTACTTTCGGTTATTTGCTAATGACTTAGCTCACTAACTTCTTTCTATTATAAACTAGATATCCTGGAACCATCCACACAAACCCACTAATAGAACCCAATCCAAAAGGAGTGGTGACCTAGGTCAAGCACGCTGGCTTTCCGGCAAAAGCTCGCCGTTTCAGGATCCCAAAACCAAGGTCAATGCTCCATGAAAACTTCATCATAACTCTTAACTCTTCACTTTCGAGTTCGTGGGCTTTGTCTTGATCGTAATGCGATCGATCTAGGGTTTGTTCAAACGGCTTCTCCTTTAAATCCACGCAACATCCCTAAGAATTCAAATATAATTTAAAAAGCTCATAATTACCTAATTAAAAAAACTCCTAATGATTTAGAAATTGTTTCCTATTTTTCTATTCACTTTTTCCGTTTTCTTGGCATGCGATTTTCTTACATTAGGCTCTACAAATTATTTAATTAAGTGTGCCCCATAATGCGTATGTGTTTTGCATGCTCTATTGCGAAAAAAGGGTTTTTTGTGACCAAGGAACGGAAAATAAAAGGCGTCTCGACTTAATTGCAACATGCTTTGCGCATGGCGAATACAAAACTGTGCCAGCGGCTATTGAAGCTGCATCTGCATTATATAAAGCATGTCACAACGTGCAGTGCTCTCAATACGGACTAGTCCGAATAGTGATAAGGTGTTCGCCTAAATCCAGGAAATAATTATTTTCATAAATACCTAGCGAAAGCCTAGCGTAAAAATTGAAAATGGTTCGTAAATTGCTAGCTTCCCACTTGATTACCGGGTAAGTTAATTTAAAATAATAGATTTATAATTTAGATTTGGTAAACCCATTATCAAAAACAAGCAGTGAAATTAAATTAGATTAAGAGATGTCGTGAAATATGACTTAAAATCACTTTTAAATCTCAAAATAGGTGTCTAAAAGTATGCTACAATATATTTTTAACCCAAAAGTGATATAAATTCATACAAAAAGACGTCTACACTTTATTCACTGCATACTTTTAGACACAAAAGTGATTTCAAAAGCTTATGTATTTCTCTGGCACCCCCTAAAATATTAATTTATGCCTACGCACATAAGTAGCACATTTTGAATACAAAGTGGGCTACATCAGCCTGTCACTTACTTAGTTTGACGGCAAGCAATCAATAAAAGTGGGCAAACAGTCGATTGATTTTATAATTCCTGCACTCTGGGGCGAAAAGTGAATGAACTAGAACATCTACTTTTCAGGATTTTCATCTACTGCATTTGTATAGGCGTAGGGAATAGTACTATCCAGTCGCCAACTTCATCGGATCTTCTCTATATCAATATCAAAATACCGAATATAACTAATGAGTTCAGTTCGAGGATTTTCAATTCAGTTCAAATGACAGCTCGATCGATGAACAACAGAACTCGCGGTTATTTCCCTGAATCCCTCCACCATCAAAGTCGTCGAGTTTCGCGAAAGGCCTCATCGGCCGATATGCTGAGTCGCAACATATCGATGATACTGGAGAACCTGCTCAAGCGCTACGAGCAATCGCAACTGCCCACTCATGGACAGGGCGTTCCGACGGTGGTCCAGACCAATATACTAATCCGCAGCATGGGTCCCGTTTCGGAACTGGACATGGACTACTCGATGGACTGCTACTTCAGGCAGTATTGGCGGGACAAGCGGCTGAGCTTCAAGGGACCCATCAAGAGCCTGTCGCTCAGCATCAAAATGCTCGACAAGATTTGGCGGCCGGACACGTATTTCTACAACGGGAAGCACTCACAGATTCACATGATTACTGTGCCCAACAAATTGCTGCGACTGGACCAAAACGGAGGCATTCTCTATTCAATGCGGTAGGGTTCTATGTCCAAAATATTATATCACTTATTAAGAACACCTTATATAGATTAACAATCAAAGCCACTTGTCCCATGGAGCTGCAAAACTTTCCCATGGACCGGCAATCCTGTCCCCTTGTCATCGGAAGCTGTAAGTATTGCTTGACTACTTACTTTTCACTGATATCTCATACCTTTAAACACTTTAGATGGTTATATAAACCAACAGCTAATATATGAATGGAAAAACCAAGATGATGCCGTTTCCTTTGTTCCGGGAATGACTTTAAATCAATTCGATCTCATCAGCATGATGCATCGCAATTCTACAACTGTGCGACGCGAAGGTGACTTTTCGGTCTTGCATGTAGCGTTTAATCTGAAGCGTCATACTGGATATTTCCTGATTCAAGTAAGTAAGAGGTTTGAAAACGCTTTCAAGGGTCTCTAAAGTATAGCTGGAAATTTATCGATATTTTCAGAATATCGCTTCGTTGATGTTTTCAATAAATTTTCGATATATTTTTAGAATCTTCTATTCATATAAAACTCTCTCTCAGTTTTTTAGAAGTTTTAAGCACAGCGCAAACCAGTAAAGCTACAACTTTCATCTTTTCGTCAAATATTCTTACAGTTGTATAGACTTTAGCCACGCACTGATTTCTCGAACTATTAACTATTATATCTATTATATCACAGGTGTATGTGCCCTGCATACTGATCGTGGTTTTGTCCTGGGTCTCCTTTTGGATACATCGCGAGGCCACGAGCGACCGGGTCAGTTTGTGCGTGACCTCCGTCCTGACCCTATCTACCATTAGCTTGGACTCGCGAACCGATTTGCCCAAAGTCAAGTATGCCACCGCCCTGGATTGGTTTCTCCTGATGAGCTTCCTCTACTGCATTGCCACACTGTTGGAATTTGCCGGCGTTCACTACTTCACGAAACTTGGAAGCGGAGAGAGTCCGCAACTGGAGGATCAGTGGGAGGATATAGCTCATAGCTCACTATCGGATCAAGCAGCTGATGGGGATGGGGATGGTGATCCTGATCCTGACTCGGACTCGAGTGAAGGTACCGAGAACGAGGGGGCGGCGAGTGAATCGATTTGTGCCTGCAGCCAAAAACACGATGCTCTTGGTCTCGAATATGAGGTCTCATTGCAAAACTCATTGGCCGGCGCTGGTTTTCTCAAGCGCAATGCCATCTTCTGTCCAACATATAATGTAAGTAGGAGGAACCAGAATCTAGAATCCAGAGATTCGCAACTCAGCTTCCTTTCTTTTTCTTTCTTTCGAGACCAGGACCCATCGTATATACTGCCGAACACCATGGAGAGAACCACTCAAACGGAGCCGCCGGCGGTTTCCCGATTGCACCAGATGTGGATGTGCCTGAAGAGCGACAACAGTTTCCGGAGGCAACGGGAACGCAACGCGGCGGCCCAGAAGAGCGAACAGGGAGGCGCCAACTGCTATGTGAATAGTGTGTCCCTGATCGATCGAGTGGCACGAATCGCCTTCCCCATGTCCTTTGCCTTTCTCAACCTGCTGTACTGGTGGGCCTACGGAATGTATAAAAAGGAGTTCTCATGGTCCAACATGAAGGCATAGACACGATGAATAAATGTCTATAACAATTACCAGAATTATATAAATACAATTTAATAACATTCTTTTAATGTGAGCTACTTAACTTTGGACTGGGTGGTATTGATCCTCGTTAAAGAGCTTGACTTGGGGGATAAATGTATCTCTTACTCACTCAAATGATAAGTAAAGTGGTATTCAAAAAGTATACAACAACAAATTTATTGGTGTTTTTTGATAGCCTTTTGGCTAAATAGGTTGCCTCACCTTAAAAAACAAGTGCTTTCATCAACTAACAACACATTCAAGGACACTGGGGTGAAAAGAAAGAAAACTAGGGTTTCTGGAAATTCCTAACGATCGATATATTGTTCTCAATAATCGATTGTTAAATTTATTTAAATACTTTTATTGTAAGCTAACCTGATTATAAAATTTAAAAACCAAACCCGTGAAGCTTTTCAAGAGCTTAGCTCAACGACCGCAGGGCGTCGCTTTCGAAAAGCACAGTCCCATTGCCGAACAAAATGGAAAGGACATGGAAAAGGACATTCTGGTAAGGCAGAAAGCAGAAAGCACAGGCCTATGTATGTATTTGATAAAGCGAACAAACTTGGATAATAGGGATGCGCAATGCAGGTCAAGCCGAGCGAAATGAACTCACCCGAGAAGCTTCTGCACAAGCATCTCTATAAGCAATTATTCATTAGATAGATATAGATACTGTGGGTGCTCGCACGCAGCAGTTCGAGGCTACGCGTTAACCAGGACCAAAATACAAAATACAAATATACAAGATACACGGACAAGACAGGACAGGACAGGAAAGGACAGGACTGTGCAGGGAAGGGAAAACGAAGTGCCAGCGGGAAAGGGACAGGAAACGGAAAAGGAACAGGAACAGGAAAAGGGAACAACAGTGATAAAGATAAAGATTAAGTTTGCCAATGCATAAATCTGAGTGTGCGATTGCAAATTCCCCATTTATTGGCTAGTGGTGGTGATATATATTGATATGGATGAAAAGGCAAGACAAACAGAAGCTGCTGTCTTAAATGCATAAGTTATATTCGAATTGTAATGTGATTTAATATCAACATATATATTTCATTGTGCGTTTGTCTGCCTAATTTCGGCTTTCGTTTTTAAATGATATTTTATTGTTTCGATACTTGTTTTCTTTGAAGACAGAACCGAATATTAGCTTAAAAGTTAATCCGAGAAGCGAGACCTCGAAAATGTGTTGGATAAAAAATGAGAACAAAATCGGGGTACACTAATCATGCGATAGAATAAAAACAAGGACACTAAGCTCGGCGTTGCCACCTATTTAGGGTGTTTTAAAACGAGCAATTAAATTTAAGGACATTCAAATTGAGCAATTATCCTCTTGACAATTTTAATTTCGCACACATTACATAATGCGTGGGTTTATAGACAGAGTGTCCCCAATAGGAATATGTTGTGTACCATTCTTATTTTGTTTACATTTTTTAGTGAAGGAAATTGTGGTTTTTAAATTCGCAAAATATATTCTCTTGGAATTCAAAACGGCTTTAAATATATTTTTTATTGCAATTCACAGATCCCTAAAACATGCCAGGGTAAAGAAGCCAGATGCATTTGATTTTGCTGCCGCGATGAAAGAGGACAAGTTGGAAATGACAGTGCAATCGATTCCAAAAAGTTGAGACCCGAACAACGACACAAGCAAAGGCTGTCAATATGACATGTACGCGCGTCGGAGTCACCTGTAGTCTGCTCTTCTTCCTACTGGGCGCCCAGCTACAATTGATTCGGTAGGTGGTACATTTAGTTCATTAGGGCGGTCCACATTTTTGTGGATATTTGTAAGGTCCTAATATCCCCCGCATACGGACGCAATCTACAGAACTCTATTTATTTTCCATATCCATACAACTCCTTATTTATCCATATCTAAATAACTCAATATTATTTCAATATCCAAATAACTGATTATGAAATGAGAGTACGATTTTTTGTCAACGAAATTCCAACTGTCATACATGTCGTATAAGTAATTTCTAAAATAATTTCGTAACGCCTAAATATTAAACTATCTTCATCTTAATGACCTCTTTTGCTTTAATTTCTATCTATCTATCTCTTTAGTGATTTTACTTTAAAAACCACTTTGCCTTCCTCTTTTTTTAACACTTTTTTCTGTCAAGTTTCTTATAATTATGGAATTGACTTCACTACTTTTAGGTGTCTTCGAAAAGATGTGCTTGCCGGCCGCCTCGAGAATGTTACGCAAACGATATCGAACATACTCCAAGGCTACGATATTCGACTCAGGCCCAATTTTGGCGGAGAGCCCTTACATGTCGGTATGGATTTGACCATAGCCAGCTTTGATGCCATATCAGAAGTTAACATGGTAAGTCCTCTTTATACGCATCTAATCACTACAAATTTAAATGTAAACCCTTTCAAAACCCTAGGATTATACGATAACAATGTATTTAAATCAGTACTGGCGCGATGAGCGTTTGGCATTTAATATCTTTGGACAATACTTTGATGGCGATGATAATGACGACGGCATCAGTGATGTGCTAACACTATCGGGGGACTTTGCGGAAAAGATATGGGTACCAGACACGTTCTTCGCTAACGATAAGAACAGGTAATTTCTTTAGAGTAACTATGTTTCAAGTAAACCTTGAACCTTCATTCGCCTAGCTTTCTGCACGATGTCACTGAGAGAAATAAACTAGTGCGTCTGGGCGGCGATGGAGCTGTCACATACGGCATGCGGTTCACCACGACCCTGGCGTGCATGATGGATCTGCACTACTATCCACTGGACTCCCAGAACTGCACTGTGGAAATAGAGAGCTGTAAGTGAAACTCTAGGCAATATAAGTAAAATTATGGCTACGGACAGCGACTCAAAGAAAAATCGCCGTGTGCCTACAGCACCCCTGAGAAAATTATGTAAACACCAACTAAATGAGAATACAAATACTTATTACAGATGGCTATACGGTCAGCGATGTGGTCATGTACTGGAAGCCAACGCCTGTGCGCGGAGTGGAGGATGCCGAACTGCCCCAGTTCACCATCATTGGCTACGAGACGAACGATCGCAAGGAGCGACTGGCCACTGGGGTCTATCAGCGACTGTCACTCTCGTTCAAATTGCAACGAAACATCGGTTACTTTGTCTTCCAAACGTACCTGCCCAGCATTCTGATCGTAATGCTGTCGTGGGTCTCGTTTTGGATTAACCACGAGGCGACCAGTGCCCGCGTGGCCCTGGGCATCACCACCGTGCTCACCATGACCACAATTAGCACCGGTGTTCGCAGCTCACTGCCACGTATTTCGTATGTAAAGGCAATCGACATTTATCTGGTCATGTGCTTCGTCTTTGTATTTGCAGCCCTTCTTGAATACGCCGCCGTTAACTATACCTATTGGGGCAAAAGAGCTAAAAAGAAAATAAAGAAGGTCAAAGATTGTTGTCCAGGCAAGATCGGTGGGTTTAGTATTAAGATATATGCCTGGCTAAGATTATAATTATTAGTATCCACAGGAAAGAGCGAAAGATCCGAAACGTGTTCAACGACCGAGGACATAATCGAGCTGCAGGACGTCCGAATGAGTCCTATTCCCTCGCTGCGCAGGGGAACCTACAACGCCACCCTCGACTCCATTGGCACCGAAACGATGAATTTGGGCAAGTTTCCGCCGAGTTTTCGAATAACCCGTAACTACGGCACCGGACACAGCCAGCTGAGGCGTCGAGCACAGAGGGGTAATATATAATATCTATTATCTATCATTATAATTACTATAACTATATATAACTAGGAATCAACGCCCGCCCACGCATGTTGCATGCCCTGAAACGCGGGGCCTCTGCCATTAAGGCCACCATACCGAAGATCAAGGATGTCAATATCATAGACAAGTACTCCCGAATGATATTTCCGATCAGTTTCCTTGCGTTCAACCTTGGCTACTGGCTGTTTTATATTCTGGAATGATGATATATAATTAATTACCCTAGCAGAACAGAACAGAACCATGGGATCCGAATACAACTTTTTATAACCTCCATAATAAAGATTGACTTCGCCATAATATTTGGGCGTACCTGAATCGGTAGTATTTTTCCTGGGAATAGTAAATAAAGAATAATAACGCTTAGAACTTCAGTTTCTACTGTTTACTACTCCAAGTCGCTTATAGCTAGGCTTACTTCGCTAACCACTCTATGTTATTCTGCATCCATTGTCAATCCGCTCCTCCACTCGAATTCACTCAAAGAACCACCACTGGTCACCGAGCTCATCGTTAGCCCTAATATGGCGAGGACTCAGGTTCGCATGGTTTGAATCCACCGCCGCACATTGGTCGATCACACGAAAACGCTGGCCAAAAGTCCAAAGTCAGTGTTAAGAACTCGGGGCTAATTCACATAAGCTATTTCACAAAAGCTGACAAAATCGAGGGAAGAAGCATTCACTGCAGAAACAAAAATATGATTCTCTGAATAAGAAAAAATATAACACACACACATACGAATTTTGCCTTTCACGTTTCTCCCCGGTTTGGCATTTTTATTTCGAGATTAATTTGAAAACGTTTTTTGTAAACCAATCTCTAAAAATAGTCTTAAGCTCGAGATAAAAATGGAATGTGTAAGGAAAAGCGTGAAAATGTGATATGCAGGAAGCCCAATTGCAGCAGAAAATCATATTTTTCTCACTGTAGCTTTGTTCTTCGTTTAATTCTGTAAACCAGTGTTATAAAAACTAGACACTAATGCTGCTGCTGCTGGACATACCCGAACCATGGACTGGTTCTCATTTGAATTTGAATTTTGATCCGCCGTCGAGGATGCGTTTGTCGCGATGTGATCACCACCGCCTATGTGACTTACAAATTAGTAGGAGTTGCAAACAATATGTTTAAAAAAGGAACAAATCAAAAGGTAATAGGTAAAAATACACACCTGTTAGGTTGGCATTCGACTTTGGCAAGTTGACCACATCGCGGCGAAATGTTGACAGGTTTTGGGTGAACCTAAAGGGGGAAAAACGCAGATTGTTGTAAAAATATATATTAAATATTTATAGAGAACTCTAAACTCACTTTTCTTTGTTTTTACTGGAAACATTTCGCTCAATTCCAACCATCAGGTCATCGAACCATTGAGCCATTGTCTGTTGTTTTTCCATCGGCTGCCCACAGATGATTCTGTCTTTCAGGGATCTGTAAAATAGATAGAAGTTTTAAACATTGCTATAAGGATATATAAATCATCATACCGATAATAGTCCTCATAGAGCAAGATAAGTACCAGCAGTGGTCGTGACATCGACCACTGATTTCGACAGTCCTCAGCCAAAACGTTGTTCAACAACGAGGACATCATACTCTGAAGCAGCTCAGAGTTCATTTCAACAACCTTAAAAATTAAGTAAATAGTTAGAAAGGATATTTCTTGCTATATTTCAATACATACCTTCAAAAATTGCGCGTTTTCTTGATTTAAACTGCGAAGCTTTTTGTTTGGAAATGTGGAAACTTGAAAAGGAGTTACAAAATTAGTTGTATTTCTCATTTTATATATTTTCCGATCCTATTTACCTTTCATCTGTAGCTGCTTAAAGATGTATGAAACAATACTATCCAAAATTGTGCAGCAACTTATATAAATGGCTGAATCTAAAAATTATATTTATGGTAATATATATTACTCTTTTAAGGGTTTAGTTTATAGAACCCACCTAATGCCGCAAGTCCCTTGGTGAGGCTTTTTAGTATGTAAACGAATGCAGAAGGCTCCAGGGCTGCCAGGTAAGAAACATGATCTTGTGATAGGCAATTCAGTAAATTGTAATAGGCCGTCGATAATTTTGGGTATTCCTGAAAGTCAATTAAAGTTTACAACTAGTTATATAGTTAATCATCGCATAAACCCACCAGTAGATCGCTCTGCTGTATAGAGAGTATTAACTTTGCGATGGTATTCAGTACGTTGTCCAATGTATCATCTCCGTACAGCTTGAATACGCCGCAATTAACATAATTTCCACCAAGCGAGTTCTTTAAGATCAAGAAGCATATGGCAATTCCTTTAAGTCTCATCGGGTACAGTCGATCGCGCGGAACATCCTGATGCAGAATGCGGTTGCCGTATATACAAATAAGTTTCGAGGCCTCGCGAAATAGGAGAATGCCCATGGGGCTGGACACATTGCCCGCGAGCCTTTGGGTGCGGCAATGCACCAGTTCGGCAAACAGTTTAAGCACTGGTGTCGTAACGGCAGGATCGTGAGCCCACAGTTCCATGGCGCGCAGCAGTATGGGCAGATAGTCCGCATAGTAACTGCAATAGAGATTGTTTAAATATTATTGCATTTAAAAACCAGATGTAAAAGCCATACGCACAGCCACTCGAAGAGCATGGTGTACTGAATGCGGGCGTTCAGCGGCAGCGCCAGGCCACGAAGGTCGCGAGCCAGGCCGATGGTGGCCTTTTTAGCCTCATCATTAGGAAATATATTGGTGTCCATCAGCACAGAGCCAAGGGACTCGAATTGGTCTGCAAAAAAATAGAATTACTATCTTAATTTATATCATTTTAAAGGTACAAGCAACTGACTTGTTAAAGGCTCCAGGAAATTGTAGAATCTCTCCTCATCCTCGCCCAAATCGAACATCAGCAGGCGGCCCAGCGAAGTGTAGAACATGGTGCGACATCGCATCTCACTCAGCGTTGAATTCGTTCCTAGGAATGGGAAATGTTCGCTGGTGTGGTGCGTCAGCATAAATTGAACCTCCTCCAGACGCGCCAGCTTGCGCACCGAGTTGAAGTGCACAGAGAGATCGGAGAGTAGCATCAGGGTTTTTGTAATGATCGGCTCGGAGCGTCCCCAAAACTTAAGATTTGTAATACTAAAAGATTTAGATTCGTTCGTTATCAGTTCAAAAACAAATCAAGTTATAATCCTACTTACATTTTACGGTTTATAAAACTTAAAAGCATCTGCTCGTCACTCAGGCCGAACACCTCGCTTAGTCTCTTGTACACATTGGCCTTTTGGGCCTGCTCGCTGCTGTGCATTTTGCGCACCTGATCCAAGAAACTGAGGATGGCCAGCTCCAGCTTTTCGCAGCCAGCCTGCGGCAGGCGAGCATCGGTTAGGCTCATCAGTTGCAGAACTCTTATCACGAGCTCGGCGTCCATGGTGTCGTGCTCATCGCTTGTGGTGACCGAAAGACGACCCACAATGGCCGATCCGATTATATAGACCAGCCACGTTAGCTGCAGCTCGTGTATGGTGATATCAATGGGATTGGCGTTGGGCGTCTGCAGAAGATTCTCGTACTCGCGGGCCTTCTGATCAAAGTGCTGAACGAGAAGGCCACAAGTCTTGTTGTACTCGCACCTCTCGATCACCGACAGCTGCTCCAGCTGCTGCTGCACCATGCACAGATCGTCCAGCGGATCCTCTAGATTGTCGCGCACAATCACGGGCACTGCGTCCAGGCGCGAATCAATGTAGGCCTTTATCACCTCCGGCGTGTAGGTACCCAGCAAATGGGGATCCGGGGACTTGACATAGGGCACCGAGGCAACCATACGTTGCCACAGGGTGAGCAAGTAATGCACGCTATTCGGTGCAAAGAGCCACAGCTGAGGGGGAAGATAAGGTAGGGTAAAGCTACAAGTTTCTCCCCTTAAATCCTTATACATACATGCAGGGATTGGACAGTAAACTTAGCTATCAGTTCAATTGCTTCGGGATAACATGGCACCGCTATAAGTTCGCCCAATTGATAGTTGGACTTGAGGCGAGCCAGCAGGCGGCAGAATTCATGATAGTTATCTGGGTCGCTCAGGCCCTAAAACGAAATGTTTGCCAACAAAAATATAGGGGATAAATCGCTTGCGGCGTACTCACATGCAAGCTGGTCAATATGTCGCGTACTCCCTCGACCAAATGCGTTAGAAATTTCGTTCTCTCCGAATTACTAAAAAGAGACCGACGCACAGATGTCATTTGTACCAGGCAGGATATGGAGTAGCTAGCTAAACCATTGGGCAAAATTTGGTATAAATCAAAAAAAAGTTTAAGTGTGTTCGAATCTAAGAATGCAGGGCGCCAAGCTGTGGGTATCTACGTATAAGGTCAATTTAATAGAGAATTGAAATGAATTATTTGCATTTGCGTACATACCTGAACGTTGTTCATATCGTCCGCGGACTCATCTGTCGAACTGCCAATAAAGTCAAAGCTCAGGCAATTTTTCGTTAGACGCAACACGTGCGATATTAGCCTACAGGGGTAAAGGAAAATATATTTCAAATTAGTTAAAGAACATCTTAAGAACAAAAAAAGTTAGGTTATATAGTTTATAGGGTAAATACAGAGCTATACATTAAACAAAAATAACTCACGCTTGTTGCGATTCGTCCATGAAATTAATATTTTTGCTATTTTCGCGGGCCGTGATCAGCAGTGAGCAGGATAGGAGAAAGGTGTCGTAGAGCTGCTGGTCCCGGTAGGAAGTGGCTATTTTTCGATTTTTCGAAAAGGACAAGTGGACGTCCAGCTCCACAATAGAGTTCATTTCGCAAACCAGTTGCGATAGAATTTGAACGCCGATTGTACAGTGCTCAACGGAGCCCTAAAATGTAGATATAGTATGATATAGTATAATATAAAATAGTATATTGTATGATATAGTGCAATATGATATAGTATGGTATCGTTTGGTATGGTTAGGTATGATATGGGTATGGTATGATATGATATATGGTATAGTATACAGTTTAGTACAGATAACTCTACCTGCAAGAACTTTTTGACATCCTCCAGCAGGTTCTGGAACACCATCTCGCCCTTGAAGGTGTCGAACCATCCGAACTTGGTGATCTTGGCCAACAAAGTAACCAAAGCCTGGACAACAAAGTGCTGCAGATTGGGCCGCGTCGCCAGGTAGTTGAGGGCATAGCTGCGTATGTCGATGCGCTGCTCGAGACTCAGTCCCTGGATCAGTTTGGTGAGCGTGGAGGCGGCCAGCAGCTGGGCGTAGCTGGAGTCGGCCCGGTCCAACAGCAACTGGCACTTGGGCAAAGCATCCTGGCTGTTGACGAAGGTCACAAGGGCTTTTTCCGCCTCCGCACGAATGCTAATGTCGGTGGCCTCGTAAAGTTGCTTGCAGAGTACCTCCAGTTGTTGTATATCCTGAAAAGGCCATTAGATATCATACATTTGCGTACTTTATGTTAGGAATACAACATTAAATACATACCATAACGATGAACACCGGACGACTGGGCTTAAAAAAGCAAACTGGTCAATTCGGGAAACGCTTCTTAATCCCCGGTAACTACGTCTTAGATCTAACCGCTTTCGACTGTTTCGGTGTCTTTAGAATTTTTTTAGCGAAACGAAAGGCATGGGGCATTTGGTAACAACGAGCCTACTTAGTTATTTCTATTTTTTAAGTAAATTTATAAATGAAAACAAAACGCCAAGTTTTTTTTTTTGACAAGTGTGACCAAAACAAACAAATGATAATTAGTTGGGGTATTCATGCACTTGTTGCAACTGCAGCCGCGTGAACGGCGCATTATCGCATCAGTGAAATTCGCAGTATGAAATTAGTGGCAAAAGTATACACAAATGTATATACATTATATCTTATCAATGCTTTACTTAACCTTTCTTACAAATAATTAAACAAGCAGCGCCAAGAATCTTTAAGAAAAAAGATTTTCCCTTTTAAAAATAGGAAATTTGTATGCACAAGGTGATTTAAATAGAATAGACAGAACCTGAAATGTATGATCCCAGCAAAAAAATCACTAAATCTAAATTTATAACTATTTTGTAAAGCTGAAAATAAGTAAACGGTAAAATCAGAGTTTCACATCTTTAAAAATCCCAACCATTCCGCTAAGCACCAAGCGCAGTGGGTATATCGTATTACACATTTCCCTGAACTTAAAATCGATAACTTACATTAAAAATGTATGGCCTTTAGTTAAAAAAAACAATTACGTATAAAAAATAAAAAAAGAACAAATAAAAAGGTTTTATTAACTCACAAAAATGCCGTCTTTAAAATGTGTTATCGATAATAATCGATTTTTTCTCTTAAAATTTTTAAAATAATAAACAATACTCTAATCCATAGAGAAGATAAAAAATAAATTAAATATTTTGGAAATTCTTATGAGTCACAGTAAAACAAGAAAAGCGAACTCAAAAGATTGCAATCGATACGTTTTTTTATTAAATAGAATTAAATAGGGTTGTGGTGAGTACCATCAGCCAACCATTTAGCACCTGTGGACAGGTGATTATCGATGACAGAGATCTTTTAGCGTGATCTGCTGATCTGCCATTGTGCGCTATGTAAAATATCGGATCGAAGGACCACCTGACCACCGAGTCTCGATAACCAAATCATAACTGACCCCATCAATACTTTATTTCTTTATTTAAATAATCTGCCACTAGGTGGACCACCATTAAGTTCATTGTTACGTACAAAACACTGTTTGGTTTTATAGTATTCGTTGTTTTTGACAAATAATTAAGTAGATGACATTGTGTATACATCAAAAATAAAATGGATATATTACAAATATAAAGATTAAAATATCATACACACATAATGTTATATATGACCTTCATTAATACAGCATCTTAATGTAAAACAGATTTAGATTTCATTCAGGGTTCAATAAGCGGTTCTATGTTTTATTTAGTTCGTCAAGTAGTATGCTTTTACTGAAGAGCTGGGTTTTATTGTCCTCACAGACTGAGCGCACAAGCCGTTTATTCCGTGGCAAGCAGCGAAAAGTTCTCAAAATTCAGCTTACCTTGTATAGACTCATCGTCCAGGTCTTCGGTGCTGTTGGTAATACGTGCTGTCCATGGAAGATAATGAATAAATATGAGATTCTATATAATATAAAGTAAATATGAATACGCACTTCTGGACCCCTTTGTTGAACTGACGCCCATGGAACTTTGTAAGCCTCCATTTCGGCCATATAGAACATTCTCCAAGTAGGACAGACCATTGTTGTTGACAATGTTCAAGCCAAGGCACGTCTCGATTTGCTTCCAGCGATGCAGCCGTTCCTGCAACTCATTTGTCACATCTCCCAGGGCATTTCGTGCCTCAACAATGGATCGATCGACATCATCAATACTTTTGCCGTGCGTGGAAACGAATGCGCCCACCAAACTCGAACGCTTCTTCCGCAATTTTTCACAAGCCTCTCTGGCCGACTGAAGCTGCTTCTCAGCCGATGTGCGTTTCTTCTGATGATTCTTACTCTCTAGTTCATATGTGTATTGCAGCCACGATTGGAGCTGCGGCGGTGGTGCCCAACAGTTATCAACCAGCTCGAATTCGGCACGAGACAATTCATTGCGCAGCATCTCGATTTCTTTTTTCAGCTGCTGTACTTCCAGATCCGAATTCGATGAACTGAGTGTAGGGGCCTCTTTGAGACGCCTCTCCAAATCCATTTTCTCAGTGGCCACATTTTCCTGCTCCATTCTGGCTCGTTCTAGTTCCTGTAATATAAATAAAAATATTTAAAAATGTATTACAAATATTAATTTTAATATTTATTTGAAACAAACCTTCTGCATTTCCTGTAGACTTTGTTCAGCCCTCTGCAATCCCTCCATATCTTGTGCCATTCGACGCAGATGACGTTTGGCGTTCTTGTTCTGCTGGTAGGCGTACCAACATCCAATAATAGCGCTAAGCAACAAGGTAACCAATATGTAGTCCTTCCAGCGGGTACCAGTTTCTATAAAAGGATAAGTATAAGTTAATATATTAATATTTGGTACTTAAAATTATTTGTTGTATTATCTATTTCGGATAACTTTAACTTACCTCGCGGTGGCCCAAAAAGAACAACGTCCATAGCCTTTAATGAGATTTTTTGCTTATGTATAGGGTCTTTTATTCCAAGTACATTGCCCACATACTGAAGATTATTCACAGCCAACCTAAAATGCAGAATAGAATTACAAATCTTGAAATTTTTAATATAAATCTAAAAATAATTTTAGGAATATAGGTATAAACTTCGGCTGGCCAAAGTTAGCTTCCTTTCTTGGCTTTGTAGTTTCTAAAACATAAAAACTTTAAATGATGTGCCATGATGAAAACCAAATTTAATCGCAATTTTAAATAAATATTTAAACTTAATTTATAGCCTACCTTGGCAAAGCAGCTCCAGTGACCTTATGTAATTTAAACAGATCAACATATTGGGGCAGCTGAACAGATTGTGCCAACCAATCTGTCGTCTGTTCGATGGTCCAATTATGCACCTCTGATCTCAGCCAAGCCTCCCAAAGTTCTTTCACCGATATATGCATATCGTCATTAAAGTGAAATGCTTTCTGCCGCTTTTCATAACCCGAGTCGTACTTCAATTCCTCCCGTAAAAACTGTAAAAAAAACACGTTTTAAAATGAGAACATAAAATAGGGCAATGAAATGTTGATAGCTTGAAATTAATGATAAGAAATGAAATAATAAAGTGTGTCGTATAGGCCTCTAATAAACTCTAGGACTTAAAAGTTGTAAGTTTATTGGACCCTTACCTAACAAGAAAGGAAGCTTTGTTCGCCAAGCCGAGTTTTGTATTTATTTGGAGTTATTTTAAAATATATTAGGGCCAATAAACAAAAAAGATCAAAATTAATGCATCTATAGCATCAACTAGTACGCATTTGAACGGAAATTTAATGAAATTGTGTTAAAAAATATAACTTATTCGTTTATATAAAATGTATACAGTTAACCAATCAAAAACTCTTGAAAACTAAATGAATAAAAAGTAAATGAAAAAGTAAACTTCCTTCCGCAAAACAAAAACTCACGACTATAAGTCTGTCTATTGGCGTTTTAATGTGCTGATCCGGTTCTGTGTAATGAAATTTCTATATGCTTGCTAGTATCGGGTATAACTTGTGTCAGCTAATAGTTTCTAGTCATGGAAACATGATTTTTATATACTTTGTACTTTAAGATCAATGGGCTTTGTAACGTACGTCATCGGATTCGCTCAAATCGATGTTTCCATTGTCATCATCATCAAGTTGGCGATGCAGGCTTGCAATAGCCTCCATGCCGAAGCGATCCTGAACACTTCCACTGTAGCAGTCAAAGTCATCATCAGCACACGCGCCATCTGCCGAACCGCTTCCCATGGAACCTGTTGAAAAACGGATCGATTAATAATATCACATAAGAATAGTAATATTTAGTATTATCATTACATTAACTTATTTATAAAAATAAGGCCATAAGAAAGAAAGTATAATACATACATTTAAAAAAAGGTCCTTGAGATGATAGCTAGTAATTTAAAACAAATAAAAACAAATAACAACAAAGAAAGCTAACTTTGGCAAGCCAAAGTTTACGTACCCTTGCAGTTATAAAAAAAAAATGTTTGTTACTCCATATTATGTCTATGTTATAGCTCAAAGTCATTAGTTTTTGTCTTAAAAAATTAAAACCACTAAAATCAGGTCATCAATATTCAAAAATAAAAAAAAGAGTGCCGAATTGGCAATTTAAAAAGCAGAAAAAAACCTATTACTGAAATCAAATTAAACGATAACGAATTCAAGTAATATTTATATTTAAGAACAGCGAAGTTTTACCAATTTGGCCAGATTGTCGCGTATAAATTGTCCAATCGTTCCTAAGGCAGCTATATGTTATAGTCGTCCGATTGGGGCCTTTCCGACCTACATTCTACCTGCAATAGAAAGAAGACTATTGTTAAAGTTACATCCATCGGCCTTCAAAACTGAGATACTAGTTTGCTTAGAAACGGACGGACAGACAAACATACGGACAAGCTTATATCTATGCTTATATCGGAAATATCACTGCGTTGCAAATTGCTAACTAAAAATAACAAAACCCTCTGCAAGGGTATATCGATTAATTCTAAATATTGTCAATCGTTATTAATCGATTAATTGTTGGTGTGGGGGAAAAACAATCGATTGTTTTGCGTCAGTGTAATATTGGGTTAAATTTAATCCTAAACTTACGCATTATCCTATTGAGAGTTAGTAATAATCTGATTTCAAGCCGACTTACTGAACTCATTGCTGACAGCCTGGGACATGGCTTCGCTGAGGAGATTGTATGAGCTCCTATGCAGATTTTGTTCAAGGTGCGTGGAGTGTTCTCCTCCGCTTCCGGCATGCGATGCTGCGATATGGGTCGCATGCTCCGACTGAGAATGGTGCAGACTCTGACTCCCAGCCTCGTGGGAAGAGTGACGAGGGGCTACATTGGGATTCTGCTTGTACTGATGCTGCTGCGTGTTGTAGCGATTCGAGACGACGGAAACTGTGTGCGATCCATGATCCTGCGAGCTTATGCTCTTCAGCACACAGCATATGAATATGAAGGAATAGTTCCAAATGGTATCCTTTCGCATTGTTGTAAATGTGCGGACTTCTTCTAAATAAATGATCGCATACGCCTCCCTTGAAATCAGTAATCGGTTCGGATTTTTTCGGGTTTACAGCTCACATTTGTTGGTCGTGAAAATCATAGTTTTTAACAGATGATATCCTGAAATTATAAATTACTTGTTATTATATATTATATTAATTATAATTCCTAATACCCTTCTAGTTCAGAATAAGATAGAGAAAACTGTTAGTATAGTCTGCCTATATTGGAACCTTTTTCCTCCACAGATCTTGTGATCATAAACTAAAGTTTCTAGGCTTTTTAACGCATATTCTCGTTCTCTTATAAATAAAATTGATTAAATAACCGAGAAAAGCCAACTGTGTGCAAAAGTATTATTGCATTCGCCAATAAATAAAGATTTACTGGGCGCAAACCTCAGAGGATGTTCTATTTGTCGATGAGATTCGGTTTTAGGGTTATTATAAGATAACCGCTGAGCGCTTATTTGCTTGGGAATCCAAATTATGGCGAAAAAAACGTATGAGTAATAGAATAAAGGAATTTTTTTGGCTCGCCAAGGCAAATATTTGGGGAGTTGGAGATTTGGATTTTCTTTTTTTTTTTTTTTTTTATTTTCCTTCAATTGCATTCTATCGTGAGAAATAAATATGCGTTTTACATTTGTACAATTGCAATACATTCAAGATCATTTTTGATTTTGAATTAGAAACAGGTAAGTGCGTAAAATACAGTAAAATCACACGGATATCGGTATAATCTCAACACATAACGGTACATTTACATGCCAGCCTCTAAATCATAGGCAAGGCTTACTGTATAACTGTTTTTTTTCTAAACTTTTTTTTAATATTTTTAATATTAGACATTGGATACTATATACGAATGTACATATGTAAGTTTCGGAAGGCATCAGCATTTGTTTACTTCTAAAAACGTAGAAAAGGGCGAAATTCAACGATCTTCGGTTGTTTTCAGCTGCGTTATGAGGGCACAATTTACAATGCCATTGCTAAACACTTAATAACCACACATATGTGGATGCCCAGTGGTAAACTTCCATAAGTTTTTTTTAGACCTCAAATAAAAATAAAAGCACTCACACTAAATCACTGAAATAATGAAATTCCTCTCGAGAGTGACCAGTCCACTGAAAGGGCAAAAATACACTCGTCACTTTTAAAACTGACAAAGCCTTTCGTGACGATAATTAAATAATAGTTATGTAGTGAATTTGAACCAAATATTTAATCCCTACAATGCTGTAAAACCGAAAATGTATGCTTTATTCGCAATTATTCATTTGAGCGAGCTCGGTAAAAAAAAGTTAAAAGCAATGTTTCCACTTGTTAAATATTTCGCGTTCTGCCTATCGAACGCGAATTTACATATGCATGGAAAGTTCTTGCAAATGAAATTAGTATTTATGTACGGTATAAATCCAATCTAATTGGATTTGAATAGATTTCGGATATTTTGAGCCCATTGAGCGGCGACTTGGAGTGGAATGATTGGGATTTTTGAAACACTAGGAGCTACGATTTCAAAGGAATCATCGGAATTCTGGGATGATTCTGATTTCTGAATCATAGGATAAACAGAAGGATTTTAGATCTACATTTTAAGGCTCTCCTAATTTTAATTTTCATTTCTGTCATAAATAAAAACAAATTTAACATTAAATTAACGCAGTGGAGACATTCCTTTTCTCACAAACGCGATTATGAGTCGGCGAAAAATGCCAGCAGCTATTGCCTAACGCGTAGTTTAAATAACAATTGATTGCTACAGAAGTTGACAGCGCGAAAGACAATATTAATTTAATAATTTACATGTAATTCGAGGGCAACTTTATCACACGGCGAATACTTATTAGCATTAGAAGCGAACCAGTTTGGCAAACGAATTTGGCATTTATTTGTTGATAGTGTGTGTGAAGACAAAACAAACGAAAAGCACATCGAAAAAAAAAGATAAAAACGCGCGCATGCAGCATTTTTGGTTAAAATAAACATCAATAAAGTGTACATTTGAATGGGATGCTCGATACGCGATGGGGGATAATGAATAGGAACCTTGGTTAGTGCCCGTAATGAACAAATTGCTGTGTTTTTGTGGCCCATTCGGTGCAGAAATAGTGTATTTTTAAACAAGACTCTGGTACATAGCATAGCTCACGCGCACAGGACACCAGGCAGTCCTAACATAAAATTCTCGCCTCACATCCATTGTGTTACATAGCGAACAAATCCAAAGCAGAGCTAAAGTTTCGATTCCTTGGCCAAACAGGTATGTATTCGCATTCGCACTCACAGGGATACACATATGTACACATAACGCGTACATCCGAATGTTTACATCCTTATTACTAAATATAGAAGGTGCTGAAATCTGAAATCAAAGCATTTCCAATTGTGCAAATTGCCATTGGGATGTTGTATGTATGTATGTATGTGGCTGCATAAATGTAAGGCGTGTGGAAAACTCGCATAGATTTTCTTTTAATTTTGTCCGTAGGATATTATTTATTCGCATATAAATAAGCATATATGTACATTGTACACCTGTGTGTATGGGTGCGTGTGTGTGTGTGTATATACAGTGGTCAACAGCTAAAAAGGAAACAGTGCTATGTTATATATATTAAAGGTTACGGTACTTTTGGACAAATAAACCTACAAAGGAAATTCAAAGGGATACCAACAACGCAAAATCTGAACAAAAAAAATTTACCTAACAAAAAAAGTTTTATTTAATGTAGTTATCCCAAATGGATTGAAAACAAATAAAATCTGATTTTTTGTAAATGGGTAAAATCAAAAATGTTCACTTTGATGAAGAGTCCTCTGAAATGTCGTTTTTAATCCGAACTTGGAATGATATACATATTTAACATTAATACTATTATTATAATTAAATAATACAATTTTCCTATTGTGCAATAATATGTAATGTCGAAATTAAAACAATAGTCTGTAGTTTGATATCATAAGAAAAGGATTTTTTTTAATTTGATTAAATCTGACAATGTAATAAAGATACGTTCAAAAGTTTTAGAATCTGTAATGAATTGAAACCCCTAATTTTTGTATAGTGCATCAAACATTTTTTGAAAATATTAAAAAAGGATTTTTTAAAAAGTTTTAAAAGCTTAAAAGTTTTAGAATCTGTAAAGCATATTATTTTTTTTTATTCGTAATACCATAACAGGAACAAAAATATTTCAAAATAAAAATGAATATTATTTACCGCAGGATACACAAGGATCTTTAAATGAGAGAATAGTTTTGCGGAGAAACGTGCACAGCAAAGGCGCCAATATATTTCGAGCGATACGATGAGCGGCGTTACCCAGGAATTTTGTGTACGCTGGAACAGCCACTTGGGGAGCATTGGGGCTGCGTTTCCGCAGCTCCTGGCGGGCCAGCGATTTGTGGACGTGACACTGGCCTGCGAGGGCACCCAGGTGCACTGCCATCGCCTCGTCCTGGCCGCCTGCTCCACCTACTTCGAGGCGATACTGGCCGAGCATCCGTGCAAGCATCCCGTCATCATATTGCCCCGTGAGATCAAGCTATGGGAGATCCAGGCCCTGGTCGACTTCATGTACAAGGGCGAGGTCAATGTCACGCAAGCGGGTCTTGGCCAGCTGCTCCGTTGTGCCGAGCAGCTACAGATACGCGGCCTCTACGGTTCCGAGGCGACGATAAACTACAAGAAGCTCCATCAGGCGAGCCTTGAGGCTGGAGGATCCAAGGATCTCTTGGCAGGCGCACAGCGAAGCATTAAGCATGTGGACAGCACGGAGACGGATGATGCAGCCACTAATTCAACCACCTCAACGATAACCACCTCCTCCGCTCTACCAGTTAACCAGCAACAGCAGCAGCAGCAACAGCAGCAGCAGCCGCAACATCAGCCGACAGTATTGAAGCGCCAAAATCAGGATGTCCGCCAGCAGCAGCAGCAGCAGCGACCTCAGTTAAATGGCAGCAATGCTCAACAACAGCCAACATCCAAGGGCAGCCACTCGAATGCCCCGACCGAAGAAGACTCCGGCGACGAGGTGTCCAACAATTGGAGTGCCTACGGGGAGCCCTTCGAGGATGTGCAGGCGGTGGCCGGCAAAATGAATGCCCAAATGTCCCTGCAGCAGACGAGGTTTGTTATGAGGTTTATTAGAGGCTTTTATAACGCAACTATATACTTACAGGATACAAATGCAGCTGCAGCAGCAGCACTATTTGGATTCCCAAATTGAGGACGATCACAACTATGTAGCCGCACACGATGAGAACAATGAGAGCAGCAGTTTCGCTGCAGGAATGGCCTCCTCCGTCGGCCTGGACACTGATCTCATCGACACATCGGCCAACACTTCCGGCGGACTGCTCAGTCACAATTCAATCGACGGCTATACCTCATACAAACGCGTACGACGCTCGGAGGCATCGCTGGCACAGGCGGCCAAATGTGTTTCGAAGGGCGAGACATTCCAAACGGTCAGCAATATGTTCAATATTCCCGTCTCCACCATTCGTTTCTATATGGCGCGAAAGGGTATACTGCCGAAACGGAAACGCGGACGCGGTGCTTCCCATGCCGGCAACATAATAATCACAACAAACTCAGGAAAACTCTCAACCGTCCCTGCGAGCGCCACCCATTCTCAGTCTCAATCTCAGTCGCATCCCCATCATCTCCATCTCCAATCATCTCAATCGCATCCCCAGTCTCAGTCTCAAATGTCCTTGGACGGCCTGCAGCTAAAAACGGGCAGCGGTAGCAATAGTCCGGCAGCTGCAACGGCCACTTCGATGTCACCATCATTTGATATGGCCTCCTCGGGAGCGGATATCGTGCCTTTTCACCTGCACAGTGATGCGGCGGCGGCATTCAAGCTCAACGATCAGAAGCTGCACATGATCTAGGGGCAAATATTGATAGAGAGGATGAGGGAGTTTTCCAAGCAGTTGCTGCTTTCCTTTTCATTTTTTCATTTTAATTGTGGGATCTTTAGTCATAACAAAATAGTCAACAAAATAAAATTTACTCTTAGATTTATTTGAATACGCTTTGAAGTTAACGGTTTTACATCCTTGGTTGATTCTACTCACTGTTATTCAACCATTATTCATCGTCAAAAAAAATTTCAGAAATTATATACATTATATTAACAGTAGAAGTACACTCTATCAAGGACTATGACTAAAACTTGCGTAAAAATTTCAAAATCTGTTTATTGTCGCCCCAGTACTCTAAGAAATTACTGTATTGTTAATAAGATAAATAAAATCAACCTGGAAACTTTTACTAGGTTTTTGTGTGATTGCAAATATATAAGATGACAATTCATAATAAAATCAAAGGTCGTAAAAGACATAATCATTGTGCTTACAGCAAAAAGAAAAATATAATATATTTTGTGGTATTATTGGCCAAATACCCCGAAATGTTGAAAGCAATATGTATACTTTCAGATGGTAGTTTGTAAAGCAGAGAAGAAGTAAACTATATATACTCTTGTTCAGCATCATTCTGAGAGCAGATATATAGTCATTCCATTTTGGGCCATATCTTAAAGTAAATACGAAAACCGCTACTATGATAGACGTTGTGAAAATAGTATTAAATGCATAAGTACTGTGTACGAGGAGGAGGCTTGGCAATAAAATTTTAAATGCATTCAAAGTAACAATAAAATTATGTATGGCGTTTTCACCCAGTTTTCAAGGCGCCAAAGGAAGATCAAATATTTGTATATTTTCGCAATTAATTTACTGTAAATACTTTGCATAACCTTGCAAATATTTGATCAAACTATAATTGTATTAAATGACCTTTAATCTAAGTAGATCTAATTAATTTAACTACTGCTTTGTTTAATTTTTTATACAAATTTCTTGTTTTAGGACAAAACTAGCTTTTAAATCGATACAAACGCTATTTATAAATTCGATTAATCGAAATTCGCATTATCTCAGCTGTTTTTGATTTTGATACGATAATTTATTACTGCTAGAGATAATTCGTCGAATTTTTCAACTGAGCGTTGCATATTTATTTCAGTTTAATTTTCCCCGTCTTTTTGTTTTTTTTTAATTAATTTTAGTTAATAATTTAAAAACAAAGGGCATTGTGTCCAGGATGCAACATCCATATTTCGACGCCAGTGTAAACGCACCATAAATCCTTAAGATCGATTGGTTATCGAACGCAAACGCTGTCCCAGTGGAAACGTGAAATTACAGTATATTTGGTATATTTTCACGGTCACACATCCTACGGTCATACTTCAAGGCTAGTTGTAAATAGACGCACACGATTTCAATTCATTTTGTAGAAAATATGTCTCAAGGAAACAATACTGCTGACAAGGGGCTGCCCTGTGACCTTTACCTGGACAAAACGCTGCAGGATGATGCGAATATGCAAGGAATACTGAAGACCTTCTACGGCAGCATTGAGGTTCTGGAAGCGGACCTGGAAAAGGCACTGGCGCTCCAAGCAGGACGCACATTGACCGCAAACGAGCAAATCAAACTGGATAGCTACATGGCCTACCTGAATAGCACGCTGTTTTGGATACACCTGAAACTGCAGGGCGTAGATGTCGCAAAGGTGAGGAACTATATCACACATAGAATAGAACATTTTAAACCATAACATTTTATTCCAATTTAGCACGGTGTAATGCACGATTTGGGGCGCGCCAAAGAACTACTTGCCCGCGATAAGGAAATAAACGCTTCTCTGGCGGCCCCGAGATTGGATTTGCAGGCTGCCAAGCGATTTATTGCCGCCGGAACGCACACGCGTTTCGTAGACATGGACGGAGTTATGGTCACCGAAAAACAGTATAATAAAAGTCTGCAAGCAACTGAGAAATAAAAAAGAAACCAACATCTAAGAATATATTTATGCATAAAACACTAAGTTCCCTCACCATACAAATACACCAATCAAATACACCATACATAACTCATAAACTCAGGTTAGTACAACTTTTTACACAGCCTTTTGGGGATTTTTTGTTTATATTTATATTTCTGTTCTATACAATTTCATTTCCACACATGTAGATAGATCTTCTAAAAGATCTAATAGTTCTGCTTATCTTGGGGTAGCCTTTTGGGGATCAGGCGAAATATTATCCAACCTAACCTCTGGTAAATAGAGCTGTAATCTATTTTATCCTATCCTATGAATCGATTCTTTTCAATTCCTGAAAAAGATCGATAAAAATCGAATTGGTCTTCTCAAAAATTTTATAGTTGTGGTTATCTTGGGGTAGCCTTTCGGGGATCAGGCGCAACACAAGTTTCGAAATATTATCCAACCTATGGTAAATAGAGCTCTAATCGATACTTCTTTTTATGAATCGATTCTTTTCCATTCTGAAAAAGATCGATAAAAATCGAACTTAAAATCGAATTGGTCTTCTCAAACATTCTATAGTTGTGGTTGTCTTGGGGTAGCCTTTTGGGGATTAATAGCTACATATTATCAAACCCTTATTAAACCTTACATAAAGTACAAAGCCCCCGAAATTAAGACAAAATAATGTTGTAAAGCTGGAAAATAATTTTAATTCATACGTTTCTTTCTAAATGGCTTAATTTACGGTACAATACGATATATTACTGATGTTTCAAAACCGATAAATTAACATTAGCATTTTCCTTAAATTTATGTTGATCATATTCAATACTTTAACCATACAGATATTAATATTTCCGATTTAATTTCTTCTGTTTTTCTTTGTTGTTTTCTTGAATTATTAATTATTTATGTATATAGCATTTTTGTTTTGTTGTGTTTGTTTTTATTTTGGTTTTTTATTTGTTATTTTTTATTTCTTATTTTTTTGTTAAGATTATTGAACGAGAACTGGCAATATAGCCCAAAATTTTCTATCAGTCGGTGTAAGATTGCCCCAATAAGGGGGTTTTTAAAGCCCGGGCTGGGCCCAGTGCACAATTGTTTTTTTCCTGCCGCTTATCCGTGACCATCGAAATGTTCAAGTTCTCTACACGTCCAGCAAAGGATCGTATAATTTACTAACTAGCATAAATATTAATTTTTTTTGTTTTGTTATTTACAGGCTGCGTTTTGTGTTAATTTTACTGGCTTTTTGGTTTTATTTGTTTTTTTTTTTTGTGTTTTTCTCGAAAGTTTTTCCTACTCGAACGTTGGCATTGCTTGGTCCGAGGTATGCAAAAAATATGTAAATATTTCCCAATTTGTATCTTTTATTTCGTTAATGCTGTTGCTGTTCTGCTGTTGTTGTATCTCCATCATCTTTACGAGTATGAATATAAATTGGGATGTACTCACTTAATAATTGTTATTAATCTATGAATAAAGTATGGCTATGTATTTACCACTCACACATAAGAATACACATTTTTTGTTGCTTGTTAAGTTTGTTTTTTCGGTTCTGTTCTCTTCTTCAATTCTTTTTACTCCTTCTCGTTCTTGGGTTTTGTTTTTACGTTAACTAGTTTGGTTTTTTGTTGTCTTCACATTTACATTTATATACTTAACTACTTAAAGTTAAAATTTATTTATGTGCTTATACACGAGCAACGTATTTGTAACTATGCTAAAGTAATCATAAAGGTCGATACAAATTTCATTTATTCATTATTTAGAGAGAAAGCTAGCTGCGCGCTGGCTCCGGGCACATGTGAGTGGAATGTGGAGTGGGCGTGGCTGATTCTGATTCTGATTTTGTTACTGAATTGATTGTTGATCTATGTGCGATTCTGGATATAGTGATCCTGATCCTGATCCTCAACCCGATCCCTATCCCGATGATTTAGATAACAATATCAATGCTTATATTCCGGGTAGCAGCCATTCTCGATGATTTGTTCGGACTGACTGTTGTTGCTGCTGCTGGTATCGCCTGATTGCTGCGGATGATGATGCTGTTGCTGATGCTGATAAATTGGCAGCTGAAGTAGCTGCTGCTGATGCTGCTGCTGATGATGACTTGCCGTGTCTGCTGCCGCTGCTGCTGCTAATGGCAAACCGCGACGAATGGGCGGCTGGATAACACTTCCACTGCTTTCCGTTTCCGTTGAGGGCGGGGATGGATAATAGTCCCTCTGACTTACACTTATACCATTTGGGACGATTGGCAAAGCCATTATGGAATTGTTGGCTACCCCCGTCGCCGCTGATCCCGCTGATCCCGCCGATCCCGATGCCGCTGCCGCTGCGGAGGATTGATGATGATCGCCGTGGTGCTGCTGATGCTGATGTTGCTGCTGATGATGCTGCTGTATAGCCCCCGAAATGGGTCCGACGTCGATGTATGGTTGGGAATCCGACATTGTACCGGATGGCGGCTGGTCCAATACCACGACGGATACCACATCCTCACTCGCCCACCGGGCTAACTGTTGTTGAGCTTGAATAAAGTCATCACTAGAAAATAATAATCGTAGCAGGAACAACGGCACATGGTAAGAACAAAAGGGGGCCATCGGGTAAAGGAACAGGGATCGGATCGATTGGTTGATAGGTTTAGGAGGACGGGTTTCTAATGTATAATATGATTTATTGATCAGATATATTGAAATTCTTTAAACAAAAAGTCAAATAAAAGACATCTAATCATGACCACAACAAGCTAGAGCTAAGTTACACGAATCGGAATCAATCAAACTAGGATATTATATACATTAATTTGTCCCTTTAAAGGCCAATTATAAAAGAAAAATAATCGAATTGTGTGTGGGATTTTAAGAAATAGAAAACCTTTGCTAATAAACGATGCATCAGCAACTGAACTTGTTAGTCAAGGACATGTATAAAAGGATTGTACATTTGAGATACAAGAGATACAACAGAGGCGGATTAATCATAACAAATCGTCATAAAAAAAGGCAAAAAAAAAAGGAAATCAAAATTGAAAAAAAAAAAATTATAAAAATAAATAAAGAAATTCTTGGCTTTGATTAGTAATAAACGATGCATCAGCAGCAAAAAAACAGATATAAAAGGATCGTACAACTGAGAAACAACAGATACAACAGATAATACAGGAATCAAAAAAAAAAAAAAAAAAAAAAATCCCCCAGCTGATGCATCGTTTACACTCAGCTTCTGGCGTCGTGGGAAGGATAATGGTTGTGGTAACGGCCTGGCTATGGAACAAACAGACTAAAATAGAGGCCTGGACTTACCTCTCGCTATCTGGTGTCTCGTGGCAGTCGAGCCGAGCGTCGACCACTTGGCCGTGGTGGTCGGCGGTCTCGTAGATGCCCTCGTCATCCTGCTGCAAATGGGTGTGCGATGAGTGGTGCGACGAGTGCGGACCGTGCGTGGCGTGTCCGTGGGCATGGGAGTGGTGCGTGTGGTGCCCGAATGCGTGGGGTGAATGCGACTGGTGCGGCGCGTGGCGTCCCGACGAAGCCGGCTGTCGGTAGCGTCCACCGAATGTGAATCGAGACTCCTCATCGGAACGGGGACGACAGCTTCTGCTGTAAGACGCATGAATTGTAGCGGTTTTCTGAGATTGTGGTATTTGCTGATTGGAGCTATAGAGGCGATAAGGATAAAGAAAAGGCAAGCAAATAATCGAGTTATTTAGTGGTGGCATGGGAGTTAATGGAGGGAGGGTTTTGGGGCTTTAGGTTTTTTCCTTTCTTTTTTTTTTGTGTAAATATTTTTTTTTTTTTTTTTTTAAGAGCCTGAAACCGAGACCAAAACAGAGACCGACGATAGCCATGAGGAACTTAAGAGCAATGTCAACGCATTGGTTAGAATGCTTGTTTTAAAAAAATGTGCAAGTGATTACGTAAATAGGAAAACGATGTGAAGATCAAGACCCTTAAGAAATATGTAAGACCACAAGAGATGGTAGTAGTTAAGTTAAGTTTAGTTAGAGAGTGGGAACCAACCTTTATCACACAAGGTATTCCAGCCTGAAGCCTGCAAGAAATGCGAATATAAATTGGCATTGGCTTGAGTTACATTTGTAATAATACTGCAGTACAAACAAGCAGTGGCTTTCATGCCTTAATGGTAGGTGGTCAGTTTTTAGTTTTTTTAGTTTTTCTGTTTAAGGTAACATTATGAATTTGTATATGCTTTTTATGCGAATTTAATGAAGGTATGAAGCTTTTGTCTTCGTTAGTTTTTATATATGAACATGTTAGATTAGATACTCTCAAGCCATCAAATATATTTGGGTAATTAATCACTTGCTCTACGTTTTGGTTTTAGTTATGGGTTGAGTGGAAATTTTGGTATCACAGATTTTAGACTATTGGAAAATTATAAACGCGTTGACTATTAAGAATACATTTGGTTGGTTAATGGGAAGCAACTGTTCACTGCCTACGTTAATGCCATGTTACAAAGCAGATAGCGAATACAGATAGTACAAGGTGTAAGAACTTCTAGGAGATTCACAGCAGTTAGTCATTTATGTTCAGGTGTGTTAAAAACAAATGTAAGATTTTTTCAAATATAATATTTCTTATTTTTCATGTGGACAAGACAAAACAAGACAAGACAAGACAGGACAGGACGCGACAAGATAGGACAGGACGGGACAGGACGGGACAGGACAGGACGGGCTTTTCGGGTGTCTGACTGACTCGGTGCCAATACTTAATACATTTTTTTTGTAAGAGGTTTTTTAACGGTACGGTGATTGAGTTCTGAAGCAGAAATAACACTAACCCTTGAGATGACTCACTACAAGCTGCGGAACTTTCTAATCTATAGTGTCGATCGGCCTCTGTTTCCGACATTCGTATATCCTCGGATCCGCTGGGACTCATGTGACGGGACGAGTGATGCTCTAGCTGCCTGATCAGGTCCTCCAAATTGCGTATTCGCAGCGGTCCCGTCGACGGGGCATCGTCATCGTCCAGCTGCTGCTGCTGCTGCTGTTGCGCCTGCAATGGCATCACCCCGGAGGATGGCTGATGCAGCTGATGCTGCGACCGATGGTGATGGAGCAACTGCCCGCCATGCGGCATACCCCCCGACATGGACGTCGATCCGCCGCCGCCACCGAGGCTCGAACCCAATCCCATGCCAGCGAGTCCGGCGCCGCTGCCGTCGAGAATGATCGCATGGACGGCGGCATTGTCGCAGATATTCTCCCGCGAGCTCGACTTGGAACCGATCTGTCGCTTGTACTGCTGCTGCTGCTGCTGCTGCTGTTCGGAGGCCGAGTAGCCCAGCTGCGAGTTGTTGCAGTCCTGCAGCGTCTTGCGGAGCATCTCCTCGCTCAAACTGCCGCTGCCGACGGGCGTGTTGCCGGTTCCGGTACCACGATGCGTGGCAGCATTGCGCAGCGCCTCCAAAATGTCCTCGTGATAGCCGTTGAGCGACTTGAGGGTTCGCTCCACCTCCGAGGCCGCCGCACCGCCGCTCGTCGAGGCCAGGGTGCCGTCTTGGGTTATTAGCTCGAGGTTATCGGACTGATTGTCATCGCCCCATTTATCTTTCAGCTGCTCACCGTGCACCAGGCCATAGCCGTGCTTCTTTAATATACCCTTCTCTGTGTGCGGGGCAGCCAATAATTAAGTTTGCAATAAGTTTGAAGTTAGTATTTGGTATTTAGTTCCAATGAGCATGTAAAGGAATATACATATGTACAGAATTTGAGAGGTACACGAGAGAGAGAGAGACTGCAAAACAGCGATTATAGTGGATAGGATGACTTATACTTATATGCACAGGATGCACAAGAAATATACCTAATATATGATTGGTTCCCTTTTTCAAAACGATTCCTAATTTTAGTCGAATGTTTAGCCTATGTTTTACCCCCTTTTGGTCGTGTGTATATTTATAATCATCATTACCATGCGAGTTCGATATGTGCAAAATTAAAGAAATCGATTAAAATACCTATTAATAATTAATTATACAATAATTTACAGAACATCATCTTTAAAGGAAAAACTTGATTAGTCTTATATGTAACATAGAATATAATATAATAATAAATCGACTCGACTGTTGATGCTGATTAAGAATATATATACCTAATAGTTTATCCTCAAAAAGAAAAAAGGCTGAAGAAACTTATTCAATTTTGTAGTTTGGAAGAAGACCTCTATTAAATATAATAATAAATAAAATAAAAATATTGACGCGAAGTTTAAGTTTTGATTATGTCTTTATTTACATAACAATTGATAACAAACATAAGAAAGAGAGAGAAAGCTTTTCAGACCTTTCTTAAATAGTATCAATTCTAAATAAAGACTGAGCTTAAAAAGGAATTTCTTAAAATTTCATTTAATTAATAATCTATATCGAAAAGTAACCGGTATTTAGTCCTCCATAAAAAAATCAAATAAGAAAGGGACATAAGAAGCTTGTTGGGTGGGTGTACGTATATATAAATAACATATATGTTCGCTGAAAATAAAGTTATGATTGCTATCGAGAGTATTCAGGTGTAAAACTCTAACTGCAATAATAGAAGCTCTGAAGAGTACAAGCAATAAACGTTAATCAATTGTTGTTCTAATCAAATTTAGGTTGTTAACATGGAAGGCATCTAGACTTTTAAGCGGGAACATGGAAACACAAATGGTTTAAAACCGTTTTTCCATTAATATGCGATTACATAGTGTCTTTTTGGGGGGAAATTCCCGTTCACCGTGATGAAAAAATCGATCCACAGGCTTTTGTGTTTATATGTGTACAAAATTTTAAAAGTTTTTTGATTGTGCAAAAAATGTCAGGTCCCCAAGATGATTTATTTTTAAATTGAGGACTCTAAAAAAGACCTCTATAGGTTTTTTTTTTTAAAAGGAAACATATCTGAACGAGAACCTCCCCTTAAATGAAACTCTAAATTTATAATCGGGTATCTCACTGAAATCTCAAGATTGAATTGAAAAGCTCCTGAAAATCCGTCGGTGTCTATAATTAATATAATGTAATTTGGTAGACAACAAGCTTGGACTTTTAGTTGGAATTCTGATCTTCGAGGTTTCTGTGACACCCCCTTAAGCCACTTTGTTTGTGAATCTAGTCTAAGCACAAGTGTTTTAAGTATTGTAAACATAAAGTATTAACCTGCATGTGACTGATCGTCCTCGCCACATGACGTGTAGCGCCGTCCATGAATTCCCTTGTCCCTGTGAATGATAATAATGAAATAGGAGCATGCTCGGTCGAAAGAGTGTGACCAAGCGGCTGAGTTTGGTTCTAAACGATGAATCAGACAGCATGTTCTCTTCAGCTTCGAAATTGTATGATATACTCTCCAAATAGGAATGAAATTGCCGATGCATCGTTTAACACTCAGCCTGGTTGTAAACGATACATGAGTCAGTAGGCTCGCTTTCTTCACTTTCGAAATATTAGGTATGGATATACGTTCCATTTAGAAATGAAATTGCTGATGCATCGTTTAACCACTTAGCCTGGTTGTAAACGATGAAGCAGCAGATGTTGGGATGTTTTTCTCATCTTATCAGATTTTATTATCGTTTAATGTGAAAATGATGTTGCTAAGATATCGTTTAATGTCAAAATGATATGGCTGATGTATCGTTTAGTGTGAAAATGATACGGCGGATGTATCGTTTAGAACCTGCTTTGCTTTTTCGGTTCTTGGGCACACTCTCTGTTTTTTTTTGTTTTGTTTTTTGTTTAAGTGTACGCACCTGAAGCCAGTCTGATTGGCATAGACTAACTTGCTGGATCCATCCAAGGAGACCTCTTCAACGGAATGATGGTTGGGTGCCGTCGCCGCTCCACCGTAACTTTTCGCAATCGGTTTCTTCGAATAGGGCGGATCGTATTTTAGCGTAGTAGTCTTTCGCCTGTGCATCGGTGGCCATCGGTACCCACATTCACATTGTAGTTCACGTTGTAGTCGTTGTAGTTGTTTATTCATTTATATGCGTTATATATATTATAGATTTTGCATACACTCCAATGTATATAGTATGTGTAATAATTTAAAGCGTAAAGTTATGCGTTATGTGTTTTACAGATATATGAGGTCCAGTTATCGTATTTATTTTATTGAATTATTCAGCAAAATCAATTTAACGTCAGAGTGTTTTTTGTATTTGTAATTATGGGGGGGCAGGAGACGTGGTTAATGGGTAATCGTAGGTTTGTATATGTTTTTTTTTGGTTTTGGTTTTGGTTCAGTTTGGTTCGGTTAGTAAATAAATAAATATGGTTTATTTGAAGAGTATGAAGTAGAAACGTGCACACATACACACGCATGCACCAGGGTTTTTTTTTTTTAGTTTTTTAAATGTTTTATTTTTTATTATTTTTCGTACATGCGTGTGTATTTTGCGGGCCCGTTGAATAATATGTTTTTTGATTGCAGAGTTTTTGATCAGGATTTCATTTTTAATTTTATTTTGATAAACACCGATTTGAATAGGTTGAATTTGGTTTGGTTGTTGATTTTTTGAGTTTTGTTGGATCATTATATTGATGTTGTTGTTGATTGTTGTTTGGAAACGAAATGTTGCAATGAGAGTCTTAATTAATCAAATGCTTACAGATTTTGAATAAACATTTTTGGGTTGAATATAAAGATTTTTGTTATGAATTGTATAGTATATGTTTTGTAAGAAATGAACACACACAGTTATACGCCTGGTCTTAAAAAATATATTTACACCCATACATGCATATTTTGGAAAGTTTTTAAAAAGGATAAAAAAGCTACATTGCTTCGGTAAGCCGAAGTTGTTATATATACCTTTGCATTCGATATATACAAAAATCAGTCTTTTCTTTTAAGATTTCTTAAGTTACTAAGTTATGTAATCAGACAGACAAAGTACCTTTTTCTAATCCCCCAGTTAAATTTAATAAAAGCTTTAAACTTTGATTTTCCTTACGGTTTCAAAGTTTTAAATCCTACGTAAAATTTAACAAACGGACGAGAAAAGGGCCCTTATGTCGACTCGTCTGTTTTTTTTTATATAAAAAATCTGCCAAATTATAATCATTTTCTTTGCAAGGGTATATATACTCAAATATATATACACATTTTAGAAGCCATTCAAATTAAAAAAAAATAGAGGCCAAGATTATAGAAAAGTCGAGTAATAGCATTGGAGAGTAAAATTGTAGAATGAAAAAATTCAACACGATTTTTTACAGTAAATAATAAAAAAAATGAATATTAAGCTCAAATTCTGTTAAAGAAAAATGTATTAACAAATTTTAAGGATAATAAAAAAAAAGAGTAAGGATACAACACTTTTTTGATGTCCCACATGCGAAATGGAAACTAATCCCGAAAAATCAAATATAAGGCACATGCAACTACGCGCAGTGCGACTTAAACTTGAAGTGAGTCCCACGGAAGGTAGTACATACGAATAATTTTGATTTGAAACAAAAATTGAATTGAAAAGTTAATTGAATCAAATTGTTTATGTTTTAAAAAAGCCACCGAACGATTTTCCAACAAACTCCGCACTGTGAAGTTTTGTAAAACATTCATTCTCGGCGGACGTGTTTGTACATGCACGAAAAGTTGTAATGTTTTGAAATGGTTAACCGGGAATGATCAGTAGCGATTGTAGCGAGATATATCGTTATTTTGTACTTTAGGTGTTTCCAATTTCAATGTAGTTTCGACAGTAGTAATATATATGTAGGTGTATACGGTTTCCATATTGATTAGGGGCCTTTGTATCTGTAACTGTAACTGTATCTGTATCTGTTCTACAATCTGTAACTGTTCGTGTTCTTATGTTTTCGTGATCTGTATCTGTATCTGTATCTGTTAATGTATCTGTATCTGTATGTTTTGATCCCAATGTTCATACCATATTACACAAACAAAACATAAATGCTTTATGTGTGTACATTGTATTCGTATTCGCATTCATAAAGACGGCTTTTCGGAACACAGGAGGCTTACTCTGCAGAAAGCACCACCATAGCTCAAAGTCAGTTTCATCTATGTTGGGCCCTAAGCGCAAAGAGAAGTCGAAAGTCGCATCGCAAGCTTTCGCTTGGATATGCTATATAGTATATATAGTATATAGTAGAAGATATTGGCAAAAACGTCGTATATTTCTACTCTTGGCTTTGGGCTGCAAGTTAGCGGCGGGGCTATACGAATACTTAAACTTTTACTGTTTAACTCTTACTTTAACTGTTACTTTAACCGTTACTTTTTAACTTTAACTTTAAGTTGGGGGGGTCGGGTCGGGTCTACAAGAGTATCTACGAGAAATCTATCTACAGAGCACACTTTTTGGTTAATATGCCCCGTGACTCGGGTTTCGGGTTTCAAATTACGGATTTCGGTATCGGTATCGGTTTCGTACTGCAGGTATTATGTTTAATGGTGGTGGCAGAAACAACAGCATTATTTTTCTTGTCGATTGGATTATACATATATATGGATATAGTTTGGCATGATTACAGTGCTGGACAGACTAAACTGAACAAAAGTAGTAATGAAAAACGTCAACGAGATCACCGCCGTACTGACGACAACGATAACATACACAAATGGCAATCCTTTGTATAGCCGCTTTCAAATTGTGTGCTATTCAGACTCAAAAACTATAATAATTTAAAGCCAGAATCGGTGACTAACTAAAGGATATAATTAATGAAATATGTTCAATCAAAAATATGAAACCAATATATCACAACTACTTAATTTGTTAATGTAACCTTATTTAGTCTTTTATATATTTAGTTTTTAGTTTCGGTTTAAAAAAAAAACTGATAAAATAATGTCTTTGTTGGATCGTCAATACCATTTTCTTTTTTTTTTTTTGAGGAAGATACCCATAAGTTTACTCAGATATATTATCAGGAAATGGAAAACTTTGTAAAACTGATGTTGAAGGAAATTACCGAGAGTAAGCATCTTGCAATTAATTTTAATTAAATGAATTTAAATCCAAAACCAGACTTGGGAGCAGACTTGAATTATTTCGATGCTTTTCTAAACTTTTATTGTAGACAAATTTTTATAGTTTTACCAGGATTACAAAAATTTTTTTTTCTAAAAGAGAGGGGACCGGCTTTATAGAAGAAGAATAATTTGTGGAGTTCCTAACGAAACCTGAGATATAAAGTTGGTTTCACAGATTTGCACCGCCCTATTTATAGATTCAAAAATACATATCTATACTTTTCAGTTTCCCAAAGTTAAGTTGGTATATTCGATTTTGATCTTTGAAAATATTAAAAAAATGTGACAATTGCAATCACTTTTAAAATAAATAAAGAATTTACATTTAAAAAGTTGTTTCTTTAACTTCGCTATTAGGGAAGATTTGTACTTAGTTTAAAAACTGACACGATATTTCTAAAATTTCGATAAATTTTTTTTTATGAGTGTTCGAATTATAAATATGATAAGATGTAGAGAGAGATGTGCAAGTGTGAGGTAGAAAGTTGCGTACGCGGTCAGAATAGTATTAAATTATTTATTTATTGCACCTTTTAAACAAAAATACCAGCCAATTATAGTGAAATGCAATCAATAAAATATTTAAGCAAATCCAGCGTACGCAACTGTCAATAGATACGAGTTATTACACTGAAAGAAGTAAGTACATTGGGTTTCTTTTTTTTTATGAAGCTTAACAAAACTGAACAATGACAATGGTTTTAATGCAACGACACAGACAAATTTATCAAAATGCGAAACAAAATAAACAAATTTACTAAAGTTTTTTTTTTTCATATTTGCATTTGCAAGTGTTTTTTTTTTAAGTTTTAAAAATACTTTTATGTTACTTTTTTTTGCTTGTTCTTTTTTTTGTGGTTGTAATTTGTATTTGTATTTAAAGCTGGCTTTTTCATTACTTCTTTTCAACTAACCTTAGACACAGGGAGAAGTTTCTATGTACTACAACTGACCTGTAGCACAATGCCATCAAGGTGAATGTTATAAAAACGAACCCTACAACTGACATTAGAACACCGACTAGGAACACTGTATTTGAGCCGTGGTAGTTCTCTATACGAGAAATTTTCAGCCAAGTTTTATAGTTTTGTGCGCCCCAATGTAATTGGTTTTCATTTGTGTGCAGTTTGTTCGAGTTTTTGTTGGGTTTTGGTATAGGTATTTCGTATATTGGAGTAATACATTCGAGTTGTTTAGGTTTAATTTATTTTTTATTATATTGCGTGATATATTTTCGTTGGTTTACGTGGAGATATTTCGATATTTCGAGGACGGTATTTCGTAGTTATTCATTTCAATATTGCAGTTGGGTTGTGAGTCAGCCGAAAAAACAAGGAAATACAAAGTTTTGTTGCATTTGGGGGGAAATAAGATATAAAAGAGATCTCACACATTCTTTGGGGATTTTTTTTTCGATATTCGATTTTTTTTTTCGTTTGTACTGCTTTTTCCTTAATTCATATGAGTACATAAAACATAGATTTATAACAACGATAACATGCATACATTGTAGTATGTGTTCTCATTGAGATATTTCATTTTTTTTACGGATTGCCAAGGCTTTTGAAATGGCCAAAAACGGATAATCGATTCTCACAATTGCTTAAAAGTTAGTTTTAGTATTTCTCCTTTTGTTCGCCTTTCTATGACAATGGTAATCATATTTGTGCACATCCAGCTTAATTACCACTAAATTAGAGCATTTGATATTGGTCTTAACTATAATTTTCGAAAAAGCTCAAGTAACGAAAATTGTTTTTGATTGCATTATAGTTATTTCACAACTATCTTGTAGTTTAAAACCATTAGATACTTTGTTATCGATTACTATGTTTTTACCAACCCTGTTTTTTAAAAAGAAAAAGTTTACTTTAAGTGTGTTTTTTTCTTTACAAGAAAACCAGTTCAGAATTATTTATGAGGAAGTATCTAAGAAGTAGAAAAATTGGTTATCATTCGTTCTTTTCATGGATTTTTTCGTACTAGCAGTTAACGACATCAAAATACCCTTGAAAATGATAATAGGAAAGTTAACTTCGACATGACTTGGTTTTTATACCCTCGGAGATTAAAGGAAATATTTAGTCTCCACCCAATTTAAAAGGAACAGGGTACAATACATTTTTTAAGAATATTTCCAAATACAAGATAATTATAAATATGCCTTTGATGCATTTTCAATTTCGTTCAAACATTTTGTTTAAGCATATCACACATCCGTATCATTTTCGTTAGCCACCCTGCATTTTTTTCATTTTTCAGTATGGCTCTTTAGCTTTTTTTTCGGTCCCCCAAATATTTTTTTGTTCCCATTTCGTGTTCGTAAGTCGATAAATGATGGCTGATTAATGTGTTCTGGTAGTGAGTGTGCCTACGAGAGGTGTGAGCATAAATCAGAATATAAAAAATAGGACCTAACAAAGGATCATGTTTAATTGTCAATAATATTATCACGTAAATGCATAAACAATAATGTTTTTTCTTAATTTATTTCGAATTTTTTTGCTGTGTTTTCGGATATGTTCTTATATATGCATATTGTCATAAATAATGTAGTAAATCATAATAGAGATTACAAAAACCCAAACAAAAAATATAGATATTATACATTTTGTAGATTACGACGACAAATTACAAGCACGTACAATTTTGAACTCATAAAAGCACTACGAATATTTTACACACAGCGATAAATCCAAAGGGCAGTCAAAAAGTAAAATGTTTAATGTGAGCAGAGGTATGTAAGTGTATGTAGTCACTCCGTGTTGGCATATGAGATAGTATGTGGCAAAGATTTATGTACAAGCATTTAGAATTAGAGAAAAACTTTTGAATAGGAAGTACCCTAAATGTAGATTTATTTTGTATGACAACCCAACTAAAGATTGAGTTGAAAGTGGTCTTATGATAGACAAAACCAAAGGTTTTAACATCTAAAAGACTAAAATAGAAATTGAGCTCTTTACAACATTTAAAGAGAATCTGGCATATTATCACTAAGAATAGACTAGATAAGAAAGACAGATGGAAGGAAAAGTTGTAAATCTTTTTGCTTAAGAGCTTAAGTTTTTATTTTCATCCCAAGTTTGACGATATCTCCATTAAAAATTGAAAAACTATTTATAAGAAATATATAAATTCCTGATTACGAAAGTAATTTAATTATAATGACATTTAGTGAAGAAGACAGCTCTGACCATACAAAATCCATAATTGAATTATTTATTTTAAAACTTGTTGTTTGAAAACTAATTATATATTTAGGAAAATATATTTCCTCGAGTTGAAACTTTCAGATATTATTGCATATTTTAGCTATGTACGAAAATGTATTCATTAAAGATTGAAGGAAATGAATTGATATGAGAATATGTACGTGTATACTTATGTGTTGGTGAATGGTAGTGTTGCTAAATTCATAAGAGGAAGAGCTTGACTTGCTCGGTACTCTACCTGTAGCAAACGGCCAGTGTTGCAAAACTAATGAAGACACATTTGACGATAACTGTTAAAATGATGACCATGGTTAATGTGCTGATCCTATTTTGGTCAGAGGTGCCTGCAAATGGTGGTTGCGTTTTATTTTTAATCAAAGTATATATATATTATATGCGCCATTTTTCGTATTTCGGCTTTAAATTACATTGTAACATTTTCCGAAACTAAAAAAAAAACATAAAAAATATACAAATTTTGTGTTCTGTTCGCATACAACATTTGAAGGGTATCCGTTGATATCCGAAGTCATTTGATTTACTCAAGATTCCCGCTACTCAGACTTGTATACAAATGTCTTGTAAATAATTGAGTATGTCTCATAATTCTTTGCTCATACGACTTTAGGCAGGTCCTAAATCCATTAGTGGTATTCTTCTTTAATTAGCGAGGGTATAAAAACTTGAAATATCTAAAGTTACTTCCCGTTGAAGCTAAAACAAAAAAAAATTTTGTAGGTTGGGACACCCCGAAAAAAATTAACCTGTTTCAAGTTAAAATGAGCCTTGAGTGTGTAATAATAATTAAAGATTAAAGTAATACAAAATAAATAGTTTCCCAAAAATCGTTGTTCAAATAATTTGTTAAAGTGTTCGAACCTACAAATTTTTTTTTGTTTAATTGCGACAAATCTCCGACCTGACTACCATTGTCATACAAGTAACAAAACTGAATTGCATATGATTGTACCCAATTATTCAATTGTGAGTTGCCAACGTGATTAAACCAGGCGGCGATACTGACCTCGTTCAACAATACTTGGTTGGTATTGAGCAGAGCCCTGCTTGAACGTATTACATTACAGTATATAGTGGAATAATTTTTAACTATTTGATTAAACATACTGTTTGATTCAAGCAGAGCTCTAGTATTCAGGTAAATATCTTGGGATACAATTGATGGGATTTGATTAGACCAGTTCCATTCGATATTATGGACTTGATGCATTCGATAAGAAGCCTCTTCCAGCTGGCGCAAGGTAAGATACAAGATACTAGCATCGCTGAATTCGACACTCGATAGTCGACACTCGACACTCGACACCATAGTCATTTCTTACCATATGGGGTTTCTTTCTTTTCCATCTTGATAGGGCTGCTCGTGGTGGGCGCATCGGTTGGCTGTGCCGTTGTCAGCAGCACGATGGCACTGCAGTCGTTGCCGCCCCATCCCATATCGCAGTGGCAGCGGTTTGTATTCGTGCAGACCTGCAATTTGAATTGTGAAAATATGCAAAGTGTGGTCGTGTTAATGTCTGTCGCATGTCGCATGGTCACATTGCCATGTCGCATGTCCAATCATGTCTACATGTTTATGGTTTGATGGCTGATGAAGAAGCACCATCTAGGTTTTTATGAACTTACGCCGTGTTCTGAGCACTCTTGACCCTGCGAATTCACCGGGCACTTGGTCTGATCCACGTGTGGAAAGAGACTGACACACGTTTGGTTGAGGCAAATCAAATTATCACCACAGGGCGTCCCATCCTTGACCAGGCCATGTTCCGGATAGCTATTGGAGCCCACCTGACCGCTGGTCGCCCTGTGAATAAACTCAAGCGATTGTGAGACTATCTTCTTCCGGACTTCACCTGATCTCCCTCCTTCCCCCAGTTTGACTGGTCTTTGCTACGCACTTGCATTCGAACTCCTGGCCCTTGATCGAGATGATGGTCCGTGAGTAGAGCTGGTCAATGCCATCGTTAGTGGGCTGTCGTTCGCCATCCTTGCACTGCAGAGTTCCACACTGGACGTTCCTGGGGAAATAGATAAAAAATCATATCATCATTATTATCAAAGTAGAACATATCTACGAGAGTCTTGAATAACTTGCAATGAGAGGTAGATTAAGTTATGCAAGTCGTAAATCGACTGCTTGCACTGCTTGCATTGCACGCTTGCATCAATTGCTCATAACTTCTTAATGAATGGTCGAAATTAAAAATTTCTTTTATATTTCGTTAGGTATTAATACACACAAAATAATACAATTTACACTTTTACAAAATCCTGAAGTACTTACTCGGGTTCGCACTTAATGTAATGCTCATTGGCATCTCGTCCGCAATGTCCGTTGATCGAGCCCTTCGAATTGAACTGTTCGTAGCACTGGCGATCTGCCGCGGAGCCGCCATAACCCCATATTGCCTCACATTGCAAACTCAGCGTGGGGCAATAGCCTTGAAAGCAATAACCTAAGGGACAACGGACATGTGTAGGGCAACTATAAAGGGTAACTGAATTAGTTAACTCACCTGAGACGCCAGTCTTGCTAGTTCCGCACGGAGAGCCGTTCTTTTTGAAGGCATCCGCCGGACAGTGGCCAACTTCCCCGTCACAATACTCGGGAAGATCGCACTCGTTGTTGTTGGAGTCACGACAAACGTAATCCTTTGAGCGCAGCTGAAAAAAAGAAGGGTGTATGCAACAAGAATATAACCTTGAACCAATGCCAATCAATCAATTACTTACGCGGCATTGGTCACAGCAAGCACCGCCGGCACACTGGGCCTCTGATTTCAATTTGCAAGTGATGCCATCACAGCATGGGTCACTGGAACACTCCTCGAAGGTACCACAGTCGCATTCCTCATCTTCTTCAACCACTTTATTTCCGCAATTTCGGCGTAGCTCAATCTATTTATTTATAACAAACAAAAAATTAAGAGAAATAGTTTAAATATTGTGAAAAAACAAAGTAAATTTCTTCTACGTCGCCATAATTCCCAACTGGTTATAGCTTAGTTGTTCCCAGCTGATCAAAGCTCACCTCATTTGGCTTGTTCAGCAAACACAGTCCGTGGCCAGTCCGCAATGCGTCAATGTAATCCTTTTTACTGCACTCGGAAAATTTGTATGGCTGCACATTCTCCTGGCCCACAATCGACTGGGCCATGATGCAACCGTGCCAGTCACGGCAAAAGCACTCCTCGCCTGCGGGCAAAAATGAGATTCAGTTTTGGCAAATGCCATGCCGTTCGAAGGGATAAAGGCTCAGATAACTCTTACGTCCGTCGTCGTGTCCCATGCCGATGTTATGGCCAATCATGTGGGCCATTGTGCCCGCCAAAAGGTGCGGCTCGTACACATTCACATCCACGCTGATGCCCACAGCACGGGGTGTGCAAACAGTTTCGGGAACGGCCATGCCAGCCTCTCCGCCCGCAAAAGTCTCGCCACTAAATGGGAGATAAATAATATAGAGTAATATAGTATATAAAGATTTTTGCCAAGCTCCAAGTCTTACGTGAGTAGCTGCGTTGTATCCCGCTCGATTTGGAACAGATTTCGCGAGGTGTAATCATTAAAGTTGGATATCGCCTTGGTTATATCCTTGCTGCCATCGATAACCGCCTGATTTTTGCCCCAGGTCTCGATGTACACAACCGACACACGGGTATTCAGAGTGCGAAAGTACTAAAAATATTTAAAATATATAGGTAATACTGCATTAAGTGGGTACAATACATAGAATTTGAAAAAAATCGTTATTTTCACAATAAAGTATCGATAATATAGATGTTTTTAGGGAGAAAAATATCGTTATTTTTACGTATCGATAATATCGATGTTTCCGATAAACACTGATGTTTGAAAAATATCGAAAGTATCGAGTTTACTTACCAGATCGGCTATGTTGGCAACCTGTATGGCATCGTGGATAACCTCCGCTCGAGTACTGCCATTCCGCTTATCGAACATCGCCTTGTCCACAATGATGGCGGTCTCAATGTACTTGGTGGCCTCCCGGACGTCCCGCTTGTTCCGCCCCGCACTCGGGCCCAGGATCTCCTCGACGACGCCCGCGACTCCGGCGGACAAGTGCTTTGTGCGACGCGACAGCCGCCACGAGTCCAGATTGCCCGAGTTGGCGCATCCTTTGTTCGCCTTTGTGCGGGCCTCGAAAATCACATGGGGATGTTTCTGTTTTTTTTTTTGATGGGGGAAAAAATGAAAAACAAAATAAAAAACCAAAAATAATTACATTTCCCTACCGATAGATCTCCGCCATAGAAGGGGTGAATGACGAACGTCTCGTTGCCGATGTGAATGACGCCACTTACACCGTTGCAGGTGTGGAAAGCTGCGCTGGCACCAGGATAATCCTTCACGGTCCCATGGTAGTAACAGTGCTCGATATCCTATAATATGAAGGACATAAAGGAAATGATGGTTTAGCAAGGTAAGATATCCATACATCCTAAATAAACAACTTGAATATAAAAAGGGAATTTCCTTTGTCTTTTTGTTTTTTTTTTCTTTTTTTTTCTTTTTTTTTTTTTTACGTATATATATTTTTACATTGTTTTTTTATTTCATTCATTCACATTCACAAGACATTCGTCTTATTTTTTTCACTTTCTTTTATTTTTTTTTTAAATTTTTTTTTATTTGTTTTTCTGTACTTTAACTTAGATATTTATCTACAGGGTTGTGTAACTTAATATCGTTCTCGAAATGTTAAAACCTTAACTCACATGTCGGTTTCCATCCACAAGATATCCACCCACGTGGTAATGTTTCTGTTGTATGTTTGGAGAAAGAAGTTGTCTGCAAAGAAATGTAGATATTTTGTGCTATATGTTATTCAGAAATTTATGTAATAACTTACGAATTGAGCTCCAAGTCCAAACGAAATTTGTGATTAAATGCTTTTATTAGCAGCGATGTGCGATGAAAGTGTTTCTATACGCAGGGAAATCATTTATATTAAATGCATTAATTAGGTAAAAAAGAGCAGATGATTTTAGGAACCTACCTTTGTTCTGCCTCTGTTAAATCCACTGTCGTCGTGTGGTCGAGGTCTTTGTCCCGGCTGCCAGAACATAAAATACATAGTATTGATGATATTCAGCAGCAGATTAGTTACTTCAAATATCTCTCACCTTTGGCAGACTGACTTCTCGCGTGGATATGCCCATCTTCTCGTGATGGCGCAGTTGTACTGGATATATAATTTGGTAATAGTGACCACCAATTCGACGGACAAGCTCTTGATTTTGCCTGTATTCTTTAAGTAAACGTTCCACTTCTCCTAAAACAAAAACACAAAGTTAATGAAATCATAGAACTCAGTTACGGTTGTATTGTAATTGTATAATTGTAATCAGTATGTTGTTGAAGATATATAATGTTATATAAAGATACCCAGTGTAAAGAAATGTACTTACCAACAGGACTTTCTTCATTCCAAAATGAATCATCTAGTGTGTAATCTGCTTCTGCAAGAAAATAATTTTAATTTATTTTATTCTTTAGTCCATTCCGATTAAAGGGAAGGTTGTACAAAGGCCGAACTAAAAATGATGATATAATATTTTTTAATAAAAGATAAATTCTTGAAAAAATGTGATTTTTTGTATATATTCTATAATTTCTATATTCTATAATTCTATATTTCCCTATGAAAGCAATACAAGTTAAACTAGATATCTCTCTGGTGTTAAACGGACTGACGAATGTTTCCCAAATTACAATGTAGTCTGCAATTTATTAAGGGTTTTTCAAACGAAACCAGTGGCGTCCTATAAGTTGAGAGGCGGGAATTTCAAAAGGTCACTTTTGACTTATTAGCCCCGCCCTCGCATTTTCACAGGAAACCATTTAGTTTGTGACCCATTAAAACCTTGTTTTATTGTTAATTAAAAGATAATGGATCGGTAGGGTTTCAGAATCCAAACGCTTTGCCGAATTTCGTATGCTACGGTAAAGCGTAGGAATTCTAAAACTCTACAACACCCAAGGTGCATTTATAACAATTTGATACCCACACTGGTCATAATAATTAAATAAAAAAAATTTTAGCTACATGATTAATTTTTTACGAAACATTAAAGATATCTCTTAACAATCCCTTCTTTGGAAACCTTCTTGTATGGGCTTACAAGATTTAATCGAAACTAGATAGTTTGCTAGGAAAATGAATCGTCTAAAGACCATTATTCGTATCGATAATTATCGGTATATTATCAACAACCATAGAATGTATGCTTTTTCTCTATAGGTAGTTCGAATGGGAGAATGGAAGGAAAGTAAAGGTGTAGTATCTTCTGTTAGCTATAAGATACAAGTAATGGGGATGGATACAGAGACAGACACAGATTTAAATCAAGTATTCAACTTACCCCCTGCAGATGTGACGAAAGCGCACAGCTGAGCAATGATGAGGATCAAATTGGCGATGTTCATCCACATGACGGCGGCTGCGATATTGTGATCAAAAGTGAAGTTGTCCAATCCAGCAGCCCCACTTCTAAGTCTTAGTTTTCTCTCCTACTTGCTCTTGCCTTTGCTCTTGCTCTTGCTCTCAGTAATAATTTATAGAAAACTGCCTTCATATGGTACTTAAAAACTATCCGTTTGCATTAGTTAACTTTCGGTAACCCAGTATCTTTGGGCAGCGAATTGATTTGCAGTAATCTCCTTGCAGTTCTACACCATCCAGCACTTCTCACTTGGTATTTGGTATATGTTATATGTTATATGGTATAGGGCTTTGCTGTGTGTCAGTGGCAGTGGTTTTGCTTTAGCTTTCGCTTATTCCTTTGCTTTTGCTTTTGCTTTCGTAACTGAGGCTGTGATTTGGTTTCGGTTTCTGGTTTCTGGTTCTCAATGGCTTGCAGATTCTTCTGCTGGGATTGTGCATTCATCACACGGCGAACTGGCTTGGCTTGGCTTGGCTGGGCTCAAGGAAGCTCGGAAAATAAACAAGATAATGGATATAAAAATCAAATCTAATATTCACTCTCTGGAGCGTTTAGCAAAAACGCCTTTTTTTCTGTAACAACCGTAGCAGGATTAAAATGCATCAAAATCCGCCCCAAGTTCTGAGCAAGCGATGTCCTTTGGTGCTGCAAATAAAAGATGGATTGAGTTTAGAAAACATCTTACAACGAAATTAAGATTAAGAACTATTTATATCTGCTTAGAGAATTTCAAAACCATTAACCATTCAAACACCTAGAAATGTCGAAAACCTTTTTTCTTAGAAAGTCTAAACAGTGTAAACAGTCTAAACTTAAAATTAAATCTTTAAATATTTTAAAAATATTTTTTAATCCGATTTTGAAGTTTTATTTTGGGAAACTTTTAGTTTTTTTTTTAATCAGATCATTTTGTACTTTTATAACCAGCTAAATTCAGGAATTCAAATCCTTATTTGGCACTCACACATTTTTGAAAATTAACCCCAATCACTGGAATCAACAAATGAGTTTTTCTAATTTCCATGTTTTCATTTTTTCACTCTAAGTTCCGGCTTTGTCGTACGTGGAGCCCTTTCTGTGCTTTTCTTTTTATTTTAAGATATCAGATAAGAGATGTTGGTTCTCAAAGGCCCAGGCTAAATCTGTTTAGAGCTGTGCATTAGGGGATTGCCCAACCGAAACTAATGAAAAGCCACGTTGGCACTAAGGTGAATGCGAATGTGAATGTTGAGGTGAATCTGAATCTGGAACTGAATCTGAGTCCGAATCCGAATGTAAATGTGAATGTTGTTGGGGACTGGGGACCGGACAGTGAAGAGCACACCGAGGCCACAGCCGACAATTTTAATTTGCGCTAATTAGGCAAGGACAGACATTTAGCGGTGACAGAGAAATTGTAGAAAGCAGATTCAATTAGCAGCAAAATCCTATTAAATAATTAATATTCATTAGGCGGTGGTAAGCAAGACGCTTGCATTTCCGAATGATTGGTATTTAGTATTGGAATTTCGAGAACCGAAGGAATTACCCCGAAAGCAATTAATTAAAGCAATTAAGCTTTCGATTTTAAAAAAATATATTATGTGAATAAATATATTTTATATAAATAGTACCTTCTTTTTAGTTTTTCTTCAGCTTATTATTTTCAAATTGTAGCTTTAAATTCACACACCTTATAAGGCTTATTTATACCGGCGGCTAGAACCCAGATTTCAGCAATCGTTTGCACAATCGTACAATCAGAGACTAAAAGGCAGAACGGAAAATAAGTACTTTATGGGATCGAAGGGGAAAATTGAGAGCTGCGCTGCTGACGACAGCTTTTGTTTACATTTCGAGAATGGAAAATGTCTGCTTTGCTTTTACCTATACGTATGAGCAATTACTACGAGCATTCGCTTTAATTTTACCCTTTTTTTATATTCCAAAAACTTATGCAAGCGATGGAAAATCAAAAATATTAAGAAAATACCAAATAATTTTAACCTCATTAAATTCGAAGGATAATTAATATTTGTTTGGCTTGGCCGAGAATCAACAGGTTCCCCGCAATTTTCCAAATGCGAAGCTATAATTTATTGAATTTTCTTTTATGGCCGAGAGCATCGTCAAATTCAGGTCATTTCAGCGGGGAGACAGTAGGATAATTTATTGCGGCAAAATGGGGATGGGGGCAAGGATGTGGGGAAAGGATAACAGCGAGAATAACAAAACTTTTGGGTAAACATTTTCTTTAACTACGGCCATCCATATAAGTAGGTGAACCGAGTAATAATATTTTCGATGATGGCGGCGTTATGTCATTCATCGGTATTCGGTATTTGGTATTCAATCAAATTCCGCCCCGAAAAATGCCACCTTTAAAAATGTGGGTGTTGCAAATGGGTGTGGCTAAACTTTGAAATAAATAAAATTCCTAAAATATTTTGGCCATCTATGTAGAAACAATGTAGATAAAGTGTAGATACAGATGCAGATGCAATGTTTACCCAAAATTATTATTTATATGTATTTATTATTTTAAATACCGGTCTGATCTATCAGATATTAGCATGTATATATGTTCTTTATCATATAGCCCATATGAGGAGTGAGTTTCGGAAAAAAAGAGCTACCCAGCGAATATGTAAACCTGCAAATTGCCACATATTTTTCTTGGTGTCGAGGGCGTCCACGGCAGAATCAGCATCAGAATCGGAATCAGAAACAGAATCAGAAACCTTGGGCAGACAACCAAAAAACCAGACAAGCGGCAGCTGACAAGAAAATAAATAAATAAAGGGATGAAAATGAAGAACGCGAGAGTCGTCGGCTGGCTCTCCAGTTCTTAACTGCGCAGCCTCCGGTTTGCTTTTTCCTTTCCTTTCCTTTCCGTCTAGGCAATGCCAAAGATGAAAAAATGCACATGTGTATAAATCTATTAGCCAATAAAATTACTTATGCCTTCACAATTAGAAAGAAACAAAAGGTACAAAGGATCCCAGGGAACGAAAAATATTTGCAACTTTGCAACCAATTTAAACTTTCACTTTATCACATTTAATCAAGTTAAAAAAGCAACTTTATTTTAATTGATTACTTTGTGGCACAGACTTCCTCTATTCCTATGTTTAACATTTTACATTATTCCGTGACTACGAGAAGTTTTACAAAGTGCCTAGCCATTAAATGGGCAAAAGTTAATAGTTGTACACTAAGAAAAACCGAAACTAAATTCATTCTGTTCGCCTTTATTTAAATATATTAAAAATGGGGACTATGGGGACTTTTCCTATTTATCTTTTGATTTATTAAACAGGAAAAAACACACAAGTCTTTCATTAAACTCGGCAACAAGTGAGCTCTAAATGAATGCTATTAAGTTTGTATTGCGTGAAAGAAAGAAATATATATATATTTTATTAGTATAATTGCTTTATCTTGCTTTATATATCGGTCAATCCAAAACTGTTTGTTTAACATGGTTTTTACTGACATACTGAACATATTACAATGTTCTAAACCGCGATAATATTCTACTTCCAAGGATACTAAGCAACCATCATGTTGTTTTATAGTCAGCTGACCGAAAACTTCTTTCTCCACCTCAAAAATGAATCTTAACACAGTTCGAAACTGTTAAAAATTGAACTTTTAAAAAGAGTTTGCGATCTGGTAACATCAGATCGGGGAGTATTTGGGCGTTGCCACACTGATTTACAATGAAAAGATCTAACAACTAAGGGCCGACTTCTTGTCCGCATGTTAAATTTAAAGTAGGAATAAAGCCTGGAAAACATATGGATATTTAGCGGTTAAAGCTTCCTTTTAAATTTAACAAGGGGTTGAGAAAACCGGCCTAAAATTATGTATTTTCTTGATTCCCTTCGATCAGTTTAAGCACTTCGATTCTCGGATTATACGTATAAATGAACATGTTTTAGTTAAGATTGGAAAGTACTTAGCTTAGCTCTTAGCTTAACGGTATTTTGGTAAAACAAAGTAGCTGATATATTTCTTACTGTGCAGAAACTCGGGTAGGTGGGTCAATGGCAACGCATGCCCAGACCCAGAATAATTGCGGATAAATGTGTCTTGGCAGCACGGCAGCGGTAGCAGTAGAAAGAAGTGCTGCTGCTGCACGTATTTAAGAAAAAATGTGCCCCCTGACACACTTAACTTGCACCGAGAATCGAGAATCGGCAGACTCCTTGGCCAAAAATCGAAATCTAATTTTTTGGAACCCAATCCCTGCGTGCCAATACACTGGAGAGGAGCGGGAGAGACCCGAGACCATAGACCAGAGAGAATCCCATCCAGAGCAGATATGCATTGGAATACAAAGTGTGGGATAAAAGCATTTCTGTATCGCTATTATTCATTGGTCATGCGCAGTCAGCCGCGCCTCATATTTCCGATTTCAAGAGTCAGTCGCGAGTTGTAGGATATGTGTTTCGGAATTCGGAATTCGGATTGGGATTGCTATTTGTACAATATTCGCAATAATGGTTATGTTTTGACTACAGCATACATTTTTCAACTAATTGTGGCCCCGAAATATATCCATTTCCATCTGTATACCATGTATACCACTATTTTAGGCTCTATATATGCATGAGTTGGGATACTTGAACGATATAGTAGTACCTATGTACGTAATGGAGTGGCACAAAAATCATTATGCTCTGGGTTCTTTCGGTTCTCTGGGTTGTACACTTGTTTATCTGGTCCTCGACCACTACTACTCACCTACGGAAATTCGGAATTCGAAATTCGCCACAATCCATCGAAGGAGTTTAGTTTTTCAGTTTAAACTAATTATTTATTTATTTAATTACTGGTTATCCTTGCGTTTGTTTAGACTGGCGTATAATTTTACATTGTACTGCTTTATGAACACACTCAGTTTGTTGTTTTTTTGGCCAAACAGTAAAAAAAATATGCAAAAAATTTGTCATAAAATATGTATTTTATGATCTTCTCTTCTCCTCTCGCTTTCGCTTTCAGCATATACATATAGTATATATATATATGTATATATATTTATTCTATTTTCTATTTATTTTTCCCATATTTGATTAAAATGTGCTGGTTTTATAGCCGATTTTGAGTTGCGTTGCGTTTCTATGTCAATCATTTGATTCTTCGGTTTGAGTTATTTGTTGAATTTTCACATTTTGGCCAACCGTTCGGCGTTTCTTTTTCCCTTTTTCCCTTTCTTTCTTTTTTTTTTGTTAAAAGTTCACGGTGTATTGGAGATGTTGGAGTGTTCAGATTTTGTATGTTATATACTTATTTTTTGGCCTGCCAATATAATTCAGTTACACTTATTCTCCTGGCTCTTTGGGGCGCCGACTCCGATAATATTCCTCAATTAAATACTGGCTGCGGCTATTCTTGCATCTTGCACTCTTTTCTTTTCTTTACTAGCTTTAAAACTATCGCCGTGGCCGTATCTCTAGCCTCGCTACCGCTTTCCGCAATTGCAAACAACGTTCTAAAGCTCTCGAACACGTCTGCAGGATTTGGGCAGGCGAAAAAGCGATGGCCAGAGCCAGCTAGCCATTTAGCCAGCTCGACGCAGTCGCACAACCGGAGGAGAGCGACTCCGAAAAGGACTCCGAATCGTAGTACCAATCCCGGTCATCCCGTCATCTCGGCATTGTCATCTCAGCATCTTCGGCTCTCTCGGGCTTTTTGAGATTCTCTCGGCTTTTCAGATTCTCTCGGCTTCTTCTCGGGTCCTTAGATTCGGATTAACATTCGGATTCCGATTCGTATTCGGTTTGGTTCTCTTGACCGACTGACTCTCCTTTCTCCTCTCTCTTCGCTCAAAATAAAAAAAAACCCAGCCAGGAGTCGAAGGCCCCGACCAGACTTACAATCCCGGGTACGTCTGTTTATGCCCGTTATGTAGAGCAAAAGGGTATATTGTATTCGTGCAAAGGTGCGTAATTGTAAAAGGAAGTAAAGTGTGTGTGTAGCTACACTTACATATATATTTAGCCATGTCTGCTTTGGCCTGGCCTGCCTGTCTTGCCTGAGATCTTGGGAACTACTTGTTTTTAGCCAGGGAACTGGGTCCAAAGATGCCACATTCATTCCTGAGCGAAAGTTGAACTCAAAGATTGGCCACACCCCCCAAATAAGCACTGAAGAGCAACCAAAACTGACCTAATTTAAATGGTTTATATTTATATTTATTTATATTACATTTCTATATTTGTAAGAAATTGAAGACTGCACTTGTGCTTAATTTGACCAAAAGGTTTAGGAAACAAGGGATAAAATGAACCATCATTGTGTTCTTAATACAATTCACTCTTAATTGACATACCTAACCAAATGTTATAATTTTTTACCTTTGATTACCTTTTATAAAAAAAAGGAAAAATTGGGCAATATTTTTTTTTTGGATAAGCTTTGGGAATTATGGGCATTGACATTTCTACCTTCTTAAAAAATGCAAAAATTGGGCAAAAAATATTTTAATTTTGTCTTTGCTTGAAATTAAAAAAAAAAAGAAAAAAATGGTTAAAAAAGAATGTATTTATATTTTCAATGTGGTTCCATTTTTTACTTATATGTATTGTTTAATTAGTCAAAATAAAGAGAACAAAATTTTAAACCAGTATAAGGAAGGATTTAACAAACAAAGACTTTGTGTTGAAGAATGTGTTTGATCAAAATTTTATATTAAGCGTATAATGAGGTAGTCCCATAGGTTTGGGTGGGTGGTGAGTGTGGCTAGTGTATGCAGGCGCTTTCTAAAATATTTACCTTGTAATTATGGAAAATTGTTAAAAGGGGTAATTTTGACGCACACTAAATTCTCTTTTATATATTTCGTTATCGCTGGCTTCTTGGCTTACTATAAAAGTGTTGCCGCCTTTGGGCAGCCAAGAAGTCACTTGATAGTCAGAAAGAAATGTTCTATTCCTATCCATATAAGGCACTTCGTTTTCCCGTTCAGTGTGTATGGCTAAAACTGAATGGCTCTTGGCCCTTGTCGGAAACGTCAACAGAAGTTGGGAAAAACAAACCTTTTTACGGCAATTCATTTTTTGCCACTGCTTATATAATATGGGCGTGGTATGTCATCGCCTCCGTGGGCATAACAATAAGTTATCAAACTGGGTTTTTGCTAAAAAACCTTTCGGATATCATAATCACGACGGAAAACTGTTGCACCACCTTCATGGGAGTCCTGAACTTTGTTCGACTCATCCATTTGCGGCTAAACCAACGCAAATTTCGGCAACTAATTGAACATTTCTCATACGAAATTTGGATTCCAGAGTGAGTCGAAAAACCGAAAAATAAGTTAATTCGAATCCATATTTTCCACCCTAAAATATCAGTTTTTTTGCCGAATCAAAAGAAATAATAGCCTAAAAATGGAGTGTCATACCTTTTTGAACTCGTAGCTTAATTCTGAATCAATTGGCATTCAAACCTGGAAATTTTTAAAATTTGCCATTTTTTGTAAAAAATGATGATGTACCCCTTATCAAAAATTCGAAAATTTGGTCGAAAAATAGTTTTTTTAAATCAGTTGGAAAGTGTACTGATATTAATATTTAGGTTGTAGGCTGCTCAGAACAGTGCGCCTTTTTGATTTGGGACCATTTTTGTCCAAGTTACAGCAAAAAATCCATAAAAAAAAAAAAAAAATACCAAAAATCAAGATCCAGATTTTCCACCCCAAAAAATAACAGTATTTTGGCCACAACAATGGAAATAATGGTCCAAATATGGAATGTCATACCTCGTTGAGCTCGTAGTTAAATTCCCTATCGATTGGCGTTTCAACCTGAAAATTTTTAATTTTAGCCATTTTTCCCCTTTTTAGCCATGGTACCCCTTACCAAAAATGTGAAAATTGGGTCGAAAATTAATTTTCCCAAATCAGTAGGAAAGTGCTCTGATATTAATTATAGGGTTGTAAGCTGTTCAAAACAGTTTGCCTTTTTGATTTGGGACCATTTTTGTCCAAGTTAGAGCAAAAAATCTTTAAAAAAAATTGAATTTTTACCAAAAATCAAGATCCTGATTTTCCACCCCAAAAAATAGCAGTATTTTGGCCACAACAATGGGAATAATGGTCCAAATATGGAATGACATACCTTGCGGAGCTCGTAATTTAATTTCTAAATTACATTTGCATTTAAATTTAATAATTAATATGTTGTTTTTATCTTTCAGCAGCAGTTCCAAAAACAATATTGCTGCGTGGTGTCGCAGGCGCATGATAACCTTTAGCATAATGACAGCTCTGCTGTCGTGCTTGATCATCATGTACTGCGTCTTGCCGTTGGTTGAGATATTTTTTGGTCCCGAACTCGAGCCCCAGGATAAGCCATTTCCCTACAAAATGGTCTTTCCCTACAATCCCCACAGAAGTTGGATCAGCTATGCACTCACCTACGTGTTCACCTCGTATGCAGGAATCTGTGTGGTGACCACTTTGTTTGCAGAGGACACCATTTTAGGATTCTTCATCACCTACACTTGCGGCCAATTTCAATTGTTACACGAACGAATCAACAAATTATTCAAGGGAATACATAATACGGAATTGGCAGAAGAGCTTCAGCTGGAGCGTCTTAAACGGATTGTAGAAAAGCACAACAATATTATCAGGTTATATATGTTCAATTTATTTAAGCTAATGCAAACTATTTAAAACTATTATTTTTTTTGATAGATTCGCTAAACGCTTGGAGGACTTTTTTAATCCAATTCTATTGGCCAATCTTATGATTTCATCGGTTCTAATTTGCATGGTTGGCTTTCAAATAATAACTGTACGTACTAAAAATATGATATGTATTTTATATATTTGTATTTTATTTACCGTATTTTATATATATTTTATAAATTTATTAACTTTTCTTAATCAGGGAAAGAACATGTTTATTGGGGACTACGTGAAGTTCATCATCTATATATCCTCGGCCCTTTCGCAATTATACGTACTCTGCGAGAATGGAGATGCTCTAATAAAACAGGTAACTACAAGTGATGGATTTCCTTAAAACTTATTTTCAACATATGTTTTTTCACAACACAGTCCACGCTGACAGCGCAAATTCTATATGAATGCCAATGGGAGGGTTCAAATCGAATCGAGTCCCTTTCGTATAAACCAACCAGCAAACGAGTCCGAAATCATATATGGTTCATGATACTCTGCAGCCAGCAGCCCGTGAGGATAACAGCGTTCAAGTTCTCAACTCTGTCCTTGCAAAGTTTTACGGCGGTATGTATGGCTATTGGATCGATTTTAGAAAACAAACACTAAATTAAATATTTTTTTCAGATTTTGAGCACGTCAATAAGCTATTTTACCCTACTGCGGTCGGTTTACTTCGATGACGAAAAGAAACAGGACTAGAAATATACCTAATCACAATAAAGTAGTGAAAAATGTATTAAATTATCAATAGTTGTATTAAAAAATAATTCACAAATTTTCAGATTTTTTTTTAGATTTTTTCCGCAATTTTTTAGATTTTTTCCACAATTTTTTAGATTTTTTCCACAATTTTTCACATTTTTTCCACTTTTTCCTGGGCCAACTGGTTGGATTTCTGGATTTCAGATACCAGGCGAACAGGAACGATAGCAGGTCGACGGCTAGTTAAATCAACTCTTACTTAGGGATGGACTTTTTTAGGCACGCTCCATACAAACTCGTGACTATCGTGACACAAACACAAGAACACGAGGTTTGCCCATCCCTAATTTGAGCTTTCCTTTAAGCTAACGGATCACTTCCAGTGAGCTCGCCTCTGATTGGTCAATGGCTGGCTTCCAGGCGGCCATCTTGAAAAAAGAACCGTTATGTGAGAGAAGTCAGAAATACCAGTAGCGACCTACTACTTTTCTGCTGATTCTGTTGGCCTGGTATCAAAAATCGAGAAATTAGTCTTGAAACGCTTAAGTCGAAGATTACGGTAAATCTGGATCATTTCTAAGTTGAATTTGGTGCAAATTTTTGCCATAACGGGGAAATTTTCTCATTTTGAGCCTTTAGAATGTAGCATACTTTTCAGGGCTGCTGCTTTTGGCAGGGATTTTTTCAACTTTCCTTTATAATTTCCTTGTTTTTATGAATAAAAAAACCAGAATTAAGTATTTTCTTATTTTTAATGAATTTCTCAGATCAGACAAACAAAAGATCACAAATAGTAACTATGAATATTTTTGGTAATTAAAATATGCACTACCCATCCTTGATTCAGATATCGTTTTTAGCACCGCGCGCCGAGTTGCCAGCTGCAGTGGTAGTCGCCGTGTTGATAGAAGCCTCCCCAACCACCGATGATTGACCCGACGTGATCCCGTGCTGCATGAGGAAGTCGTGCTCGTTCTTGGCCTGCCGCAGCCAGTTGCGCAGATCCCGGGTTCGCTCCACCAGGCAGGTGGTGTAGTTGACGGCCCGCGGACTCTGCGAGACAATCGTGTTGGCCGTGAGAATGGCCGCGCCCATGGAGCTCTGCATCCGGCCGGCGGCCAGCTGGCGGTAGGTCTCCAGTCGGTCAGCCAGCGTGGGTATCGAATGGGGTATGTGAACGGCGGAGCTGCTATTTGTGCCCTCGAGGAGATCATGCTGCTTGAGGACCTGCGACCAGGCTGAAAGCTCGTGCTGCTGCTGCTGCTGTTGCTGCTGCTTCTGGCCAAAGATGTCCAGGATCTCACGGATCTCGGCATTGAGTATCTCCAGGTTTTCAATGCACTCGTTCGACTCCTGCTGGTAGTAGTCCTTCTTCTGCTTGTGGAAATCAGCGGCACTGGCTAACTCAGTGCTGCTGAAGCCGGAACTTGAATGGGAGGATAGATCACTCAAGGTGGCCGCATCATCCATGGTCCCGGGAACCAGATCCAGCATGGATTTCTCCTTCTCGTAGATGCGCAACAGGCTCTGCTCCAAGTGCCTTAGCCGGATGATCTTCTCGCCGAGCAGCGAGCGTGTGCGATGGAGATTCACCTCCATTTCGGTCAGTTCCTTCTCCTCCTGGATGAGCTGATCGATGGAGGGCTTCGGCGAGAGCGCGGTGATCTTGCGCTGCTGGCCAATCTCGCGCTGGCGCAGCCGGAAATTGGTGCGCTGCGTTCGCAGCGATTCCTTGGCGCGACGCACTGAATCGCGTTCCAGGTGAATGCGATGCTTGAAGAATTCCAGCTCGGAACCCACACCGTTCGGTTTAAGATGCGCTGAGATGGAGTCGGTGAAGGGATAGCGCAGATGGTAGGGCGCATCTAGGGTGTTCTCGGGGAACTGATCCTCGAGAGCCTCGAGCTTCTGCAGCTGATGGCGCAGGTTCTCAACGGGAGTGCAGGGTCGCTCGGTGGCTGCTCCCTTGCTAGCATAGCTAGTGGTGTCCGAGTTAAGACGCGATGTCGATGCCGATTTGGTGCGCGAAAAGACAATCCTACTCAGGCTGGACTCCTTGCTGGCCGCCTGGTTGCCGCTGCCTCCATTGTTGTTCCTCTCCAGATTCGATTGCATAGCCATGGCATTGCCATTATCGCTCACCGTTCTGGTGGATATTCCACCACTAGCAGACTTGAGAAACTGCCCATATCGTCCATTGTTATAGGTATTTGATAAGGTTGTATCCGACTGGCTGATGGAGGTGTTGTCATCCTGCTGCTGCAGCTGCAGTTGCAACTGCCTGATGTTGTAGGAGGTGGAGGTGGAGGTCTTGCTGGTCAGCTGATGATTCTTCTGGGGAACGGGGGGTTTAACCACCACTGCCTCGCCTGCAATCGCCTGATCCGAGTAGCTTAACGATCGATTGTCGCTGTTGCCCGACTGCTGCTGCGGTTTCTGGTAGTATCGCTCCAAGGAGCGCTCCATTTCATTGCCGCTGGCCGATTTGTGGCTATGACTGGGCACCATTTGCGCCTCCCTGCGCCGATTGCGCCGCTCCAGCGAGAGCTTGACATCGGTTTTGAGTCGCACATACTTCTCCTTGAGGCAGCGGTACTTGTCCTCCAGCAGCCGCTTCTCGCAGCGCAGCTTCTCGTAGAGCCTGGCCTCCTCGCCACCGTTCTTTTCCCGCTTCTTCTCGGCTTCCAACTCGCGGGCATACTTATCCCTCAGCTGGGAGAGCCGCGTGGCCTGCTCGCGACGCAGCAGCTCCTCCTCCGCGTGCAGCTCGCGTTCCATATCGCGCAGAATCTCCTCGTGGCTGCTTTGGAGTGTATCGATCCTCGCCTTGTGCTCGCCCACCAGGAGGTTCCGCTTGGACTGCAATTGACGCTCCAGCTGCCCGCGATACTTCTCCATCTGCAGCTCAAAGGCCTCCTCCAATTTGTGCTGATGCGAGGTGAGACGGAGGTCGTATTCGTGGCGGAATCTCTTCAGTTTCGCCTCGTGATCACGGCGTATGGAGTCAAAGTCGCTTTCAGCGGACATAACCGGTTTCCCAGACTTCAGATGCAGCTGCTCCAGTTCGTAGCTGTGCTTGCGACCCAGCTCGTCGAGATCGAAGGCATTGTTGCCGGTTAAAAGTGCCGAGGAATCCTGTTCGGATTTGTTGATGATAAAGCTGCGCACCGAACTGCCCTTGGAATCGGAATCGGTGTCATCGTAGAATAATTTGGTGGCCTCGCAATCCTTGGTTTTAGTAGCAGCAGTAGTAGGTTCTACTATTTTTGCTTTATTTTCCGACGACTTTTGTGGGTCCAATAGAAAGGGATTCAGACTGTAGATGCCCTCCATTAGATTCGCCTCAGTCTCGTGCCAAAGATCGACGGGCTGCTCTTTGTCTATTAAATCCTCATCCTCCTCGTCATCTGGATCATCCTCGACCACCACCTCCACATCGCCCTCATCATCATCATCATCGTCATCCTCCAAATTCTCGTTCTCGGGGGCGCTCTTCTGATCCAGATTAAAGCGCACACTCTTCTTGTCCTCCAGCGATTCAATTGCCGGCTCCATGCGATCCAATCGGCGACTTATATCGGTTATACTGGAATCGCGCAGGATGCCCTTGACGCCCGAAGGCGATGTATAGCCATCGCTGTTGCTGCGGCTTTCTAGTTGCCGACGAGTTGTAGTTGCCTTTTGGAACAGGGATATTTTAGCACCAACTCCTCCTGAGTTTTCCTCTGAACTCTCAAGTTTTCCGTTCATTTGGGCATTGGGATTCGTAGTATTCGCCTTCGATTTGCCGACCTCGAAGCCAAGCTGATAGAAACGTCCAAAGTCCTTGGAATCCTTGGGGTCCTTGGAGTCCAAAAATCGACTTTTACCTCCGCTCAAGAGATTCGGCCACTTGCGGGCCAAATTATTAAGAGGCAATGGTCCGGGGGAGGGTAATATCATCTCATCGATGCCCTGCATACTGCGAATGCCCGAGTCCAATTGCGATAGATCATCCGAGGTGTCGCCGACTCCAGATTGGGATTCACATAGCTTTTGGCGCCTGGCCTGATTGACCAGATCGCGATATATCGCATCGAGCGGATGATCCCATTGCGACTCCTTGGTTCGCGTATTGTGATAGTAATGCCCGTTTTTCTCCTCAGAGTAGCTGTAACGATATTTTAATTTAATTATTAAAATAATATTTTAATTTAGTAATCTATAGACATCGAATTATAGGCTAAAACGTATTCTAAACATTCCATTTCTAGCGATATCTGATTAAAGATATTAAGAATATTCAAAATTAGATTTTAGCTTTAACAAATTTTGACTTTTTTTTTAAAGTAAAATCTGAACGTTAAGAATACTGTTTTACATATAATGTCTAGTATTATATATTCCTCACCATATCTTCCAATCCAATGGCAATGCGGCCATTAATCCTTCCTTGGCAAGATACAGCAAATGCTGCTCCCGTTGGGGCTCGATTCCAATCAAAGAGGCATATTCGTTTATTTCTAATAAAAATAAAATGAAACATTACTTAAGAGGCTTTACAAAGAATAAATATATATCTGTATAAAAAATACTGTATTCCAAGATGTTTTTATATTGTTACATCATTATTTTTTGAAGATAAAATATAAATATACTTTTTCCCGACTGCAAACATAAAACGAGAACTAATCAATCAGCCAAATTTCGAATAAATATTAAGAGAAAACCACTTTTTTATCAAATAAAGAAAAGAAAGGGTTTTTTTTACTCTTAAAATCCATATTTTTTGTCTAAAGTTTTAGCTTAAAAGCAGCAGCAGGAAAAACGGAATGGATTTTTACAGTTTTATACGTATTTTAACAAGAAAAAATATTACAATTTCCATTGCTTATGATTTTTTAATAACAACTCATTGATTTTTCACTCTGTCCACAGTTTTTTAGGTCCTGTTTTAAAAAAAACGTAAGGATTTTTCAATTCCTGCATATGTACAATGTACATCATACATCCATACACACACATACGTATTTAGATGGTGGAAAATGTGTTAATGCCCCAAATTTCTTTTTCTTGGGCGTTACACTTTAAACTGAATAAAGTTCCTTGTTTTTCCCGAGTATATAATTTCAGGATGTGGGTGGTTTTTTCACGGAAATGCCTATATTACACCTGCATTAATAATACCTACAACTATGTACTTATTAAGCAAAAAAGAAAACTTACCCTCTGATGAAGGAAAACACGCCTCGTCGAATACCTCCTCGCAAATCACCGATGAGCCCTGGGATGATGATGATGTGGTTGAGACCGCCTTGGCCATTTGCTGTTCAGTTGTTGCTGCCGCTGCTGCCGAGGAAATCCTCTTGCTAATACTGGTGGTCGTCATTATGGGGGAACTACTCCAACTATTCTTCACATTCACTAACCGAACCGAATGAAGCTTTGAGCTTGAGCTGACTTTTCCGCTGATTGCGAAGTTATCCGTACTCAAAGTGTCGCTCAATATATTTGCATATATTATTATATTTCTCCCATTTGACAAACATAATTTTCCATATTAGTCCTCAGTGAATGCTGCCGACCGACAGAGTAAACGGCAGAGCAGAAACGGTCTCCAGTCTCCGATGCAGTTTGACCTAAAAATGAAAATATAAATACCTACTGAGTCATCGCTTATACTATATATACGGGTATATGGATATGTACGGAGCATGCTCTGAAGGCGGGTTGCTGGCCAATTATCTGGTTGGCAACAGGATATTGCCATTGCACTGAGTTTACGTGTCTGCGCAAGGCAACGATTGGGGTCCAGCTCGTTTTCAACCACGAAAACAACCAAAAAGGAACTCCTTAAAAAATTCTATTGTCAAAATACTGCTGCTATCCTTTTACTTCGCCAATTGGTGGCGTAATTTGTTCTAGATTTGCTTTCAATTCGTTATTTATAACCAAGTTCTGTTACTTTGAAAAACGTAATTACCGGAAACTAGAATCGTATCCTGGAAAAAGGGTGTATTTCACCCCATACTATTACATTATCCTTACCACAGGACCCATATGTTCTCTTTCGATGTTATCGTTTATCGGAAAAATCCTGCATTTAAATCGATAGAGCTTATACCTTTTCTTCATTTTTATATAACTTTTTTAGAACTTTAACAACTATACGATACTATAATAACATTTTTTTGCGAAGTATTTAATTTTGATGTTATGATTTCTATCAAATTAAATATTAATTTTATATATATATTTTTTTTTTATATTCATTATTTACTAATCATTTACTACAATTTAAAATAAATTTATTTCTAAATTCCTTTAAATAGTGTGTATTGAATAAATATAGAATTCTATCTTTTAATTATATTTAGCTTATAAAAACATTTAATATTATTTTCAACGAAAAAGCTTACCGATAGATGTGTGTCGCTGTGGGAATGGCACATAAAGCTCATTTTCTCCTATCGATAATGCTTTAGTGGGACCTTCGATGAGATGGTGCCAGATACTTTACTTCAAAACAATTAGATATGTTTAAAACACCTCTCAACCCTACCTGAAAATAATAATAATAATATAAAAAGCGACTGCCCAGCTACATAAGAGTACGCGAACAGAGTTATGGCCGGCATAAATAACTACTCTAGCTTAAAGTACGTAATAGAGATGACCTCCTGCTGTAACATTCTAATAAATAACAATAATATTCCATTCCATTTATAGATTTCAAGCGGAGCGTGGACTTCACGATGATCATCATCAGCTGGGCAACGAGCATCATCGGGCTAGGGATCTACATTTAAATTTACCCACGACCTCTAGCCCCAGCAAACACTTGGTGGGGAGCAGGTATTCCATTTTGCATCCGATTTGTTAAATTACATAAATTCCTCAAATCCAAAATCCCTTGAATCAACAGCTTTGAGGGCCGCGAAAAGTCGATTGTGGATCATATAAACGAGGATCAGGATGCCATAGCCAGGATCCAGTACGTGGACTCGGATAATGCCTTATCACTACCGCTGGGCAAGCACAAAGTGCTGGACAAGTATTCGGATAACCAGGAGGATGGTGGGTTCTATACTAAAATAATAATATAATAATGTAATATAATATTATACTGTATATTACAGACACATCTGTGCGAAAGTACTTGGTGGTGGGCGTCCAGTGGGTCTCTTTGGTCACCGAGAACCTTCTCAGCCATCCGTTCGTCGTGCTGCGTCGCCAGTGCCAGGTGTACAATGCCTCCAGACGCTACCATCTGCATCCCTTCCAGCTGCTACCGAGCATCGTTCACCTGCATCGTAGGCAGGGACTCACCACGCTGTGGAAGGGCGTCGGTAGTTGCCTTCTGGTTCGCGGCATGACAGTGGCCATCGATGACTTTGTCTCCAAACTGACCAGCTGGCCCAAGGATGTGGATAGTCGGACGACCCTGAAGCGCTTCGGACAGCATGTTCTGCTCAAATGGTAGCTTAAATTCATTATTATACCCGTTAATCGCCATATAGCCATGTCCGTATGTCCGTCTGTCCGTCTGTATAAACGCTAAGATCTCGGAAACTACAAAAGCTAGAAGGTTGAGATTTTTCACACATATTCTTGGGCTTCCTACGCAGCGCAAGTTTATTTCAGCCCAGCGCCACGCCCCCTCTAACGCCCACAATAGCCCACTAACGATTTTAAACCGTTAAATATTTTTGAGAAGTATAAATTCAATTTTGTTGTGCATATTTATACCTTTCAAAATGTAGAAGAAATCGGACCATTCATTAAAAAGTTATATGCAATCAAAAACAATTTTTATATCCATCTCCCTTGCGCTCCCTTTAGCCAAGTGACTCTTATTATATCTCCCCTAATTCCTCTTTAATATCTTTTATAACAGCATAAGCATCGGTCTGGTGGTGCCCTTCCATGCCGCCTCGCTCGTCGAAACGGTGCAAAGCGATATTGCCAGCGAGAAGCCGGGTCTCTTCGACGTTTTCCGGGAGGGAAGTCTGCGCCTTTTCTACTGGAGCTCACCGCAAAAGGGACGCATGCTGCCCGCCTGGGCTCTGATCGGTCCGAGCGTATCGTTTGGCATCACCAAGTACCTCTTCAATCTGGTCATCAGGGGCATCTCATCGCGCATTATGCGACGGCGAATAACAGCCACGAGTTCTCAGGACAGCAGCAGTCAGGGAGGAAAGCATCACGACACAACGCTGGAGCATCAGAATGCGGAAATCTACGCCAGCCTGATCGCCATCCTAACCACTGAGGTCATATTCTATCCGCTCGAAACGATTCTACATCGTCTGCAGCTGCAGGGAACTCGCACGATAATCGACAACCTGGACAATGGCTATGATGTGGTCCCCATATTGACCAACTATCAGGGCGTCGTCGACTGCTATCAAACCACACTGGTCGCCGAGGGCGTTTCGGGGCTGTACAAGGGCTTTGGGGCCATGGTGCTGCAGTTTGCGGCACACGTGGCTGTGATCAAGCTGGCCAAATGGGTTGTGAATCAAATCGCTGAGGTCGTTTCGAATCGACCGCCGCAGCGAATAGTTCAGTACTATAATCTGGATGGCATTGCGGGTGGCAATTCGAGATCCACGACCCTGTCGCCCAGTCTTTCCAGCACCGAAATGGAGGAGACGAGTGTTGGCCAGAATTCACTAGATTAGTTTCGATTGCTAGTCCAATTATTATATGCATATGTAAATTATACGAGATAAATGTCCGAAGTTGCACGTTGTTTTTTGTGAGATACTAACATACGTTTCGTATTTTAAATAAGGGGTTTAAAGTCACAAATTATATCTGCGGTCACACGACTATCTTGCGTTGGGCACACGCCTATTTTTACGTGTAAATATATAAATTATTTGAACAGTTTTCGAAGGTAAACGCACGTTGAATGAAAAAAGCGAGGGATAAAATTGAAAATTGTCCTGTGCGATCGTTCCTATGGCAACTATATATACACAGAAAAAAAAACTATATGAAATAGGGTTATTTCTACCTTATTTCATATCAAATTTAAGATTCAAACATATCAACATGATATTTTATCATATCATAAAATACCAAATGTAGTATTTTTTGAGCAAATAACATAAAAAAAGATTAACATAATCTTTATTCATATCAAAATGATATGAATAACTTGATTTTAAAAAAATATCAAATTGACTATTACCAAGGCAACCAAACTGATCTGATGTTACTGATGTTTTTACCTAGCTTCTAGCTTCGTTAGGCATTTATATCGAAAGGCATTTATTTGCAATGTCCTTTTTGGGGGGCCAGAAAACAGCAAAACAGTGGGTATGGTGTACATACAACAACTGAACGTTAACAGAACAATATTTAATATGTTATGTCGCTTGATGTTTTTACATATTTGAAATTTTCAGTTCCCATCGATATCGTTCGCTGCTACCTTCCTTACTTTCTATACCACATCTGGAGCGTCTTCATCCGCTTGACCTTCTTCTGGAGCTGCAGGACGCCGTACATGAGCGCCTCGGCGGTGGGCGGGCAGCCGGGGACGTAGATGTCGACGGGTATGATGCGATCGCAGCCGCGAACCACCGAGTACGAGTAGTGATAGTAGCCACCGCCATTGGCGCAGCTGCCCATCGAGATGACCCATCGGGGTTCGGGCATCTGATCGTAGACCTTTCGCAGAGCAGGTGCCATTTTATTGGTCAGCGTACCGGCCACAATGATCACGTCCGCCTGGCGAGGCGAGGCACGAAAGACGACTCCGTAGCGATCCATGTCGTAGCGTGGAGCAGCAATGTGCATCATTTCGACGGCACAGCAGGCGAGTCCGAAAGTCAGTGGCCAAATGGAACCCTTGCGTCCCCAGTTGAGCAGATCATCCAGGCGGGCCAGCGACCATTCCGCCACCGAGGATTGCTTCGTTCCGAACGGCGAGTAGCCCTTCTTGGGCAACGTTTGGGCCACTTCGGCGACCGGAAGGGTTTGTTGTTGGCGAGCTAGAACCAAATTCAGTGCGGGCAACACGGCGGATGCGGATGGGGATCCTGATGACTGTGTTGTTACCCTTTGGAGAGCCCGGGACAGGGTCGATGACATCATCGCCGAACGCAGCATTTTGGTCCTGCTAAATTAAGGCTCAAGTTATCCGGGCGCACAGTGCATTTTAAACATTTAATACCTATTTATGTAACTTCAACTTATTTCGTTTCGTATTTGGAGGGTATGACCGCTGCTGGACTGCTGACAAAATACCAACTGCATCGCGGAAACGCACCAAAATATACCACTTTATTGAAGAAAAATACCAACTTGCTCACAGTAACGTGCTAAAATATACCTAATTACCGACAAAAATACAGACTTTTTTCACTGTCCTAACTGTTGCCGATTTAATACACCATTCTTACATAGTCGCATCCAAAATGTCGCATCCATAATGTCGCTTCCACATTTTTAACCGTTGTCTATTTCCCTTTCAAAAACTGCCGAGTGTCTGAATCCCATTGAATTTTCAAACAACTGTGTTTTTATAATAAAAAAAAAAAACAAGAGCTTAATCTATACTTTCTTATTTGATTTTGAAGAAAATAATGGGTACTAATACTAATATGAAACACAGTTGCCGTGACCTTTAAATGAAAAAAGGTGTCAATTCTGTATGGGACAGCTGATAAAAAGATTCATAATTCTAATTATTTTATAACGTTTTTGTTTGATTGAATGATCAAAAATCGTACAAACTTAAAATTAATTTAATTTAACTTGTGAGATCGTGGATGAACACTAAACCTTGTTCACCCTCACAATTTTGTTAGATATTTTGCCAATAAAAGCGACCTCCCTGTTGATAAATGAAACTACATTTATTATTTGTTGCTTTTTCATAATTTTCGCTTTATTTTGTAATATATATGTTGGTGTAATTCAGTTATCGTCTATTGTTACAGCGGCTTGGGTAATGTAATGCTAACAATTGAATGGTAGTAAAGCGATAAATCAAAATAAAGCAATTGCGGTAGTGCTAGATGGTGTTTACAATTAGCACACTCTTAAAAACTAAAGATCAAAGAACCACTTGTCGATTTAACATGATAATTTATATTTCATTTTGAATTTGTAGATTGCGCTTGCTTGATTTTCCGTTTCCAAAGTACTACTGATCGAGGGAGTAGTTTTTAGATTTTCTTAGATTTCATCAATGTTAATATCCCCATCAGCATCGTCAGGGTCCGCCACCTCCTGCTTCTTGGTCGAGTTACGGTACTGGTACTTTTCACCATCATCCGAGTCCTCATCACTATCCTCTACTCCGGCATCTTCATTGGAATCCGAAGAATCCGAATCTTCTTCGGCATTTTGCAGCCACGAGACGAACGGCTTTACCTTCTCGTGTATCTCGGCAGCAATATTCTTGGGTACATGCCGTTTGCTGACCTTCTGCCCCCACTCCAAAATGACGGCTTCATCGAGTATGTCCAAATCATAAAAATGTTTAAAGATTCCAGCCACCTTGCACATTAGTGTGGCCTTGTGTAGCTCGACAGTTTGCTCAATTCCACCGATTAAATAACGCTGTGCCTTCGGGTTGTTCAGTGTGAAGCGAAGCAGCAAATTGCGGTTCTTTTGCACATCCTTGACAATGTTCTCGGAGAACAGAAGCTCGGCCAGAACCAGTGGCGATTTGTTAAGAATATCCAAACGCTCCGCTTCGATAAACAGTTCCTTGTGGATCGAAAGTTCCCCAAGTAGATTCTTGTCCCGCTTGTCCTTCACCAACTCATAGAAAAGATCGATGCGCTCCTTTTCGGTTTTATCATAGTCATCCGAAATGGTCATGCCCTTAGCACCATCTGTCAGATCTTGCAAACGAGCACGTATAGCCTCCTATTATTTAAATATATAAATATTTATGAACACAGATTCCTCTAAGTCAAAGTATAGGTATTAAAAATAGGGAAGCACAAAAAATAAAAAACAATTCAAAGGAAAGATAGGCGTGTGCCCGCAGGCATAATTTGTGACTTTAAGCTGATCACCCCTGATTAAATATATATTTAAAACAAGAACGCACCTTCGAAACATCCACGCTCCATCCCTCATCGTCGTCATCCTGCGAGGTCTTCTCCGGAATGGCAGCGCTGATCTCGGCCTCAGTTTGGCTAGCCTGGTTCGTTCCATTGCCGCCATCCGACTCACCGCCGGAGTTGTTGCCCATCGAGTTGTTGGTCATCGAGCCATCGGCATTGTCGTTCTTATTCTTATGCTTCTTCGAGCGCTTGCCCTCGGTAAGCGAAGATCCCTGGGCGGCCGGATTCAACGATGGAGGGTTCTTCACAATGAACGTGTTAACTTTGTGGTTGACCTTCAGCAGACCGTGGAAGCCGCATGCCTTGCATGACTGCGAAATGGTCTGGTTCTTGGCCGAAACAGTCAAATTGGTCTCCGGATTGTCGCACTCGGGGCATAGGACAAATTTGCGAATAAAACCATCCAATAGATCTTGCAGCTTGTTCACATCGTGCGATCCATTTACCACAAAGCGTTCGTTCTGAAATTAGGATGAATCGATCATATAAGCTATGTAGATAAAAACTAAGGAATACATGATAGAGCTTGGAAAAAGATCTTCATTTCAATGTTTTTCAACATTTAACATTATTCTCCTTTAAAAAATCGATATTATCAAAACAAAACATCGAAAACATCGATATTATCGAACAAATATGGTGAAAACATCGAAAATATCGATGTCTCAAGCTCTAATACAAGATACTCACCTTGTGATCGAACAGAGTCTGGGCGCCCAACTCGCAGCCAAAGTATTTAGTCGGATAGGTGGCCGGGCGTCCGATGGCCCGGGCCACTTCGGCCATGTTGACAAGAACGGTCTTTATGCCGTTTCCCTTGCCCTCGACCTTCGCCTGCAGACGTGGCATCTTGTAGCGATAGAAGATGTCCGTCACACTGCGGTTAACGTTTACGGTGGCCATTTTGCAGTTGTTTTTTCTTTTCCACTTTCACGGATAATGCTTATAGTTCGGGCAATGGCAATGTTCCTACTATCAGGGGTGGCCAGTGGTATCTATTGGTTGTATGTGGATGGGGGGAATTTATTGACTTGAGTAGGTCTTTTGCTAGTTTGTGATTTGTTGTCCCGCTTTCGTTCCCGTTCATTAAATTTGTTTTTTTTTCTATGTGTTGCGCCGCTGCTGTGCTGTGTTTCACTTATTGAAATGTGGCGACAATAAGCATGAATCTGTTGTATCCTTCCGGAACAGCGAATTAATTGTGCTTTATTCGAAATTCAAACAACGGTGTAGTACTCAAATTTGTTGTAAATTCTGCAAGAATTGCTTGAGGATTATATTCTTATAGTTGTTGTTGTTTCGCAAGGGTATTATTTTATTGCTCTGTTGTTATTTTTTGCTGAAGTATTGGGTATATTGGATCTTTGCCTTGGTTATTATTCAGCTATTCTATTTTTCCGTTATAATATGTATAATTAATATATACATATATATATATATATATAAATAAATTTACGTATTTATATATATATACATATATTTATAATGTAAATTTACCAGTTTAAGTCTTTAATAAAAAAATGGCAAAACAGCAGGCTCATGTGTACCTGAATGGCTGTAACTTCCGATGTCTGTTACTCGAAGTCCTGTGAAGGCAAAAGTTTAAAAAGGTTTTTGTTAATCGTTACATAAGTTTATACCACGCAGAAACCGAACAAGTTTGTATAGTTTCACACATAACTTGACAATCCTTCTTAATAATAACATTCAAAAAACACAAATCAATTCGAATTTATACAGATATCAAGTAAACACTTATAACTCTTGTAAATAACATCTATAAACCATGAAAACTATAACTTTGATCTGTAATCCGTTTATAACTTGATTTATTCGCACACTTACTTTTACAAGCACTTTTTAACTAAAAAAAAAAATCCGGAAAAAAGTCTTATTACTCTTCGTACACCGAAGAAAATCCCAATTTTGCACCACTTTCTCTTGGCCCGACAAATGTAATCAATTTGAATCGGGTATTATACGGGTATTATAACTACAAGATCTAAGAGGAAAAATACCGAGTGTCCCTGAAGATTCAAACTTAGATATTCGTGTTGAAGAGAAGCAGATTTCTGAATTTGAATTTCAAATTTTGTACCGAAATCGAAAGCACACCATAACAATTGAATTTAAAATTGTTAACAACTATTTGACTTACCGGTGACTTATAGTTCGCCCTTTTGAATTCATGCACAGCTCGAACCCTTTACTCCGTTTTTTTACAATAAGACGTGCGGTTTTTTTTACTGGTGTTTCTGAAAAAAACAAAAACCAAATTGTTAATTGGATTATATGGTTAAATAACTAACCATTTGTACGGCAAGTTTTTTTACTTAAGTTCTCTGGAACCCACAATGCACTTATGCATGCAGTCAATTAAACACATAACACAGCTGATTTGTTTGATTTAGTATCGCTAACTAAAATTTGCACACAAAATAATTTTAAAGCAAAATTAAACCAAAGACTCTCAATCACAATAAAAAGGCGGTTGTGCTATCAACTTCCCTAAAAACTACTTATCTTAGGTATTAACTTTTCGAAACGGAGGGAAGTAACCGCAAAATGAAACAGAGAATTTGGGTAGGTTTGTCTCAAATAGATGCTATTGATATCCCAACTAAATTGAATAAACTGACAACTATTTCTGTACCGGATCGGATTTGAATTCCAAATTCTTACCCTCCAATAAACAGGGAATTATTTGCATTTAGTTGGAAATTTAAATACGAACAGAAAAACTCTCGGTCCCATAACAAAAAAAAGAACAGTTTTCGATCTTAAGTTACTTCTACAGCTTCTTGGATTTATTTTCAACTTGAAATATACGTTAAAAAAGTTATACACCATCATATAATATAGAATATGAGATGTATTTTTCAGGCTTCGTTTAGCAGTATGCCTACATATATTATTAAAAATTTGCAGAAATAGTATTTGATGCTCTTTCTTTCAAAAGAAATATTGTTGGTCCAATTTTGTTTCTTAGCCATACAATTTTTCAAACAATTGTTTTAAAATATTCATTGTTTTTGGATTTATTTTAAAAGATAACCCTAGAAATTTTGTTATCCAACTAATAGTAATTTAAAATTGTTAAAAAAAGGAAGGATATTAAACTAATCAAGAGGTTCCTTCAACTATTATCTATTACTTACCACCGAATCTTTCAAAAGTCATATAAGATTTTGTTTCCCCTCCTTTGGGGTGCGCAATGCCAGTTCGCAAATTAGACAAAGATTTCGTATCTCTTTGTTAAGTCAATCGCAAATTGACTCGGGAAATAAATGTGGATAAATCAAAAACAAACAAATCGCACACTGCCTTCGGGAAATTGACAGGTCTTTCAGCAGTTATCCAATGCTAATATTCAAAAATATTAGTTACGCTTATGGGGCGCTTTAATATCGCGGAAAATTTTAATTCTTGTCTCTCGACTATTCTGAAAAAAAGGAAAAGAAAAGAGAATGAAATTAGGAATGCGCATGAACGAACATATGTATACCACTCTATGTAAACTATGTATTTTCTTACTTCAAAATAGGTTAATTTAACATTAAGTTTACATACATACGTACGTATATATATATCTTTACTTATGTATTCAAATACATTCCATACATATATGAAAAAAATAAAATCCACTATTTAAAATGTAGAGGTGATGGATGCTAATACATGAAACGGGGGTTTCTTTCTTCTTTTTAGATTTACACTTGACTCGAAGTTATTAAAAGTTATGGAAGCTCATTTGCTCAATATATATGCACACATATGTACATACATATGTACATTTTCATGCACGTATGCATTTACATATGGATGGAATGGAAGCCACGCCATTTGAGCTTTTGAGGTTGTGTTTCGCTTCAGTCACAATCACTTTTCCATACCTTTGCCTCGAGTTTACACCAATTCGTTACCGATTTCAACCAAAGTAAATGAATAATTTTGTTAAATAAACCGTTCAGGAATATATTTTCTCCAAAGTACGAACATACGACTCTACGTCACTGCACAATATGACCGTAATGATTCCAGCAGAGCTGCACTACCATGTCTATCGATACGGCACGACGATCGTGATGGCCCTTTCACACTACCGATTTTATTTAATTGAAATGCGAAAATCACGTAAAGGGTTTTTTCTACTGTTAGTTAATAGTCGATTAGAAAACTGCAAAGAAAAATGTAAGAAACAAACTAATGAACTGAGAAAACTAAACAATCTACTAAGAATATTTTAAACTGATGCCCTTTTGAACATCCGTGGACTTGCTTTTTATCGCTTGTACGATCAGACTTTGTTAATTTACTATCACAAAAGTGATTTAAAATTGTTTCATATTTAATATATTTAATTATTGGTATCAGAAAGTCAAGATTCCTTACAAATCCCATCCGTTCCTTCGACTGTTCACTTCGTTATCGGCGCAAAAGTGGGAACGCAATGTAAGGTATATTGAATAAAAGTATCGATTTTCCATGTGAAAAATATTTATTTCTTGTGATGGTATTTATCGATATTCTTATGTCTCTGGAAAACGCTGTTCATATCGATTTATTTTTCTGCGTATACAGAACATACTTTCCTTTCATTGTATTCCAAAAAATAATATATTTATATACTTGCGGAAGTTTACAACTGCAAAAAATGTGTCGCTAAATCAGAGTGGACCGAATATAATATATGACCTGCTCGGCGAATATATAAACAAAGGCAATCACAATAAAGGAAGGGAAAACCGTGAGTATGGGATGTCAAGTGGACGCTACTAAATACTTACATGCACATATAGGTATATCGATATGTACATACATCTTGTTATAAACAGTTTAGAATATTTTCTGACGTAATAAAATCACAAAAATTAGAGCCAAAGGCCTTTTTTAACTTGTGAAAACATTATTCGGCTGTATCTTGAACAAAAGACTTGTATGCATGTATGTATATACGGATCTAGGCAGGTTTTACTGAAGCTCATTTATTTTTTTTTTTGCTATTCTCCTACCACAAAACATACTTACAAGTGTATGATTGTGTGTATGTATGGTGTGTACGCACAGCGTCAGGACAAATAATCTTACAAGTTTCGGAAAAGCTTGCAGAAAAATAATATTTATAAATATTTTATAGATATTCCTTCGACATTGTACATACATATATTTGAGAAACATTTTCAACCCCAAAAGAAATCCTGGTTCACAGGATTGCGACAGGTGGAGATTATTGCATTTATTGCCCATTTCAACAAAGGCGTTTTCCCACTTTCAGACGCAGTTTCCTTCCAATCGGAAGAAAAAACTTTTTATGGTTTTTTTTTTTAAATCAAAGTGTAAAAAAAATACAATTTTGTTAAGATGTGATAACTAATGAGAAAACATAATAATCAGTGCCTCGTTAAAAATCAAAACATACTTTTAGAGAACGTTGCTAAAAGTCTAAAAATATCTAATAATTTAAAGTTTCTAAAATGCTTTTTGTTTACTTAATTTTTTTTTTAAATAGCTAGTTTTTCCCTTTATAAATTTTTAATATTTAAAGCGGCGGGCGCATTATATTGATTTAATTACTTGAATGTTTTTGTATTGCTATTCTTAAAAAAATATTATATTAATATCATATTACTTATGTATATTTTTTGTTTTTTTCAGAAATAAGTATTTCTATCTCGGGTTGATATTGTTCGGCGAGTCATGGAGGATCCAAATCGCATGTTGGCTCACACCGGTGGCATGATGGCTCCCCAGGGATACGGATTGTCTGGCCAGGACGATGGCCAGAACACTGGCAGCGAGAACGAGGTGCGCAAGCAGAAGGACATCGGCGAGATATTGCAACAGATAATGAGCATTTCGGAACAATCACTGGACGAGGCGCAGGCCAGAAAACATACCCTCAACTGTCACCGGATGAAGCCGGCCCTTTTCTCTGTTCTATGCGAAATTAAGGAGAAGACCGGTATGTTCTCAATATTATTCTCATTATAATATCTTAGCAATAAAATAAACTGATTCTTAAAAGTTATATTGGAAGTTTAAAAAAAAAAATGTTGTAGATGTTTTTATAAAAATATTGAAGATGTGTTTATGATTATAATGAAGATATTTGTCCTTATATTATTTGTACATTAAATCTTGATTAATCATCAAAAAGAAACAGTAATATTGAAGATATTTTTTTAAAAATATTGTAGATGTGGTCCTTTAAAGCTATATCATAAATTTAGGGTATTTTTTGAATATGATTTTACATTAAAATGTAGCAAAAAGAGTGAAAACCGTTAGTTTATAATGGATAAGATAAGAAAAAGAATTTTCAATTGAGCTTTTTTTCAATATTTATTTTTATTACAGTTGGTTTTCTAAAAAATTGAAAAAGAAATTTCAATTGAACTTTTTTAATATACATTTTTATTTTGGTTGATTTTCTAATACAAAATACGATTATACATTAAAATCACAACCTGTAGGCAATATATTGATTATATATTTATATGTTTATTAGAATATAATTAATATTTATTTGTTTTTTCCTACTTATTCCGTCACCATAGTCCTGTCGATTCGCAACACTCAGGAGGAGGAGCCCCCAGATCCGCAACTGATGAGATTAGACAACATGCTGATTGCCGAGGGCGTGGCCGGGCCCGAAAAGGGCGGTGGCGGAGCGGCGGCCGCCTCGGCAGCTGCGGCCAGCCAGGGCGGCTCGCTGTCCATCGATGGTGCCGACAATGCCATCGAGCATTCCGACTACCGTGCCAAGCTGGCGCAGATTCGTCAGATCTACCACCAGGAGCTGGAGAAGTACGAGCAGGCATGCAACGAGTTTACCACGCATGTCATGAATCTTCTACGCGAACAGAGTCGCACGAGGTGAGTTGTTATAAGAAGCTGATGTTCAAAAACATATATCCATGGTAAACATATATTTTACAGACCCATTACACCAAAGGAGATCGAGCGAATGGTCCAGATTATACACAAAAAGTTTAGTTCCATACAAATGCAGCTGAAGCAGTCGACCTGCGAGGCCGTGATGATTCTCCGTTCGCGTTTCCTCGACGCTCGCCGCAAGCGCCGCAATTTCAGCAAGCAGGCATCCGAGATCCTCAACGAGTACTTCTACAGCCATTTGAGCAACCCATATCCATCCGAGGAGGCCAAAGAGGAGTTGGCACGCAAGTGCGGCATCACGGTGGGTTTTTAGCCTTAACTGAGCAGCATTTCGGATTAATAACACACCTTTTGCTTTTCTGGCAGGTCTCCCAAGTGTCCAATTGGTTTGGCAACAAGCGCATTCGCTACAAGAAGAACATCGGCAAGGCACAGGAGGAGGCCAATTTGTATGCGGCCAAGAAGGCTGCCGGCGCTTCACCGTATTCCATGGCTGGTCCTCCGAGTGGGACAACCACACCCATGATGTCACCCGCTCCGCCGCAGGATTCGATGGGCTATCCGATGGGCTCGGGTGGCTATGACCAGCAGCAACCGTACGACAACAGCATGGGCGGTTACGATCCAAATCTCCATCAGGATCTAAGCCCCTGAGGATCAGGGCTGTAAGTGAGAACCTGCTCCCAGTTGGAGAATCCCTCGTACTACAGTTGCGGTCAAAATAACTGCATTGAAAAAATCAATCAATCGATCATGCAGTTTCTTCTTTCTAATTATGTAAGTTCTCTTTTTCGTAACGAGGCGCGCGGTTTTTTCGTTTTTGCTGTATTAATTCTGCTGTCACACAGATAAGTTTAAAAAAAATTCCCATAAATTTAGATATAGTGAATAGAATAACAATACGTAATAGCTAGTTTGTGCTTGCTAGATTTTGGTTCGTGGAAAACAGGAGCTCATATAAAAGAAAACAATATTATAATCAGTTGCGAGAGGTAGACAGAAATCTCTTTAGGCAAAATTCAGTTGAAATTCTGTGGCAAGAGATTTCTGTTTTCCTCTCGCTCCTGATAATTGTATATTGTTTTCTATAAATGAAAGAATTTTAGCAGGATAATCCTGTAGTAAAATATCAAGAAAGCTTAAAAAATCAAATCATACATATATGCTTCCTTTCATATTTGATTCAAATGCAAATGCAAATGCATGTTTGTAAAGTAAATACGTAATAATTGGTTTAAGCAATTATATTTTATAACATAACAATTCGTAAAGGGAAAATAATCAATGCAGAGACTTTAGCTTATATCCATTAACCATTGAGAAGAACGTATTCAAGGAAACTCAATTAAAAACTCGTGGTATACGAATAGTTTCACTAGGAACGGGGAGGCACAACATTTCAGGGCTCTTATTTTGACCGCAGCTGTGTATAAATATATTTTAATACTAATTAATTTACCTACATTTGCGGGTATATACAAAAATATTGCATGTGTAAATCATACTATGACGGTTCTTTTTGGCTACAGTACGTATACGACGACAGCAAAATAGTGTTTACTAAATTTAAATCTGTACGAAATACGAAATTTTTAACTACGAACAATACGAAAATACGAAACTAAACCATGTATACGATGTATATCAAATAAATAAATAATACATGTTGTTGTTATCCGCACACGTCAAAACTAAATACAAAAAATATTTCAAATGTAAAAACGGTGAAGATTTTGAAAAAATTTAATGTCTCATTTCCATCGAAAGACGAATTGTTTCTGCATTACTAAGGTTTTGAAATTAAATTAAAGGAAAACACATGATTATGTATGTGTTTTTTTTTTTGCAATAAATAAAGTATTATATATTAACTATTGCTTTTAAAACAACTTTTTAATTTTAATTGCATTGGCTAAAAATAATTGTATTATTTTTGATAATTTTATTTTCGAAGAAAAACTCGTCTTTCGCTTTGAATGAAATATGCTGAATTCTTTTGCCTCAATTAAAACGGATATTAAAACAGATTATTTAAATGAATACAAAAACGATTATTATTTTTACTGATAAATAATATATGTCTTCTTCGCCCGTCTTTCGCTCACATAAAACGGTCAAATGAAACCATTCAATGTATTTCAGTATGATAAGGTATTGCATTAAAAATTTTGGATAACAATAGAAAAATATATAAATACACAACTTTACACGAATAACATAATAAATATAAAAACCAAGTATATATTAATGGTCTTAATGGGAAGATTTGTAAAGCTGTTTGCTCTATTTCATGGACATAGTACATGCAATAGAAAGGGACGGAAAATAGTCTCTTGGGAGGAAATGTTTTTAATTTCTAAAAATTTTCCAGACATCGACTTTTATGCAAAAACGTATAATAAAATATTTTGATTTCAGCAATCTTTTGTTTAAAATTAATTTTTCTCAAAAAAATTCAAAAAAAGATTTAAAATTAAACAAATTTTGATTTGTTGAACGTATTTCAATCATAACTAACGTCGTTTAAATTCAAATTTTAAGAATAATGCTTTGCATATATTCCAATGCCTACATTTTATAACGTACAATGTATATTTTAAATTCAAAAATATATTTTAAAATTATATTATGAAAAATGTATATTTAAATTAGTTAAGCCTTGAAGGCCTATTAATTGACTATTGTTTTTCGTTTGTCTAGAGGAAATATATAACATGAGTAAAATCTTCTTTTAAACAAGCATGTAAGTTTTTTAAAATAGATTTTTAAAGTTTTAAAGCTAAATTAAATTTGTGAAATATGATGTCGTTATCTTGGCACTCAACAGCTCGGTATATTTTCTAGTATATTTACTTGGTATATACCGTTCCCTACCGATACTGCTACATCGGCACCTATCGATACCGCTATCGATAGCCCAGTTGCAGTGTGTTTTTATTCGATTCACTTGTACTCGATACTTAAGTTTCGATTGACAACACGTGCACGTGTGCACGAATTTTTAAACTCTCCGCGAGTTTTCTACTTTATTTACGATTCGACCGGAGGAACAAGGCTAAAAGCAACACACACGATGGGCAAGAAGACGAAGGTTGGAAAGACGCGGAAGGACAAGTTCTACCAGCTGGCCAAGGAGACGGGCCTGCGATCGCGTGCCGCCTTCAAGTTGATACAGCTGAATCGCAAATTCGGCTTCCTGCAGCAGTCGCAGGTGTGTTTGGATCTGTGCGCCGCCCCAGGAGGATGGATGCAGGTGGCCAAGCAGAATATGCCCGTTTCGAGCATCGTCATAGGCGTGGATCTGTTTCCCATTCGCCCCATTGCCGGATGCATTGGCCTGGTGGAGGACATCACGACAGAGAAGTGCCGCCAATCGCTCACACGGGAGCTGCAATCCTGGAAAGCGGATGTCGTCCTGCACGATGGTGCTCCGAATGTGGGTCGCAATTGGTTGTACGATGCGTATCAGCAAATCTGCCTGACCCTCAACTCCCTGAAGCTGGCCACCCAATTCCTGCGCAGCGGCGGTTGGTTTGTGACCAAGGTGTTCCGCTCCAAGGACTACAATGCTCTGCTCTGGGTGCTCAAGCAGCTATTCAAGAAGGTGCATGCCACCAAGCCGAGTGCCTCGCGTAAGGAGTCCGCCGAGATCTTCGTTGTCTGTCAGGGTTACCTGGCCCCCGATCACATTGATCCCCGCCTCCTGGACTCGAAATATGTGTTCGAGGAGCTGGATCTTGATTCTAATAAGAAAACCAGCAGCTTGCTGCATCCCGAGAAGCAGAAACGCATCAAGGCCGAGGGCTATACCGCTCAGGATATTGCCCTCCGCAACGAACTGGCCGCCAGTGAGTTTATGAAGGCCGAAAATGCTTTGGCCGCCCTGCAGGGCATCGGTTCCATTGGCATCGACGATCAGCGCATTGCCAAGCACAAGAAGACCACCGTGGAGATCCTGGAATGCTGCAAGGATCTCAAGGTCTTGGGACGCAAGGATATCAAGGGTCTGGTCCAATGGTGGAAGGATGTCAGGGGGCTGTTTGTGAAGACCGAGGAGGCGCCGCCACTCATCGTTGGGGATCCCAACGAGGAGAAGGCCAAGAAGCCCTTGACCCAAGCGGAAATCGAGGATATGGAAGATGCGGAGCTGCAAACTCAAATTGATTCCATTGTGGACGAGGAGAAAAAGGACCTGAAGCGCAAGCGCAAGAAGACGCTGAAAACAAAGGCCAAGCTGCACGAGAAGATGAACCTGAATATGGTGATCAAGGGCGACGATGGTCCCGTCGAGGAGACCGAGCACGAAATCTTTGAGCTCAAGAATATCAACACCTCGGCGGAGCTCGACGATTTACTTGATGTTCAGCCCGATTTCGCTGTGGACGACAGCCAGCCGGAGCAGGAGAAGCTGCCGAAATACAAGTATTTCGACAAGGATGAGGGAAATATCAATGATGATCTAAACTACGACGATGATGATGATGAAAGCGAAGCCGCCTCAGAGGAGGACGAAGATCAAATAGATGGCAAACAAACGGGCCTGGGCCTCAGTGACGATGAGGATGACGGCAACTCAAAGGGTAAAAACAAGAGAAAAAAGCGCTCCGAGAATCCGCTTATCAAGTCGAATGATTTTCGCGATAAGAACACAAAGCGTGAGCAACGCGTACAGCTTTGGTATGAGAAGGATGTCCTGCAGAATATCCAATCGGACGACGATGAGGAGACCTACGATCTGGATAATCTGGCCAAGGAGTACAAGGCCAAGGGTGTCTCGGTTTTGGGCGAGACCAGCAGCCTCGCCGCGGACGCAGATAGTGAGCTCATCCAGGGCAAGAAGGCCAAACGTCGGGCACGCCATGAAGCGGCCAAGGAGGAGAGCAGCTCAGAGTCCTCCGATTCCGAGGATGAAGAAGCTAACAAGGATGGCGAAGAAGATGGTGAATCGACAACAGGTAAGAGTAATTTAAGTAAAATTAAATAACAAGAATCAAAGCTACCTTTATTTAATTTAGATTTACTTGCTTATTATGTTGATACAAAATTATAGCAGCTTTCGTATTATTTGGACATTATTTTAGTAATTAATGTGATTTTTTTTAGATTTTTATGTTAATCCATTCTGGGTAGAATTTGCTACTGACCGTTTTTTAGGGGTCGAACTTTATATTAGTTTAGATTCATTTTTCGATCCTTCCCATGGCAGCTATGTAAATTAGTCGTCCGATTTTTGTTTAAATTGAATTCAAAATTCTAAAATATTAACAAAAAAAATTATAACTGAGATATAATTGTTTTCCTATCAATTTCTCATTATTTTTTAATTGTTTCTATGTAAAAAAGTAATTTTAAATTCATAAATATTTAAAAATTATATTCCCAAGTGTAGACACCGATGCTATAATTTTCTTCTCCATTATTTTTTCGATCCAATAACAAGAACTAAAATATTGTATTTGTATATTTCAGATGCCAAGGTAAAGAAGGTTCGTTTAACCGAAAATGAAATGGCCCTGGGTGCATTCCTAACGCGCAACAAGAAGACGCGTCGCGACCTCATCGATGCCGCCTGGAATCGCTATGCCTTCAACGATGAGAACCTGCCCGTTTGGTTCGTGCAGGACGAGGATGAGCACATGACCAAGCCGGCGCCAGTGCCCAAGGAGCTGACCGCCGAGTATCAACGCAAATTGCAGGAGGTCAACGTGCGCCCGATCAAGAAGGTTATGGAGGCCAAGGCACGCAAGCATCGTCGGGCCACAAAACGCTTGGCCAAGGCCAAGAAAATGGCCGAGAAGATTATGGAGAACTCCGATGCCACCAATCACGAGAAGTCCAAACAGCTGAAGAAGGTGTACAAGAAGGCGCAGGAGAAGAAGAAGGAAGTCACATATGTGGTGGCCAAAAAGCAATCGGCCGCCCGTCGAGCCCGCCGCCCACAAGGTGTCAAGGGTCGCTACAAGGTCGTGGATCCGCGCGAAAAGAAGGATAAGCGCTCGATGGACGTGAAGAGGAAACGCGAAAAGGGAAAGGGCGGAAAGGGTGGCAAAGGCGGTGGTCGCAAGGGCCGTAAATAAAATGTAAATCTAACCAAGAATTAAATATGTATAATTTTTAGAGATATTAAAAATACGTGTAAAAATTATATGGTTTTTTTTTCTCCAGCGGAGTTTTGTATACATTAAAAATAGGATTTTTTAAGAAACTTTTGTGTAAAGCGAAAAACAAAATTACTCCGAGTGAATCCTTTGCCACTCCTTAAAATGAGACCTTGAAATACTTATTTTCTCAGTCGAAAGACATCAGATTAAAATGCAATATATTTTTTCAGAGGAAGTCTTTTGCACTCTTTTTTTTATAAATTCATTAATTTATTTCGATTTTATGCGTTATTTGTCTCGAAAAAAATGTATGGATTTTGGATAAAAGTGGTTTCTGTTTCTGTAAATTTAAAACACAATATCAAAAGCAAAACCATGTATAATTTCTGAGTTTTTTGCGGCTATACGGAGAGTACTCCGTGTAAGCTAGTGTATTATATAAGTAATTTTTAATAATAAATAAATGCATATACCTGTCAGTTAAATATAATATTTCATTTCGTATAAATAATTTTTATAAATGATATTCTTCTGTTTACTATTCCAATACAATTCAACCAGTTATTATGAGTTCTTATTGTTATCATGTATTCTAATAGTATACACATATAAATATTTGTTATAAAAAGGTATGAAGGGACTTGTGTAGATAAGAAGACATCGCGTTTATTATCTTTATTTTAGCTGATCATCTCGCGGTACTTCAGTTTATGCTTGGTCAACATGTCCGTTACTGTGACCAGCTTCTTAATTGAAAGTATGTTGGATAGCTCGTGAAGCTCTTGCGAATGCGATACACAGATGTGATGTAAGGTAGCCAGCTCGCGCCCTTTGGAGAATTATTAGAATAAAAAGGTGATTGTTTGTGATTATTGATTAAAAGAGAAAGAATCCCTGGCATATATACTAATTCATAAATTTCAAAAGAAACTATATTTTTTAAAACCTTTTAAAAGAATACAAAAACAAGAGAGAACGACTACCAAATACCAGAAACTCAGTTAAATGAGTGTAAAAGAGAGAGAGAGAGAGTCGCCTAAAAGCGGCTGGCGTGGCGCCATCTAGCGGAAAATGCATTATTTGCTCATAGTTTTTTAGTAAGTGGTCCGGTTTATCATTATTACTTTTATTTATTATTATTATTATTACTAAACAAAACAAAATCTGTAAAGATGTGGGGATAGGCTATTTCAAAGGTCCTTTAAGGCAATTGTGGGCGTGGCGCTCAATTGAAACAAACTTGGCCTTCGTATGAACTCCTAGAATCTGTATGGTGAATCCCGACTTTCCAGTTTTTATAGTTTCCGAGTTCTTAGCGTTCACACGGACGGACATACGAACGGACGGACGGACATACGGACATACATACGGACGGACAGATCGATTTACTAGTGATCCTAATCAAGAAGAACATATCTACCTTTTACTCTACGAGTTACAAATAAAAACAGAATTAATCACCGTAGTAGGGGAGTAGTTTGCTTTAAATCAGAAAAAGTAATAACCACATTTTATGAACTAATTAAAATCAAACAATCACTTACCAGTGTCTTGTGAATTCAGATTTGTACTTTGTTCGACAAACATTCCAAGCGGTTGATTCGGATCGTTGACGGAGGACAGTTGATCCAAGAAGACAATCATGCGTTCCTTGTTTTTCAAAATAAACGGATTGACAACCTCCATGTATTGTTCCTGAAAATATTACAAAAATAGAAAGATTTAATTACACAAAATAACAGACTCCAATCCAATCACCTTGCCGCCAAACTCAATCAAGTTGGCCAAATTTTGAAGACACTTGGCGACCATGACCAAAGAACGAGTGGCCGCCATCGGAGGCGTCTCGCTGACCAGGCCAAATTGTCGAGGATTCAGCAGGGCTGGGCATAGGAGGCGCAAGAATATGAACCCGGAGACGACTCGGGTGCGAACCAGCCGCTCTGTCGGCCACTTGGCCATCACAGCCTTCTGCAGGCAGCTGCAAATGAAGCGCACATTCCGGGGACAGGCGTCCGGTGAAGTAAATATCGACTGGGTGACCAGATCGAGGATTTGCAGCAGAAACTCGGCATTCGTGCAGGCATCATCGTTGACGTCCATTTTCGTTGGATTTAATTCCGCCGACTGCTTGCTCTCCAAAATGCGCTGAACGGTTTCGCTGACCGCCGACTGCAAGAATCCACTGCATTCGGTTCGCATATACAAATCCATTAGTGTGGTGGCCAAGGAGGCGCCCCGGAAAAGTGTCGTCGTCTCGTTTTCGCGTGTCACCTCCGCCTGGCACAGCATTCGAATTAGCTCCGTCTCGCGCTTCTCCTGCCGAAAGACTCGCAACAGAGCCGTCGCCAATGGCACTCGATCGTTGTGACAGAGCTCCGCCAGCGCCTTCACCGCATACAGCTCCGATTCGAGTAGCAATTGCTGCAGTGGACTGTACTCCTCGCAGGGCATTATCAGATCGTCGAGGTAACGCATACGCAGACGCAGCGAGCCCCATTCGCCCATCGGCGTCATTCCGGTGAGCTGGTACCAGCCCTCAGTCTCTTGGCCATTCTTCAGACTAGACAAATCGATCGTTAGCTCGGCCACTTCCGAATCTTTGCCGCGTTTACCGCGCGATATTAACGTAATGGTTAGGGAGACAACATCTGGGGGAACGTCACTGCAAGGAAATAAATGGGAGAATGAGAAAAAGTTATTGTAGATACCTCGACGAAGGGCAAGTAGTCGACTGCTTGCACTGCTTACACTGCTTGCATTTCATTATCTGCTCATAACTTCTTAATGAAAGGTCCTATTTTAATTTTTTCGATATTTCGATAGGTAGTACTTAACACAACAAAATAGCATTTACACTGTTAGAAAAACTGTAAAGATGTGTGTGCCATGCTTTTTTAAAGTTTCTTTAAGGCGATTGTGGACGTTAAGTAAATCCTAGAATATGTATGGTTAATCCCAACATTCTTGATTTTATAGTTTCCGAGATCTTAGCTTTTATACGGACGGACAGATGAAGGAGCGGACAAAAAGACAAACGAGTGACGGGTATAAAAATAAAACCGAGCAAAGGTAAGCTTCGGTAATACTTACTCCAGTACAAATTCCTCCTCCCAAACCGGTTCGGGTGCAATTTTGACACGTGTTTTACCCACTTTGACTTGATTGAGTGAAATACTGCAGTATGGATGTGGCACTAATTTAAATGGTAAGCGATGAGCTTCTAGCACATGCAGATTGAGACACCGAAGCTCGCGTAGCCGTGAGACCTTCTTCTGGGCCCGACTTAGCTGGGAGTCGCATTGGGCCTTCAGCGAATTGATCCACTCCACGTAGCTTTCCTGACTAGGAGCACACAGATATGTCACAGTGGCCAAACAGGGCAGAGCCCTTTCCACAATTTGAAAGCAATAGGGACGCTCCCAGAGGGAATCGTGACATTGATAGAGGTAAGCACATGACAAATCGATCAGACCCTTCGGCTTGGTCTTCTTCGGATTGTCGTAGAAGCAAAGTTGCGTCTCGGAGCCATCGTTGATTAGAGCGAAATATAGTTGCTTCCATTTCGTCGTTTTGTCCGATTTCTTGTTCAAATGCCCATGATGTTTGATTCCCTTGATCTTCTTCAGACCGATTTGGTCACGGCACTCGCGCAGTGTGGCATATATCTTTTCCGCAGCCTTTTCCACAACATATTGCTGATTGAACTCTGGCTGTATGCCATTGACAACCGGATGATTGAGCGAATGGCCCTCGACAATTTGCTCCTTGCGGTAACGATTAATCACCGCATCGAGGCATTCAAATGTCCGCCCACCCATCAAATATCGCACGCCCTTCTTCTCGATGCGAAATCGTTGGATCTGGTTGTTAATATGGAAAAAGAGGGAGTAATCGCCCGGTGAGTTGTCGCTGGGGCGAACCAAGAAGCTGCCGGGTCCAGCTGGAATGGTAAAAATAATACGAGTTTGAGAAAAAACTAAATTAGCTTATTTTTTGATAATTTAATTATAGGTGTCCCTATATCATTTAGTGATTGTCCAAAAGACAGATTCTAAATTCAAAAAAAAAAAAAAATATGAATAGAGTAAAGGGTACATACCTTTAACCAACATATCGACAGCTTCGTTTTTGGTGCAATTCGGATGAAACCACGGAAAGACGGTATTCGGATCGATGGATACATCCAGATCATCCACAAGCTCTCGGAAAATCATTCCCTGCTCGCCAGTACGATGGGCAGTGACCCACAGCCAACCGTCGCCCATGTCATTGTGCACGAAGAAAATATCACCTTTCTGGAAGCTCAGCTCATCGGTCTCTGGCATTTTTGTATAAGGCAGGATGGCAACGACTCGCTTCTTATCATTAACTGGCTCCGGCGGAGCCACTGGTATGGCCAATCGTTCGCGCTTCAGTAGGTCACTGCATGAGGTATAGTAGCCAACCAGATCGCTCAACGATATGAATTGTCGTCCACCGATATAGAAGTCTCCGCACACAGCCGTGATCCTATGGAAGATATGAAGTAAAATTGAATATAAGAGCAATTTATAATGATCATTGAAAAGCCTTAAAAATGTAGCTATAATCACTTACCGAAAATGGTTTATGCCGGTACGCCCATAATAACTTAGAACATAGGAGCCAGGCTTGCGGTCACTTTCACGAACTGCTCAGCATTAACAAAAAAAAAAAAACTATTTTAGAACCTTTGCCACCTTAAGTCACTAGTAATACCCACCTAAGTAGCTTCCCAGTTTACTGCTGCCCCGCAGACGTGATTCAGCTGAGTAACGATCAAGTCGTCCGTGGTACCATTCACTTTCGGGAGGAGCAATAATCGCTGGACGTTCACCTGAAACGAAACATAATTTGACATAATATATTAATCAATTAAGAAGGTACTTCAATGCAGGAATGCTCACAGTGTAAACTTCCCACTTCGATTTTTTTTTTTTTTTTTATTTATTGTTTTGGCTTCCTAACGCTACAAGTTGTATAACTTATTTGATTCTTCTTTGATTTCAAAAAATTCCACTTACCATTTAGCATGTGTGGTCCATCGAATTCATCGTGATCCAATTCCTGCGCCAAGTCACCCAGATCAATGCCACCGGCGGCCATCATCCCGCCCAATCCACTCATGCCGCCCAGACCTGCCAGGTTTCCATCATCCGAGCAGCCCGTCGGCGAGCCGGGCTTATCTTTCTGGATGACAACATCTATGTTTCCCAAGTGAATTAGGTCCGCCATGATCTTCCTTTATGATCTCTGCTCAGTGAATGGGAATCTTAATCTATATTTAACTTTCAGCGAAATTCCCTTTGATAAAAGCCACATATAGCAACGATGTCTTTGCGTTTACTTAGGAAAAACGGAAGCTTTGGTGATTGTACTCAGTTTTCCGTGATGATTATGTGCTAAGCTGTAAAAAAAAAGAAAAAGAAAATATTAACGCTTAAAATGTTTATGTGCATATTAAGAAAATTCTGCAGTTCTATGGTCTCATTTTTTTTAAAATTAGTTTGATCATTCCTCTTCATAGAAAGATTATTTTTTTAAGGGATAGAGCAGTAAGCAATTTATGAAATAGCTTACCATAAATACACAATCTTCGCCATATCGGTAGCGGTAACCACGCAAAACCAACTGGGATAAATTCACTAGTATTGTCCAGTTCCTCTGACAAGGACTTTTGGGGTCTAACAAATTTTGTTTAGTAATTTCTGCGAATTAGCAAAATGAAATAAATCAAACTGCAAGACTAAGTAAGATTTATTCAAAGTCGGAAAAACTACAGTAATTTTAAAATATTTTGATACCTTTGATGAAGTCTTTAATAAAAACCAGCACCATACCCAAAATACAATAACTATTGAACTTGGAAAAAAAAAAATAGAAAAGTAGAAGAATCCGAAACCATATGGTAAAAGCAGACTGATAATAAATATCGTACGAGTTCTCTAAAAAATAGTGATATATAGAAGTATATCAGCTGTTTATGCTTTGTATATGTTATGGCTTTCCTGGCTATCACCTGACAATGTTCTTTCTACTTTTTCTAAAAACATGTCGTTACTTAACAGAAATTTTCTCTATTCAGGAAATAATTTATCTTCAAATCAGATTTAATTTAAATATATTTTTTGGATGACAACAAGAATCTGCCTAAAATTTGTATGGTATTACTGGGATAAGAGGATTAAATTTATTTGAATGAAATACTTGAGTTTGACATATGTATTTATTTATAAGTGACTCATGGCTTATTTCATTTAAAGTCTTATAGGAATATTCTTACTTTTGTAGAGTTATTTATATTTATAAACATAAAAACAATTTCCATTTAAGAAATAATCTGTTGAATCAAAAATTATTTTTGGTGTTTATATCTTTTATTATATTAACTTTAAAGCTTGATTTAATTTTCACCCAAGGACGAAATAAACTGTGAGCCACTGTACATCACCGGCCGTCTTTGATTTCCACACGTACATAGACTTTTTCAGGATGTTCAAAGCTTTGACAAAGTAAGACTACCTCCCGAAGTTGTACATCTTTCCCGTTACTTATTGGGTGGGGAACTGAAAAGTGTACATCCATATACATATGTATCGTTTTTCAACTACTGCGACTGCTGCACCCTCTCGTACATCTGTACATCACATCTATCTAAAACACAAGCAATTAATATGAGCCACACACCACACACAAACTTTAGGCTAAGCCCTTTTTGCCAAACGAGCCGACACTCAAAATCACTCGGATTCGGTTCTTTTCTTCATACATACACGACCCGAAGAGTCATCATATCATCGTCATTATTATCATCATCATCATTATCATCGAATCGACATCATCATGTCTCATGCGGGATAAGTCTTGGGATTGGATTCGATTCACAACTTTTGGGGCAGTTCCTTTGAAAGTGAATCATTAGCACAGCCACTCATGTCTCCCCAAAGAAAAAGAAACAAAAACCATCTACACTATAAAGAACATTTATCGGGTAATGCGCGTGTGTAAATATATACGTGTGCATATACATTGCACTGCAGTACAACACCAAACTGAAACAACAATGCACGTTGCTGTCAACCTTTATTTATTATTAGCTTATTTTATATTATTAATAACAATAGCAGGTTTACAACAAATTAAAATTTCTTCCGTACCGATAGCCACAACCCGATAGAATTCAATTGCTAGTGATGCGCGGAAACATCGATGCATCACGATGTTTTACTAATCGATGTTTTTTGCGATACTTTCCGATGTGTTTGTGTTGCCTTTTTCGGCCACATTGGCGCTTTATTACAGCCTGATTCCATTGAAATTGTGTATCTCATTTTAACATTAAAAATAATACTTTTAAACAAAACAAATCAAATTGAGAATCAAGGGCTGTATTGTAAATTACATGCCAAAAATTCATTCAAGTTTTTGAGAAAAATAAACATTCTTTTTTCGCTTTTTCAGTCGTAACTTGGTCAAATCAAGGCCGACAGTTAAACGACCGACTGTTTTGAACAGCTAATAACCTAAACTAACAATCCTTATCACTTTTGGAAGAATTTAATTTTTCGCCAATTTTTGCATTTTTGATAAGGGGTAACATCATGATTTTTTGCGAAAAATTACATAAATAAAAAATTTCTAGGTTTAAATGTCAATCGATAGGGAATTGAATCACGAGTTCAACAAGGTATGACACTCCATGTTTGAGCTATTATTTCTTTTGTTTCGACAAAAAAACGTATATTTTAGGGCGAAAAATGTGGATTCAAAACAGGTAAACGACCGAATGTTTTGAACAGCTTACAACCTTAACTAACAATCCACATCACTTTCGGGAAAATTAAATTTTTCACAAATTTAACAAAAGGAAGTGTTGATAAACTGGTATAAGAAATGATATTTAAATATTTGATTTTTTAAAAAATAATTAAAATAAACTTTTGGGCCGTAGTATCAATATGCTTCCATTCGATTAAGCTATTCGATATTAAATCGATATCATCGTTGATTTTGTGCGGCAAACACAAATCAAATAGTGTAGTTTTCATTGTGAAATCTTTCATACGAACACAATCTGTGGCTTTTGGGACTACGAACGAGAGCTGCAACCATAAACAGATAGTTTTTACATGGAAATTGCAAAAGGAAACGGGATAAAAATAAGTTAGTCCATCATGTCCAAGCGCCAACGCGATGGGCTTGATGCCCCGGCAAAGAGGGTGGCGAAGAATCGGTTCAAAAAGCTGGTCCGATCCGTAATACTGAACATGCAGTGGCTGAATGAGGCCACCGAGGACACGGGAATTTCGCTGAATGTGAAGAAGAATGTGGCCATGCTGGTTCGACAGAAGCGCAAAGTCGGCATGATGACCATGGCGGTAAGTCAAAGGAATTCTGTTTATATACCACATAATTCAAAACACTTTAAAATATTTTTTAGGAGAAATCATTACTACGCACTCCACATTCTACACGTACCGTCGAGGACAGAAAGAAACTGTGCAACATTGTGGCAAATCTGGCGTGCTTTTCAAAATTTCCACCAGTGGGTAGTCCTTTTCCTAGATTTTGATATCATATTGTTCTGTTCTCTTGCAGAAAGTCCGGGCCCGTCTTGTGCCACATGTCAAATTTATGGCGGTGACTCCCGGACGCGTTATCATGAAGGAGGGAGATTTTCCAGTAACGATATATTTCATAATCGCCGGAGAAGTGGAAATGTCCAGGAATGTATTAAATAAGGTAAGAATTTTTAAAAAAAATTTCCAAATTACTTAGTAAATTTTATAAGAAAACTAGAACAAATTGGGAATTAAAAGCACCCATTGGGGAAATCATTTTTAAGTCAACATTATCGATGATGTGATCCAAATTTAACTATTTATAAAATTACTTAATATGGTTTTATTTAATAGGCCACCAAGGGTTATGAGCTGCAATCGGAGGCTATCTTTGGACCCGGCGATTGTATTGGCGACATTGACGTCATGGAAGATGCTCCCAGGACCAACACCTACATCGCCACAAGTAAAACTTTTTTTACATTTTAGAACTAAATACCTATATTTTAATTATTTTTCTATTTACAGCCAATTGTGAGCTCCTGGCTGTCTTTAATACAAACTACCGATATGTCCTGCAACCTCATATGCAAAAGTTGTGGCTGGAAAAGAAGGCAGCTCTACGGGCTCTTGACTATTTCAACTTTCTTAACGAAGAGCAGGTATGATAATAGATAGTACATCAATTAATAATGAGATTATAGCCCAGTAACCATCATGTTCATAGATTGTAAATGCCAGCAAGTATGGAACCATTCAGCAATTCGATCCCTTGGAGACGATCTACACAGAGGATTTGGGGTCCATGAGCTTTGTCTACTTTGTTCTCAGTGGCGAGTGCGTCGTGCTGCAGTGTCTTCACATGAAGGTGAACATGGTCGACAGGGAGAAGGTTTTTGAGCTGGCAATGGTACCCAAACGGGACACTGGAGCCCTCGCGATGCAAAATGGTAGCAAGGCCAACAACGAACCATTTTTCGACGTTAACGAGTACATGCAATCCAGTTCGTCGATGGATGAGAACAAGCAAAGCAAGAAGAGGGGGGTAGGTTGTTTAAAAAACAAAAACTTAATCTGAGAAGTATTATAAAAATGTTTAATGGGGATTTACTTGGGTATTTTTACACTAATTACAGATTTATAATAATAGTTGTTCGATTTTTTATAAAATTTAATTCAAAAATATTAAAAAATTATTTCCTTAAGAGTATAAAATAATTTGTAAAAAAAGAACCGAAGCTATAAATAAGTTCCTGTTAGTTTTCCATTAATTTTAAAGCAGAAATTCAGAAATATTTTCCCAAGAGTATAAAATAATTGGTAAAAAAAAACCGATGCTATATATGAGTTCCTATTAATTTCCCATTAATCGTTCATATTGCAGATATAGTCGTGCGATTTTGATCAAATTAAATTTGAAATTCAGAAATATAAAAAAAATTATTTCCACAAGAGTATAGGATAATTTAAAAAAAAAAACACCGAAACTATAATTTTTTCCCCACTTTTCTTAGCTGCGCAAAATGGGTCTCAAAGAGATACAGCGAGCCTGTGCCGATATGAAAAAACCCCCACCTAGAAGATCAACCAAGGATACAGGACGAAATCGTCAACGAACGCGGCATACACGACTCCTGCGGGAGGCAGAACGGCCGGAAGTGCGGGAGGAGTACGAGTTGTATATATCGGATGAGGGCGAAGACACCTACGATATGTCTATGTCCGAAGATGGCGCCGAGGAACGGTTGAGTGTTGATTCCGGCAGGCGGTCGCCAATTTCACCCATCATCAGCGATGCAGGCGGTGGCGATGTGGAGAGCGAGTCGGAGGAGGGTTCGGAAATATTCACCGCATCGAGCCATTCGCATCAGACAACTGTCGATGAATCGGATGGCCTGGAGCACTATGAAACGCATTTCATCGACGTTGGCTCACTAACCTATGGCGGGATCTTCGGTTTGGGCGAGAAAATGCATCATCGTGTCATTATGGCGAGGACAACGGTGCAGTGCATCCTAATACCGAGATTCTGGCTCTTTGAGCCAGCTCAAAATCCTGGCAACATTTGGCAGCGACAGCGTTTCTATATCGAATGCAATATACCAACCAGAGAGGATTTGTTCAAGGACTTTCTCAAGACACGAAAGTGGGAGAAGTTCAGACGCGACTACATTGAAAGCATACTAAACTCCGAATCATTGGCCAACTTTACAAAGGTCGAAGATATACCAATCATAAGTCGCATTGTGGAGACAAAAGCTGATGAAGCTTGAGTTCCTGGCATTTACTTGCCGTTTATATTTATACATTTGCAAGTATTTCCAGCATTTTTCAAAATTTATTGGAGCCATGTAAAATGGAGGTTAAGGAATTCTTCAATTCCAATACCTAGATATCACTTATTTACGGAAAGCATATTGTGAATATTGTGAAACAGTACTTTAAGTTTATAAGCCTGAAATTGAATATATGAGCACTTATGTACAATAGTTTCGAGTTTTGATTGGATTTAGTGTTCTGTATACTTTTGTTATACTTTTAATATTAGTTTTTTTAATTATTTTTTTTATAAATCGACTGAAAGGTAAACCATAAAATCTTACACTTTTGTATCCCACAATTTTTACACAATTTTAGTTTTGTACTGAAAACGTGTGTTCTTTATTATAATTTTAAAGAGGTTTTAGAATTTTTCGAGTAACAATTAAGCTTATGACGTATTCACTATCTAAGATATAACAGAGTAGTCCCACTTCTTGAATTAGACACCATAGATTTTATTGTTGGGAGTTGAGAGTTGTAACTAATGGTATTTAAGCGTCTATTCTTAAATTATAGAGCATGAAAATTCAATTTGAAGTAATTATTTATCAATGAACCCTTGCCAATTTTACTGGTCGCAATAAACTAAAAACAGTTTTAGCCGACATATTAAGCTTGAAAATGCAGTTGCTAATCGGTTTTTGGGTTACTCTGGCCTTTGTTATTTATATTTTCGCAGGTAAGTAGTAAATCTAAAAGTATATTTTCTGACTGAATAAACCTTTTATTTTATTTTCAGGTTTCACTGATGGTCCAAATAGAATACTTTGGATAAAGGATCAAAGTTCCAATCGAAACTTATATTTATCCAAGTCATCGGCTTCTTATTATAGACGCTTTGCTTATTTAAAATTTTCAAGGACGGCCATTACATTTCGTAAAATTGCCAAAATATCGTTAAATAATCAACTTAGTCAAAAATCCATAAAAACCTACAGACATTATTTCAAATTTATGAAGTCGAAAACTAAAAAAGATCCTACATCCCAGACAGATCTCTTGCGGGTGAGGGTAAGTTGTAGACATTATTTAAAAAGACATTAATTTAATTCTGATTTTTCATTCATTTTTTTAAACAGAAATATTGGAAGGACGATTTCTTCAATTATTACTTAAGTAACCCGTTTAGCACCGTCAACAACAAAAAAATTGAAAATGATAAGTTTATTGATACAACAAGTGTGCAATCAAAGTTAAATCAAACAAAAGTTTTAAAAAAAAAAATAACATTCAAAAATACTAAGAGAAAGCTTAACTTAACGCGGACCAGCAAAATCCTATATAAACAAAAACAATTACAGTGTTCAGTGCAATTTATAAGTAAGAAAAATACTCGAAGACGAAGCAATTCATTTGAATTTATAACCAAATCTTTTAAAAGCACAAGGAGCTTACATGGAAAGATACATCTAAAGAGCCGCGTACCAAGGGTGAGTTGTTGTGAAGAGTATTGCTTTTTTTTATGATTGATTACTTTAAAACTGTATTCTAAGGTGCCAGAGTTCTTTGAATATTTGTCGGCGAGGAAAACAAACGAAATCTATAACTATTTCCACTATTTAAAAAATAATGCAAAAAAAACAACCGTTTCCCAAGAACTATTCGATAAACACTTGGAAAGGAAACATGTTTACTTGTATAAAAACGTAACGATGCCAAATACTAAAACGAGAGATTTTATTAATGTGGTTACCAAAGGAAATTTCAATGAATCACTGTTACAATCAACAATAAGGACGAAAGGACCAATAATGGAGGTGCCATTAACAAAATGGCATCTAAACAATACTATTGAAACGGAAAACTTAGTATTAAAAGCAAGAAACCACATAATATTACAAGTTCAGACGACTCCAATATCAAAACTATCATCTTTGGACTCAACATCGACATGTGACTTATGTATAGACTCAACTTCCCCTACGGAGGAAGATTGTATTGAATGCTCCGAATTCGCATCAATAAGTTCTAGTACAGAATACCCAGAACCGCCATATACTACAATAATTACAGAGTCTTGCGAACTTTGTAGTGAGCTAAGTAGTACAACTTCCTCTTCGGAGGAAGTTTGTATTGAATGTTCTGAATATTCATCAACAGAGCCAGTTACAGAGCCTTGCGAACTTTGTAGTGAGTTTAGTAGTACAGCTTCCTCTTCGGAGGAAGTTTGTATTGAATGCTCTGAATATTTATTAACAGAGCAAGTTACAGAGCCTTGCGAACTTTGTAGTGAGTTAAGTAGTACAACTTCCACTTCGGAGGAAGTTTGTATTGAATGCTCTGAATATTCATCAACACAGCAAGTTCTTAAAAATGAAACAAAAAGTAATCAAACATATATTAAATCAACAACTGCAAGCTTGAAAATATCAACTTCGGACTCAACATCAACTTGCGAATTATGTACGGAGTTAACATCACCCTCAGATGAAGATTGTATTGAATGCTCGGAATTTGTATCAACAGAATCACTTTTTAGTACAACAAATCAGAAATTTATAACGAAATACCCATCTAAAGAAACATCTGTACCTGCTCTTAATAATGAAACAACAAAAAATCAAACAGTCTTCCAATCAACGACTCCCATACACAGTACAAGCTTGAAATTATTAACTTTGGACTCAACATCAACTTGCGAATTATGTACAGAGTCAACTTCGCCCTCGGAAGAAGATTGTATTGAATGCTCGGAATCGGGATCAACAGAGCAAGCGATATTACTTTCCAGTAGAAAACATACGGAGTTTATAACGAAATACCCATCTATACTTGCTCTTAAAAATGAAACAAAAAATAGTCAACCAGTTTTTAAATCAACACTGCGAACCAGTGAGACAAGCAAATCTAAATCAAAAACTAAGGTGTCAAATCATTATGAATTGACCTCTGATATAATAAGTACTCAATATGAAACAACCGTAGAGTCCCCTAAGACATCTGATATTATTATTAAAAAGCAAACAACACCTTTGACAACGCAAACTTCAGAAGTACAACAAAGTACAAGTACAACATTATCGAAGTCTTCACCCCATTCCAGTGCGGTGTCCAGTAGTTTATTTCATGTTTCGAGTACTGAAAAATATAGAAGAACTTCAGTAGAAAAGAGTAAACCATCGAAATATTTTCCAACCAGAACTTTGCCTCAAGAAGTAAAAAGCAAACTGTTGAAATCTGAACCACAATCAAGTTTTATAACAGAGTTTCCATTTGTACCGTCAGGTTTTCATGCATGCGATTGTACCTGTCAATTAAAAGAAGGCGAAGACTCTTGCATTTGCGATTGCATTTCTAAACGAAGCACAAGTATAGATAAAAGTGAATCCATTCAGACACTACGTACAGAAATAAACGAAACCATTTCGGAAGAAAACACAGCGTTTTCGGAGTCCCTGCCGCAATCACGTACAACCTTACCAAAGTCTTCACCCCATTCCAGTGCAGTCTCCAGCAGTTTATTTCATTTTTCGAGTACTGAAAAATATAGAAGAACTTCAGTAGAAAAGAGTAAACCATCGAAATATTTTCCAACTAAAACGTTGCCTACAGAAAATATAAAAGCCACTCAAGAAGTAATAAGCAAACTGTTGAAATCTGAACCTCAATCAAGTTTTATAACAGAATTTCCATTTGAACAATCAAGTTCTCCCGCTTGCAATTGTACATGTCAATTAAAAGAAGGCGAAGACTCCTGCATATGCGATTGTATTTCAAAACAAAGTACTGCTGAAGGGACAACAACTATAGATGAAAGTGAATCTATTCAGACACTACGTACACAAATAAACGAAACCATTTCGGAGGAAAACACAGCGTTTTCGGAGTCCTTGCCGCAATCACGTACAACCTTACCAAAGTCTTCACCCCATTCCAGTGCAGTGTCCAGCAGTTTACTTCATGTTTCGAGTACTGAAAAATATAAAAGAACTTCAGTAGAAAAGAGTAAACCATCGAAATATTTTCCAACTAAAACGTTGCCTACAGAAAATATTAAAGCCACTCAAGAAGTAATAAGCAAACTGTTGAAATCTGAACCTCAATCAAGTTTTATAACAGAATTTCCATTTGAACAATCAAGTTCTCCCGCTTGCAATTGTACATGTCAATTAAAAGAAGGCGAAGACTCCTGCATCTGCGATTGCGTTTCGAAACGAAGTACTTCTGAAGGGACAACAAGTATAGCTGAAAGTGAATCTATCCAGACACTACGTACACAAATAATCGAAACCATTTCGGAGGAAAACACAGCGTTTTCGGAGTCCCTGCCGCAATCACGTACAACCTCACCAAAGTCTTCACCCCATTCCAGTGCAGTGTCCAGCAGTTTACTTCATGTTTCGAGTACTGAAAAATATAGAAGAACTTCAGTAGAAAAGAGTAAACCATCGAAATATTTTCCGACTAAAACGTTGCCTACAGAAAATATTAAAGCCACTCAAGAAGTAATAAGCAAACTGTTGAAATCTGAACCTCAATCAAGTTTTATAACAGAATTTCCATTTGAACAATCAAGTTCTCCCGCTTGCAATTGTACATGTCAATTAAAAGAAGGCGAAGACTCCTGCATCTGCGATTGCGTTTCGAAACGAAGTACTTCTGAAGGGACAACAAGTATAGCTGAAAGTGAATCTATCCAGACACTACGTACACAAATAATCGAAACCATTTCGGAGGAAAACACAGCGTTTTCGGAGTCCCTGCCGCAATCACGTACAACCTCACCAAAGTCTTCACCCCATTCCAGTGCAGTGTCCAGCAGTTTACTTCATGTTTCAAGTACTGAAAAATATAAAAGAACTTCAGTAGAAAAGAGTAAACCATCGAAATATTTTCCAACTAAAACGTTGCCTACCGAAAATATAAAAGCCACTCAAGAAGTAATAAGCAAACTGTTGAAATCTGAACCTCAATCAAGTTTTGTAACAGAATTTCCTTTTGAACAATCAAGTTCTCCCGCTTGCAATTGTACATGTCAATTAAAAGAAGGCGAAGACTCCTGCATCTGCGATTGCGTTTCGAAACGAAGTACTTCTGAAGGGACAACAAGTATAGCTGAAAGTGAATCTATCCAGACACTACGTACACAAATAATCGAAACCATTTCGGAGGGAAACACAGCGTTTTCGGAGTCCCTGCCGCAATCACGTACAACCTCACCAAAGTCTTCACCCCATTCCAATGCAGTGTCCAGCAGTTTACTTCATGTTTCGAGTACTGAAAAATATAAAAGAACTTCAGTAGAAAAGAGTAAACCATCGAAATATTTTCCGACTAAAACGTTGCCTACAGAAAATATTAAAGCCACTCAAGAAGTAATAAGCAAACTGTTGAAATCTGAACCTCAATCAAGTTTTATAACAGAATTTCCATTTGAACAATCAAGTTCTCCCGCTTGCAATTGTACATGTCAATTAAAAGAAGGCGAAGACTCCTGCATCTGCGATTGCGTTTCGAAACGAAGTACTTCTGAAGGGACAACAAGTATAGCTGAAAGTGAATCTATCCAGACACTACGTACACAAATAATCGAAACCATTTCGGAGGAAAACACAGCGTTTTCGGAGTCCCTGCCGCAATCACGTACAACCTCACCAAAGTCTTCACCCCATTCCAGTGCAGTGTCCAGCAGTTTACTTCATGTTTCGAGTACTGAAAAATATAGAAGAACTTCAGTAGAAAAAAGTAAACCTTCGAAATATTTTCCAACTAAAACGTTGCCTACCGAAAATATAAAAGCCACTCAAGAAGTAATAAGCAAACTGTTGAAATCTGAACCTCAATCAAGTTTTGTAACAGAATTTCCTTTTGAACAATCAAGTTCTCCCGCTTGCAATTGTACATGTCAATTAAAAGAAGGCGAAGACTCCTGCATCTGCGATTGCGTTTCGAAACGAAGTACTTCTGAAGGGACAACAAGTATAGCTGAAAGTGAATCTATCCAGACACTACGTACACAAATAATCGAAACCATTTCGGAGGAAAACACAGCGTTTTCGGAGTCCCTGCCGCAATCACGTACAACCTCACCAAAGTCTTCACCCCATTCCAGTGCAGTGTCCAGCAGTTTACTTCATGTTTCAAGTACTGAAAAATATAAAAGAACTTCAGTAGAAAAGAGTAAACCATCGAAATATTTTCCAACTAAAACGTTGCCTACCGAAAATATAAAAGCCACTCAAGAAGTAATAAGCAAACTGTTGAAATCTGAACCTCAATCAAGTTTTGTAACAGAATTTCCTTTTGAACAATCAAGTTCTCCCGCTTGCAATTGTACATGTCAATTAAAAGAAGGCGAAGACTCCTGCATCTGCAATTGCGTTTCGAAACGAAGTACTTCAGAAGGGACAACAAGTATAGCTGAAAGTGAATCTATCCAGACACTACGTACACAAATAATCGAAACCATTTCGGAGGAAAACACAGCGTTTTCGGAGTCCCTGCCGCAATCACGTACAATTTTACCACATTCCAGTGCAGTGTCCAGCAGTTTACTTCATGTTTCGAGTACTGAAAAATATAGAAGAACTTCAGTAGAAAAAAGTAAACCTTCGAAATATTTTCCAACTAAAACGTTGCCTACCGAAAATATAAAAGCCACTCAAGAAGTAATAAGCAAACTGTTGAAATCTGAACCTCAATCAAGTTTTGTAACAGAATTTCCTTTTGAACAATCAAGTTCTCCCGCTTGCAATTGTACATGTCAATTAAAAGAAGGCGAAGACTCCTGCATCTGCGATTGCGTTTCGAAACGAAGTACTTCAGAAGGGACAACAAGTATAGCTGAAAGTGAATCTATCCAGACACTACGTACACAAATAATCGAAACCATTTCGGAGGAAAACACAGCGTTTTCGGAGTCCCTGCCGCAATCACGTACAATTTTACCACATTCCAGTGCAGTGTCCAGCAGTTTACTTCATGTTTCGAGTACTGAAAAATATAGAAGAACTTCAGTAGAAAAAAGTAAACCTTCGAAATATTTTCCAACTAAAACGTTGCCTACCGAAAATATAAAAGCCACTCAAGAAGTAATAAGCAAACTGTTGAAATCTGAACCTCAATCAAGTTTTATAACAGAATTTCCATTTGAACAATCAAGTTCTCCCGCTTGCAATTGTACATGTCAATTAAAAGAAGGCGAAGACTCCTGCATCTGCGATTGCGTTTCGAAACGAAGTACTTCTGAAGGGACAACAAGTATAGCTGAAAGTGAATCTATCCAGACACTACGTACACAAATAATCGAAACCATTTCGGAGGAAAACACAGCGTTTTCGGAGTCCCTGCCGCAATCACGTACAACCTCACCAAAGTCTTCACCCCATTCCAGTGCAGTGTCCAGCAGTTTACTTCATGTTTCGAGTACTGAAAAATATAGAAGAACTTCAGTAGAAAAGAGTAAACCATCGAAATATATTCCAACTAAAACGTTGCCTACAGAAAATATCAAAGCCACTCAAGAAGTAATAAGCAAACTGTTGAAATCTGAACCTCAATCAAGTTTTATAACAGAATTTCCATTTGAACAATCAAGTTCTCCCGCTTGCAATTGTACATGTCAATTAAAAGAAGGCGAAGACTCCTGCATCTGCGATTGCGTTTCGAAACGAAGTACTTCTGAAGGGACAACAAGTATAGCTGAAAGTGAATCTATCCAGACACTACGTACACAAATAATCGAAACCATTTCGGAGGAAAACACAGCGTTTTCGGAGTCCCTGCCGCAATCACGTACAACCTCACCAAAGTCTTCACCCCATTCCAGTGCAGTGTCCAGCAGTTTACTTCATGTTTCGAGTACTGAAAAATATAAAAGAACTTCAGTAGAAAAGAGTAAACCATCGAAATATTTTCCAACTAAAACGTTGCCTACAGAAAATATTAAAGCCACTCAAGAAGTAATAAGCAAACTGTTGAAATCTGAACCTCAATCAAGTTTTATAACAGAATTTCCATTTGAACAATCAAGTTATCCCGCTTGCAATTGTACATGTCAATTAAAAAAAGGCGAAGACTCCTGCATCTGCAATTGCATTTCAAAACAAAGTACTTCTGAAGGGACAACAACTATAGATGAAAGTGTATCTATCCAGACATTACGTACACAAATAAACGAAACCATTTCGGAGGAAAACACAGCGTTTTCGGAGTCCCTGCCGCAATCACGTACAACCTTACCAAAGTCTTCACCCCATTCCAGTGCAGTGTCCAGCAGTTTACTTCATGTTTCGAGTACTGAAAAATATAGAAGAACTTCAGTAGAAAAAAGTAAACCTTCGAAATATTTTCCAACTAAAACGTTGCCTACCGAAAATATAAAAGCCACTCAAGAAGTAATAAGCAAACTGTTGAAATCTGAACCTCAATCAAGTTTTATAACAGAATTTCCATTTGAACAATCAAGTTCTCCCGCTTGCAATTGTACATGTCAATTAAAAGAAGGCGAAGACTCCTGCATCTGCGATTGCGTTTCGAAACGAAGTACTTCTGAAGGGACAACAAGTATAGCTGAAAGTGAATCCATCCAGACACTACGTACACAAATAAACGAAACCATTTCGGAGGAAAACACAGCGTTTTCGGAGTCTCTACCGCAATCAAGTTCAACATTACCAAGATCTTCAACCCGATCGAGACCAATGTCCAGTAGTTCATCTCAACTTTCGCGAATAGAAAAACACGAAACCTCTCCAGAGGAAAAAACAGGGATTTCGGAAACTCTACCGGAATCAAGATCAACGTTGAAGACAAGAACGAAGTCTTCAGCCGAGTCAACTACAGCTTCCATTCCTTCGTCTCAAATTTCGAGTACAGAAAAATACGGAACCACTCCAGAGGAAAAAACAACATTATCGAAATCTTCTACCCAAGTTTTGAGTACAGAAACGTATAAAAGAACTTCAGTAGAGAAGAGTAAACCATCCAAATATTTTCCAACCAGAACTTCGCCTCAAGAAGTTATAAGCAAACTGTTGAAATCTGAACCTCAATCAAGTTTTATAACAGAGTTTCCATTTCTACCGTCAAGTTTTCCTGCATGCGATTGTACCTGTCAATTAAAAGAAGGCGAAGACTCCTGCATCTGCGATTGCGTTTCGAAACGAAGTACCTCTGAAGGGACAACAAGTATAGCTAAAAGTGAATCCATCCAGACAGTACGAACACAAATAAACGAAACCGTTGCTGAGAAAACCGCAGCGTTTTCGGAGTCCCTGCCGCAATCACGTACAACCTTACCAAAGTCTTCAAGCCCTTCGCTTACACTATCCAGTAGTTCATCTGAAATTTCGGTCACAGAAAAATATGAAACCACTCCAGAGGAAAGGAGTACAATTTTGGCATCTCTGCCGCAAATAAGTACAACCTTACCAAAGTCATCAAGCCTTTCGACTACACTATCCAGTAGTTCATCTGAAATTTCGGTCACAGAAAAATACGAAACCACTCCAGAGGAAAGGACTACAATTTCGGAGTCTCTGCCGCAAATAAGTACAACCTTACCAAAGTATTTAAGTCCTTCGACTACACTATCCAGTAGTTCATCTGAAATGTCGGTCACAGAAAAATACGATGCCACTCCAGAGGAAGGGACTACAATTTTGGCATCTCTGCCGCAAATAAGTACAACCTTACCAAAGTCATCAAGCCTTTCGACTACACTATCCAGTAGTTCATCTGAAATTTCGGTCACAGAAAAATACGAAACCACTCCAGAGGAAAGGACTACAATTTCGGAGTCTCTGCCGCAAATAAGTACAACCTTACCAAAGTATTTAAGTCCTTCGACTACACTATCCAGTAGTTCATCTGAAATGTTGGTCACAGAAAAATACGAAGCCACTCCAGAGGAAAGGACTACAATTTTAGCATCTCTGCCGCAAATAAGTACAACCTTACCAAAGTCATCAAGTCCTTCGACTACACTATCCAGTAGTTCATCTGAAATTTCGGTCACAAAAAAATACGAAACCACTCCAGAGGAAAGAACTACAATTTCGGAGTTCCTGCCGCAACCACGTACAACCTTACCGAAGTCTTTAACCGAATCAAGTACAATATCACAGAGTTCAGTTCAAATATCGAAAACAGAACAATACGAAACCACTTCAAAAGAACGAAGTACAATTTCGGAATATCTTCCACAATCAAGTACAACCTTACCAAAGTCTTCAAGCCCATCGACTACACTATACAGTAGTTCATCTGAAATGTCGAGCACAGAAAAATACGAAACCACTCCAAAGGAAAGAAGTACAATTTCGGAATCTCTTCCGCGATCAAGTACAACCTTACCAAAGTCTTCAACCGAATCAAGTACAACATCACAGAGTTCACTGCAAATATCGAGCACAGAACAATACGAAACCACACTAGAGGAAAGAAGTACAATTTCGGAATCTCTTCCGCAATCAAGTACAACCTTATCAAAGCCTTCAACCGAATCGAGTGCAATATCACAGAGTTCAGTTCAAATATCGAGCACAGAACAATACGAAATCACACCAGAGGGAAGAAGTACAATTTCGGAATCTCTGCCACAATCAAGTACAACCTTAACAAAGTCTTCAACCGAATCGAGTACAATATCACAGAGTTCAGTTCAAATTTCGAGCACAGAACAATACGAAACCACACCAGAGGAAAGAAGTACAATTTCGGAATCTCTTCCGCAATCAAGTACAATTTTATCAAAGCCTTCAAGCCCTTCGACTACACTATCCAGTAGTTCATATAAAATGTCGAACACAAAACAATACAAAACCACTCCAGAGGAAAGAAGTACAATTTCGGAATCTCGTCCGCAATCTAGTACAACCTTACCAAAGTCTTCAACCGAATCAAGTACAATATCACAGAGTTCACTGCAAATATCGAGCACAGAACAATACGAAACCACTCCAGAGGAAAGAAGTATAATTTCGGAATCTCTGCCACAATCAAGTACAACCTTACCGAAGTCTTCAACCGAATCGAGTACAATATCACAGAGTTCAGTTCAAATTTCGAGCACAGAACAATACGAAACCACTCCAGAGGAAAGAAGTACAATTTCGGAATCTCTGCCACAAGCAAGTACAACCTTACCAAAGTCTTCAAGCGCTTCGACTACACTATCCAGTAGTTCATCTGAAATGTCAAGCACAGAAAAATACGAAACCACTCCAGAGAAAAAAAGTATAATTTCGGAATCTCTTCCGCAATCTAGTACAACACTACCAAAGTCTTCAACCGAATCGAGTACAATATCACAGAGTTCACTGCAAATATCGAGCACAGGACAAAACGAAACCACTCCAGAGGAAAGAAGTACAATTTCGGAATCTCTTCCGCAATCAAGTACAATTTTATCAAAGCCTTCAAGTCCTTCGACTACACTATCCAGTAGTTCATCTAAAATGTCGAACACAAAACAATACAAAACCACTCCAGAGGAAAGAAGTACAATTTCGGAATCTCGTCCGCAATCAAGTACAACCTTACCAAAGTCTTCAACCGAATCAAGTACAATATCACAGAGTTCAGTTCAAATTTCGAGCACAGAACAATACGAAACCACTCCAGAGGAAAGAAGTACAATTTCGGAATCTCTGCCACAAGCAAGTACAACCTTACCAAAGTCTTCAAGCGCTTCGACTACACTATCCAGTAGTTCATCTGAAATGTCAAGCACAGAAAAATACGAAACCACACCAGAAGAAAGAAGAACAGTTTCGGAATCTCTTCCGCGATCAAGCACAACCTTACCGAAGTCGTCAACCGAATCGACTACAATATCACAGAGTTCACTGCGAATAGTGAGCACAGAACAATACGAAACCACACCAGAGGAAAGAAGTACAATTTCGGAATTTCTTCCGCAATCTAGTACAACCCTACCAAAGTCTTTAACCGAATCGAGTACAATATCACAGAGTTCACTGCAAATATCGAGCACAGAACAATACGAAACCACTCCAGAGGAAAGAAGTACAATTTCGGAATTTCTTCCGCAATCTAGTACAACCCTACCAAAGTCTTCAACCGAATCGAGTAAAATATCACAGAGTTCAGTTCAAATTTCGAGCACAGAAAAATACGAAACCACTCCAAAGGAAAGAAGTACAATTTCGGAATCTCATCCGCGATCTAGTACATTCTTACCAAAGTCTTTAACCGAATCCAGTATAATATCACAGAGTCCACAGCAAGTATCGAGAACAGAACAACACGAAACCACACCAGAAGAAAGAAGTACAGTTTCGGAATCTCTTCCGCGATCAAGCACAACCTTACCAAAGTATTCAACCGAATCGAGTACAATATCACAGAGTTTACTGCAAATATCGAGCACAGAACAATACGAAACCACTCCAGAGGAAAGAAGTACAATTTCGGAATCTCTTCCACGATCTAGTACAACCTTACCAAAGTCTTCAAGCCCATCGATTACACTATACAGTAGTTCATCTGAAATGTCAAGCACAGAAAAAAACAAAACCACTCCAGAGGAAAGAAGTACAATTTCGGAATCTCGTCCGCAATCTAGTACAACCCTACCAAAGTCTTCAAGCCCATCGACTACACTATACAGTAGTTCATCTGAAATGTCGAGAACAGAAAAATACGAAACCATTCCAGAGGAAAGAACTATAATTACAAAATCCTTTCCGCAATCGAGTACAACCTTACCAAAGTATTCAACCGAATCGAGTACAATATCACAGAGTTTACTGCAAATATCGAGCACAGAACAATACGAAACCACTCCAGAGGAAAGAAGTACAATTTCGGAATCTCTTCCACGATCTAGTACAACCTTACTAAAGTCTTTAACCAAATCGAGTACAATATCACAGAGTTTAATGGAAATATCGAGCACAGAACAATACGAAACCACTCCAGAGGAAAGAAGTACAATTTTGGAATCTCTGCCACAATCAAGTACAACCTTACCGAAGTCTTCAAGCCCATCGATTACACTATACAGTAGTTCATCTGAAATGTCAAGCACAGAAAAAAACAAAACCACTCCAGAGGAAAGAAGTACAATTTCGGAATCTCATCCGCGATCTAGTACATTCTTACCAAAGTCTTCAAGCCCATCGACTACACTATACAGTAGTTCATCTGAAATGTCGAGCACAGAAAAATACGAAACCACTCCAGAGGAAAAAAGTACAATTTCGGAATCTCATCCGCGATCTAGTACATTCTTACCAAAGTCTTTAACCGAATCCAGTACAATATCACAGAGTTTACTGCAAGTATCGAGTACAGAACAATCCGAAGCCACACCAGAAGAAAGAAGTACAATTTCGGAATCTCTGCCACAATCAAGTACAACCCTACCAAAGTCTTCAAGCCCATCGACTACACTATACAGTAGTTCATCTGAAATGTCGAGCACAGAAAAATACGAAACCACACCAGAAGAAAGAAGTACAGTTTCGAAATCTCTTCCGCGATCAAGTACAACCTTACCAAAGTATTCAACCGAATGGAGTACAATATCACAGAGTTTACTGCGAATATCGAGCACAGAACAATACGAAACCACTACAGAGAAAAGAAGTACAATTTCGGAATCTCTGCCACAATCAAGTACCACCTTACCGAAGTCTTCAACCGAATCGAGTACAATATCACAGAGTTCAGTTCAAATTTCGAGCACAGAACAATACGAAACCACACCAGAGAAAAGAAGTACAATTTCGGAATCTCTGCCACAATCAAGTACAACCTTAACAAAGTCTTCAACCGAATCGAGTACAATATCACAGAGTTCAGTTCAAATTTCGAGCACAGAACAATACGAAACCACACCAGAAGAAAGAAGTACAGTTTCGGAATCTCTTTCGCGATCAAGTACCACCTTACCAAAGTCTTCAACCGAATCGAGTACAATATCACAGAGTTCAGTTCTAATATCGAGCACAGAACAATACGAAACCACGCCAAAGGAAAGAAGTACAATTTCGGAATCTCGTCCGCGATCTAGTACAACCTTACCAAAGTCTTCAACCGAATCGAGTACAATATCACAGAGTTCAGTTCAAATATCGAGCACAGAACAATACAAAACCACACCAGAAGAAAGAAGTACAGTTTCGGAATCTCTTCCGCGATCAAGTACCACCTTACCAAAGTATTCAACCGAATGGAGTACAATATCACAGAGTTTACTGCAAATATCGAGCACAGAACAATACGAAACCACTACAGAGAAAAGAAGTACAATTTCGGAATCTCTGCCAAAATCAAGTACCACCTTACCGAAGTCTTCAACCGAATCGAGTACAATATCACAGAGTTCAGTTCAAGTTTCGAGCACAGAACAATACGAAACCACACCAGAGAAAAGAAGTACAATTTCGGAATCTCTGCCACAATCAAGTACAACCTTACCAAAGTCTTCAACCGAATCGAGTACAATATCACAGAGTTCAGTTCAAATTTCGAGCACAGAAAAATACGAAACCACTCCAGAGGAAAGGAGTACAATTTCGAAATCTCTGCCACAATCAAGTACACCCTTACCAAAGTCTTCAAGCGCTTCGACTACACTATCCCGTAGTTCATCTGAAATGTCAAGCACAGAAAAATACGAAACCACTCCAGAGGAAAGAAGTACAATTTCGGAATCTCTTCCGCAATCGAGTACAACCTTACCAAAGTCTTCAACCGAATCGAGTACAATATCACAGAGTTTACTGCAAATATCGAGCATAGAACAATACGAAACCACTCCAGCGGAAAGAAGTACAATTTCGGAATCTCGGCCACAATCAAGTACAACGTTACCAAAGTATTCAACCGAATCGAGTACAATATCACAGAGTTCAGTTCGAATTTCGAGCACAGAACAATACGAAACCACTCCAGAGGAAAGAAGTACAATTCCGGAATCTCTTCCGCAATCAAGTACAACCTTACCAAAGTCTTCAACCGAATCGAGTACAATATCACAGAGTTCACTTCAAATTTCGAGCACAGAACAATACGAAACCTCTCCAGAGGAAAAAAGGACAATTTCGGAATCTCTGCCACAATCAAGTACAATGTTACCAAAGTATTCAAACGAATCGAGTACAATATCACAGAGTTTACTGCAAATATCGAGCACAGAAAAATACGAAACCACACCAGAGGAAAGAAGTACAGTTTTGGAATCTCTTCCGCGATCAAGTACACCCTTACCAAAGTCTTCAACTGAATCGAGTACTACATCACAGAGTTCAGTTCAAATATCAAGCACAGAACAATACGAAGCCACGCCAAAGGAAAGAAGTACAATTTCGGAATCTCTTCCGCAATCTAGTACAACACTACCAAAGTCTTCAAACGAATCCAGTACAATATCACAGAGTTCACTGCAAATAACGAGCACAGAACAATACGAAACCACACCAGAGGAAAGAAGTACAATTTCGGAATCTCTTTCGCAATCTAGTACAACCCTACCAAAGTCTTCAACCGAATCGAGTACAATATCACAGAGTACACTGCAAATATCGAGCACAGAACAATACGAAACCACACCAGAAGAAAGAAGTACAGTTTCGGAATCTCTTCCGCGATCAAGTACCACCTTACCAAAGTCTTCAACCGAATCGAGTACAATATCACAGAGTTCACTTCAAATTTCGAGCACAGAACAATACGAAACCTCTCCAGAGGAAAAAAGTACAATTTCGGAATCTCTGCCACAATCAAGTACAACGTTACCGAAATCTTTAACCGAATCGAGTACAATATCACAGAGTTTACTGCAAATATCGAGCACAGAACAATACGAAACCACACCAGAGGAAAGAAGTACAATTTCGGAATCTCTTCCGCAATCTAGTACAACCCTACCAAAGTCTTCAACCGAATCGAGTACAATATCACAGAGATCAGTTCAAATTTCGAGCACAGAACAATACGAAACCACTCCAGAGGAAAGAAGTATAATTTCGGAATCTCTGCCACAATCAAGTACAACGTTACCAAAATCTTTAACCGAATCGAGTACAATATCACAGAGTTTACTGCAAATATCGAGCACAGAACAATACGAAACCACACCAGAGGAAAGAAGTACAATTTCGGAATCTCTTTCGCAATCTAGTACAACCCTACCAAAGTCTTCAACCGAATCGAGTACAATATCACAGAGTTTACTGCAAATATCGAGCACAGAACAATACGAAACCACACCAGAAGAAAGAAGTACAGTTTCGGAATCTCTTCCGCGATCAAGTACCACCTTACCAAAGTCTTCAACCGAATCGAGTACAATATCACAGAGTTCACTGCAAATATCGAGCACAGAACAATACGAAACCACGCCAAAGGAAAGAAGTACAATTTCGGAATCTCTTCCGCAATCTAGTACAACCCTACCAAAGTCTTCAAACGAATCGAGTACAATATCACAGAGTTTACTGCAAATATCGAGCACAGAACAATACGAAACCACTCCAGAGGAAAGAAGTACAATTTCGGAATCTCTTCCGCAATCAAGTACACCCTTACCAAAGTCTTCAACAGAATCGAGTAAAATATCACAGAGTTCAGTTCAAATTTCGAGCACAGAACAATACGAAACCACTCCAGAGGAAAGAAGTACAATTTCGGAATCTCTGCCACAATCAAGTACAACGTTACCAAAATCTTTAACCGAATCGAGTACAATATCACAGAGTTTACTGCAAATATCGAGCACAGAACAATACGAAACCACACCAGAAGAAAGAAGTACAGTTTCGGAATCTCTTCCGCGATCAAGTACCACCTTACCAAAGTCTTCAACCGAATCGAGTACAATATCACAGAGTTCACTGCAAATATCGAGCACAGAACAATACGAAACCACGCCAAAGGAAAGAAGTACAATTTCGGAATCTCTTCCGCAATCTAGTACAACCCTACCAAAGTCTTCAAACGAATCGAGTACAATATCACAGAGTTTACTGCAAATATCGAGCACAGAACAATACGAAACCACTCCAGAGGAAAGAAGTACAATTTCGGAATCTCTTCCGCAATCAAGTACACCCTTACCAAAGTCTTCAACAGAATCGAGTAAAATATCACAAAGTTCAGTTCAAATTTCGAGCACAGAACAATACGAAACCACTCCAGAAGAAAGAAGTACAATTTCGGAATCTCTTCCGCAATCAAGTACAACCTTACCAAAGTCTTCAACCGAATCGAGTACAATATCACAGAGTTCACTTCAAATTTCGAGCACAGAACAATACGAAACCTCTCCAGAGGAAAAAAGTACAATTTCGGAATCTCTGCCACAATCAAGTACAACGTTACCAAAATCTTCAACCGAATCGAGTACAATATCACAGAGTTTACTGCAAATATCGAGCACAGAAAAATACAAAACCACACCAGAGGAAAAAAGTACAATTTCGGAATCTCTTCCGCAATTTAGTACAACCCTACCAAAGTCTTCAACCGAATCGAGTACAATATCACAGAGATCAGTTCAAATTTCAAGCACAGAACAATACGAAACCACTCCAGAGGAAAGAAGTTTAATTTCGGAATCTCTGCCACAATCAAGTACAACCTTACCAAAGTCTTCAACAGAACCGAGTACAATATCTCAGAGTTCACTGCAAATATCGAGCACAGAACAATACGAAACCACACCAGAGGAAAGAAGTACAATTTCGGAATCTCTGCCACAATCAAGTACAACCTTACCAAAGTCTTCAACAGAACCGAGTACAATATCTCAGAGTTCACTGCAAATATCGAGAAAAGAACAATACGAAATCACACCAGAGGAAAGAAGTACAATTTCGGAATCTCTTCCGCAATCTAGTACAACCCTACCAAAGTCTTCAACCGAATCGAGTACAATATCACAGAGATCAGTTCAAATTTCGAGCACAGACCAATACGAAACCACTCCAGAGGAAAGAAGTACAATTTCGGAATCTCTTCTGCGATCTAGTACAACCTTACCAAAGTCTTCAACCGAATCGAGTACAATATCACAGAGTTCACTGCAAATATCGAGCACAGAACAATACGAAACCACTCCAGAGGAAAGAAGTACAATTTCGGAATCTCTTCCGCAATCTAGTACAACCTTACCAAAGTCTTCAACCGAATCGAGCTTAATATCACAGATTTCACTGCAAATATCGAGCACAGAACAATACGAAACCACTCCAGAGGAAAGAAGTACAATTTCGGAATCTCGTCCGCGATCTAGTACAACCTTACCAAAGTCTTTAACCGAATCGAGTACAATATCACAGAGTTCACTGCAAATATCGAGCACAGAACAATACGAAACCACGCCAAAGGAAAGAAGTACAATTTCGGAATCTCTTCCGCAATCTAGTACAACCCTACCAAAGTCTTCAAACGAATCGAGTACAATATCACAGAGTTTACTGCAAATATCGAGCACAGAACAATACGAAACCACTCCAGAGGAAAGAAGTACAATTTCGGAATCTCTTCCGCAATCAAGTACACCCTTACCAAAGTCTTCAACAGAATCGAGTAAAATATCACAAAGTTCAGTTCAAATTTCGAGCACAGAACAATACGAAACCACTCCAGAAGAAAGAAGTACAATTTCGGAATCTCTTCCGCAATCAAGTACAACCTTACCAAAGTCTTCAACAGAATCGAGTACAATATCACAGAGTTCACATCAAATTTCGAGCACAGAACAATACGAATCCTCTCCAGAGGAAAGAAGTACAATTTCGGAATCTCTGCCACAATCAAGTACAACCTTACCAAAATCTTCAACCGAATCGAGTACAATATCACAGAGTTTACTGCAAATATCGAGCACAGAAAAATACAAAACCACACCAGAGGAAAAAAGTACAATTTCGGAATCTCTTCCGCAATTTAGTACAACCCTACCAAAGTCTTCAACCGAATCGAGTACAATATCACAGAGATCAGTTCAAATTTCAAGCACAGAACAATACGAAACCACTCCAGAGGAAAGAAGTTTAATTTCGGAATCTCTGCCACAATCAAGTACAACCTTACCAAAGTCTTCAACAGAACCGAGTACAATATCTCAGAGTTCACTGCAAATATCGAGCACAGAACAATACGAAACCACACCAGAGGAAAGAAGTACAATTTCGGAATCTCTGCCACAATCAAGTACAACCTTACCAAAGTCTTCAACAGAACCGAGTACAATATCTCAGAGTTCACTGCAAATATCGAGAAAAGAACAATACGAAATCACACCAGAGGAAAGAAGTACAATTTCGGAATCTCTTCCGCAATCTAGTACAACCCTACCAAAGTCTTCAACCGAATCGAGTACAATATCACAGAGATCAGTTCAAATTTCGAGCACAGACCAATACGAAACCACTCCAGAGGAAAGAAGTACAATTTCGGAATCTCTTCTGCGATCTAGTACAACCTTACCAAAGTCTTCAACCGAATCGAGTACAATATCACAGAGTTCACTGCAAATATCGAGCACAGAACAATACGAAACCACTCCAGAGGAAAGAAGTACAATTTCGGAATCTCTTCCGCAATCTAGTACAACCTTACCAAAGTCTTCAACCGAATCGAGCTTAATATCACAGATTTCACTGCAAATATCGAGCACAGAACAATACGAAACCACTCCAGAGGAAAGAAGTACAATTTCGGAATCTCGTCCGCGATCTAGTACAACCTTACCAAAGTCTTTAACCGAATCGAGTACAATATCACAGAGTTCACTGCAAATATCGAGCACAGAACAATACGAAACCACTCCAGAGGAAAGAAGTACAATTTCGGAATCTCGTCCGCGATCTAGTACAACCTTACCAAAGTCTTTAACCGAATCGAGTACAATATCACAGAGTTCACTGCAAATATCGAGCACAGAACAATACGAAACCACTCCAGAGGAAAGAAGTAGAATTTCGGAATCTCTGCCACAATCAAGTACAACCTTACCAAAGTCTTCAACCGAATCGAGTACAATATCACAGAGTTCAGTTCAAATATCGAGCAAAGAACAATACGAAACCACTCCAGAGGAAAGAAGTGCAATTTCGGAATCTCTGCCACAATCTAGTACAACCTTACCAAAGTCTTCAACCGAATCGAGTACAATATCACAGAGTTCACTGCAAATATCGAGCACAGAACAATACAAAACCACACCAGAGGAAAGAAGTACAATTTCGGAATCTCTTCCGCAATCTAGTACAACCCTAATAAAGTCTTCAACCGAATCGAGTACAATATCACAGAGATCAGTTCAAATTTCGAGCACAGAACAATACGAAACCACTCCAGAGGAAAGAAGTACAATTTCGGAATCTCTTCCGCGATCTAGTACAACCTTACCAAAGTCTTCAACCGAATCGAGTACAATATCACAGAGTTCACTGCAAATATCGAGCACAGAACAATACGAAACCACTCCAGAGGAAAGAAGTACAATTTCGGAATCTCTTCCGCAATCTAGTACAACCTTACCAAAGTCTTCAACCGAATCGCGTTTAATATCACAGAGTTCACTGCAAATATCGAGCACAGAACAATACGAAACCACTCCAGAGGAAAGAAGTACAATTTCGGAATCTCGTCCGCAATCTAGTACAACCCTACCAAAGTCTTCAACCGAATCGAGTACAATATCACAGAGATCACTGCAAATATCGAGAAAAGAACAATACGAAACCACACCAGAGGAAAGAAGTACAATTTCGGAATCTCTTCCGCAATCTAGTACAACCCTACCAAAGTCTTCAACCGAATCGAGTACAATATCACAGAGTTCACTGCGAATATCGAGCACAGAACAATACGAAACCACTCCAGAGGAAAGAAGTACAATTTCGGAATCTCTTCCGCAATCAAGTACACCCTTATCAAAGTTTTCAACAGAATCGAGTAAAATATCACAGAGTTCAGTTCAAATTTCGAGCACAGAACAATACGAAACCACTCCAGAGGAAAGAAGTACAATTTCGGAATCTCTGCCACAATCAAGTACAACCTTACCAAAATCTTTAACCGAATCGAGTACAATATCACAGAGTTTACTGCAAATATCGAGCACAGAACAATACGAAACCACACCAGAAGAAAGAAGTACAGTTTCGGAATCTCTTCCGCGATCAAGTACCACCTTACCAAAGTCTTCAACCGAATCGAGTACAATATCACAGAGTTCAGTTCAAATTTCGAGCACAGAACAATACGAAACCACTCCAGAGGAAAGAAGTACAATTTCGGAATCTCTGCCACAATCAAGTACAACCTTACCAAAATCTTTAACCGAATCGAGTACAATATCACAGAGTTTACTGCAAATATCGAGCACAGAACAATACGAAACCACACCAGAAGAAAGAAGTACAAGTTTCGGAATCTCTTCCGCGATCAAGTACCACCTTACCAAAGTCTTCAACCGAATCGAGTACAATATCACAGAGTTCACTGCAAATATCGAGCACAGAACAATACGAAACCACGCCAAAGGAAAGAAGTACAATTTCGGAATCTCTTCCGCAATCTAGTACAACCCTACCAAAGTCTTCAAACGAATCGAGTACAATATCACAGAGTTTACTGCAAATATCGAGCACAGAACAATACGAAACCACTCCAGAGGAAAGAAGTACAATTTCGGAATCTCTTCCGCAATCAAGTACAACCCTTACCAAAGTCTTCAACAGAATCGAGTAAAATATCACAGAGTTCAGTTCAAATTTCGAGCACAGAACAATACGAAACCACTCCAGAGGAAAGAAGTACAATTTCGGAATCTCTTCCGCAATCAAGTACAACCTTACCAAAGTCTTCAACCGAAACGAGTACAATATCACAGAGTTCACTTCAAATTTCGAGCACAGAACAATACGAAACCTCTCCAGAGGAAAAAAGTACAATTTCGGAATCTCTGCCACAATCAAGTACAACGTTACCAAAATCTTCAACCGAATCGAGTACAATATCACAGAGTTTACTGCAAATATCGAGCACAGAAAAATACAAAACCACACCAGAGGGAAAAAGTACAATTTCGGAATCTCTTCCGCAATTTAGTACAACCCTACCAAAGTCTTCAACCGAATCGAGTACAATATCACAGAGATCAGTTCAAATTTCGAGCACAGAACAATACGAAACCACTCCAGAGGAAAGAAGTTTAATTTCGGAATCTCTGCCACAATCAAGTACAACCTTACCAAAGTCTTCAACAGAACCGAGTACAATATCTCAGAGTTCACTGCAAATATCGAGCACAGAACAATACGAAACCACACCAGAGGAAAGAAGTACAATTTCGGAATCTCTGCCACAATCAAGTACAACCTTACCAAAGTCTTCAACAGAACCGAGTACAATATCTCAGAGTTCACTGCAAATATCGAGAAAAGAACAATACGAAACCACACCAGAGGAAAGAAGTACAATTTCGGAATCTTTTCCGCAATCTAGTACAACCCTACCAAAGTCTTCAACCGAATCGAGTACAATATCACAGAGATCAGTTCAAATTTCGAGCACAGAACAATACGAAACCACTCCAGAGGAAAGAAGTACAATTTCGGAATCTCTTCCGCGATCTAGTACAACCTTACCAAAGTCTTCAACCGAATCGAGTACAATATCACAGAGTTCACTGCAAATATCGAGCACAGAACAATACGAAACCACTCCAGAGGAAAGAAGTACAATTTCGGAATCTCGTCCGCGATCTAGTACAACCTTACCAAAGTCTTTAACCGAATCGAGTACAATATCACAGAGTTCACTGCAAATATCGAGCACAGAACAATACGAAACCACTCCAGAGGAAAGAAGTACAATTTCGGAATCTCTGCCACAATCAAATACAACCTTACCAAAGTCTTCAACCGAATCGAGTACAATATCACAGAGTTCAGTTCAAATATCGAGCAAAGAACAATACGAAACCACTCCAGAGGAAAGAAGTGCAATTTCGGAATCTCTGCCACAATCTAGTACAACCTTACCAAAGTCTTCAACCGAATCGAGTACAATATCACAGAGTTCACAGCAAATATCGAGCACAGAACAATACAAAACCACACCAGAGGAAAGAAGTACAATTTCGGAATCTCTTCCGCAATCTAGTACAACCCTACCAAAGTCTTCAACCGAATCGAGTACAATATCACAGAGATCAGTTCAAATTTCGAGCACAGAACAATACGAAACCACTCCAGAAGAAAGAAGTACAATTTCGGAATCTCTTCCGCGATCTAGTACAACCTTACCAAAGTCTTCAACCGAATCGAGTACAATATCACAGAGTTCACTGCAAATATCGAGCACAGAACAATACGAAACCACTCCAGAGGAAAGAAGTACAATTTCGGAATCTCTTCCGCAATCTAGTACAACCTTACCAAAGTCTTCAACCGAATCGAGTTTAATATCACAGAGTTCACTGCAAATATCGAGCACAGAACAATACGAAACCACTCCAGAGGAAAGAAGTACAATTTCGGAATCTCGTCCGCAATCTAGTACAACCCTACCAAAGTCTTCAACCGAATCGAGTACAATATCACAGAGTTCACTGCAAATATCGAGCACAGAACAATACGAAACCACACCAGAGGAAAGAAGTACAATTTCGGAATCGAGTATAATATCACAGAGTTCACTGCAAATATCGAGCACAGAACAATACGAAACCACTCCAGAGGAAAGAAGTACAATTTCGGAATCTCTGCCACAATCAAGTACAACCTTACCAAAGTCTTCAACAGAATCGAGTACAATATCACAGAGTTCAGTTCAAATTTCGAGCACAGAACAATACGAAACCACTCCAGAGGAAAGAAGTACAATTTCGGAATCTCTTCCGCAATCAAGTACAACCTTACCAAAGTCTTCAACCGAATCGAGTACAATATCACAGAGTTCACTGCAAATATCGAGCACAGAACAATACGAAACCACTCCAGAGGAAAGAAGTACAATTTCGGAATCTCTGCCACAATCAAGTACACCCTTACCAAAGTCTTCAACAGAATCGAGTACAATATCACAGAGTTCAGTTCAAATATCGAGCACAGAACAATTCGAAACCACACCAGAGGAAAGAAGTACAATTTCGGAATCGAGTATAATATCACAGAGTTCACTGCAAATATCGAGCACAGAACAATACGAAACCACTCCAGAGGAAAGAAGTACAATTTCGGAATCTCGTCCGCAATCTAGTACAACCCTACCAAAGTCTTCAACCGAATCGAGTACAATATCACAGAGTTCACTGCAAATATCGAGCACAGAACAATTCGAAACCACACCAGAGGAAAGAAGTACAATTTCGGAATCGAGTATAATATCACAGAGTTCACTGCAAATATCGAGCACAGAACAATACGAAACCACTCCAGAGGAAAGAAGTACAATTTCGGAATCTCTGCCACAATCAAGTACAACCTTACCAAAGTCTTCAACAGAATCGAGTACAATATCACAGAGTTCACATCAAATATCGAGCACAGAACAATACGAAACCACTCCAGAGGAAAGAAGTACAATTTCGGAATCTCTGCCACAATCAAGTACAACCCCACCAAAGTTTTCAAGCCCATCGACTACACTATACAGTAGTTCATCTGAAATGTCGAGCACAGAAAAATACGAAACCACTCCAGAGGAAAGAAGTACAATTTCGGAATCTCTTCCGCAATCTAGTACAACCTTACCAAAGTCTTCAACCGAATCGAGTACAATATCACAGAGTTCACTGCAAATATCGAGCACAGAACAATACGAAACCACTCCAGAGGAAAGAAGTACAATTTCGGAATCTCTGCCACAATCAAGTACAACCTTACCAAAGTCTTCAACCGAATCGAGTACAATATCACAGAGTTCACTGCAAATATCGAGCACAGAACAATACGAAACCACTCCAGAGGAAAGAAGTACAATTTCGGAATCTCTTCCGCAATCTAGTACAACCTTACCAAAGTCTTCAACAGAACCGAGTACAATATCACAGAGTTCACTGCAAATATCGAGCACAGAACAATACGAAACCACACCAGAGGAAAGAAGTACAATTTCGGAATCTCTGCCACAATCAAGTACAACCTTACCAAAGTCTTCAACAGAACCGAGTACAATATCTCAGAGTTCACTGCAAATATCGAGCACAGAACAATACGAAACCACACCAGAGGAAAGAAGTACAATTTCGGAATCTCTGCCACAATCAAGTACAACCCCACCAAAGTTTTCAAGCCCATCGACTACACTATACAGTAGTTCATCTGAAATGTCGAGCACAGAAAAATACGAAACCACTCCAGAGGAAAGAAGTACAATTTCGGAATCTCTGCCACAATCAAGTACAACCTTACCAAAGTCTTCAACAGAACCGAGTACAATATCTCAGAGTTCACTGCAAATATCGAGCACAGAACAATACGAAACCACTCCAGAGGAAAGAAGTACAATTTCGGAATCTCTTCCGCAATCAAGTACAACCTTACCAAAGTCTTCAACCGAATCGAGTACAATATCACAGAGTTCACTGCAAATATCGAGCACAGAACAATACGAAACCACACCAGAGGAAAGAAGTACAATTTCGGAATCTCTGCCACAATCAAGTACAACCTTACCAAAGTCTTCAACAGAACCGAGTACAATATCTCAGAGTTCACTGCAAATATCGAGCACAGAACAATACGAAACCACACCAGAGGAAAGAAGTACAATTTCGGAATCTCTGCCACAATCAAGTACAACCCCACCAAAGTTTTCAAGCCCATCGACTACACTATACAGTAGTTCATCTGAAATGTCGAGCACAGAAAAATACGAAACCACTCCAGAGGAAAGAAGTACAATTTCGGAATCTCTGCCACAATCAAGTACAACCTTACCAAAGTCTTCAACAGAACCGAGTACAATATCTCAGAGTTCACTGCAAATATCGAGCACAGAACAATACGAAACCACACCAGAGGAAAGAAGTACAATTTCGGAATCTCTTCCGCAATCTAGTACAACCCTACCAAAGTCTTCAACCGAATCGAGTACAATATCACAGAGTTCACTTCAAATATCGAGCACAGAACAATACGAAACCACTCCAGAGGAAAGAAGTACAATTTCGGAATCTCTTCCGCAATCTAGTACAACCTTACCAAAGTCTTCAACCGAATCGAGTACAATATCACAGAGTTCACTGCAAATATCGAGCACAGAACAATACGAAACCACTCCAGAGGAAAGAAGTACAATTTCGGAATCTCTGCCACAATCAAGTACAACCTTACCAAAGTCTTCAACCGAACCGAGTACAATATCACAGAGTTCACTGCAAATATCGAGCACAGAACAATACGAAACCACACCAGAGGAAAGAAGTACAATTTCGGAATCTCTGCCACAATCAAGTACAACCCTACCAAAGTTTTCAAGCCCATCGACTACACTATACAGTAGTTCATCTGAAATGTCGAGCACAGAAAAATACGAAACCACTCCAGAGGAAAGAAGTACAATTTCGGAATCTCTGCCACAATCAAGTACAACCTTACCAAAGTCTTCAACAGAACCGAGTACAATATCACAGAGTTCACTGCAAATATCGAGCACAGAACAATACGAAACCACTCCAGAGGAAAGAAGTACAATTTCGGAATCTCTTCCGCAATCTAGTACAACCTTACCAAAGTCTTCAACCGAATCGAGTACAATATCACAGAGTTCACTGCAAATATCGAGCACAGAACAATACGAAACCACACCAGAGGAAAGAAGTACAATTTCGGAATCTCTGCCACAATCAAGTACAACCTTACCAAAGTCTTCAACAGAACCGAGTACAATATCTCAGAGTTCACTGCAAATATCGAGCACAGAACAATACGAAACCACACCAGAGGAAAGAAGTACAATTTCGGAATCTCTGCCACAATCAAGTACAACCCCACCAAAGTTTTCAAGCCCATCGACTACACTATACAGTAGTTCATCTGAAATGTCGAGCACAGAAAAATACGAAACCACTCCAGAGGAAAGAAGTACAATTTCGGAATCTCTGCCACAATCAAGTACAACCTTACCAAAGTCTTCAACAGAACCGAGTACAATATCTCAGAGTTCACTGCAAATATCGAGCACAGAACAATACGAAACCACACCAGAGGAAAGAAGTACAATTTCGGAATCTCTTCCGCAATCTAGTACAACCCTACCAAAGTCTTCAACCGAATCGAGTACAATATCACAGAGTTCAGTTCAAATATCGAGCACAGAACAATACGAAACCACTCCAGAGGAAAGAAGTACAATTTCGGAATCTCTTCCGCAATCTAGTACAACCTTACCAAAGTCTTCAACCGAATCGAGTACAATATCACAGAGTTCACTGCAAATATCGAGCACAGAACAATACGAAACCACTCCAGAGGAAAGAAGTACAATTTCGGAATCTCTGCCACAATCAAGTACAACCTTACCAAAGTCTTCAACAGAACCGAGTACAATATCACAGAGTTCACTGCAAATATCGAGCACAGAACAATACGAAACCACACCAGAGGAAAGAAGTACAATTTCGGAATCTCTGCCACAATCAAGTACAACCCCACCAAAGTTTTCAAGCCCATCGACTACACTATCACAGTAGTTCATCTGAAATGTCGAGCACAGAAAAATACGAAACCACTCCAGAGGAAAGAAGTACAATTTCGGAATCTCTGCCACAATCAAGTACAACCTTACCAAAGTCTTCAACAGAACCGAGTACAATATCTCAGAGTTCACTGCAAATATCGAGCACAGAACAATACGAAACCACTCCAGAGGAAAGAAGTACAATTTCGGAATCTCTTCCGCAATCAAGTACAACCTTACCAAAGTCTTCAACCGAATCGAGTACAATATCACAGAGTTCACTGCAAATATCGAGCACAGAACAATACGAAACCACACCAGAGGAAAGAAGTACAATTTCGGAATCTCTGCCACAATCAAGTACAACCTTACCAAAGTCTTCAACAGAACCGAGTACAATATCACAGAGTTCACTGCAAATATCGAGCACAGAACAATACGAAACCACACCAGAGGAAAGAAGTACAATTTCGGAATCTCTGCCACAATCAAGTACAACCCCACCAAAGTTTTCAAGCCCATCGACTACACTATACAGTAGTTCATCTGAAATGTCGAGCACAGAAAAATACGAAACCACTCCAGAGGAAAGAAGTACAATTTCGGAATCTCTGCCACAATCAAGTACAACCTTACCAAAGTCTTCAACAGAACCGAGTACAATATCTCAGAGTTCACTGCAAATATCGAGCACAGAACAATACGAAACAACACCAGAGGAAAGAAGTACAATTTCGGAATCTCTTCCGCAATCTAGTACAACCCTACCAAAGTCTTCAACCGAATCGAGTACAATATCACAGAGTTCAGTTCAAATATCGAGCACAGAACAATACGAAACCACTCCAGAGGAAAGAAGTACAATTTCGGAATCTCTTCCGCAATCTAGTACAACCTTACCAAAGTCTTTAACCGAATCGAGTACAATATCACAGAGTTCACTGCAAATATCGAGCACAGAACAATACGAAACCACTCCAGAGGAAAGAAGTACAATTTCGGAATCTCTGCCACAATCAAATACAACCTTACCAAAGTCTTCAACAGAACCGAGTACAATATCTCAGAGTTCACTGCAAATATCGAGCACAGAACAATACGAAACAACACCAGAGGAAAAAAGTACAATTTCGGAATCTCTGCCACAATCAAGTACAACCCCACCAAAGTTTTCAAGCCCATCGACTACACTATACAGTAGTTCATCTGAAATGTCGAGCACAGAAAAATACGAAACCACTCCAGAGGAAAGAAGTACAATTTCGGAATCTCTGCCACAATCAAGTACAACCTTACCAAAGTCTTCAACCGAATCGAGTACAATATCACAGAGTTCACTGCAAATATCGAGCACAGAACAATACGAAACCACTCCAGAGGAAAGAAGTACAATTTCGGAATCTCTTCCGCAATCAAGTACAACCTTACCAAAGTCTTCAACCGAATCGAGTACAATATCACAGAGTTCACTGCAAATATCGAGCACAGAACAATACGAAACCACACCAGAGGAAAGAAGTACAATTTCGGAATCTCTGCCACAATCAAGTACAACCTTACCAAAGTCTTCAACCGAATCGAGTACAATATCACAGAGTTCACTGCAAATATCGAGCACAGAACAATACGAAACCACACCAGAGGAAAGAAGTACAATTTCGGAATCTCTGCCACAATCAAGTACAACCCCACCAAAGTTTTCAAGCCCATCGACTACACTATACAGTAGTTCATCTGAAATGTCGAGCACAGAAAAATACGAAACCACTCCAGAGGAAAGAAGTACAATTTCGGAATCTCTGCCACAATCAAGTACAACCTTACCAAAGTCTTCAACAGAACCGAGTACAATATCACAGAGTTCACTGCAAATATCGAGCACAGAACAATACGAAACCACACCAGAGGAAAGAAGTACAATTTCGGAATCTCTTCCGCAATCTAGTACAACCTTACCAAAGTCTTCAACCGAATCGAGTACAATATCACAGAGTTCACTGCAAATATCGAGCACAGAAAAATACGAAACCACTCCAGAGGAAAGAAGTACAATTTCGGAATCTCTTCCGCAATCTAGTACAACCTTACCAAAGTCTTCAACCGAATCGAGTACAATATCACAGAGTTCACTGCAAATATCGAGCACAGAACAATACGAAACCACTCCAGAGGAAAGAAGTACAATTTCGGAATCTCTGCCACAATCAAGTACAACCTTACCAAAGTCTTCAACCGAATCGAGTACAATATCACAGAGTTCACTGCAAATATCGAGCACAGAACAATATAAAACCACACCAGAGGAAAGAAGTACAATTTCGGAATCTCTTCCGCAATCTAGTACAACCCCACCAAAGTTTTCAAGCCCATCGACTACACTATACAGTAGTTCATCTGAAATGTCGAGCACAGAAAAATACGAAACCACTCCAGAGGAAAGAAGTACAATTTCGGAATCTCTGCCACAATCAAGTACAACCTTACCAAAGTCTTCAACAGAATCGAGTACAATATCACAGAGTTCACTGCAAATATCGAGCACAGAACAATACGAAACCACACCAGAGGAAAGAAGTACAATTTCGGAATCTCTTCCGCAATCTAGTACAACCTTACCAAAGTCTTCAACCGAATCGAGTACAATATCACAGAGTTCACTGCAAATATCGAGCACAGAACAATACGAAACCACACCAGAGGAAAGAAGTACAATTTCGGAATCTCTTCCACAATCAAGTACAACCTTACCAAAGTCTTCAACCGAATCGAGTACAATATCACAGAGTTCACTGCAAATATCGAGCACAGAACAATATAAAACCACACCAGAGGAAAGAAGTACAATTTCGGAATCTCTTCCGCAATCTAGTACAACCCCACCAAAGTTTTCAAGCCCATCGACTACACTATACAGTAGTTCATCTGAAATGTCGAGCACAGAACAATACGAAACCACTCCAGAGGAAAGAAGTACAATTTCGGAATCTCTGCCACAATCAAGTACAACCTTACCAAAGTCTTCAACAGAACCGAGTACAATATCTCAGAGTTCACTGCAAATATCGAGCACAGAACAATACGAAACCACACCAGAGGAAAGAAGTACAATTTCGGAATCTCTTCCGCAATCTAGTACAACCCTACCAAAGTCTTCAACCGAATCGAGTACAATATCACAGAGTTCACTGCAAATATCGAGCACAGAACAATACGAAACCACTCCAGAGGAAAGAAGTACAATTTCGGAATCTCTTCCGCAATCTAGTACAACCTTACCAAAGTCTTCAACCGAATCGAGTACAATATCACAGAGTTCACTGCAAATATCGAGCACAGAACAATACGAAACCACTCCAGAGGAAAGAAGTACAATTTCGGAATCTCTGCCACAATCAAGTACAACCTTACCAAAGTCTTCAACAGAATCGAGTACAATATCACAGAGTTCACTGCAAATATCGAGCACAGAACAATACGAAACCACACCAGAGGAAAGAAGTACAATTTCGGAATCTCTGCCACAATCAAGTACAACCCCACCAAAGTTTTCAAGCCCATCGACTACACTATACAGTAGTTCATCTGAAATGTCGAGCACAGAAAAATACGAAACCACTCCAGAGGAAAGAAGTACAATTTCGGAATCTCTGCCACAATCAAGTACAACCTTACCAAAGTCTTCAACAGAACCGAGTACAATATCTCAGAGTTCACTGCAAATATCGAGCACAGAACAATACGAAACCACACCAGAGGAAAGAAGTACAATTTCGGAATCTCTTCCGCAATCTAGTACAACCTTACCAAAATCTTCAACCGAATCGAGTACAATATCACAGAGTTCATTGCAAATATCGAGCACAGAACAATACGAAACCACACCAGAGGAAAGAAGTACAATTTCGGAATCTCTGCCACAATCAAGTACAACCTTACCAAAGTCTTCAACAGAACCGAGTACAATATCACAGAGTTCACTGCAAATATCGAGCACAGAACAATACGAAACCACACCAGAGGAAAGAAGTACAATTTCGGAATCTCTGCCACAATCAAGTACAACCCCACCAAAGTTTTCAAGCCCATCGACTACACTATACAGTAGTTCATCTGAAATGTCGAGCACAGAAAAATACGAAACCACTCCAGAGGAAAGAAGTACAATTTCGGAATCTCTGCCACAATCAAGTACAACCTTACCAAAGTCTTCAACAGAACCGAGTACAATATCTCAGAGTTCACTGCAAATATCGAGCACAGAACAATACGAAACCACACCAGAGGAAAGAAGTACAATTTCGGAATCTCTTCCGCAATCTAGTACAACCTTACCAAAGTCTTCAACCGAATCGAGTACAATATCACAGAGTTCACTGCAAATATCGAGCACAGAACAATACGAAACCACTCCAGAGGAAAGAAGTACAATTTCGGAATCTCTTCCGCAATCTAGTACAACCTTACCAAAGTCTTCAACCGAATCGAGTACAATATCACAGAGTTCACTGCAAATATCGAGCACAGAACAATACGAAACCACTCCAGAGGAAAGAAGTACAATTTCGGAATCTCTGCCACAATCAAGTACAACCTTACCAAAGTCTTCAACCGAATCGAGTACAATATCACAGAGTTCACTGCAAATATCGAGCACAGAACAATACGAAACCACTCCAGAGGAAAGAAGTACAATTTCGGAATCTCTTCCGCAATCTAGTACAACCTTACCAAAGTCTTCAACCGAATCGAGTACAATATCACAGAGTTCACTGCAAATATCGAGCACAGAACAATACGAAACCACTCCAGAGGAAAGAAGTACAATTTCGGAATCTCTTCCACAATCAAGTACAACCTTACCAAAGTCTTCAACCGAATCGAGTACAATATCACAGAGATCAGTTCAAATTTCGAGCACAGAACAATACGAAACCACTCCAGAGGAAAGAAGTACAATTTCGGAATCTCTTCCACAATCTAGTACAACCTTACCAAAGTCTTCAACCGAATCGAGTACAATATCACAGTAGTTCATCAGTTCAAATTTCGAGCACAGAACAATACGAAACCACTCCAGAGGAAAGAAGTACAATTTCGGAATCTCTTCCGCAATCTAGTACAACCTTACCAAAGTCTTCAACCGAATCGAGTACAATATCACAGAGTTCACTGCAAATATCGAGCACAGAACAATACGAAACCACTCCAGAGGAAAGAAGTACAATTTCGGAATCTCTTCCACAATCAAGTACAACCTTACCAAAGTCTTCAACAGAACCGAGTACAATATCACAGAGTTCACTGCAAATATCGAGCACAGAACAATACGAAACCACACCAGAGGAAAGTACAATATCACAGAGTTCACTGCAAATATCGAGCACAGAAAAATACGAAACCACTCCAGAGGAAAGAAGTACAATTTCGGAATCTCTTCCGCAATCTAGTACAACCTTACCAAAGTCTTCAACCGAATCGAGTACAATATCACAGAGTTCACTGCAAATATCGAGCACAGAACAATACGAAACCACTCCAGAGGAAAGAAGTACAATTTCGGAATCTCTGCCACAATCAAGTACAACCTTACCAAAGTCTTCAACAGAACCGAGTACAATATCTCAGAGTTCACTGCAAATATCGAGCACAGAACAATACGAAACCACTCCAGAGGAAAGAAGTACAATTTCGGAATCTCTTCCGCAATCTAGTACAACCTTACCAAAGTTTTCAAGCCCATCGACTACACTATACAGTAGTTCATCTGAAATGTCGAGCACAGAAAAATACGAAACCACTCCAGAGGAAAGAAGTACAATTTCGGAATCTCTTCCGCAATCTAGTACAACCTTACCAAAGTCTTCAACCGAATCGAGTACAATATCACAGAGTTCACTGCAAATATCGAGCACAGAACAATACGAAACCACTCCAGAGGAAAGAAGTACAATTTCGGAATCTCTGCCACAATCAAGTACAACCTTACCAAAGTCTTCAACAGAACCGAGTACAATATCGCAGAGTTCACTGCAAATATCGAGCACAGAACAATACGAAACCACACCAGAGGAAAGAAGTACAATTTCGGAATCTCTTCCGCAATCTAGTACAACCTTACCAAAGTCTTCAACCGAATCGAGTACAATATCACAGAGTTCACTGCAAATATCGAGCACAGAACAATACGAAACCACACCAGAGGAAAGAAGTACAATTTCGGAATCTCTTCCGCAATCTAGTACAACCCTACCAAAGTCTTCAACCGAATCGAGTACAATATCACAGAGTTCAGTTCAAATATCGAGCACAGAACAATACGAAACCACTCCAGAGGAAAGAAGTACAATTTCGGAATCTCTGCCACAATCAAGTACAACCTTACCAAAGTCTTCAACAGAACCGAGTACAATATCTCAGAGTTCACTGCAAATATCGAGCACAGAACAATACGAAACCACACCAGAGGAAAGAAGTACAATTTCGGAATCTCTGCCACAATCAAGTACAACCCCACCAAAGTTTTCAAGCCCATCGACTACACTATACAGTAGTTCATCTGAAATGTCGAGCACAGAAAAATACGAAACCACTCCAGAGGAAAGAAGTACAATTTCGGAATCTCTGCCACAATCAAGTACAACCTTACCAAAGTCTTCAACAGAACCGAGTACAATATCACAGAGTTCACTGCAAATATCGAGCACAGAACAATACGAAACCACACCAGAGGAAAGAAGTACAATTTCGGAATCTCTTCCGCAATCTAGTACAACCTTACCAAAGTCTTCAACCGAATCGAGTACAATATCACAGAGTTCACTGCAAATATCGAGCACAGAACAATACGAAACCACACCAGAGGAAAGAAGTACAATTTCGGAATCTCTGCCACAATCAAGTACAACCTTACCAAAGTCTTCAACAGAACCGAGTACAATATCACAGAGTTCACTGCAAATATCGAGCACAGAACAATACGAAACCACACCAGAGGAAAGAAGTACAATTTCGGAATCTCTTCCGCAATCTAGTACAACCTTACCAAAGTCTTCAACCGAATCGAGTACAATATCACAGAGTTCACTGCAAATATCGAGCACAGAACAATACGAAACCACTCCAGAGGAAAGAAGTACAATTTCGGAATCTCTGCCACAATCAAGTACAACCTTACCAAAGTCTTCAACAGAACCGAGTACAATATCACAGAGTTCACTGCAAATATCGAGCACAGAACAATACGAAACCACACCAGAGGAAAGAAGTACAATTTCGGAATCTCTGCCACAATCAAGTACAACCTTACCAAAGTCTTCAACCGAATCGAGTACAATATCACAGAGTTCACTGCAAATATCGAGCACAGAACAATACGAAACCACACCAGAGGAAAGAAGTACAATTTCGGAATCTCTTCCGCAATCTAGTACAACCTTACCAAAGTCTTCAACCGAATCGAGTACAATATCACAGAGTTCACTGCAAATATCGAGCACAGAACAATACGAAACCACTCCAGAGGAAAGAAGTACAATTTCGGAATCTCTTCCGCAATCTAGTACAACCTTACCAAAGTCTTCAACCGAATCGAGTACAATATCACAGAGTTCACTTCAAATATCGAGCACAGAACAATACGAAACCACACCAGAGGAAAGAAGTACAATTTCGGAATCTCTTCCGCAATCTAGTACAACCTTACCAAAGTCTTCAACCGAATCGAGTACAATATCACAGAGTTCACTGCAAATATCGAGCACAGAACAATACGAAACCACACCAGAGGAAAGAAGTACAATTTCGGAATCTCTTCCGCAATCTAGTACAACCTTACCAAAGTCTTCAACCGAATCGAGTACAATATCACAGAGTTCACTTCAAATATCGAGCACAGAACAATACGAAACCACTCCAGAGGAAAGAAGTACAATTTCGGAATCTCTTCCGCAATCTAGTACAACCTTACCAAAGTCTTCAACCGAATCGAGTACAATATCACAGAGTTCACTGCAAATATCGAGCACAGAACAATACGAAACCACTCCAGAGGAAAGAAGTACAATTTCGGAATCTCTGCCACAATCAAGTACAACCTTACCAAAGTCTTCAACAGAACCGAGTACAATATCTCAGAGTTCACTGCAAATATCGAGCACAGAACAATACGAAACCACACCAGAGGAAAGAAGTACAATTTCGGAATCTCTTCCGCAATCTAGTACAACCCTACCAAAGTCTTCAACCGAATCGAGTACAATATCACAGAGTTCAGTTGCAAATATCGAGCACAGAACAATACGAAACCACTCCAGAGGAAAGAAGTACAATTTCGGAATCTCTGCCACAATCAAGTACAACCTTACCAAAGTCTTCAACAGAACCGAGTACAATATCACAGAGTTCACTGCAAATATCGAGCACAGAACAATACGAAACCACACCAGAGGAAAGAAGTACAATTTCGGAATCTCTTCCGCAATCTAGTACAACCCTACCAAAGTCTTCAACCGAATCGAGTACAATATCACAGAGTTCACTGCAAATATCGAGCACAGAACAATACGAAACCACTCCAGAGGAAAGAAGTACAATTTCGGAATCTCTTCCGCAATCTAGTACAACCTTACCAAAGTCTTCAACCGAATCGAGTACAATATCACAGAGTTCACTGCAAATATCGAGCACAGAACAATACGAAACCACACCAGAGGAAAGAAGTACAATTTCGGAATCTCGTCCGCCATCTAGTACAACCTTACCAAAGTCTTCAACCGAATCGAGTACAATATCACAGAGTTCACTGCAAATATCGAGCACAGAACAATACGAAACCACTCCAGAGGAAAGAAGTACAATTTCGGAATCTCTTCCGCAATCTAGTACAACCTTACCAAAGTCTTCAACCGAATCGAGTACAATATCACAGAGTTCACTGCAAATATCGAGCACAGAACAATACGAAACCACTCCAGAGGAAAGAAGTACAATTTCGGAATCTCTTCCGCAATCTAGTACAACCTTACCAAAGTCTTCAACCGAATCGAGTACAATATCACAGAGTTCACTGCAAATATCGAGCACAGAACAATACGAAACCACTCCAGAGGAAAGAAGTACAATTTCGGAATCTCGTCCGCCATCTAGTAAAACCTTACCAAAGTCTTCAACCGAATCGAGTACAATATCACAGAGTTCAGTTCAAATATCGAGCACAGAACAATTCGAAACCACACCAGAGGAAAGAAGTACAATTTCGGAATCGAGTATAATATCACAGAGTTCACTGCAAATATCGAGCACAGAACAATACGAAACCACACCAGAGGAAAGAAGTACAATTTCGGAATCTCTTCCGCAATCTAGTACAACCTTACCAAAGTCTTCAACCGAATCGAGTACAATATCACAGAGTTCACTTCAAATATCGAGCACAGAACAATACGAAACCACTCCAGAGGAAAGAAGTACAATTTCGGAATCTCTTCCGCAATCTAGTACAACCTTACCAAAGTCTTCAACCGAATCGAGTACAATATCACAGAGTTCACTGCAAATATCGAGCACAGAACAATACGAAACCACACCAGAGGAAAGAAGTACAATTTCGGAATCTCTTCCGCAATCTAGTACAACCCTACCAAAGTCTTCAACCGAATCGAGTACAATATCACAGAGTTCAGTTCAAATATCGAGCACAGAACAATACGAAACCACTCCAGAGGAAAGAAGTACAATTTCGGAATCTCTTCCGCAATCTAGTACAACCTTACCAAAGTCTTCAACCGAATCGAGTACAATATCACAGAGTTCACTGCAAATATCGAGCACAGAACAATACGAAACCACTCCAGAGGAAAGAAGTACAATTTCGGAATCTCTTCCGCAATCTAGTACAACCTTACCAAAGTCTTCAACCGAATCGAGTACAATATCACAGAGTTCACTGCAAATATCGAGCACAGAACAATACGAAACCACTCCAGAGGAAAGAAGTACAATTTCGGAATCTCTTCCGCAATCTAGTACAACCTTACCAAAGTCTTCAACCGAATCGAGTACAATATCACAGAGTTCACTGCAAATATCGAGCACAGAACAATACGAAACCACTCCAGAGGAAAGAAGTACAATTTCGGAATCTCTTCCGCAATCTAGTACAACCTTACCAAAGTCTTCAACCGAATCGAGTACAATATCACAGAGTTCACTGCAAATATCGAGCACAGAACAATACGAAACCACTCCAGAGGAAAGAAGTACAATTTCGGAATCTCTTCCGCAATCTAGTACAACCTTACCAAAGTCTTCAACAGAACCGAGTACAATATCTCAGAGTTCACTGCAAATATCGAGCACAGAACAATACGAAACCACACCAGAGGAAAGAAGTACAATTTCGGAATCTCTGCCACAATCAAGTACAACCCCACCAAAGTTTTCAAGCCCATCGACTACACTATACAGTAGTTCATCTGAAATGTCGAGCACAGAAAAATACGAAACCACTCCAGAGGAAAGAAGTACAATTTCGGAATCTCTGCCACAATCAAGTACAACCTTACCAAAGTCTTCAACCGAATCGAGTACAATATCACAGAGTTCACTGCAAATATCGAGCACAGAACAATACGAAACCACACCAGAGGAAAGAAGTACAATTTCGGAATCTCTTCCGCAATCTAGTACAACCTTACCAAAGTCTTCAACCGAATCGAGTACAATATCACAGAGTTCACTGCAAATATCGAGCACAGAACAATACGAAACCACACCAGAGGAAAGAAGTACAATTTCGGAATCTCTGCCACAATCAAGTACAACCTTACCAAAGTCTTCAACAGAACCGAGTACAATATCACAGAGTTCACTGCAAATATCGAGCACAGAACAATACGAAACCACACCAGAGGAAAGAAGTACAATTTCGGAATCTCTGCCACAATCAAGTACAACCCCACCAAAGTTTTCAAGCCCATCGACTACACTATACAGTAGTTCATCTGAAATGTCGAGCACAGAAAAATACGAAACCACTCCAGAGGAAAGAAGTACAATTTCGGAATCTCTGCCACAATCAAGTACAACCTTACCAAAGTCTTCAACAGAACCGAGTACAATATCTCAGAGTTCACTGCAAATATCGAGCACAGAACAATACGAAACCACACCAGAGGAAAGAAGTACAATTTCGGAATCTCTTCCGCAATCTAGTACAACCTTACCAAAGTCTTCAACCGAATCGAGTACAATATCACAGAGTTCAGTTCAAATATCGAGCACAGAACAATACGAAACCACTCCAGAGGAAAGAAGTACAATTTCGGAATCTCTGCCACAATCAAGTACAACCTTACCAAAGTCTTCAACAGAACCGAGTACAATATCTCAGAGTTCACTGCAAATATCGAGCACAGAACAATACGAAACCACACCAGAGGAAAGAAGTACAATTTCGGAATCTCTGCCACAATCAAGTACAACCTTACCAAAGTCTTCAACCGAATCGAGTACAATATCACAGAGTTCACTGCAAATATCGAGCACAGAACAATACGAAACCACACCAGAGGAAAGAAGTACAATTTCGGAATCTCTTCCGCAATCTAGTACAACCTTACCAAAGTCTTCAACCGAATCGAGTACAATATCACAGAGTTCACTGCAAATATCGAGCACAGAACAATACGAAACCACTCCAGAGGAAAGAAGTACAATTTCGGAATCTCTGCCACAATCAAGTACAACCTTACCAAAGTCTTCAACAGAACCGAGTACAATATCACAGAGTTCACTGCAAATATCGAGCACAGAACAATACGAAACCACACCAGAGGAAAGAAGTACAATTTCGGAATCTCTTCCGCAATCTAGTACAACCTTACCAAAGTCTTCAACCGAATCGAGTACAATATCACAGAGTTCACTTCAAATATCGAGCACAGAACAATACGAAACCACTCCAGAGGAAAGAAGTACAATTTCGGAATCTCTTCCGCAATCTAGTACAACCTTACCAAAGTCTTCAACCGAATCGAGTACAATATCACAGAGTTCACTGCAAATATCGAGCACAGAACAATACGAAACCACTCCAGAGGAAAGAAGTACAATTTCGGAATCTCTTCCGCAATCTCAAGTACAACCTTACCAAAGTCTTCAACCGAATCGAGTACAATATCACAGAGTTCACTGCAAATATCGAGCACAGAACAATACGAAACCACTCCAGAGGAAAGAAGTACAATTTCGGAATCTCTTCCGCAATCTAGTACAACCTTACCAAAGTCTTCAACCGAATCGAGTACAATATCACAGAGTTCACTGCAAATATCGAGCACAGAACAATACGAAACCACTCCAGAGGAAAGAAGTACAATTTCGGAATCTCTTCCGCAATCTAGTACAACCTTACCAAAGTCTTCAACCGAATCGAGTACAATATCACAGAGTTCACTGCAAATATCGAGCACAGAACAATACGAAACCACACCAGAGGAAAGAAGTACAATTTCGGAATCTCTGCCACAATCAAGTACAACCTTACCAAAGTCTTCAACAGAATCGAGTACAATATCACAGAGTTCACTGCAAATATCGAGCACAGAACAATACGAAACCACACCAGAGGAAAGAAGTACAATTTCGGAATCTCTTCCGCAATCTAGTACAACCTTACCAAAGTCTTCAACCGAATCGAGTACAATATCACAGAGTTCAGTTCAAATATCGAGCAAAGAACAATACGAAACCACTCCAGAGGAAAGAAGTACAATTTCGGAATCTCTTCCGCAATCTAGTACAACCCTACCAAAGTCTTCAACCGAATCGAGTACAATATCACAGAGTTCACTTCAAATATCGAGCACAGAACAATACGAAACCACTCCAGAGGAAAGAAGTACAATTTCGGAATCTCTGCCACAATCAAGTACAACCTTACCAAAGTCTTCAACCGAATCGAGTACAATATCACAGAGTTCACTGCAAATATCGAGCACAGAACAATACGAAACCACACCAGAGGAAAGAAGTACAATTTCGGAATCTCTGCCACAATCAAGTACAACCTTACCAAAGTCTTCAACCGAATCGAGTACAATATCACAGAGTTCACTGCAAATATCGAGCACAGAACAATACGAAACCACACCAGAGGAAAGAAGTACAATTTCGGAATCTCTTCCGCAATCTAGTACAACCTTACCAAAGTCTTCAACCGAATCGAGTACAATATCACAGAGTTCAGTTCAAATATCGAGCACAGAACAATACGAAACCACTCCAGAGGAAAGAAGTACAATTTCGGAATCTCTGCCACAATCAAGTACAACCTTACCAAAGTCTTTAACAGAACCGAGTACAATATCGCAGAGTTCACTGCAAATATCGAGCACAGAACAATACGAAACCACACCAGAGGAAAGAAGTACAATTTCGGAATCTCTTCCGCAATCTAGTACAACCTTACCAAAGTCTTCAAGCGCTTCGACTACACTATACAGTAGTTCATCTGAAATGTCGAGCACAGAACAATACGAAACCACTCCAGAGGAAAGAAGTACAATTTCGGAATCTCTTCCGCAATCTAGTACAACCTTACCAAAGTCTTCAACCGAATCGAGTACAATATCACAGAGTTCACTGCAAATATCGAGCACAGAACAATACGAAACCACACCAGAGGAAAGAAGTACAATTTCGGAATCTCTTCCGCAATCTAGTACAACCTTACCAAAGTCTTCAACCGAATCGAGTACAATATCACAGAGTTCACTGCAAATATCGAGCACAGAACAATACGAAACCACTCCAGAGGAAAGAAGTACAATTTCGGAATCTCTGCCACAATCAAGTACAACCTTACCAAAGTCTTCAACCGAATCGAGTACAATATCACAGAGTTCACTGCAAATATCGAGCACAGAACAATACGAAACCACACCAGAGGAAAGAAGTACAATTTCGGAATCTCTTCCGCAATCTAGTACAACCTTACCAAAGTCTTCAACCGAATCGAGTACAATATCACAGAGTTCACTGCAAATATCGAGCACAGAACAATACGAAACCACACCAGAGGAAAGAAGTACAATTTCGGAATCTCTGCCACAATCAAGTACAACCTTACCAAAGTCTTCAACAGAACCGAGTACAATATCACAGAGTTCACTGCAAATATCGAGCACAGAACAATACGAAACCACACCAGAGGAAAGAAGTACAATTTCGGAATCTCTTCCGCAATCAAGTACAACCTTACCAAAGTCTTCAACCGAATCGAGTACAATATCACAGAGTTCAGTTCAAATATCGAGCACAGAACAATACGAAACCACTCCAGAGGAAAGAAGTACAATTTCGGAATCTCTGCCACAATCAAGTACAACCTTACCAAAGTCTTCAACAGAACCGAGTACAATATCTCAGAGTTCACTGCAAATATCGAGCACAGAACAATACGAAACCACACCAGAGGAAAGAAGTACAATTTCGGAATCTCTGCCACAATCAAGTACAACCCCACCAAAGTTTTCAAGCCCATCGACTACACTATCACAGTAGTTCATCTGCAAATGTCGAGCACAGAAAAATACGAAACCACTCCAGAGGAAAGAAGTACAATTTCGGAATCTCTGCCACAATCAAGTACAACCTTACCAAAGTCTTCAACAGAACCGAGTACAATATCACAGAGTTCACTGCAAATATCGAGCACAGAACAATACGAAACCACACCAGAGGAAAGAAGTACAATTTCGGAATCTCTTCCGCAATCAAGTACAACCTTACCAAAGTATTCAACCGAATCGAGTACAATATCACAGAGTTCACTGCAAATATCGAGCACAGAACAATACGAAACCACACCAGAGGAAAGAAGTACAATTTCGGAATCTCTGCCACAATCAAGTACAACCTTACCAAAGTCTTCAACAGAACCGAGTACAATATCTCAGAGTTCACTGCAAATATCGAGCACAGAACAATACGAAACCACACCAGAGGAAAGAAGTACAATTTCGGAATCTCTGCCACAATCAAGTACAACCCCACCAAAGTTTTCAAGCCCATCGACTACACTATACAGTAGTTCATCTGAAATGTCGAGCACAGAAAAATACGAAACCACTCCAGAGGAAAGAAGTACAATTTCGGAATCTCTGCCACAATCAAGTACAACCTTACCAAAGTCTTCAACCGAATCGAGTACAATATCACAGAGTTCAGTTCAAATATCGAGCACAGAACAATACGAAACCACACCAGAGGAAAGAAGTACAATTTCGGAATCTCTGCCACAATCTAGTACAACCTTACCAAAGTCTTCAACCGAATCGAGTACAATATCACAGAGTTCACTGCAAATATCGAGCACAGAACAATACGAAACCACACCAGAGGAAAGAAGTACAATTTCGGAATCTCTTCCGCAATCTAGTACAACCTTACCAAAGTCTTCAACCGAATCGAGTACAATATCACAGAGTTCACTGCAAATATCGAGCACAGAACAATACGAAACCACTCCAGAGGAAAGAAGTACAATTTCGGAATCTCTTCCGCAATCTAGTACAACCTTACCAAAGTCTTCAACCGAATCGAGTACAATATCACAGAGTTCACTTCAAATATCGAGCACAGAACAATACGAAACCACACCAGAGGAAAGAAGTACAATTTCGGAATCTCTTCCGCAATCTAGTACAACCTTACCAAAGTCTTCAACCGAATCGAGTACAATATCACAGAGTTCACTGCAAATATCGAGCACAGAACAATACGAAACCACACCAGAGGAAAGAAGTACAATTTCGGAATCTCTTCCGCAATCTAGTACAACCTTACCAAAGTCTTCAACCGAATCGAGTACAATATCACAGAGTTCAGTTCAAATATCGAGCACAGAACAATACGAAACCACTCCAGAGGAAAGAAGTACAATTTCGGAATCTCTTCCGCAATCTAGTACAACCTTACCAAAGTCTTCAACCGAATCGAGTACAATATCACAGAGTTCACTGCAAATATCGAGCACAGAACAATACGAAACCACTCCAGAGGAAAGAAGTACAATTTCGGAATCTCTGCCACAATCAAGTACAACCTTACCAAAGTCTTCAACAGAACCGAGTACAATATCACAGAGTTCACTGCAAATATCGAGCACAGAACAATACGAAACCACACCAGAGGAAAGAAGTACAATTTCGGAATCTCTTCCGCAATCTAGTACAACCCTACCAAAGTCTTCAACCGAATCGAGTACAATATCACAGAGTTCACTTCAAATATCGAGCACAGAACAATACGAAACCACTCCAGAGGAAAGAAGTACAATTTCGGAATCTCTGCCACAATCAAGTACAACCTTACCAAAGTCTTCAACAGAACCGAGTACAATATCTCAGAGTTCACTGCAAATATCGAGCACAGAACATAACAATACGAAACCACACCAGAGGAAAGAAGTACAATTTCGGAATGAATTTTCCGCAATCTAGTACAACCCTACCAAAGTCTTCAACCGAATCGAGTACAATATCACAGAGATCATTTCAAATTTCGAGCACAGAACAATACGAAACCACTCCAGAGGAAAGAAGTACAATTTCGGAATCTCTTCCGCAATCTAGTACAACCTTACCAAAGTCTTCAACCGAATCGAGTACAATATCACAGAGTTCACTGCAAATATCGAGCACAGAACAATACGAAACCACACCAGAGGAAAGAAGTACAATTTCGGAATCTCTTCCGCAATCTAGTACAACCTTACCAAAGTCTTCAACCGAATCGAGTACAATATCACAGAGTTCACTGCAAATATCGAGCACAGAACAATACGAAACCACTCCAGAGGAAAGAAGTACAATTTCGGAATCTCGTCCGCAATCTAGTACAACCTTACCAAAGTCTTCAACCGAATCGAGTACAATATCACAGAGTTCACTGCAAATATCGAGCACAGAACAATACGAAACCACACCAGAGGAAAGAAGTACAATTTCGGAATCTCTTCCGCAATCTAGTACAACCTTACCAAAGTCTTCAACCGAATCGAGTACAATATCACAGAGTTCACTGCAAATATCGAGCACAGAACAATACGAAACCACTCCAGAGGAAAGAAGTACAATTTCGGAATCTCTTCCGCAATCTAGTACAACCTTACCAAAATCTTCAACCGAATCGAGTACAATATCACAGAGTTCAGTTCAAATATCGAGCACAGAACAATACGAAACGACACCAGAGGAAAGAAGTACAATTTCGGAATCTCTTCCGCGATCTAGTACAACCTTACCAAAGTCTTCAACCGAATCAAGTGCAATATCACAGAGTTCATTGCAAATATCGAGCACAGAACAATACAAAACCACACCAGAGGAAAGAAGTACAATTTCGGAATCTCTTCCGCAATCTAGTACAACCCTACCAAAGTCTTCAACCGAATCGAGTACAATATCACAGAGTTCATTTCAAATATCGAGCACAGAACAATACGAAACCACTCCAGAGGAAAGAAGTACAATTTCGGAATCTCTTCCGCAATCTAGTACAACCTTACCAAAGTCTTCAACCGAATCGAGTACAATATCACAGAGTTCACTGCAAATATCGAGCACAGAACAATACGAAACCACTCCAGAGGAAAGAAGTACAATTTCGGAATCTCTGCCACAATCAAGTACAACCTTACCAAAGTCTTCAACAGAACCGAGTACAATATCTCAGAGTTCACTGCAAATATCGAGCACAGAACAATACGAAACCACACCAGAGGAAAGAAGTACAATTTCGGAATCTCTTCCGCAATCTAGTACAACCCTACCAAAGTCTTCAACCGAATCGAGTACAATATCACAGAGTTCACTGCAAATATCGAGCACAGAACAATACGAAACCACACCAGAGGAAAGAAGTACAATTTCGGAATCTCTGCCACAATCAAGTACAACCCCACCAAAGTTTTCAAGCCCATCGACTACACTATACAGTAGTTCATCTGAAATGTCGAGCACAGAAAAATACGAAACCACTCCAGAGGAAAGAAGTACAATTTCGGAATCTCTGCCACAATCAAGTACAACCTTACCAAAGTCTTCAACCGAATCGAGTACAATATCACAGAGTTCACTTCAAATATCGAGCACAGAACAATACGAAACCACACCAGAGGAAAGAAGTACAATTTCGGAATCTCTGCCACAATCTAGTACAACCTTACCAAAGTCTTCAACCGAATCGAGTACAATATCACAGAGTTCACTGCAAATATCGAGCACAGAACAATACGAAACCACACCAGAGGAAAGAAGTACAATTTCGGAATCTCTTCCGCAATCTAGTACAACCTTACCAAAGTCTTCAACCGAATCGAGTACAATATCACAGAGTTCAGTTCAAATATCGAGCACAGAACAATACGAAACCACTCCAGAGGAAAGAAGTACAATTTCGGAATCTCTTCCGCAATCTAGTACAACCTTACCAAAGTCTTCAACCGAATCGAGTACAATATCACAGAGTTCACTGCAAATATCGAGCACAGAACAATACGAAACCACTCCAGAGGAAAGAAGTACAATTTCGGAATCTCTTCCGCAATCTAGTACAACCTTACCAAAGTCTTCAACCGAATCGAGTACAATATCACAGAGTTCACTGCAAATATCGAGCACAGAACAATACGAAACCACTCCAGAGGAAAGAAGTACAATTTCGGAATCTCTTCCGCAATCTAGTACAACCTTACCAAAGTCTTCAACCGAATCGAGTACAATATCACAGAGTTCACTGCAAATATCGAGCACAGAACAATACGAAACCACACCAGAGGAAAGAAGTACAATTTCGGAATCTCTGCCACAATCAAGTACAACCTTACCAAAGTCTTCAACAGAACCGAGTACAATATCTCAGAGTTCACTGCAAATATCGAGCACAGAACAATACGAAACCACTCCAGAGGAAAGAAGTACAATTTCGGAATCTCTGCCACAATCAAGTACAACCTTACCAAAGTCTTCAACAGAACCGAGTACAATATCTCAGAGTTCACTGCAAATATCGAGCACAGAACAATACGAAACCACACCAGAGGAAAGAAGTACAATTTCGGAATCTCTGCCGCAATCTAGTACAACCTTACCAAAGTCTTCAACCGAATCGAGTACAATATCACAGAGTTCACTGCAAATATCGAGCACAGAACAATACGAAACCACACCAGAGGAAAGAAGTACAATTTCGGAATCTCTTCCGCAATCTAGTACAACCCTACCAAAGTCTTCAACCGAATCGAGTACAATATCACAGAGTTCAGTTCAAATATCGAGCACAGAACAATACGAAACCACTCCAGAGGAAAGAAGTACAATTTCGGAATCTCTGCCACAATCAAGTACAACCTTACCAAAGTCTTCAACAGAACCGAGTACAATATCTCAGAGTTCACTGCAAATATCGAGCACAGAACAATACGAAACCACACCAGAGGAAAGAAGTACAATTTCGGAATCTCTGCCACAATCAAGTACAACCCCACCAAAGTTTTCAAGCCCATCGACTACACTATACAGTAGTTCATCTGAAATGTCGAGCACAGAAAAATACGAAACCACTCCAGAGGAAAGAAGTACAATTTCGGAATCTCTGCCACAATCAAGTACAACCTTACCAAAGTCTTCAACAGAACCGAGTACAATATCTCAGAGTTCACTGCAAATATCGAGCACAGAACAATACGAAACCACACCAGAGGAAAGAAGTACAATTTCGGAATCTCTTCCGCAATCTAGTACAACCCTACCAAAGTCTTCAACCGAATCGAGTACAATATCACAGAGATCAGTTCAAATTTCGAGCACAGAACAATACGAAACCACTCCAGAGGAAAGAAGTACAATTTCGGAATCTCTTCCGCGATCTAGTACAACCTTACCAAAGTCTTCAACCGAGTACAGTGCAATTTCGGAATCTCTGCCACAATCTAGTACAACCTTACCAAAGTCTTCAACCGAATCGAGTACAATATCACAGAGTTCACTGCAAATATCGAGCACAGAACAATACGAAACCACACCAGAGGAAAGAAGTACAATTTCGGAATCTCTTCCGCAATCTAGTACAACCCTACCAAAGTCTTCAACCGAATCGAGTACAATATCACAGAGTTCACTGCAAATATCGAGCACAGAACAATACGAAACCACACCAGAGGAAAGAAGTACAATTTCGGAATCTCTTCCGCAATCTAGTACAACCTTACCAAAGTCTTCAACCGAATCGAGTACAATATCACAGAGTTCACTGCAAATATCGAGCACAGAACAATACGAAACCACTCCAGAGGAAAGAAGTACAATTTCGGAATCTCTTCCGCAATCTAGTACAACCTTACCAAAGTCTTCAACCGAATCGAGTACAATATCACAGAGTTCACTTCAAATATCGAGCACAGAACAATACGAAACCACACCAGAGGAAAGAAGTACAATTTCGGAATCTCTTCCGCAATCTAGTACAACCTTACCAAAGTCTTCAACCGAATCGAGTACAATATCACAGAGTTCATTGCAAATATCGAGCTCAGAAAAATACGAAACCACACCAGAGGAAAGAAGTACAATTTCGGAATCTCTTCCGCAATCTAGTACAACCTTACCAAAGTCTTCAACCGAATCGAGTACAATATCACAGAGTTCACTGCAAATATCGAGCACAGAACAATACGAAACCACTCCAGAGGAAAGAAGTACAATTTCGGAATCTCTTCCGCAATCTAGTACAACCTTACCAAAGTCTTCAACCGAATCGAGTACAATATCACAGTAGTTCATCTGAAATGTCGAGCACAGAACAATACGAAACCACTCCAGAGGAAAGAAGTACAATTTCGGAATCTCTGCCACAATCAAGTACAACCTTACCAAAGTCTTCAACAGAACCGAGTACAATATCTCAGAGTTCACTGCAAATATCGAGCACAGAACAATACGAAACCACACCAGAGGAAAGAAGTACAATTTCGGAATCTCTTCCGCAATCTAGTACAACCCTACCAAAGTCTTCAACCGAATCGAGTACAATATCACAGAGATCAGTTCAAATTTCGAGCACAGAACAATACGAAACCACTCCAGAGGAAAGAAGTACAATTTCGGAATCTCTGCCACAATCAAGTACAACCTTACCAAAGTCTTCAACAGAACCGAGTACAATATCTCAGAGTTCACTGCAAATATCGAGCACAGAACAATACGAAACCACACCAGAGGAAAGAAGTACAATTTCGGAATCTCTTCCGCAATCTAGTACAACCTTACCAAAGTCTTCAACCGAATCGAGTACAATATCACAGAGTTCACTGCAAATATCGAGCACAGAACAATACGAAACCACACCAGAGGAAAGAAGTACAATTTCGGAATCTCTGCCACAATCAAGTACAACCTTACCAAAGTCTTCAACAGAACCGAGTACAATATCTCAGAGTTCACTGCAAATATCGAGCACAGAACAATACGAAACCACACCAGAGGAAAGAAGTACAATTTCGGAATCTCTTCCGCAATCTAGTACAACCCTACCAAAGTCTTCAACCGAATCGAGTACAATATCACAGAGTTCACTGCAAATATCGAGCACAGAACAATACGAAACCACACCAGAGGAAAGAAGTACAATTTCGGAATCTCTTCCGCAATCTAGTACAACCTTACCAAAGTCTTCAACCGAATCGAGTACAATATCACAGAGTTCACTGCAAATATCGAGCACAGAACAATACGAAACCACTCCAGAGGAAAGAAGTACAATTTCGGAATCTCTTCCGCAATCTAGTACAACCTTACCAAAGTCTTCAACCGAATCGAGTACAATATCACAGAGTTCACTGCAAATATCGAGCACAGAACAATACGAAACCACTCCAGAGGAAAGAAGTACAATTTCGGAATCTCTTCCGCAATCTAGTACAACCTTACCAAAGTCTTCAACCGAATCGAGTACAATATCACAGAGTTCACTGCAAATATCGAGCACAGAACAATACGAAACCACTCCAGAGGAAAGAAGTACAATTTCGGAATCTCTGCCACAATCAAGTACAACCTTACCAAAGTCTTCAACCGAATCGAGTACAATATCACAGAGTTCACTGCAAATATCGAGCACAGAACAATACGAAACCACACCAGAGGAAAGAAGTACAATTTCGGAATCTCTTCCGCAATCTAGTACAACCTTACCAAAGTCTTCAACCGAATCGAGTACAATATCACAGAGTTCACTGCAAATATCGAGCACAGAACAATACGAAACCACTCCAGAGGAAAGAAGTACAATTTCGGAATCTCTTCCGCAATCAAGTACAACCTTACCAAAGTCTTCAACCGAATCGAGTACAATATCACAGAGTTCACTGCAAATATCGAGCACAGAACAATACGAAACCACACCAGAGGAAAGAAGTACAATTTCGGAATCTCTGCCACAATCAAGTACAACCCCACCAAAGTTTTTAAGCCCATCGACTACACTATACAGTAGTTCATCTAAAATGTCGAGCACAGAACAATACGAAACCACACCAGAGGAAAGAAGTACAATTTCGGAATCTCTTATGCAATTTATTACAACCTTACAAGAGTCTTCAACCGAATCGAGTACAATATCACAGAGTTCAGTTCAAATATCGAGCACAGAACAATACGAAACCACACCAGAGGAAAGAAGTACAATTTCGGAATCTCTTCCGCAATCTAGTACAACCTTACCAAAGTCTTCAACCGAATCGAGTACAATATCACAGAGTTCACTGCAAATATCGAGCACAGAACAATACGAAACCACACCAGAGGAAAGAAGTACAATTTCGGAATCTCTTCCGCAATCTAGTACAACCATACCAAAGTCTTCAACCGAATCGAGTACAATATCACAGAGTTCAGTTCAAATATCGAGCACAGAACAATACGAAACCACTCCAGAGGAAAGAAGTACAATTTCGGAATCTCTCTTAAGTACAACCTTACCAAAGCCTTCAAGCCATTCGGCAACACTATCCAGTAAATCATCTGAAATGTCGAGAACAGAAAAATACGAAACCATTCCAGAGGAAAGAACTACAATTACAAAATCCTTTCCGCAATCGAGTACAACCTTACCAAAGTCTTCAACCGAATCGAGTACAATATCACAGAGTTCAGTTAAAATATCGAGCAAAGAACAATACGAAACTACACTAGAGGAAAGAAGTACAATTTCGGAATCTCTTCCGCAATCAAGTACAACCTTACCAAAATCTTCAACCGAATCGAGTACAATATCACAGAGTTCAGATCAAATATCGAGCATAAAACAATACGAAACCACACCAGAGGAAAGAAGTACAATTTCGGAATCTCTTCCGCAATCTAGTACAACCTTACCAAAATCTCCAACCGAATCGAGTACAATATCACAGAGTTCACTGCAAATATCGAGCTCAGAACAATACGAAACCACTCCACAAGAAAAAAGTACAATTTCGGAATCTCTGCCACAATCAAGTACAACCTTACCAAAGCCTTCAAGCCATTCGGCTACACTATCCAGTAAATCTTCTGAAATGTCGAAAACAGAAAAATACGAAACCATTCCAGAGGAAAGAACTACAATTACAAAATCCTTTCCGCAATCGAGTACAACCTTACCAAAGTCTTCAACCGAATCGAGTACAATATCACAGAGTTCAGTTAAAATATCGAGCACAGAAAAATACGAAACCACACCAGAGGAAAGAACTATAATTTCGGAATCTCTTCCGCAATCTAGTACAACCTTACCAATGCCTTCAACCGAATCGAGTACAATATCACATAGTTCAGTTCAAATATCGAGCACAGCACAATACAAAACCACTCCTCAAGAAAAAAGTACAATTTCGGAATCTCTGTCACAATCAAGTACAACCTTACCAAAGCCTTCAAGCCATTCGACTACACTATTCAGTAGTTCATCTGAAATGTCGAGAACAGAAAAATACGAAACCAATCCAGAGGAAAGAACTGCAATTTTGGAATCTTTTCCGCAATCAAGTACAACCTTACCAAAGTCTTCAACCGAATCACAGAGTTCAGCGCAAGAATCGAGCACAGAACGATACGAAACCACTCAAGAAGAAAGAAGTACAATTTCGGAATCTTTTCCGCGATCAAGTGCAACATTACCGAAGTTTTTAACCCAATCGAGTACAACATCACAGAGTTCACTTCAAATATCGAGCACAGAAAAATACAAAACCACTCCAGAGGAAATAACTTTAATTTCGGAATCTCCTCTGCAATCACAAGCAACCTTACCGAAGTCTTCAAGCCAATCCAGAACGATATTACAGAGTTCCCTTCACAGATCGAGCACAGAAAAATACAAAACCACTCCAGAGGAAAGAACTACAATTACGGAATCTCATCCACAATCAGGTACATCACTACCAAAGACTTCAACCCAATCGAGTACAATTTCACAGAGCTCACATCAAATATCGAGCACAGAAAAATACAAAACCACTCCAGAGGAAAGAACTACAATTACGGAATCTCATCCGAAATCAAGTACAACACTACCAAAGACTTCAACCCAATCGAGTACAATATCACAGAGCTCACATCAAATAACGAGCCCAGAAATATCCGAAACCACTCCAAAGGAGAAATCAACAATTGTGGAATCTCTTCCACAATTAAGGACAACGTTACCAAATTCTTTAAGCCCTTCAAATACATTACCCAGTAGTTCATCTCAAATTTCGATCACAGAAAAGTTCGAAACCACTCAAGAGGAAAAAATTACAATTTCGGAATCTTTTCCGCAATCAAGTACAACCGTACCTAAGTCTTCAACCCAATCGACACCAATATCCAGTAAATTTTCGGAGTCCCTACCGCAATCAAGTAAAAACGTATCAAAATCTTTACCTTCATCAAGTGCATATTTCAGTACCTCATCTCCCATTTCGAGTACAGAAAAATGCGAGATATGTTCAGAAGAAGAATCTATTTCGAGTACAGAAAAATGCCAAATGTGTACAGAAGAGGAATCTAAATTAATGGAATCAAGTACGAAGTCACCAAAATCTCTAACTGAATCGAGTACAATAACCAGTAGTTCATTTCACATTTCGAGTACACAAAAATTGAATAAAACTCCACAGGAGAAAACAACATTTTCGAAATCTCTACCTCGATTTAGTACGAAGTCTGCTAGCTCCATTACAGCACAATCGAGCGCTGTACAATATCCTACAACTCAAGAAAACCTAAGCGGACTATCGGAATTTATACCTGCGTCGAGTAGTTCATGGCAAATCTTGAGTACGGAAATAGATAATAAAGCTTCAGATGAAATGGAAAAGTCGTTAACATCTCTCATATTAAATCAAGTAACTCAGTCACGAATTCTTAGCTTACCTTCGACATCCAATATAGCCAACCCAACACAAACGGAAACGGAAACTTTCACAATTCCAATTGCTAGCGAAACAAATGTTATTTTATCTGAACAATCTGAGTCAATGAATATAATCTCAGAGCTCAGAGACACAACCCCGATTTATTCAACTATTGAAGGTTCAGAAGCTATACTACAAAAATCGTCCGTACCCCCAACAACATATAAAACAGCAAGATCTGACCAATCTCAAACTGAAAAACACCTCAGACATACTTTCGGTTCTTCATCAAGTACAAATGGCAAATCATCGAAAAGTGGATCCATTATTTCTAGAGTTTCTAGTCATAAAGAAAGAACTAAATCTATGGGTACAAGTAAAAGAACTTCAAAGTTATTCACCACTGGCACTAATAAAACAACAATCTCGAGATGGCCAAGCACCGAACAGCCACCGAATGAGCTATCAACAGGCCCTGAAACCACTGAAGAACCGCTTTGTTTGTGTACATGCGTTATTGATCCCGATGAGGATATCTGCTCTTGTACTTGTGTAATTACGAAGCCCACAGATAGTACGGTGAAAACTAAGAAGGTAACTATTATTTATAATTTTGTAGTATTTTTTTTAAATTTATTTTGTATTTTTTTTTATTTAGGAACTTACTTGGAATGATTCTTTTACCGAACCCTATACCATCGCCTTACCTTCTAAACCATTTACAAATAAAACAGACGCATTATCAAGGAAGAGCACCAAATCAAATTTTACTAACAAAAGCACAAATACGATAGTTTTGTTGCATTCAAATAGTAATGATAAATCAAAAGGACTAACTTTACCGAATTCAAATATTGGTTCAACTTACGGTTTGAGCCGTTCGACAAGTTCTCAGGTAATATCTTTCAACACTTTATTAGCCCATAATGTTTTATATGTTTTTTTTGTATGTTTAGCCTTTAGATGCGGCTGTGCGAAGTGATTTCAGAAAAAGACTTGAAGACATACAAAAGAAGTATACGATTGGGAATAACCATTCATTAAATAATTCAGAATTTGATGAAAAATTCAAGAAGGTGAATGCGACCTTAAATATGGTTGAACGGCGAACTTATGTTAAAGCAAACGTTTACTCAAATTTTACATTCTATGACAAGACACGAATTGAGCTGGAAAGCTTAATTTTTTTTAAACTGAACAAGATATTGAAAAATGTTAACGAAACGAATGCGACGCCAGCGTGTATCGAACATTATAAAAAGATGGCCAAAGATCTAATCTCAGGATTGGTTAGGTCGAATGCTGAAAAATGGAATATAATCAAAAGAAATCATCTCACATGCCATGTATCTCAAAATCAGAATACTTCAATCAGTCTACCACCATTTGCAGTCACAGATGAAGCCACAGATCAAGGGATTGAAACGCAGACTAAATTGGGAGGATTGGCATTACATTATTGTAATGAAGCGACATTCAATTCAATAGTTGATAAAAATTCATCTTCAAATTCGAGTCATGAAGTGGTGCGTGAAGTTGCAAACTTAAAAAAAAAGTCTCAAACTTCTTTAAGTCGAGATTCATAAACTCTTTATCAAAGCGAAACATTGAATTAATATTTCAGAGGTTTTTTCAAATGAGTGACTAGTGAAATGCTATTTTAACTCTAAGGGCTTGCATTTTTTTTTAATACAAAAATTTGATTACAGTCGAACTTCCATAACTCGAACCGCCAACTGCCAACAGATAACCTAACTTTTTTGTTAATATTTTTATATATTTTTCATTTAGCTTAGGATTCAAAACGGGACCAAAACATCGAAATAATCATAGATTCCATGAGCTGAAAATAATAACAAATAATATTGAATTAAATTAGTCTGAACGGTTGGTATGTCAGCAAAGAAAATATATTTTGTTTTGTTATATAATTTTAGGAATAATTTTGTAATTTTAGGAAAGCCACGTGAGGACATCATGTTGCAGGAAAAAGTTTGAGTTATGGAAGTTCGACTTATGGAGACAAATTGGTATGAAATAAACTCGCTAAAGTCATGATAATTTCGAGTTAGGGAAGTTTGAGATATGGAAGTTCGACTGTATTTTTGATTGTTTAGCATTTTCGTCCTACAAATAATAATAGTTTATCAGTTCAAGTACTTAACTTAAGTATTTATAAAATACAAAACCATTAAGATTTTTTTGTGGCTCAAGAATCAAAAAGTATTTCAACTCAAAGTCGGAGTAAATATTGGGTTAGCTTATATACTTTTTTATATAAAAACATTTTTCTGTCCCTTCCTGCTTTGTTTATCCCTTTTTTAGATATCTTACTCATCTCGGGATCCCTGTACTTTAATACTCAAGAAAATTCTACAAGTTCACCAGAAGAGCAATCATAGTTCTGAGTTAGAGAACATCATCTCTAAAATAAGCGTGGCAGTTATACAGGACCGGGAGAACAACAAAAAAGCATTATTGCTAAGGGAGTACTTGGAGTATGAGAAATTGCGTAAATATCTCGATCATATTTTGGGGGGCAAGATTGACGAATGCGATATGCGACTCGCGGTAGTTAAGAGTAGAAAATGTTGGAACTACTACACTAGACTGAAAGTTATGTTTATCAAAGCAATGCAAGAATCGAATGCTAAGAAACAGAATTTAATTGGAAATATATCAATGGTGTGCAGTGAAAACGGAGTGTGAAATATGAAATGTGAAACAAATAAAATGGCAAATTACAAAAAAAATAACAAAATGCTAATTGTTTATTTTATTCATAATTAGGGGTTCTTTTAAATGGTATAGTTGAAATGGGAAACCTAGGTCTATATTATAGAAACTATATGTGTAAGCTTTCATTAAAATAACCATAAATTTTTAATGCTTTTTGAACTATCAACAGCGTTTATCGATTGCCAATTATTAAATATAGATTGCCACTTCATTGGTTTCTTAATCTATTTCAGCTGTAATCGGTAATTTGGTTCCATAATCTAACAATAAATAACTTTATCAAAGTGAATACATGATGATGGCATTAGGCTCATTAGGTGCTACTGTCTGGATCGGCAGATGATATCTGCGATTGTCTGGGATCCTTGCCATCGAATGCGAAGAAACAAGTGGTGGATGCATTGCCACCACCACCAGCAGTAGTTAAATTTCGCTTTTGAGGTAGCTTTCCCATCTGCATTAGAAGTTCATCGATCCGTTCCGTTTTGATTTTTATAATACTCTCCATGTGGGCCAATCGCTGTTGATAGGCGTCGATGATAACGTCCTTCGCCTGACTGTCACGTGCCATTTTCTCGTACAGCGAGTATAGAATCATTTTCTGTGGCACCTGAACGATGCCATCGCCAACTTGCTTGTTAACCACAACAGTTTTCACCTCATCATTCTCCTTCCACGTCTGTTCCTGCCGCATGGCCGCATTTCGCTCCTGAGCCACGCGTTGTCGCTTCTCCAATCGAATCACCTCGTGCAAAAGCACTTCAGCCGCCCCGCTAACACCGTTCGCCATTTGCTCCATAAAATCCCTGCTCAGGGTCATATTGAACTTGGACAGCACCTTGAAGTTGAATGTCTCCCAATTGGCCAGCTTCAGCTGCACACTGCTCTTCTTCGGATAGTTATAAAGATCGACGAGGCGTGGGTAGTCGCGTTTGAAGATTTCGGCCAGTGGCAAAACATCGGAGAATTCGCGACGTAACCTATGAGTACTAATACTATTTTGCATCATCCATTTGCTTACTTCCTCCAACTCTTCGGTGCTTAGATTCTTGCCACTCACGGTATGCATGGTCTCCTTGGAAAATATGATGAGAATGATATCTTAAATAACAAAATTTGAATGTTGTGTGGCAAATACACATTGAAATATATCCGACGTGTGTGTTGGTTTGCGTACAAATCGGCTAAATAAATATATACTACTACCCATAAGTGCAAAATCAAAGCTTCCTTTGCTTGAGAATAGATGGCGTACGTAGCTATGTATATAAGGCGTATTTAATGGATTTCTATTTCATTGTAATTATTTTGTTGTTATTGTTGTTGTTTTGTTATTATTTATTATTTTGTTATTTTTGTATTATTTTATTTCATACATTTTAAATTTATAAGGAATTCTGATTTTAATAACATTTGGCTTCTTTATGGCACATTTTTCGATATTACCAAGGACACGAACCCGACTTTCCATCGTATTACAAATTTAGAACACATTTCGTTCATTATACAGGGAATATTTTTGTGTAACCAATCTTTTCTCGACTTTTGTAGTATATTATTTTATCTACAAATTTAGATCACTATTCATGCACAAGTATAACACTCTGTTATTCTAGTAAATTTATAACAATCCAACTATGACCAACGGTCCGATATACTTGTTCATAAGTATTGATCTAAATTTGTAGATTTTTTCGTACATCTTTTTACATTTTTTTACAAATATATTTTTAGATATATTTTTCTACATGTCAGCTTAACTATAGTAATTACTTATTTGCTAATTACAATTTTTAGCCTTAAACAATGAATGTTATTAAGATTATAAACAGAATTTAAAAAACAATACTCTTTTTAAAATGAAACGTTAATTTTGTTAATAGTTGGACTACAATTTAAGACAAATATGTTATTATGCCTTTTATAAATTTATACGAATCTTCAGGAAACTCGTTATTAACTAAATAACAAATTATTATATTAAATTATATTATATTTAATTGTAAATGTAATAAATAAACTTTGTGTAGATTTGTCACTTCAAAGTATCCCTTCCGGAAATATTTTTCACAGTATAAGGAAATCCCAGGAAAAGCTTTGGGACAGAGGCACACTTCCCCAGCTAGGGGGATGTCCTGAGCTCCAGTGGTGAGTATCCCGAAAGGACTCCGTGTGAATCCACCCATCGAGTGACTCACTCAAAGGGAACTGAGTGTGCAGACAAGCTTTCACTCGGCTACCTTCTCAGCTTTTCGTTTGGATGCTTGGAATGGAGTCCAAAGTTTTTGCCAACGACAGTTCATTACGGTTTTCAAGGATAAGCGATACCTACGTGCTCGCCGGATAGAGCGCATGAATAAATCGCATCGCACCCATCTGCGTATTTCTCAACATCTTAAAGTGGAATAATCCTCGTACATTATTTTTTTGTGTGTGTCTAACAATGTGTTTATAAAAAATTCACCAGAACTGTTTGATGCCTGGGATTGAGTAATATATTTTTTTAAATATTTTTTTTTGTTCCTTGCAAAACCGAATGCAAAGGTGCCAAAGTGTTTGTTTAAATGTGCCATGTGCTAACTAATCAAGTGATTTTCTAATCGCTGCAATTTCCAACTCCTGCGACCTTGAATGGTAGTCAAAACAACACAACATCGCTGCACATGGTAAGACAAATATTTACATTTTTTAAAAACTATTATCTGAGTAGGAACCAATCGAAGTAACTAACAAGAATAATAGTAGTAAAAATTAAGTACTCGAGTATCCCAGCTTTCTTTCTGATTTCAACCATAAACAATGCCCCGTAGGCAAGAAAGATAATCGTTTTGCCAAAAATATATCACTTCTCCCTGTGCGTATAGGCAGCAAGCTGAAATTAAGAGAGAGATGAGATGACAAACTTAAAATGAAACATGAAATAACGCTGTAGGGCTACTCACTGACCTGCTACAAAAAATATTGCCTATAAAAATGGCGCTAGAGAGCCTTTTTTTTGAACGAATAGCATGATTGGATAGATAGATTTCTTTTTTAGCGCCTAATATCATTCATTGTGTTTTTGAAGTTCAAGATAAACATGTTGTTATTAAATTAATTACTTAATTCTATTTTAACCATAGATTATTGGCTTTAAAATACTCTAAAGCTACAATTTGTGAAATGTATCCCTTTCCAAGAGAATTTAAATTCAAGTTAAGCCAGGTAATTTGCAGAGGGCAAATAAAAAGAGGGTTTAGTTTTCACGGCCAACAGTTCAAAAGCCGAGAATTATTCATACTTCATACTAAATACGGGTCATGACGCACGGGACATTTTTTCATTATTATATTTATGCAGTTTTTTATGCCTTTAGGCAAAACTTAATAGTTTCTTTCTTTCATTTATTTGAATAGTTGTGTCCCAGGGGCTGATCAAAAATTTGTGTAGGGGGGTGGGGAGAAACGTCTGCTTCAATTCTGAGCAAAATAAAAATTGCATCTGCAAAGGTGTAAATGTAGGTCAACAAATTTACCAAAACTTTAATCGAAAATTTGAATATAGATTAGTAATAAACAGTAATTCTCTTTTCTTTTCTAAAGTCCCTGGGAAACATAAGAATAATATACGTTAGATTTTAAAGACAAAAACTGGTTCACTTAAACCACAAATTTATAGCCTGTCTTATGATAGCCAAAAAAGAAGTTGTCTACTAAAATTTAATATTGAATTATTAATTATTATGCATTTTATTACAAAATTAAATAGTAAACTTTCAGGGCCGCTTTCTCGACCGCATGCTAAAATTAAAGTAGGCTTCAAATTCTGTATTCCCATGCGATTTCAAGGCGTGCTTTAAATTTAACACTCACTTTAACACGAAGTAAGGATAGAACTGCCAACTTGGGTATTCTTTCTTTAAGGGCCGTTTTCACGTCCATTTGTTAAATTTAAAGTAGGGTTAAAACCTTAAAATCGTATGGGAAATCAGAGTTTTAACCCTACTTTAAATTTACTAGGCGGATGAGAAAACGACCCTAAGCCTGTATAAATAAAAGTAATTTGATATTTAACAATATTTCTTCTCACAAAAATGATATTTTTTATTTCAGTTTAAATCTAAATGTTAAAGAAAAAAGGGAAAAATTTGATCGGCTATCGACAAGATTCAGTGCCAGAAAGCAGCTGAGTTTTTCGCGAAACTAAGATGAAGGTTACTGATTTCTCTCGAGCACATTCCGTAAGTCACGTCGCCCCGTGCAAAGGATGAGGCTTTCAAAAGGATATAGGACATTATCACCAGCATCGAACGCTGCCCAGACATTGCCACTCTCCTACAAATCACAAACCAGTCTGAGCCTCCTTCGGCTGCTCGCAATTGTCTTGGTGCTTGGACCGCAAGTTCATGTTCTATGTAAGTGTTTAAAAAAGTACTTTCTAAAATTTAATCAAAAAAAATATATAAATTAATTGCATAGGGTTTCTGGTTTAAAAACGATGACTTTTTCATGACTTTTTTTTAATTTCAAACGATATTTTAAAGTTATATGATTTGGTGCACTATAGCTACTTTGGTAATTAAAAAACAAATTCCCAAAATATCAAAACACTTCCTGATATTACAATTTTTGCAGAAACACCAAAAATAAATAAAAATGTTGATTATATTAATCAAGACAACATAAACTCATTTAAAAAAATTAAAATAAATTAAATGTTATTATGATAAAAACCTTAAAAACCACTTTTGACATTTGGATCTAAAACTATTTTTCATATAAAAGAATTTTTAATCTTTAATCTGCTCGGAATTCAGTTAAAAAGCATTTTTTGTTTTTTATAATCTAAATAACGTATGGCAATGCAGGCTCAGCATCCGTCGAACCAAAAACCCCCTCGACAAGTACACAACCCAGAATCGGCGAGAATCGTACTTTACTTTTTGATGACTATAATAAAAATAAGACGATATTATCAACTGCTGACTACCAGTCAGCCACAAGAGCCACCCTTTACGCATATTCATCGCAGGACCAGGACCAGGATCAGTACCAGTCCCAAATGCCAAGCGCCATTCCCACAAAAATGAGCAGGGATAAAGCAATCATTGGGGGGACACCGGGCAGCGGTGTGGAGATTAGCGATAGCCATCCAATCAAAAATGTTGGTACAACTGATCAGCTAACGACAGTTACGATGCCGACAACAGCGTTTGAGTCCCTGAAAACCGATAAGAGTACGATAAAACAGCCAATCGATTCCACCCGCACGAGAAATCATTGGACAGCGAGTGGTAAGTATGGATCTGGAATGAAAAGTTTGAAATTAAAGTAGGGACCCAAATATTTCGTTCAATACAAAACAAAAAAAAATATATATATATTTGGAAGATCGAATATATCGATAAACTAAATACATTATTATTTTGATTTTACCTTTAAAAATAGATCAACTTATTTAAAAAAGTTTATAAAGTATAGACCGAGTTATGGCGTTTAAAACAATATCGAAAATATCGTTTTGTACCACAACATATCGATAGACTCAAAACATAATTTATATTATTATTATTTTAGTATTAAAAGTAGATATTTTGAATGTACACTCAAATTTTGTTTCTAAAATATAGAAATCTCGCTTTTAAATCTTTATCGGAAAAAGACAAAAAAATGTATTGTTTTTATAAAATTTGTCTAGAAGTTTTCTATATTTAAAGGGGATTTTACTAAGAACAAGAACATTTTGTTGGCAATTTCCAAATGCTAACAATTCAAGGGCAAAATTCCCAAATTTTAGAAAGAAATTTTTTGAGTGTATTTATCACACAAATATTGTTGTAATATCAATTTACAATCATAAATATAAAAAAAATCCCAAAAAATGGCTTAAATCGTTTTTGTTTTTTGTAATCCTGACAGGATTCGCCCGTGTCACAGAACGACCACGAAGTAAGCACCACCATGAGCACCACTGGGGACCCTTTTTTGAGGAGCCCATAAACTCGCCAACTTCGGGAGACAATCTCGTGTCCGCCGTGCATTTGTTCACGGAGGCTGTGCTCAACTGTCGTGTCGGTATGCTCAAGGACAAAACCGTAAGTGAACTTCACTTTCAAAACATTATACTATGGTTAGGTTTAATTGCTATCAGAATCCCACTTAAAACACCCAAAAAATTCAATTTTTTCTCTGCAAAAGAAAAAATAAGAGGATAAGGATTTTAGCTATTCGTTACTATGTGAAATACCATACTTGTTGACGAACATTCTTAATCGGCATCGCCAGAATTTTTATTATAAATATTATTTGTTATTATAATAACTAAAATGTTATTTTTTAATAATATTTTACAATAATGTAATCCAATTTATGAGCAATAAAATAAATATTACACAAAATAGAAAAATATTTTATATGTATTGACACTTTAATTTTGATTTTAAAGTTATATATAAGGTCTGTCATTAAAACTACACGATACATAATAAATTTTTTTTTTTTAATTGTTGTTAAAGTTGTGTTGCTAATAGGTAGAGAATAATTTAAGTACAGATTGGAAATGAAAACTTATTTTTATTGTGTTTTTAATCAACTCCACAAATCTTTCCAAGCCTCGAACCATATTATTATAATATAACATTACCATCCATTCTTAAAAAGTTACTTTTTCTCAATAATTCTGTGTTCAAATTATTATTATTATTCAAATTTAGCAATAGTTAAACAATACAAATTTACAGTGTCGTTTAGTTTGGATGCAGGCCTTATAAGTAACATTAAAATCAAAATAATGTGTCAGAATACAAGCAAAATATTTTCTTTTTTTGTGGCGGAATAATTGGATTTTAGAAAATATTAAAATCAAAATAAATTTTCGTTTACCTCGGCTAAACAACATATGCATGTATGCTTTTAAAACCTTTTTTTAAAGCTTTATTTAAATTTCGTCATCCTTGTTTATTTTTTTTGCCTTTTTTATGTTTTCATCTATTTCCCAACCGACGATCAAACGCACACACGCATACAAACATATTTTCGCTGCGATGCATGCAAACGTGTGTATGTATTTCCAAACACTTGCCATTGGAAACTCCGATTTTAGTTATTTAAACGCAATAAATTGAATTAAAATCACTATACGAACTTGAAAACACTTATTATCTATACTTTTAACTAATTTGTAGTACCTTTTAGATCCGAAAAACACTCAAAATTGATTAAATATGAATATCAATTTTCCGCCGCCGTACAGCCGCGTCTGTTTTCGCGAAGAAGGAAAAACGAAATGAGAAAGAGAGAGCTTTCGGCAACTGAAGAGCGAAACGGTAAACCGTTTTTCTTTTCCGCCATTTTCTTATGATCCTCTCTCGGTTTTTTCTACGGATTGCATTTAGGGAAAAAAAAGAGTCTACTTTTTCGTCAATTTTTGTGTTTGTGATCCTCTCTTCCGTTTTTGTTTTATCGATGAGGCGCTTTATTTTGTGTCCCAATAAGACCTAAAAGTTCAAACAGTGGTAAATGAATTAACTTTTATATTCTTGTGCAAAAAATTGAAAATACTAAAAAAACGAATTAAATAATAATTATTGTTGATGAGTAGAAAACAATTAAAAATCATTAATAACGATTACGTGTGGTTTTTATTTTATAAAACTCAAAACAAAACGTTTGCAGCCATTAGGAATAATTATAAGATTTAAATTGGTTCTTGTTTGTTTAGCCAAGTAATTTTAATATAAAAATATACAATGAAACAATGACGTGGCCAAATGCACATTACACATTAAAATTCATTAAAAATATTTAATTCAACATATAAATACTTAATTATGGGACATACCTGGAGAGGATCTCGATGCACTGCGTCTTGGAGTCCAGTTCCATCTAGATGGCATCCCAATATATGACAGTCACCAACACCCACACAAACTTCCGGTCAACTGATTTATCGGCGACCATAGCTCCTAGGTCATAAATTTCTAGCTAGAAGCAGTTGGGAATTATAAGTACCCACTGCGGAGATCACTTTTCAATTGTCATTATCGATGACGTGGCACATTATAAATTTCATTAAAAATATTAATTCAATAAATATGGATGACGTGGCCCATTGTAAATTTCATTAATTGCGGAGATTACGTGGCCCATTGTACATTTTATTACATTTACTTATACATTAGCTTAACATTATCAAGAATTTTCTAAGATAAAATTTAAATTTTAACCTGTGAGAAAAATTTGGAATATGTCAAAATTTAGCAATTCCGTATTTTCAGGTCATGTGGGTCAGGCGAACGGCCGAAAAGGTATCACTCCTGACTGTTGGCAACGTGACCTACAGTGGAGACCCGAGGATTCGGGTGAAGTTCCAGTACCCGAACAACTGGCGATTACTTATCAACCCAACGCAGACTGAAGATGCCGGAGTTTACATGTGCCAGGTTTCCACCCATCCACCCCGGGTATTCACCACAAACCTCACCATCTTGGGTAGGATTCAAAGATTCACAAGAAAAAAATTTTTTTTAATAAATTTTTTGATTATTTTTTTTCAGAACCGCCTCTAAGGATAATTGATGAGCACGAGCGGGATGTCGGGGATCGTTATTATAAGTCAGGCAGCACCGTCGATCTGCAATGCCAAATATCTCGTAGCTTTTTCCAAAAGGAACGTCAAGCCATTCTTAAATCATCAACGGATTCTGCAAATGATGCTGTACAAAAACTGTTTAATGAGACAAATAGTGAGCTTAATTTAATCAACGGCAACTCAAGTCAGTTGCCGCCGCATAAATTCTCTGGCCAGGATCTGGAAAAGTACTTTACCAAGTTTATAACCTGGGCAAAAGATGAAGAGCCACTCCAAGGGATGACCAATAAACGCTTAAGGTACCTCGGTTTAAACGATGAATCGGTTGAAATGAATTTTTTTAGAATTAGAATAATCATAGCCCCTTTTAAAAGTATTCTTTCTGAATTTACATGTAATAGGTACTGGGTACAAACGATGCATCGGCTGGATTGTATATATTTTAGAATTAGAAAAACTAAAACCCCATTTAAAAGTACTGGTTCTAAACGATGCATCGTCTGCACTGCTTTTTTTTTAGAAACCCCTTCATAATCCCTTCTTAAAGTATTCCTACTGAACCTATATATGTTGTTATATTTTATTTATTTTAAACTTGCAGTGTTTCCGACGTATGGCTAACCAGTCGTATCTCCATTGGGGATGCCAAACTCTCCGATAGTGGAAACTATTCCTGTTCTCTTGGCCGACTCTTCACCGTAATTGTCCAAGTTCAAGTGCTCACAGGTAAGCCATTTATTTCACTTTTAATCATATGGTCTACATATATTTAAAATCTTTGTAGGGGAACTACCCGCAGCTGTCCAGCACAATATAGCATCAAGGCCCCAAATCTGCTCCCTGGCACTATTGGGACTTCTCATCAAACTCATTTTCCTCTTCACTTGCCTAAAAACTGATGAAAGTCGAATATTCTGAGGCATATTAATCTGACGATTTTCACAAACAATTAACCAATATAATATTAAGGATAAAGAAAAAGAAATTGGCTGGTTCTAAACAGAAGGTTTTAGTTTTAATGTTTAGAATCAGAATGGTGATTTCATTACATATTTGTGTTATAGTGCCTACGGTGTAATAAGACTTCAGGTTTTGGTTTTGACAAATATTCTTAAAATTTTGTTAAAATTGAAATTCGGTAATTGGAATTAATTAGGCAACAAGTACGGAAACAATAACATTCCAAATTCTAATGAAAAAACCGATTTAAAACGGTTTAAAAAAATTCAAATGTCAAACTTTTGTTCTAGTTAATTTAGTAATCTCTTAAAGAGTTAAGGAACTGGCAAGGAAATGTTTAATTTACCTTTCTGCGACGACTTAAAGCTGATGAAAATTAGTATATTTATGATTATTTTATTCCTTCAACCACTTTTGCAGGCAAATCAAATGTATCATACGCTATTTTTTGTGTTTTGTACCACTAGTTCACAGGATAACAAGTTTTTTCAAGAAAACAACAACGATCTGATTAAAACCTTATGCGGTATACTACTTTTTCATCACCTAGATTGCTGTTTCTATTTCGGGGCGGGGGTGGAGCTTGAAAAAGTATCGACATTTCGATATTTTATGTTTATCGGTAACATCAATATTTTTCCAACGTTTTATTTATTATCAATCCTGTCTCCCATATCATTTTCCAATAACCAGTTATAAACAGTTTCATAATTGCTTTATTTTATAAAAACAAAATTGGTTTTGTTAAATTCAAAGGTCGTAGGTTGATACAGACGTAGGGCTTGTAAAAATGTTTCTGGTATAGCAATTTTCACTTTGACCTTAATTATACTTAAAAAAAAAATAAAAATGATTGCATATTTAGCTGGCATTATTTACAATAACTATTCAACAGGAAAGGGGGCAAAGTTACGTTCTCGTTGATTTCACAGCAAATTCGATCGGGCGTTGCTAGGCTTCAACTTCTTAGATCGCGAAAAAAAAATAGGTAAAACGGTAACGCCCGGTGCTTAATTATTGTGAGGGCGAGAACTCAGTTGGCGCAAGGACACGGCAGTGCATCTCTCGGATTAATGGCACCGTGTAGGCCACACACTCGTCCCATCCGGGTGTTCGCCAGGATGCTTCCCTGGTCTCCTTACGGTCTTGTAGGGATTTGTAACCTGTTTAAGATAAATAACATTTATTAATAAATATTAATTAATTAATAACATAAAAATTGTGCTCTATTCCACGGATTCACATATTAAAGATAAAATTGTTCTCAAAAAGGCCAAATTAAATTTAATGTTAAACAACAACATAAACAAAATAGTACACTAAATTAATATGAAATGGTTTCTCATCGAATTTGACTAAAGATAAAATTGTTCACAAAAATTCAAAACTAGATTGAGTCTTTAAACAAAATAATTTTTAAAATTTTTTCTTAAATTCGAATGCTATGAATATTAGCTTCTTATATTTTGACAATATCTATTTGATTATATCGATGTTTTAAAAGGAAAACTCATTTTAGGTATCGACAAATAGTTTTTCAAGCTCTAATCAGTATACGTTATACTTACACCAAATGTGATGAACATTGTACAGTCTTCCGATCTGAGAGAAGAATCCGGCGAATGCCTCGTTGTTGTGCTTGCGATAGTTGATGGCACGGGCCCAGTTGTTGCCCCACTCGATCATGGTGCCAGGGGTCAGTCGGTATGAGCTGGGGATTAATAATAAATTTTCAATAAATAATAAGTGAGAAATTTCACAAGAAGAATTCACATTTACTTACCGCATTTCGTAAATGTTCTTGCCGGTACGACTGGCAATCTGCGGCCAGTAGCTGAAGGCCAAGAGATATTGCAGATGACGGGATCGCAGGAACTTGGAGCGTTCTTGCATCAAGCTTAGATACTCCGGGTCGTTCCAAAGGTCCTCCTTGGCCTGGTCGATTTTCTCAAATCCTCCCGTGTACTTCCAGAGGTGCAGGCACTGATCCATGTCGCCCACCTGAACGGTCCATGATGCCACCAACTCGGTCGAAAGATTCGCCTTCTTTTCGTTTATCAATGCCACAGTATTTTTGCTATATCAAAAGGTAAGATGATAAATTGCATTTGTGATAAGGATTTAAAATTATTCTGGTCAAGCTTGAAAAATATCGACAGTTTGCTATTTCTCGATATTTAATTTGTGTTTTCTCTTCAAAACATCGATATTATCGATCGATATTGTCACAATATCGAAAATATCGATATTTTTAAAGTTTTCATTCCTGGTGGTATTTAATTTTTGATAGCTTTTTTGGAATTTTTTTTTTTAACTCACTAGTTGTTTAAATAGTTGCCCATGGAATCGGGCCTGACATTGTGCGTATGTAGGGCATATATGATCTCCTTATCGCTGAGCATACGACTGTGCGACTCCTTGGTTGGCTCTATTTTCCGAACGAGCAACTTTGAGAACCATGATTCCGAATCGTTGACGCTTGCAGTGGTGGATAGGGCGCTGAAATAGTATAAATAAATAAATATTATTTTAAAGTCATTGAAAAAGTTTAATAATAAAAAATTGAAACCTGAACTAGACTTTTGTTGATAACGTTTTTAATAAGTGTCTCGTTGAGATCAAAGATATAACATTTAATTTGTGGAAGGGTGCTTATCAATAAGAATGGGAATATAGGGTAATAAGATAAATAAGTAAGAACGCAATTTCCTTTCCGCTTAACCAAAATAATGGAGCAAGGTTGGCAGTTTTATGGAAAATATAATAGAAATAAAATAAAATAAATTAAAATTTTTTTTAACATAGTATAAACGGTAACTAAAAATTCGCACTGCGGTGTTTATTCTGTTTTGCATACGATTTTGCTTGCTGACGTCGAAACGGCATTTTCATATATATATACGCATTTTGGAACCAAACATACATACTGACATATCATGTAGGTGTGTGAATATCAGTGATGGAAAGGGTACTTGCTTTATGTACCTACTAAGGTACTAGGTACTTGGATATTTTCAAAAGTAAGTTCTAAATAATATTCTAAGTTTCAGAGAACAATTTGAACAAACATTCAAGAAAAATAAATAAAAAGTATAAAATTTACAAATTTATAATGAAATTAAATTAAAATATATCAATCAAATTCTATGTAATTATAGGCTTTTATAATATATATAATGTACTATTACTATTTAATAACGATTTCAACAAATATCAATAGTAAATGATGTTTTAAGTGTGCCAGGTGAGAGTACCGCAGGTACAGGTACCTCTAGGTACTCTCCACTGATGAAGACACAGCTGTGGGAAATGTGTATTTTTTTTTTGTTTTTTCATATATGCATGTTGTTTGTCTTACCGGACAGCGTTGTTGTTGTTGTTGCTTTTGCCGACGACGGCCAATAGGTTACGTAGCTTCAACATTTTCGATTTATGTAGGATCTGGCGAATATATATACGTATATATATATATGTATATGATATGGGGTGAAAACTGGAACAGAACACACAGAGAAAATCAGTTACTGTTATCATCCCGATTCGCCATCTCATGGAACCCAATGTGCAATGTATGTGTACTTTAGTCAAGGTGAAGTCAGAGTCATTTTAACAAGTGCGCCGGTACATGGTCTTTTTTAGCATTGATAATAGAACAGAGAACTCTGTACCAATGTCCCCAATTTCCCCCCTTAACTGACCCAACTATCCGCACAAAAAAACAAAAAACCAGCACTATCACTCACTATTTAATCTGCCGGTTCGGTTTGTTAAAAACTAAAATAATATTTAAATCAAATGTTAAACGTTAAAAGAAAACAAAATATAGAAAAATTAGTTATTTAGCCAAAACGACCCGAAACAGATGGAAAAACAGACTTGAAAACCGGTAGTGGGGGGTGGTTGGTGGGCATCGATAAAGTAATCGGATTTTTAGGCCATTCTGCCTTTCGCACTTTCGCTGGGATTTTCGGTATATTTCAGCTATAAACTAGCTACATTTGGTATATTTAAGTATATACCGAAGTAGTACCAAACTAAACAGACCGTTTGGCACTTAGCGAGTACACACACCTATTGACTGATTTTGTGCCATCTCTAATATCAAATTGCTAATAAAGCGGCTATTGAAATTCAAAATTTAACGTTTGTTAAGATGTCCTCAAAAAAAGAAATACCTACGTTATTTTTAGCAAACGAGAGTGAATAAATAAGGTTGTGGGGCAACATAAACATAAACGGCTGAGTAATGACAAATAACTGAGTTACAAAATCTAAAATCTAGTATTGAAATCTAAGGAAAACATTATTAACATAGTCAATTTTACTCCAAAAATCTGAGTGGAATTGTTAACAACTTCTTATTATTATTAGCAATATTTTTTTAGAGAGGATCACAAACACAAAAGTTGACGAAAAAGTAGACTCTTTTTTTTCTTCTTAATACAATCGGTAGAAAAAACCGAGAGAGGATCATAAGAAAATGGCGGAATAGAAAAACGGTTTACCGTTTCGCATTCCAGTTGCCGAAGTTGAAAGCTCTCTCTCTCTTCCATTTCGTTTTCTCCTTTTCGCGTAGATAGACGCGGCTGTAAGGCGGCGGAAAATTAATTAAATTTCAGTGTGTTTCGGGCCTTAAAAGTGTTAAAAATTAGTTAAAAGTATGAATAACAAGTGATTGCAAGAGCGTGTAATGAATTTTACACAATATATTACGTTTAAACGGATAAATTCGGCGTTTTAATGGAAGTGCTCACAAATACAAACATACCCTGCGAAACTATGTTTGTGTGCGTGTGTGCATTTGATCTTTTGTTTTATACAACAAACTAAAGCTGAGGTAATTGAAAGATTATTTTGATATTAATTTATATTTGCAATGTTATGTAATTTATATTTTCTGAAATCCAATTATTCTGGCACAAAATTGGGAAATATTAGGAACGAAAACTCGATTTTCACCAACGGTAAAACAAAAACGGGAGAGAGGATCAGAAATAAGAAAATGGCGGAATAGAAAAACGGTTTACCGTTTCGCATTCCAGTTGCCGAAGTTGAAAGCTCACTTTCTCTCATTTCTTTTTTCTTCCTTCGCGCAGACAGACGCGGCTGTACGGCGGCGGATAACTGATATTCATATTAATTTAATTTTGAGATAAAAGTAAAGGTAATAAGTGATTGCTAGTGCGTATAGTGATTTTTACTCAATTTTTTGCGTTGAAATGGCTAAATTTGGCGTTTTTAATGGCAAGTGCTCGGAAATACACACATGCATACGTCCCAGCGAAAATATGCTTGTATGCGTGTATATGTATGAAAGTATATGAAAAATCAAAGAAATATAAAAGCAATTAAAGCCGAGGTAATTGAATGATTATATTGATATTAATATTTGGCCATGTAATTTATTTTTTGAAATCCAATTATTCTGGCACAAAATAGGGAAATATTAACAACGAAAAGTTGATTTTAAGCGTCCCATGTTTTTACCAAACGGGAAACCAAAAACGGGAGAGAGGATCAGAAATAACAAAATGGCGGAAAAGAAAAATCGGTTTACCGATCTTCTTACTATTCGCTTTCCATTTACCGAAGCCGAAAGCTCTCTCTCTCTCATTTCGTTTTTTTTTTCCTTCGCGAAGACAGACGTGTTGCGCGTCGGTAAATTTATAAAACTAAATTTCACTGTCTTTCGGGCTTAAAAAGTGTTAAAAATTAGTTTAAAGTATAGATAATAAGTGTTTGGAAGTTCGTGTGGTGAGATGTACTCAATTTATTGTGTCTAAATGGCTAAATTCGGGTTTCTAATGGCAAGTGCTCGGAAAGACATACACATACAAGCATACGTTCCCTGCGAAAGTATGTTTGTATGCGTGTGGTTTTGATTTTGGGTTTCAGGCGAAAATACATACAAATGTATTGAAATAAATAAAAAAAAAATTATGGCCAAAAAAAAAGGTTAGTGAATGTTTAGTAAGTTTTAAATTTTTGCCAGGTAATTTCACTTTTTTAAATCAAATTATAAAATTTTTTAAAAAATATGATTTTTTGCCTGAAAAGGGAACCACAGTAAAAATAAATACATTTTCAAGATCCTTTCAAAATAATGAGGCCTAAAAATATTATTGAACCTCAGTATTAAATGCATCTTGTTCGCGCAGTGTAAATCAAAATCCGTGCCTAGGAAGGGTAAAATGTATTCATTTATTTATTTACATAGGTAAGGTAAGAAGTACTCAACTGTGTTACCTTGGTACATACATACCTATAGGTACTGGTTTTGAGCTTTGGTTTTTTTGTTTGTTTTTTTTTTTTTTTTTTTGCCGTGAATACTAATCTTGTAAAAGGACATCTGTTCTCAGAATACTGAATACTTATGCAACAGTGCGGAGAAAACATCGAACTTTGTATTTTTCTTTCTTTCTTTGGTTTTTGCTTGTTTTTTGTTAACAATATCCAATTGTTTTGAAAAAGGTGATTTTAAATCGGTGATCGAAGCAGATCACGAATTTGGGTTTCTTTATAAACAATGCGCTTTAATTATACGATAATCTTTATTCTACTAAAGGTAATACGAAAAATACTCATATGGAAGTTATATTTGTTACTATACATAGTACATACAATTTATATTTATATTATTTACCTCTATGCTTACATATGTCCACACACGTGAAGGGTTTTTTTGAATTGATTGAATATTTCGGTACTAAGAATAGATATACATACACGTTTATAGACATTCTGTTATTTTCTTTAATTTTTTTGTTTTTTTTTTATTGTTTTGCATGTATGTACATCATTATTGTAATCACTGATATGCATTAATTTAATTACTTTCTCTTTCTGATTTTCTTGTGAACGAAAGCCATAAATATCAATCGGTACCAAAACTTATTTAAATTGAAGTTTAAAACATAATGTATGTATGCCTTCTCAGCCTTGACTTATATATTTTATTATATGCACATACATTTAACAAAGGATAACTAAGTAGAACTCAGATCAGATCACATAAAATGTCATATCCATTTTTATTTGGTGTTAAGTTAGGAATATATGTACTTACAGTGAGTCACATTAATATTCGGTTTTTTTTTTTTGTCAACTTCAGACGTGAATAAAAAGTTTGAAACTAATAAAACAAAAAATCAAATAATGCAGAAATAAAGCTTTTTTTATTACCTTTTCATAGATATATATATGTTATTACTTTTTTTAAATTTAACTGAGAAACATGCATAAACGAAAGAAATGCCGAATATTGGGGCCACATTAATATTCGGTTTTCCCTTTTGTACTAAAAATCAAAAAAATTATTTAGGAAATAAACTAAATTTGACATTTGAAATGCTAGCCATTATTGTCTATGGTATCGTTTAAATATTTTGGCATACTTTAAAATTTTTTTTGCCTATTCTGGGCCAGTTTTTCCAACCTAAAAAAAGGATGTACGGGATAATGTCAAAAAAGTTTGCAAAGGTACAACAAATTCTCGATTTTTTTTTTTAATTTATGGTTAAACCCCTAGCCTTTAACTAGAAATCAGTTTCAGCGCAATCCATTCATCACACCAAAAAAAATGGATGGGTACAAAAGCAGAGTCGCTCGAAAATTCATTTTTCCTTAAGTTTTGTATGGAATCAAGCAGCAAAACGCTTCTTCTGAGCGACTCTGTTTTGTACCCATCCACTTTTTTGGTGTGATGAATGGATTGCGCTGAAACTGATTTCTAGTTAAAGGCTAGGGGTTTAACCATAAATAAAAAAAAAAATCGAGAATTTGTTGTACCTTTGCAAACTTTTTTGACATTATCCCGTACATCCTTTTTTTAGGTTGGAAAAACTGGCCCAGAATAGGCAAAAAAAAATTTTAAAGTATGCCAAAATATTTAAACGATACCATAGACAATAATGGCTAGCATTTCAAATGTCAAATTTAGTTTATTTCCTAAATAATTTTTTTGATTTTTAGTACAAAAAGGGAAAACCGAATATTAATGTGGCCCCAATATTCGGCATTTCTTTCGTTTATGCATGTTTCTCAGTTAAATTTTAAAAAAAGTAATAACATATATATATCTATGAAAAGGTAATAAAATAAGCTTTATTTCTGCATTATTTGATTTTTTGTTTTATTAGTTTCAAACTTTTTATTCACGTTTGAAGTTGACAAAAAAAAAAAACCGAATATTAATGTGACTCACTGTATGTAAAATCTAGACACGCATGAGAAAATATCTTCTATCATATAAACGTTTTTTGTTTTCTTTTCTTTTTTTTTGGTTTAAGCCCGATAACATGGAAAGAATATAACACTTATGATTCAAAGTACATTTGCTTATACACTTGTATTTATGACATATATATCTCATATACTATACTATATATTTCCGCTGACATCCACTAACCATGTTCCGGAAATACTATTTAAGAGTCTGGTTTTGGTAATGCACATTTAGATTTATGTTGGAAATCGCGCGTATCAATAAAACAAGTTACCTAAAAAAATATATAAAAGTTACATTCGTAAATAAGTTTTTTTTTCATCTAACTACCTATCAAAATATCTGTACTTATGAACCTTATCGACGATAAGTGGGCTTAGATGTTAGATTTAGATTTTGGTTGTTTTGTTTTTTTGTTTTCTTGTTACTTTGCATTGCGTGAGAGATATCTCTTCGTACATTTACATTTTACATACATATAGAAACATATCTGAGGTATAAAAAGCTGTATTATATCTATTTTTGGTAGGTTGTCCTCCTTGTAGCTAAATACATACCAATGTCGCTCTTTACTTTAGTTAGTGAGTTGTTTCTACGTCTTACTTTTACCTTTGTTTTTGTATTTGGTTTTCTGTTTTTCAAATATTTTTCAAGTGTATTAAAATGTTGCTTGGTGTGGTTTTTATTTATTTCATATTGTAAAATATGTTTTTGTTTTTTGTATATTTGTGTATCTACCGTAATGGTTCTTCATTTTGCTTATTAGATCGGTCGGATACAATTTCATCTCGATCGAGTTAAAATTTAAAGTTGGTGGACATCGATGATTAGGCGGATACTTTATTTTTATTTATTATTTTCCCACTTATACATATGAATATTTTGCCATTTCTACATCGGTTTCTTTACTTTACTTTCACTTCTCTGTATCTTTTTCATCTGCATCTGTGCCTTACATTCTTATCACAATCACAATAGAATAGTTTTTAAGCAAGCAATCTTCGGTATTCTCATATGACTCTCTCCATATCCAAATCCATATACCATATCCATTCCCGATATTCCCTCTTTTATTCAGATTCTTCAGGTAAAGATAGATTGGCAGATTGGCATACATTTTGGGGCTTATATTTGTGCCATATATGCTTGCTTATAGAATATGGCATGTGAGACAATTTCTAACATTATGCATGTTTTTTTTTTGCTTTTTCATTTTATTTACCTTTCTGAGAAATCATACCATTCTGAGACATACAAAAAATACATTGAGAATCCGTTGAGTTGAACCATTGAGAGGCATTCATATGTATACTTGTATACGAATATATATATATCCATCATATATATAAAAGTACAAAATTTTTTGTTTTTCGTCTTAATTTTTTTTTTTTTTTTTTTAGTTTTTGTTTGTTTAATTTAAATACACTCTAATATATCTAAGAAAAAAACGTGCAGAATTCTTAATGTGTGCAAGTGTCAAATGGTGTTGTATGTAGGTACACTTATGCGCTACTATGATCAGAATACAAAAGCTATTGAATTCGCACCCTATTGATTTACTTCCAAAAAAAGGGGTTTACGATTTCTTATAGCATTTTTTGGTTTGGCTTGGCTTGTTTGCGACTCTTGTTCTTCGTGGTCACAGTAGCTATAATTAGAAGCTTCGTTAAGGTACTTAAATGTTTCAGTAAATTTCTGTTTTCAGTGGTAGGTTTAGATACACACATCTGTGTAGGATGCGTAGGTACATATTCGAATACGTTCTTCAAAAAGCTGAAAAAAATCATCCAGTGTTTTTTTGTTGACTACTTCTTTGATTAGGCAATAAAAGAGGAAAACACAAATTACTAATGTTGCTTGACAAGATAAATATGTATAGAATGAATTCCGTGGCTTACTAACTTTTTTGTTACATCTTTCTATTATTTTCATTATCTTTAGAGTACTTTCATACTTTTTAATCCACTATACATCTACTAAACAATATACATACATATTAAAGAAGTGAAATTATAAAGCAATGCCATATATACACAATCTTTATGTTTCATTTGGGACCTACAAAAACAGATAAACAAAAATACTCTCTTTCGGTTTCTTGATTTTCAATTAATCTTTTAATTAAAGTAAGCTTTCATCATATAGCACAAGGTATTTTCACATAAGCCCATATAAAAAGTATAAAATTTTTTACTGTACTCGATTTATAAAAATTACAAATGTTCATATAAAAATAGATATATATGTACAAAAAAAATATGAAGTCAGATGGTAATACATACATACAATTTAACACATAACGAAAATATAAATTTTTCTTTAATTTTATTATTTGTTTGGGTTTTCTTTTTTTACTTAAAAGTTTCCCTCAGTTTGCATAACTTTTATTTAGGGTTATAAAAGAACTAGCAGTGACCCGACGACGACCTTGGCACTATCAATAAAATCATACGAGTACCTATTACATTATATCTGGTATTATAATCTCCTTTGGGAAATTTGGGTAAATTATTAGACAAATAAAAAGACTTGGAGGCCTTATACCTTTTTATGCATCTGAAAGAATAGTTTCGGTAATAAACGATACTCGATTTTTTTTTACGGTTTCTTAAAAGTTGTTTTTGTTACAAAGTCACATTTCCAAATTATTACTGAACTTTAGTGAAATAATAAAAAGTCCTTGTTCCTAGTCTTTGAGTTTTATAGGTATTATCTTCTTTGAATGGCTGTGCCGTAATAATAAAACTATTAACTAAGATATTTCGCAGGACTCATTACAGGAATTCAATGATTATTACTTTTATGTTATCTCCTGGTGCATTTGGGCATTTTAAGTGGCCTTTGAATGTTTACTTTCTAATCGTTTGAGCAAATTTGTGGGTTTTTTTTCGTTTAATTTTCCTAGTCTATCAGGGGTGTCCCAAAAATATGTAACAACCAAAAAGCAACCCGAAATCTTTTTGCGATTCATTCAAATGTAAATATTTTTTAGACTTTATTCAGGCTTTTTTAATATATATAGATTTCAAAACCATAATACCAATTTAGAATATTTCCTTTTTTCTAAAATTTAGCGACATTATTCGATATTCTTTCGTGAAGATTTTAGTTAAGATACACAATAACTTACTCACCAGAAGGTACAACTGTACTAAAGCCAACTTAAATCTTATTTACAAATGCTGTCAAAACACTTTTTGTGATGAAAATTTAAAGATATTTTGTTTATATTTCATATGGTACTTGAAACTGAATATATTTGCAAGTTAGCTCTCTGGGATATATACAAAAAAAAATGAAAAACATTTTATAAAAATACAAAGAATTGGAAGAAGGACTTTCTACTGCGAATAAACTTTCCTCACAGGCCAGGATGCTCAGGGTATGCAAGTTGCATTTTTATATATTCAACAATGTACGTGCTTTTCTTTGCTTTTTTTTTTATAGCAACTTGATCTACAAAAATGATCTTATCTTAGGTGTTTACAACTAATTAAAAACTTAATGTAAAGGTTGATCCTAAGTTGGATAATTAAATATATGTATTTATAATTATGTTTATTAACAAGTAAAAACAATTAGTTGGGACATTCTAGTTGTCCTCTTTATATATATTTGTATGTATATATATTTCTGGTTGCTTATTGGTTTGTTTTGGTTGATTTTTCATTTTATCATTTGCTTGTGATGATGGCTACACTTCTTGTACACTGAATAATTTGTAGTTATTTATTCTATATGCATGCCGCTTCTCTGATACCAGAAATACCAGAAAGAAACTTCACTTTGCTCTGTCTATGCTGAATTTAATAACAAAATAAATATTATTTATGGCTGATATATATCTGTATATACAACACGCGTACATATCTACAATTATAGGTACCATTTGATATGGCCCTATCCAAATATATATATATATGCATCTGTATATACAATTGCAAACAGCTTCATAAAACACCATTTTTGTCTGTCTGTGTGTGGGTGTGTCAACATCGTATCGAATCCTTCTTATAGAGTTTTTTTTTTCAGATATGCATCCATATGTGGCTGTTCTTTTTAGCAAGGACACTTGTTACATTACTATCGAAAATGGCAAAAGATGTTGTTGGGGGTGTTAATTGTTTTTCATATATATAGAGTTATATTGTCCCTCCTCCTCTGATTCAGATTCTGATGATGATGATGGTAATATATCCATATTCATAACGTTATCTCCAAATCCTCCACTCCACCGAGTCTGTTGTCAGTCCTTTCCTAAACCCAAGTATCTTGAAAGTGGGATCGGAAGTTTGGATCCCCAAATGCTCTACCTATATCTTTAGCTGTTTTTCCACACCATCTTGATATTTATCTATATATATTATATTAATAACTATGGTGGATTCTCTTCTTCTTTTCGGTGACTAGTTTCAAGGGAAGAGCTCTTCTAGTTGGCCACCAATAGTTGTTGATACGATGATCCAGTGCCGTAGAAAGAGCTGATGCCATCAATCAGTTTGCTGTTGTTGTTATTCTGATTATTCTGATTATTGTTGTTGCTGTTGTTGTTTCCCGATGATGAGGACGGTTGTTCCTGTTGTGGTTGCTGCTGTTGTTGTTGTTGAGTCTGTTGTTGATGGTTGTTGGTAGAGGAAGTGGAAGAAGAAGTACTTGTTGTCGTCGATGTTGTTGTCAATGATGATGCCGTTGTTGTCATTTCCGGAAGTTGTTGTTGTTGCACAGTGGGCGTACCAAGTGGACTATTATCCTGCGATGAATCCCCAGCAATGGCAACTGCAACAGCCACAGCAGCAGCTGCAGCAGCCGCCTGGGCAGCCGATGATGAGGATCCAGATGCAGATGCATCCTCGAGACAATCCACATTGAGTCCAAAGCAATTTTCGCTACTATTATTTGGACGATCCATTCCATTGGCACGTTGTTGTTGTTGTTGTTGTTGTTGCTGACCACCGAAATAGCATGGCTCCAAATAAGTACTATACTTGTTAGTCACTCCAGCAGCAACAGATGCTCCTCCACCACCACCACCGGAAGCGGATGCTCCTCCAAAGAGTCCCAAGCCACTGGCATCCGTGGCATTGAAGTGCGAATCGAAGAGGCTGCGAGGATTGCCAAATTGCGGATACAGGCCAATTGCGCCGATGTTTGGATAGTAAAATGGATCTGCGGATGTTCCTGTTCCGTTTCCGCCGGCATTTTGCTGATTTTGATTCAGCGACAAAGGATTCGGCGATAGAGAACGTGCTGGAGAAACGGCATCCAGGCAGCCGCCGCCAAAGGCCGCCGATACCGATGATCCTCCGGTGGAAACAACTCCATGGCCATGGTGCATCTGCTGTTGCATCGCACGCTGCTTTATGTAGTTGGAGAACTCAGTGGGCGACATGCGGTAGGCGCTGCTGTTGGGAATGCACAGAGAAGAAACGAAACTAAGTTTAATATTAATGTTTAAGAAATTACAACCTATAAAGATTTTAAATGGACTTTCCAACTAGAACTTAATTGGCTTTGGAATTTTTGTAATGAACCTTATTTAAAAATTTATTTACAATTTAACAGAACAACTTCCATTTTGAATTTCACCAAAAACTACATTGTTATTTTTCTCAAGATTTTTCAAAGGTAAAAACCGAAAAATAGGTTTTCCCTTCTCTCTTTAAAAAAAAAAATTTGTTTTTAATCAATTAAATCGTATTTTAAATAATTCAACCATTTCACAAATCCGACATCTAACAATTAGCTTTCAATATAATTATTTCATGCATCATTAAAGTGATACTTTTTATTAAAGTTTTTTCTTCTACTTTTGTGTAAAGAGGAGTAGGGTGTAGGTGTAGGTGTAGGTGTAGGTGTTGGTGTAGTTGTAGTTGTAGGTTTGTTAAAAGCATTCACCTGTTTGTGCGCTTGGAGCTGGTCTTCAGCTTGGTGCTGCCGAATTTAGTCTGCGCAAAGGTGGCCGTGGTGAAGGTCAATGGCGCCTGGGCGCCGCGTTGCATGAATGCCGCTGCGGCGGCATTGGCGGTGGCACCATTTCCTCCTCCGGGTAAAACGGTAACAGGAGCGGTATTCGGACCGGGTCCCAGGTTCGATCCCGATCCAGAACCGCCGGAACCCGTTCCGGAGCCCACTCCGGAGCCGCCAGAGCTGCAGCTGCCGGAAATCGTGGGATTTGGGCTGCCCTTGTAGGTGGGCGAACTGGAGGCAGCCGAATGGGGCGAGGATCCCGCCTGGATGGGCAGCGCCAATGGAAGCGCCTTGGGACTGAGGCTCAGGTTGTTCATGGTTGTGTTCACCGCATCGATGGGTCGAAAACACTGCGCCTCCGGATTGAACATCTTGGTGACCTCTCGGTCCGCCGAATGGCTGTCCTCGTGATTCTCATTGTTCTCCGTGTAAAGTATCTGTGGGGATTCAAAGAAAGTGGGGATATTTGAGATAAGATCATAATGCTAAATTATGAAAGTTTCAGAATATAAGTTACATTTTTTTGTATATCATTATGTTGGGCAATACTAGGATATATTATGTTTATTCTATTCAATTCTTAAAATATTTCTCTATTAGAACATTTTTTTAAAACATAATTCAAGATTTTTTGTTTTTAATATAATAGGCCATTTAAATGACCATGCTTTACCTTCACTGCTCCCTTTTCGCCGATGCGGAATGATACCTCGCCGGGATCTACCCAAACGGAGAGTTCATTTGGCAAGTTTTCAAGGATATCGCCGATTGGCACTCCACTTTCCCTGGCCGCTCGTTCTAGCACCGAATCAATAGGATCGCCGGTCTTTAGGCAGCGATATGCAGAGCCCTGAAATGGAAAGGGAAATTATATGTTTATGATATAATATAATATGGTATGATATGATTATGGTACAGTACTCACCTTGAAGGGCTTTTCGGGGTACCAATGACCCTGGAACTTGTCGCGTAACGCCTTCTCTAGCTCCTCGCCGAATATATTTACACGTCTGCGCGGCAATTTGTTATAGAGATAGGATATGACAAAGTTCAGAGCGACCTGGATTTCAATATGCATCTTGACCCTTCTTCAGTCGAATCCTTGGGCTTCTGTCTCTTTCTATCTTTCTCTTTTCCGTGAGACTCCGGCTCCGGATAACCGGTTATCCGGTTATGTTTCCTGGTCCGTCTCCGGATCGATTGCCCTTATAGAGGAGGTGGTTGCGATTTTCTCGCTATGGGGACCGTCTTATAAGCAGGTCTTTGCAGATCATCCGCACATTGATGGTAATTTGGAATACTTTTGGCTGTAGCGCTTGTTTCTATCGGTTTACTTTTGTTGGTTTTCTTGGTTCTTCTCTTCTGTTCTTTAGTTTTTTGTTGGTTTTTTTTTTTACTTTTTATATTATATAATATATAGAAGATATATATTTCCTTTGTTTGCTTGTTGTTATTTTTGGTGGGGGAGGTTGTTGTTATTGTTTAGTTAATGTTTTAGTGTTTCACCGTGTGACGATTATCTGTATAATTGTGAAAGTTTCGCGACTAGAATGAGAATCGTGTTTATTTGAAATTCGAAAAGGTGTGTTCCCTTCTCCTGGTTTCAGTTGTCGTTATAAGCGTAGTTGCCTAGATCCTAAATATTTATGATGTTTTATTTACAAGGCATATCCGAATATTAGATTATGTGTACATATGTGTTTGTTTGTGTGTGTATGTGTCTTGGTTTTTTTTTTTAGGTCGTCGACTTTTATTTGGCAACGGTTTTTTTCTTTTTACCAAATTATTTGGTTTATTTTTCCTTTTGGTGGTGCATTTGTCGATTCTCTTTGACTTTGGCAATCCGATCACGTTTTCCTTAAAACATTTCCATCAAAAACGAGGCTTTAAAGGGCTTTAATGTCTGACGCCTCCTAAAAGAGATAAAGAATATTTTTTTCTATCAAATCGTGCATACATAAATATTACAACAAATATATATTTTTTTTAAATTTTTAATGAATTTTCAAGAAATGGTAATCCATAAATTTTATAACTCTCGCATAAGATCGAAGAAACAACGCTCAGATTTTAGATGTATTATGTCACCTATATGGGTGTCTAGATAACAAAACAAAAACACTTACAGACCTACACAAAAAACCAAAAAAATACAAAACTAACAAGAAACCACTAATAAATCAATAATCCATTACACAAATGGCGGCGAAACGCACCCGTGATGCGGATATCGTCAAGCACAAGATGGACCTGCGGGTCCGATTCAAGAAATTAGTTCGGGCGGTCATTATGAACCAGACGTGGCTCTCCGACGAGGAGGAGCAGGGAATCTCAATGAATGTGAAAAAGAATGTCGCTTTGATGCGCCAAAAACGCAAGCCAGGCATGCTTACCGTAGCGGTAAGAATAAAATGAAATTATGCAACCTGAAAACGTTTGGCAAAAATCTCAATACGCTTAAAAACAAGTGTTTGTTAGTCGGCTAAAGCAAAGCGACTGCATGGCCATTCTTGGGGCCATTCCATCAATTGGTTCATAGCTTTTAAATAAATAAATCGATTTGAGAAATTTGTTTACATTTCGATAGGTATTACTAAGCCATTTCAAATTGTAATTGCAGGATAAGGCTCTATTGCGTTCGAATCCCGCATTCAGGACAATTGAGGAACGCAAGAAGCTTTGCATGCTAATAGCAGGTCTGAATTGTTTCTCTAGGATTCCACCGGTAGGGAGGATATTATTAGTTTCTTTTACTTTTACTATAAATATATTACATTTCAAACTTAGAAAATTCGATCGCGCATGGTGCCGGTCCTTAAGTTTATGTCCATTAATGAATCGCGATTAATTATCAAGGACGGGGATATGCCCATTTCCGTTTATTTTATACTGAATGGCGAGGTCGAGATGAAAAAGACCATATACAATAAGGTATGTTTCAATAATAATCAAATAATAAGAATAACGTAACTTACCCAGTAAACCACACGGGATGAGTCCTTGATTTTGTGTATTTTTGTTAACTTTCGTATTACATTTTATGGAGAGAAGCCAACCAATCTGAAAGAGATTGTAAGAAATAAGAATAAGTATAATAATTTTTACCAACTCATCGCTTAGGCTACAAAACAAGAGGATGCCGTTCCGGAGGCTATTTTTGGGCCAGGTGACTGCTTTGGCGACGTTGAAATGGTTGAAGATTGCCCGAGAATGAATACCTATATAGCCTTGTGTAAGAAGTGATTTTTTTTCGATACTGTTGAGTTTTATACGATTTATATATATATTGTAGCTAGCTGTGAGGTTTTATCGTTATACGACCAGGACTATGAGCGCATCTTGAAACCATTTATGTTGAAACAATGGAATGAAAAGAAGCTTGCACTAAAAGCATTTGACTATTTTGATTTTCTGAGCCCCGAACAGGTTAGTCTAGTCTAGTTGGTTAGGTTAGGTTCACAGATGCCTTTTCTATATATAAATATAAACCATAGATAATTCTCGCTTGCAAGTACTCTTACTTGGTTCAGTATGAGCCCCTGGAGACCATTTATCTGGGCGATAAGGGTTCTTTGGGTTATGTGCGATTTATTCTTAGTGGAGAGTGCGTCATTTTGCAGTGTTTGAGCATGAAGGTAATGTACTGAAATTTAATTTCAATTTAAAATTAAAATTAAAACAAATTCTAATTGATTTTCCTTTCCCACTTAGGTCACCAATGCGGATGGCAAGGTCAACTACGAGCTGACTGAAATCGACAAGGATAAGGAGGGACTTGATATGTTTCAATCCTGGAAGGATCTCAGGAGCCAAGCGCAAATTGTTGACATACAGGACATTTTGGCCTCTACCTCCTCCTCCTCCGATGATGTCGAAGGAGGTGTCACAAAGAAAAAGCAAGCGGTATTTAGGATGCTATATTATAAAAACATTTAACTAATGAAAATTAATTTTCGATAGATGCGCAAAATGGGTCTAGCTGAGATTGAGAAGTTCTGTGGCATCCGCGACTCGGCCACGCCTAAAGGAAAGAAAGCGAAGCCGCGGAGAACACTAAATACGCAGGCACAGGCCAGAAAAACAGCGTTGATCCAATCACTGAGGCGCGGAACTCCTTGGCAGCCAAGTGGGGGACTTAATTCCGATCAATATGACGACGACGATGATGATGATGATCTAGGCGATAATGAAGATTATTTGGATTATGCCGACGATATCGATGATGATGAGAATTATTCTGATGACAGCACATATGATGACTCGGACGATGGTTCCATGGACAGAACCATTGCGGAGGTGCAAGTGCAGCTAAGGCGACACACCGCCGAAAGTTCAGAAACGGAAAAGAAGGGATCCAAGTCCAGTTCGTCATCGGAAATATTCACGGCCAGTTCGGCGACCAACGTTAATAATAACATTGTTGAGGGCGAACCAAAACGTAAAGTTACCGTGAGTACAAAGATTATATTACATATATAATCTTGGGAGTACGATAAGTTCCAGAAATTATCATTGTTTATTATTAAGTAGAACATTTAAAAACGATAATACTCAATATTAAAATAATATTTATTATTCTGATAAAGGAAATATGATTTTTCCCATAATATTTATTATTCTGATAGAATAACGAATAAAAAATATTTATACTATCAAAAATATATAAATATTATCTGCAAATCATATTTAAAAATTATTTATAAAATATAAATAAAATTATTTTGATATTGATTATTATCATTTTTCAATTAATTATCTAAAAATCACAATTGTATTAAAATTTTGCATTTTAGGATCCTGTCGAAACCCACTTTATAGACGTAGGCTCACTGACCTACGGCAGCGTTTTTGGTCTGGGCGAAAAGATGGAGCACCGTGTTATTATGGCCCGAACCGTCGTACAATGTCTGCTCCTTCCACGCTTTTGGCTACTGGAAGAGGAACAGAATCCTGGTAACATATGGCACCGCCGACGCTTCTACTTCGAGTGCAATGTGCCCTCGCGTCAGGATCTGTTTACCAACTTTCTCAAGACCCGGCAGTGGAACAAATTCCGACATGACTACATTCAAAGCCTGCTGAATCGCGAGGAGCAGGGCAACATTACCAAGGAGGAGGATATACCCATTATGTGTCGCATTGTGGAGACTAGCGATGATGCCACATAATGAATGAACACAAGTTTATATCCAAATTATCTGTGATCTTGCAATAAAACGTGCTTCCAATTCTAATTCGGGGAATTCTAGCGCTATTTGTTATTAAATATAAATATTAATATTTAAGTGTGAGATTTAGAGATTTTGTAAAACTGTTTCGTAATTAAGATTTATTGTGTAAAAACGTTATCAAATACTTCAAATTAAGATCATATTCGCTATTTTTGAGGTATTGGGAGTGCCACAGAAATAGCTCGGTTTTTGAAATAACTTTTAAATGTCATCTTATGTATCTAAAAGTATGCAGTATGAATTCATATAACTTTTTGGTTAAACATATCTTCTTGTATACTTTTAGACACTTATTCTGACATTCAAAAGTGATTTCGAGACCCTAGTGATTTCTGTGGCACTCCCCATTATCACATTTTTGCATATTTTTAAGCTCATTGTAGGTATTCGTTTATGAATGCATTTTCTACAAACGCTCTTCCAGCCAATTTATGTTCTCGTACATATATGTGCATGCGCTCTCCTTTCCTACGTCATTCAAGGAAATTTAGGTTAACCGTTTGTCCGAGAAGGGAGCTCTGCTCCGGGACTTTCGGGTAGTCGGTAGTACTAATGCATTCGGGAGCGAAACTGGAGCACAGCTGAGCCACCCACACACTTAACTACTGAGAGAGTGGGAGAGTAGAAATGTGCACATTTGCGGGCACGAAGCGCACTCGATGGCCTTCGGGTGTAGAATCGTAGCAAGCTGAGCCATTTAATGGGAAATGAGAGAGGAAACAACATGGGCAATCGAAGATACACTTCAAAAATTATGCTGGGGCAAGACTAGAATTTATAATCTCCAATAAAGGGGTCTAAAAGTACAAAGTATCTATTTTGCTGCATACTTTTCAGAAGAGTAATAATGTAAATATATCAGGCTAATTTGATTAATATTTTGTATTTATTTTTTTTTACTCTGTAGAAAAAGGGTACAAGAGAAAGCCACTCCTCTACCTCTCCGGTATTCTCTCACTTTTCTCCCACTGCGCAGTAACATAACATACATACGTCACCGAGACGAGACCTCAACACACATCCCACACACAATTTTTTTTTTTTTTTTTTTTAGCACTACTCTGCAGCTGTGTTAATGCAGCGGGGTCATGCGTGCGCCTGTATGCGTATCTATGCATGTACATAACCTGCTTTTTGCATTTTATAAACCAATTGAAGGCCACATACTATGAAAGGCATAACCGTTACGAAGGCTTGACATTTGCCTTCATCAGCAGGGGTTTAGGTGCCAACAGTGGTTTGCGGCTCTATTGAACTAATGTTAATCGGTTCGAGCAAAACGCTTTCGAAAACGGATCTCAGTAACTTTGTCCCTTACTTTAGAAGAAGTTGAAAGGTCAACCGTGCTAAAAACTTGGAAGTCGTAGCTAAAAATGCTCTTTAGTCCTGAACCCATTGAAGAAGGTGTCTAAAAATATGCAACGAAAAATGTTTAGGCTCGAAATCCAGAGAATTACTACCGAAGGACTGTGTAATATTTTTAACACTATTCTTTCAAGCACTTTTAAAAGGAATTTTAAACATTTTGAAATTTACATGGCGAAAATAATGTTTATGTTTAAACAGTCTAATTATTATGTTTCACAAGGTTTAAAAAGAATCCACATTTTAAGCAATATTTTTTTTTGTCATTATTCATTATTATCATTATTCACTGTTTTGGGGATCTTGGATATTTATTTATTTATTTAGAGCTCTATAAAATAAATATGACAGCTAAATTATATCGGTTGGGATTTTAAGGGCAAATGGTATGAACACGCCTGTTGATGCTTATTAATGCGTACATAAACCTTGTATTTTGCACGTATTCAAATTACTGGATGACAAAGAAACAATTTTTTTCCGGTATTCAAGGTCATTATTTTATGTTTAGAAAAATTTGGGGAAATAAATCAAAGATTTTAAACTCTACCACTAAAGCTAACTTCTCCAATTGCCGAAGGCGAGACTCAGATGACATTTTACCTCATGCTTCCACAAATACATCCTCATGCTCTCGCAGTCCTTACACATCCTTGCATATATTTTTGAATATATTTATATACATAAAGGTATATTTATATTCAGGTTGCTGTTGCTCGTAGTGACTGGATGGAAACGGGCGGAGAAAGTGAACTCTCTCAGCTGATGGCCTTTCTCTCACCCTCGCCTCGCCAATAACGGTATCACAACGGTATCTCTATCTCTCACTTTTGACACGAACCGACCGACACGAGACTCTCCTCTCCCTGAGCAGCAGAGAAACTGCACTCTTCAATGGGTCGCTCTTCGCAACATAAAATCAATAAAATCTGGGCCACCAGTTTTAAAGGTTGATTAAAATGCCATGAAGGCGTCTTGTTTGGATTCTTAAGCCGAAAGTGGGCGAAACTCCGCCTTCTATCTGTATACATATGTATCAAATATGTAATGAAAACCATGTTAGTTTCGAAATCCGATTCACAACTACAGATGCAAATACTACGGACATTTAAAGACGTACGTCTTTGCTGTGTGTCTTATGTACTGGCATAAAAGTGAAAATATAGGGCTTTTCAAGTTCACTTGGCCAGCACACACATACATTGCGCACTGCCGAGTACATAGATTAATGTAAATGCTTACATAACTATGCAATCAAATTGCATTCAAATCAAAATGTTGGTGATTAAAATCGCCTTTTGATTAGGGTTTTGCTACGGGTTTTTAAATCATTTAGAAAGGTGTCACAAAGACAAGGTTACATTTTTCACATCATACTTTCTTCCCCTCTAAGTAGAGCTTATCTTATCTTATTATCGATATTTTCACAAAATTGATCAAACCAAAAACTTCTTTTAAATATCGAGAAATAGCAAACTGTCGATATTTTTTCAAGCTCTACTTTTGAGTACTTCTAAGTTTTGAATATAACAATATTTTTTATATTTAACTTATAGTTGAGCCTAGGGTTTTGAAATATGAAAGTTTTTATGAATACTTTCATATACCATTGTAAGTACTTCTCAAAATATTTACATATTTTTGACCAAAAAAAGAAATTTAATTTAACGAAGATATTCTTTTGACATTAGTTAGATTTATTCTGAGTGTATGCCGTTTCTAGCTTATACACTGTGCAATTTGTTCGGAACGACGCTTTTGTCTTCCAATTAGCCAAATTGAAATCAATTAAGTTAAGCTTTCAATTTGCGTGCCTAGATAATAAGTAATAAAGGGTATTAGAAGTACGACTAAAGAGCAAATAGAAATTTGCTCGCTTGTTTGAAGAAGATAATTAGATGAGAGGTTACATAAATGTTCAAACAGCTGTATACCTTTATTTTTTTGAATGTACGACATGTAATCTATACAGGTGGTTTTCTCGAATGATACAGAACTATAGTTCATAGGTGATTTAAACGTTTTTAAGGTATGTTTATTATTTTATTAGTTTATTATTCCTTAACATTTTCTAGGGGTCACTGCTATTGTCTTGCGCACAGCTGTATTAACATACATACAACACTTGATTTGCCCGTTTGTTTTTATTTTGTTTTTCGTTTCTTTTCTGAATTGCATTCATCTTTTGCACACCATTTCCGGTTAGACAGCTGACATAAAAGGGATAATTAAAATCTTTATATCATTATCACAGTAATATTGGGGACGGAAGTGTCCAAGTTCAGATGGTGAACAGAGATGAATCGAAGTAATTAAGGGATTACATAAAACCCAAGTATTTTATACACAAAGATCTTTCCGATCTGTATACAATGTGTTTACTGCACTAAATTCTATCGCACTTAATACAAATCTATATATTTTATCGACAACAACAAAGCAGAAAAGCTCTGCGATTTTCAATACATTGCATAACGCTTTTGGTGTTTTTCGTCGCTTGCAGCATTTGGTGGTAAAATCACACTCACACGTTATATTGTGCATTTGAAAAACTTGTGGATTGTGTGCAGTACTTTTTAATTTACAAGATCATCACAAATTATTTTTAGTTATTCCTTTTTTTAGCAGTATTTCCCGCAGTTTATCGAGCAGTTTGTGGAGCAAGCACACAGGCGTTGCTCTAATTTTTCCCCGATTTGGCGCAGGGGTATTTTCAAAAGAGAAGAGAGACGAGACGAGACGACGAGACCCAAAGGAAAAAAACAAGAAAAAAAAAGAAAATAGAGAGACCCTGGTGCTCAAGACAACACAAAACAGCTGACCGAGAATCGTTGAATGTTTGTGTGCGTCGTGAACTATTGGCATTTTCTCATTTCCTTTCTTTATTTTTTTTTTTATGTGTATGCACTGCACTTGCCAAAATTTACACATATATTTCACTGATAAAACATCATCATATGCGGCCACAAAAACAAAATCAGCTGTTCTTATTTCAGACATATCCATACACACACGACCAAGATGTTGGGCAATTTTACCTCACGACCGCGCAAACAAAATAAAAAAAATTATTTAGGCACATGATTCTCGTCGTTCGTTTATCTGAGGAGCAGCGCACACACGAAAATTGAAATGACAAATACACTGTCATGCCGGAATCGGAATGCCTATACCAATACACACTTGAATGTGTTGTATAGCGCACACAATATACCATTTTTTTTTTTTTTCTATTTTCTCTATTTGTATGAACCGTAGATACGTAGATACGTAGATACATAGATACATAGATACAAATAAGCTGCGACGACGAACCCCGCGACAAAATGCCAAATGATGGTCGGTCTTCTGACTGACTCAGTTGTATTTGTCTGGCCCGGGTTCGTATTTAGGGTTTTGTATTGGGGTTTCGGTTTGTTTAAAAATTTTCAATTTCTGGCAAAAATGCAAAAACAGCTGCAGTCGGTGGCAACTTTTTTGTTTTGCATCTTGCAACAATCGCTATCCTATACTAAATCAAAAAAAAAAAAAGGTAAAAACTTACGCAAATCGATGTACACTAGGGTGGTCCAAAAAATATAATTTTATTCTCAATAGAACTCTTAGAATAAAAGATGTAATTTAGTATGTCCTGAAAAATTACCCATACGACACGTATGACAGTTCGAATTTAGTCGAAAAAAATCGTTCTTCCATTCCTAACTTTGTCAAATTATAAGTTTCGTTGGAGTACTTGGATTGAAAAAGAAAAAGCGAAAAAAAAATGTATTCTTAACATCAAGTTTAAAATACTTCTCGGTTGAAGGCAACAGTGCGTATAAGTGATACAATTGCAAGCGAATTCTCAGACATTAAACATTTTCCTACAAACGTGGACCACCCTAATTTACCTCATGCATTATTATAACATTCGGTTTTTTGTTGTGCAACAACTGTATAAGTTTGTGTGGGAAATACAGTGAATCCTCCTTGGCACAACCAAAAACTTCTTTTTATTTTTGAAGATTTCAAAAGGTTGTAACATTTCCATTCAAAGTAATGGATTTTAAATTGTAGACTATCAACAACAATATATTGTTAAAGTGGTGTACCATTTTCAGATAGACAGGGTTTCCTGTATGTGTAGGGTCGCTTCAACAGCCATCAGCTGTCAGCTATATAGCTTATAAGCACGAATTATGACAACAAATTGTCGGAAGCGAGCAAAACGAGATCTTGTGAGATAAAATAATTATGATTTATTTCTGGAATTGGTATTAACTTGCCGCCAAAATACCCTGTATCATTTGCTTATATAAATCCAACGCCTTTAGAGTAATATTCTATAGAGTTAATAAAATGTATATCGAAGCTGAAGTCGTGGGTTCGTGGGCTCTATCCAATTCTTTATCCAATTTTAGTGACAAACAGCTGTCCTATTCGGGACGCTCAAAAGCCCAGTGCTCTATAGAGAGCGCCCCCGTATAACGACAACAAAACAAAACGATTTGAAAAACAGCCGAGCGAAAGTGAGAGAACAGATGCTTTAGCTCAGCTCCTTATTATTTTTTTTTCTCTGTCGCAATCATTGTTATTCTACTCTCTGTGTGTATGTGTAGAGGGGAAATAGATCTCTGCTTTCTCAATTCTTGCACAGCACACACATTAGATATTGCATTTTTTGTTGTTTGTAAAAAATATTAAAAAACAAAAAAAAATTTTTTTCTTGACAATACCGGTGCAATTTGATGATTTGATTTTCCGATTTTCTGGCTTTTTGGTTGATGTTGTTGTTGTCTACTGGTCGTCGTTGTATTGAACGAAGGGTTTGGGGAGTTATGTATAAAATAGCCCAGTTGTTCCAACTGGTATGCTATTGTTTTTTTTCTTGTGTGGGTATATGTTTTCTCGGTTGTGTCTATTTATTCATTTCTTGTTTAATATACATTTGTTGGGGTTTTTGTGGCTGGTTTCATTGTTGTTTTCGTTTTGGGGGTTTTCTTTTTTGTATTATTTGTTTTTCTTTATTTTGTATTTTTTTTTTTGTGAAATGTCTCTGCCCGTTACTTAATTGTAGCACACGCCACTTAGCAAGGGCCGAGTGAAACGTCCGTAGTTCTTGAAATCGGTTTAGTAACTGAGACACTGAATTGACGCGCGAACGAACCTCAGTGAACCAACAACAACAACAAAACAAGTGCACACACGCACACTTCGGCACTAGGCACACAACCACCATCACCATTCGGTACATTATTCCATTCGGCACTACGCACGAATTGCACACGAAGCGAAATGTTCTAAACACGGTTTCTCTTTTCCTCTCTGGGGGTTGCACTCTTCTATTTTTTTTGTGTGGGTGCTTTTCTCTCGACACATTTATACTTTTTCGAAAGGGTAATATCATTTTAAGAACGATTTTGAACCTACGACAAGGCGATTAAGTAAGTTTTTATATTTCCAAAAATATTACAAAAATATTTACTCAAGATGTGTCATGAAAAATATATATCTTTATAGAGAAACTTTCAGCAATAATTTTTATAATTCCAATAGAAACTATAGGACCCGACTTATAACTTAAAATATAAAATACATTTTAGATATAGCATCATATCACTACTGTGATTTTACTTTATAGAAACTATTTTTAGCTGCAAGGCCATTTAAAGTTCGGCTTGATAAACCCTTGTTTAAACCTTGTTTTTGTATCGTTCGAATGCTCTGAATAATGTTGCGCGTGACGTGCTCGTAGTAAAATCGAGCCTAGAAGGGCTTGCGCGATGAGTACGAGTGCACGTCCTTCCGTGGCACACTTTTAGTACAGATTCCCCCTCACCACCCACCAGAAAGTCTCTCCTCAGCCTGCGCCTCCATTCCGCCCCGCCCCCTTTTATCCGAAAACTGGGGCAAGAAATGAAAGTGCATAAGCACGTAACATATGCGTACACACAAAAATAATGTGTACATTAGAGTGGACCTCGTTCGAATGTAATGTAAAAGGTCAAACTCTTTTTCGCTTTAAAATTCCATTTTTGGAAAGTTGTATGGGAATTATGGGAAAGTTTTCTTTTTCAAAATATGAAAGACTTTTACATACTTGTTTAACGTATTCCAGTCGAAATATATCTCTTAAGACAGTAGATAGGCCTAAAATTCTGAATTCCAAAATAAATAACACATGATATTTAAGGATATTTTATTTTATTTCATCGCAAAACATTTTGGGTACACAATTATACACATGTATTTATATATAATGCTTAGATTTTGAAAGAACATGCATACAAAAATATGGATTTCTGTTCCATTAAATTTCCTTTTTTATTTATTTTAATTTTTTTTTCTTTTTTTAAATTGGCTTTCCAGGAATACCTAATATGGTACAATAATTTATTTTTCTAGACTAAAAAAAAATATTAGTATAGGTATCACAAATATATATATGTATGTATAGTATATATAAATACATAATTTTAGCGAAATCTAATGTTTCAAAAAGGATCATTTGATATACACGTACTCTCGTTGAAAGGAAATTGATTTTTTCGTTACTGACGGTCTGTCTCTTAGGTTGAGCTGGAACTTAGTAAAAGAATCACACCTTTAAGTAGGGAGGAACCGATATTATGCAAAGACATTGCTCACATTTAACTCGAGTTGCATATACATTTCTCTTTATATTGCTTGCAGAACTGATAGTTAAATGTGTGCGAAATGTACGATGATGTTTCCATTAAAAATGCGATACACTAGTTTTAACACTGACTATTGAAACTGTACATATACTGAACATACATTGCGAAATCGGGGTTACAATGGGATAATGCTAGCTTATGACGCAGCCAAAAACGTAGGTATTTGTAGATAAAAATAAATAAATATTAAGCACTTGCTGAAGCTCCGGTGCTACAGGGTGTCCTGTGTCAAAGTCCTTGAATTTCGAAGAAACACCCTGTAGAAACATTGTCAAAATATGTTGTATATATAACATGTATATAGTTAGGAACCAGCGCAAGTTCGGTGTGTTGCGCCTTACTTAGTAGCACACGTTGTCCTTAAGGATATATATATATAATATATATCTTGGGATTAAAATATGTATGTGACCTCAGTGGCAAAAGTTCCTATCTTCCTTCCTTTTTTTTGTGGGGGGGGGGATTAAGATTGAGATTAAGACTAAGAGGTCATCGTCTTGATGAGATGATGGATCTGGATATTCAATTCAGCGTTTGGTCTCCCCGGAACGCATCTGTTCGCGACTATCGCCCCTTTCGATATACCAATTGTTATTATTTCGCTTCTGGGCGTGCTTGTGTCGAGCGTTTTCCCGCTGTTGCATCATGCGTTCGTGCCACTCGCCACTGCCGCTATCGTTTTCCTTTTCCTTGCTGTTTTCATTGGAGTCGTCCTTGGACTTTTTATTATAGCGCCCCCCTCCTCGATTGGAGGACGACTGATCGTAGTATTTCCTTTTGCCATACTCCTTGGAGTGATTCTGATCCTGATGCCGATTCTTTCTCTCGTGCGAGTTGTACTTTGGCCTAAAACGCTCTTTCGAACCATCCGCCAGCTTCGATGACTGGCCATGGGAAGTTGCTCCTCTGTTAATGCCTCCTTTTGCACCATCATTTTTTGCATCAACATTTTCGTCGTTTTCGCCGCCCAGCTTCTCGGTGATCTTTTCAAACTTGTGAAAGGCTCCCGACTGCTGCAAAACATCGTTGACCGCATTACCGATCTCATCCGTAAGCGTATCCAAAGGCTCTCTGTTGTTCTCCAAGCACATGCCAGCGATCTCAACGAACTGACCATCGGGGCATTGAAACGGTTGCTTTAGGTCGTCCTTGGTTATGTCCACGGGTCGAACGGAGTCACCATTGCCTGGCCAGGCCTTGAAGGTCTTGCCCTTGGGACGACCTGGTCCCGGTCGCTGTTGCATCGGTACATCCTGATTAGATCCAGTTCCACTTAGATATTGCAGTTTCTTGGACATTATATCGATTTCGGCGCGTAGGAGATTATTTTGCAGCTCCAGTTCACCGACACGACGCTCCAGTTCGACCAGCTGTGGCTTCTCCTCGCCAAGGACTTGCCATTCCGGATTGCGGAGCTTGCCGACAAAGGCCAGAATGGCCAAAGTGGCGGCCACATAGAAGAAGGCGGTCAAACCATTCTGCACCAAAGGTGGCAGTGCAATTTCCAACTTGGAGCGCACAATGTTTGAATTTGTAGTAGAATCCTCCAGGTTCCGCTCCCTCTCAGGATATTCCTTTAGCTGCTGCTGCTGCTGGTGATGGTCTGAGATCAGTTCAACGGGACTCGTTGGCAAATCCAATCCTCCGAAACCCAGGTCACCAAGTAAGGGCTCGCGCAGAAAGAGATTGGGTGAGATGCGATCGGTGCTCTCGCAGTCGCTGATTATCGAAATACCATCGGAAATGTCATCCGCCTGTGGATCCTCGGCCGCCGCCGCAATCCTGTTGCATCTAAAAAAGAAAGGGGGTACTGGATAAGTTTCAAGAACGATTTTTCACTTGAGAGTATTAGATAGATATTTAGAAATTTCATAAAAATGATAAAAATATCAACTTGATCTTAAAAAATATCAAATAGATCTGCACTTCTCAAACGGATCTTTTGTCAATGTTTTTTCTGTATAGGCTTACCTCTCGTTTTTCTGCCTATCCGCTCGACTGCTCGGCCTTAAATCCGTCAACTCCTCGGACTTCTCCAGGTCTTCTTCATCCTTTTCCTCCTCCTTTACCACCACCGGCAAAATGGTCCACGAGTTAAGTACCGACGACGAGGAGGAGCTGCTCCCGAGGGATCCCTCGCCCAAAGTAGGGGACCTGGTCTTGGTTGGCCCAATGTCTTCGCTCCTGCTGCCGCTGCCCTCCGTCTCCATCTCTGCTCTGTGTTGTCTGCGAATCAAAAGAGAGCACACGTCAGTTTATTATCTTCAACGTGGTTTCGCCATTTGGTCACTATCTTGGGTAAACCATGTGTTTCTATTTATTTAACCCATTTAATGGCGCATTGTAATATTGTAATATTTCACATTTTGAAAATGTTTAGAAGGAATTATTTGCTTGTAATTCATTCACAGTTTATTTTTATTTACTTCTGTATTTAAATTTCGGACTATTTTACCCCAATGTGCACTGTTTACCCGGGGCTCGGCTATCAATATACCAAAGTATCAGGTCATCTTTATGTTCAACCTCGAAGAGATATTTAAAAATTTTTTTAAACACTTTGTTAGAAAATGTGAACTAAATTATTATTTAAAATAATTCGAATTTTTTGTATTAAAACCGTTAAAAATGGATTTAAAAAAAAAGTAGTACAAATAGGTCACTGATAATAATATATATCTGAGTTACCCAATGGATAGCTAAAAGAACCCTTTTCAATTCTTCCGTTATTTTGACACTGACCTAGTAAAGAAAATTTGGAAGCTCTATTCAGACCAAGCGAGAAAGCAATATTCATTTCACATGCTGGCTTTTCCGTTAGTGCGAGCGAGAAGGCAGTACATACGTCATGAAAGGAAATTTTTGGGGAAAATGGCAAGGCTCTATATTCTCTCTTTATGGGTTGACTAGGCATATATTGGTACTTCGACCTTGAAATGCATATAGGTTTATATGTAAGTCTATATCATTCCACAATGAAGTTAAAAACAATGCATATATATGTAAAGTACGCAATAAAGTGCGTTTGTGCTAGATCCATTCGATTCTTTAATTTGAACTTGGATTCAGGAATCAGGGGAAACTTTAAATGCACTACACACCTCGATTTCAAATGCAACAGCTAGCGTAGGAGGCTAAAAGTTAAAAAAAATATCAGGAGCAGCTATCTTTAGTGGTAAATAAATACAATTCTTTGTGAGCCCTAGAGGTGGAGATACTACCGATGGCACTTTAATATCGGTGTATCCGATTTTTCTAGATTTTTATAGCCGATTTCGCAAAAATCGCAAAAGCAAAGCACCATCGAGGACTCAAACCATGGTTCAAAGTTGAACTAACGTTTAGCATTGTCTTAAACCAGTTCTATCGGGACATTTGTGAAAAAGCTGTTTCTTACATTCTCTAAGATTCAATAACTTCTATATGTTCAATATTCTCACCTTATAATTGTTTCTCCATTATCCGACGCACCTCACCGGCCTCCGAACTTAGTTCCCAGTCGGAGGCATTTCCCATCCTGGCCTCCAAGTGTCGACTCAAAGTACTGTTCCTCGACGACGGCACTACGTTTGGTCCCTTTATAAGGCGAGGTGCTGGCACCGGATGCGCGATCCGCTGACGATGCTGTGGCGTCCAGTAGATCTGGCTAGTCTGCTGTGCCGATTGGTCGAGGATCAGCGGCGTGGCCCTGCCATCCTGCATCATATAGCCATGGGCCGGTGCTGGACGAACATAGGGTAGGTAGTCCACTAGCTGGGCCACCTGAACACCCTCGCCGGTGTCCACCAGTATCAATTGATTGATGGGCACCGGCCTGGGCAGCGTTCCCAGCTGCTGGCTGGACAAATACTGTTCGGAGACATTGGAGAGCAGACTGTTTCGCTTGCTAACATGGGCGTAAATGGGCGAGGGTCCGTCTACTGTCGTCATACCACCTGGAATATAGCGTCCCTGGGCGATGGGTAAACTCTGGACACGCTGTGGCACCTGCGGTCGGGCACTAAAACGATAGAAAAGGTTAAATGAGATTGAGAAGTACACACAAAAAAAGCATGTTTCCTTAAAATCGATATGGCCATGTAAATTTCAGGTCATGCAAAACACATATCGTTTTTACATGAAATACTCTCTTCGACCAGTTCAAATGTACCTGACCGCATATCAAATTTAAAAATGTAAAATCGATCTACGTTTCATATCGATTTTTTTCACTTACCACTGATCATCGACGGAAGCGTACGAAACGGGCGAAACATCAGCGTTGGGCGGAGTGAGATGTCGCTTGTAGACGGGCTGCATTGGCGTCTTTGGTTCCGGAGCTTTGGTAATGCTCTTTCGGCAGAACTCCTTGACCTTATCGAGTATCTCCTCGCGCGTCAAAAGACCACCGATGCGACGGGATGATGCCATCTGTTGACCCCTGTTTCGCATTACCACCGGCGTCTGTTGACCCGGATTTCCCACTAGGTTGTCCAGGACGCTCTGACATCGCGGCGGTTGTTGTTGCTGCTGTTGCTGTATCTGCATCCCCATTTGCATTTGCCTCTGCGGTGTGCCATTGAAGGCCATCAAGGGGCGATTGCGACCACTGATCCCGGAAAAGGTATTGCGCTGCACCGAACCGCGTACGAAATTTACTTGATCCGTTGGTGGTTGTACTAGCACCTGCGAGTAAATATCCTCATTTGGTCGCTGTGCCTGTGGAACAACCTGAAGTTGTTGCTGCTGATGAAGCTTGTGGTAAAGTTGGCGATCTGTCACCTCCTTGATGGCTCGCAATTGATCCCATTGGTTGTTCTGGCCGCGCACGGGAGTCGAAGAGGCCACCGGACTGGCTAGGATTGGCTGGTCGTGGCTAAATTGGCTACGATCCACCGACGTTGAGCGGTTAATCCGACCCACCTGCTGAGCCTCGGGCCATTGGCGCATAGGATTTACGGCCGGTCGCTCTAGTGTTGATCTTCGCAAGGTGGTGTCACCATTTATCCTCTGGAAACTGGTCTCAGGGTCACCGTTTCTTTGCAAAGTGATGTTGGGGTCACCGTTTCTCCTCTGCAAAGTGATGTTAGAGTCACCGTTTCTCCTCTGCAAAGTAGTGCCAGGGTCACTATTTATCCTTTGCATAGTGTTGTCACGGTCACCGTTTCTTCTCTGTAAAGTGGTGTTGGGGTCACCATTTCTTCTCTGCAAAGTGTTCCCACGGTCACCGTTTCTTCTCTGCAATGTGGTGGCACGGTCACCATTTTGTAAAGTGGTGTCACCTTTGTCAACTGTAGGATCAACATTCGTAGAACCTGAAACCTGACCATTTTGGCGACGACAGTTGGGACTTTGGCGCTCCAATAAAATACGTCGTATCTCTGAGGGAACATCCGCTTTGCGTCGACACTCGTCCTTTTCCCCCTGGTCGTGGAAGAGACCTCGAGGCATGGGCATTTCCGACTTGGGAGTGGTTTTTCGGCGTGCTGGGAAGAGACTATTTGAGAGTCGTTGCAGTACCGATAGCTTCTTGGTGTTGCTCTTGCGCAGGGCAGCCAGGGATTCGGCCACCTGTTTGCGTCGCTCCTCGGCCGTTTGCACCGGTGTCGAGTGGTTGACTCTGTGGCCAATTGTGGGTGTCGGCGAGAATAGCTCACGACGGGGCATTAGGGCCAGTCCCTTGCGATCCAGATAGGCCTGGAACTCATCGGAGCTGATGGTGTTGGTGAATGTGCCCGGCGAGGGTGAAGACGAATCCTCCCCAGGAGCTCCTCCTTCTCCTCCTCCTCCTCCACCACTCATCGCTTGAGGCGGATTCTTGATCTGTGGACTCTGTGGAACAGAGGAAGTGCCCGCCAATTCGTCACTCGATTCGCTTTTCGTTAACGGCCCATCGATTTCGTCCAGATCATCATCGGAGGTTATTTGCAGTTTCTTCACCCTCTCATCGAATTTTCGGGCATTCTTTGTTACCTCAGCTGGGTTGAATAATAAGGCACTGCTTTCGGGATCGGAATTCGTACCAGTGCGGATCTTTAAGTTGGCCAATTCCGGGTAATTGGGCTTGGAGCACTTTTTAAATGTGGCCACCTGTGGCTTTCGTAGCTCTAGATTCTTTTGGTTCTGATTCTGGTTCGGATTTTGATTTGGATTTTGATGACGAGCCTGTTTACCACCCGTTCGTGATTCCTTTACGGTCTGTTTCCGCTTGGGCAACTTACCACCGATACCTGTTGCTGTCGTCTCCCTGAGTTCCTCCAACTTGAGACGTGCCAGCACCGTGGGATCGTAAACAAAATAGGCATCCGGATTTTTGATGTACGTTTTCACATACTTGGACTGCTTGAGCACCTCCTCGGTGGTGACATAGTCATCGGCGGTGACCTGAGCTGATGATCGGCTGATCTTACTTTTCCGAATGTTGGACTCGTTCTTCTGTTGTTCCCGCTCCTTTTCCTTTTCACGTTCCCTTTCCCTTAGCTGTTGGGTCACTGTCTTGCGAACGCTGAGAGTGGATCTCTTTGTGGGCACCGGTGGAGGAGTCTTTTTGCTGGCTACGTTGCCATTGCGAAAGGGATTCTTCTGATCGACGATCGGTTCGCCGGTGGTGAACTTTCGAATCTCCTCGTCGTTGGGATTGAAGCTAACCGACTTTTTTGCCTTTGGACTCTCCGGTTTTAAAGGGCTGCTGATATCCTTCTCCTTGTCGTCCTCCTTCTCCTCCTCTTTCTTTTCTTCTTCCTCCTCCTTTTTTTCTTCTAAGTTCTCTTCAAAGGGTTCTACGATCTTCAAGGGTGCCGTAATATAGGTCTCTATTTTTTCGGGGACAAGTGCACTTTCGGTTTCGTTTTCGGTTTCTTGACTTTTCGGTTCGTTTAGAGGACGGATTCCTTGGTCGCTTTCAATGGTCTCAGACATTTTTCGAAACACTGGCTGCTGGGGAAGGGGGGGAATAGTGGTGAGGGGGAGAACGAGAGGGCTTGGAGTGGAAGAGAGTTGGGAGTAGTCGCTGTCGTCTGTGCGCCCACCATCGATAATAATTGGTGTTTTGGGTCCGCGCAAGGAAATCTGCAAGTAAACAATAATATTTATTATTGTAGTTTGAATAAATCTTTTTTTTTTGTAAATTAAAAAATCTTTTCAGTTTTACTGCGATCCTAAAATTGTGTGTGATGATCCAGTACTTAAAGATATTTTGTCTTGTAAACAGAAAAATATGTTTTTCTGCAAATTGGCATTGTTTTGCTAATTTCGCCACATTTCTTCGTAATCGGCGGTGTATATGATACATATGTGAATTCTATATATTGAAAAACCCAAAGGCCCTCTTAAAGGTTGAATTCCATTTTTTTCCCCGATACAAAACTTTGGAATTTCGTTTTGCAAATTCCGGGCAAATGCCCAATTTGCCCAAGGAAAAAACCACTCCATCTGCTAGGAACCCGGGATATTGGTTGGTATATTGGGAAATCCCAAGGGCCCAGTGAGATTTTTTTGGTTTCGGTGGGCTGCTCTTGCTCTCTGAGGCTGAGGCGACTTGTAATGAACGGCGCAACGGCAAAACGTAAACAAATCGCGAGGGAATGTGTAAAAACAACAAAACATGCACGCAGGCCACCTGATGACTGACATTGACGATAAATGAACAATCGACCTCAATAAAGCCAGGCGCACATATGAATGTAAGTACGATCGAGTGCATACATACCTACATATGCTAGGCAGATATATCTACGTCTCGGGAATTTCACTTGAGTTGATCATTTAATTAAGGCCCCCCACCGAACCCCCCCAGCACCCCACCCCCCTGCGCCACAAAAAAGGTCAAAAAGCCACGAATGGCACTTGACTAGGCTTTTTGTATCCGGCACTCGGGAAATACAAATACATCGGTGCCACGCAAAGCTCTTCCAACCCAATTCTGCCTCAGATTTTTTTCTCTTTTTTACGACGGGTAGCAATGTGTGTTATCGTTATGGGTGGTGAGTACCAATATTTATAAAAGTCCAGCATAGTTTACTTTTTTTTCTGAAATAAAAGCAAATTTTTACCTAGAATGTTGCGAAGGGGATTTAAAAAAAATAGTTTATAATTTTTTAAGTTTTGTACATTATTAATAAACAATATTTTTACAAAACAAAAATTTAGAATATTTGACTTCCTCTTTTTTTCCCTTTTGAAAAATCAATATATTTTTTTTCTGTTTTGTTTGCAACCTACTTACCATTTTCCTAGTATCAAATTCGCTAAACTGCGGTTTCTTGGCCCGAATAAGCATATTGTCTACTAACCCACTAACAATTGCCGCCACCTCGTGTCAAATGCGTTGTGTAGTCTCGTCTCGGGTTCGGTTATCGCTAGAGAAACTGGGTAAATTCAGTTGCAATAATTATTGCTCAGAAAATTACGTGACATATGAGAGACCGACCGACCGACCGCTGAATTGCGGGGGCATTTGATTTTCCAATTGATTTGAAGGCAAATGCGAATACGGCAGCCGGCTGGCTGCCGACTGCGATAATTTGAATACGACTCAGAGCAGAGATCTCTGATCTCGGATCTCTCGACCACATGTGTCGGCATTTAACAGGGCTTGAAAAAGGGTTGCTTCATCGGTAACTTGAGCAACACACTCTAAAAGTAACTGAAGCCAAATGAGAAGCTAAGAAAGAAGCCAGCCAGCCGAAATGGTGGAAAAAAACGCAATTAAAAAGAAAACGACCGAACACAACAGTGTGAGCTGTTTTTAAGTCAATTTTGTATACAGGGGCTCTCGGATATTCTCCAGAATTTAGATATGGCAAAAAAATATGAGAAAATATGAAATCGGGGAATTTTCTTCTAGAAACGTTGTTTATATTTGTTTAGACAGGCAATATAGTTTGAAAAAGGGTTATGACTAGAGGATATCTTGAAGTCGGAGCACCATATATCTTTCCTTTTTTTTTTTTCTTGCTGAGCAAGGGCCTCGTCATCGTCTTGCCAAAACTCGCATGTTGGCAAGATACATACATATATGTGTAAATATATATATGTACGTAAGGCGACCAGGCTGATTTGTAGCTCTGAGTAATTCCCAAGGCTGAGGCACATACTAAATGCATATTCGATAGGTGTTTTTTTTCTTGTTGAAGTAAGCCTGTTAGTATATTTTTCCGGGCAGCTGCTCCGGATCGTTCGCTGTTTTTTTTTTTTTCGCTTTCAGCTTGCAAAAGATTAAGCCCTCCGATAAGATAGTCACCATTATCTAAGCAAACACACAGACACCTACACACACACACATGAGTTCGATTCCAGTATTCAGTAATAACTATTTGAATTCTAATCACTTGGGGAAGGGGGATGGGGGACCGACCTTCCCAGTCTCACTTATCTGTTCAAAAAATTGTACAATTTTCCATACTGTGCTCTCATCCACGTATGGCGAATTCAATGGGTAATTTTACAAATGTACACCCAAAAAAAAGTTTATTGTTTTGGGAAATAAGAACCTAAAAATATATTATTATTATATGTATATTTATTTAATAATTATTATAATAATAAATTATTATTCTTCTTAGTTTTCTAACAAAACTATATATATAAAAAAAAACTAAGTCAAAACCAAAATATTTATCTAGTCTCAAGTGGGATTTGAACTCGCAAAATTTGCGCCGGCGCCAATAAGAATACTTCATATATGAGGAAAAGAAAAATCATCCACTCAATACAAATATCTTGAGAGGTAAATAACCCCTTGAACAAATTCAAGTACACTCAAAAAATATAGGGTTTTGTTTCAGTTTGGTATAATAATATTGCTAATATATTTAAAAATGAATAAAATATTTAACTATTTTTTAAATGAAGAATATCTTCACTATCTTTGTAAATGTTTTCAAAGAATAATACTTAATTTATTTCATTAAAAAGTTCAAGCTTTTATCGCAGTGTAGACGGCCCATAAATTCGATCGATTTACAGCATGCATTCTCAGTGTTCGCTTACCACCACGCAATTGGGAAATTGCATCCCTAATTTCGCATAGGTTTTTCTTTTTTCCAATATATATTTTTCCTAAATGAAAATGAAGCAATGGGTCTGATTGGGAAGAGGCGTAATTTCTGATTGGACCTGGATTTTCTTGCTTTTGCTTTCTGCTTTCGTCATTGTTATGGTTATTTGCTGTTGCTATTGCTATTGCCGTTGCGCACAGTTGGGTTAATATTTCGAAAATAAGCGGTAATTGTGTGTCTCTGCCACCATTTTGTGGTTTGAGTTGAGTTTGTGCTTGCTTTGGTTTTTTCTTCATATTTTTTTCTTTTATGTTTAATGCTTAATGCGCCTCGCTTTTCTTTTCCGTTGGTTTGGCAGCAAAAAGCGGCTAAAGTATGAGTTGGAATCGGAGTTCATTCACCGCTGAGCAACCGACAGATGCCAATAAGAACAGCGAACATCCCAGTTGGTCTTAAGGAAAACCCCCAACGTTTTTTTTATTGCTTTTTTTCACAAACTTTTTACTCACTCACAAGTACAACAAAAAACAATAATAAAAATAAAAAAAAGATACAAAATCATACAGATACACACATACACACACTCGCACTAACGTTAGCTTACTCACACAACCACTGTAAACAAAAATCGGTGGTTGAGATCCCCAAAAACCCCTCCTACAACAATTCCAATCCGAATCCACCACTGTTTTCTCTGTATTTTTCTGCGTTTTTCTGCTTTTCTGTTTCTGTTTTGAGCATTATTATTATTTATTTCGCCGTACACACTTTGTATTGTTACAAAACCAAAAACAGTCGAATATTTGGCTTTGTACCGTGTACCGTGTGGAAAAATAAATACAACACACCGATGCAAAGACAGTCAGAGATACAGATACTACAGATACACAGATACGATCCAGTACTCTCTGGGTGTGATTGTATTTGACTTTATTTTACGGCAATTACCTAAACAAACGTGAACAATAGCGGCGGTACGACGACTACGACGCGCACTTAACAACAAAATAAAAGTACTCCGGCGTTCGTTCGGCAAAACGGCAAACGGAAAACCAAACCAAACAACAAAAAAACACGTCCGCTCACCACAAGAGTTCAAAGCGTTTTGAATAGAGGAGTATAGTAGTAGTACCGCTCCGAAAGTCGAACAGTAGCGGCAAAAACGTGCTCCCATCATCGAAGAGAGCATGCGCAGAGAGCAGAGAGGCGATAAGTGTGGCTATAAATAGCTCTGCCAGATTGGCGGGTTTCCAGCCAGGCTTGAGCCCAGAATTTTGGGTGACCTGACCTACACTGGTAAAAAAAAATCAGGTATTTAGTACATTATTTACGAATTATTCATATTTATTGTTGTTTACTTGGGAAATGATTTTTAATCGTAACCAAAATGTTTTTGCCTTAATGATACAAAATATATATATATGGCATTATTTCGTTATTATTAATATTTAATATAGTTTATGTATGAACTCACTATTGTTTGGCTCACATTTTTTATGCGTGCACAGTTGTAAGAGTTTAGCTACCTAAAATATCTGAAGGCAAAGTTACAAAATTTTCAAGATCTAGTAAAGTAAGGATTTTTGTTCTTGTGTTGTTTGTTATGGTTCTTCTTCTTTTTCAGGGAAGGACATTTTAGGGCGTTGCCACTTGGCTGGACTAATTGCAAAAACTAAATAGCAAGCGTTGCCAACTGTTTAAATTAAGAACGAGGATAAAGACTTTTCAGAAATTGCTTAATAATTACGCGAAAAGATAACATAAATATATTATTATTATATTATTACAAAAGAAGTATATTTTCATAATTCTGTCAATTTAATTATTTTAATTAAAGCATTTCTCCCAATATGACGTTATTATGTAGAAAAGTGTAGCGCCATCCGGCGGAAAAGTGCTACATTTTTTACAGCGCCGCTTTGGTATTTTATTTTAACTTCTTTATCGCCATCTGTTGTAGGTTGCACGAACCAGTCGCTGTAAAGTATGCTAGCAAATTAATATTTTGTATTTCATGTATATATTTTTAGGCGACCTTATTATTTTTATTATTTTCAATTTAAAAGATCTTAGTCCCTTTATCGATTTTTAAAGAATTTTTATAAAATATTGTTGGACAGATAACATAGTCATGATGTAGGTTCATATGAAAAAAGCTTTTAGTTTTGCTTTTAGTCGGTAATAAAGCCGTTAAATTTTAAATTAAAAAAAATAAGCACTTGAATAAAGCTTTAAAAACATAGTTAGTGCACCAAATGAAAGCAAAGGCACTAAACTGAATATTTCGGATAAAAGATAGCAAAGATCACTGTACTATCCTGTATAATCCTCCTTAAATGCTAATGATTTTCCTTAATTACTGCTATGACTTCTACAGATTTTTGCATACGATTTGGATTAGTGTGAGAACTGTATCAAGGGGCTGTTTTCATGGGCATTCCCCGAGGTGGAGATCCCTAGAGCATCCCAATCCCAGTTCCATGCCAAGGGCATGGCCTCCGTTCGCTTAACTGGCAATCTCCGCGCGTAATGATGGTTCCAGGACTTTGTCGGCCAATCAATCGCGATGGTCGCATAGAGTTTAACATTTCACCGGCTCTCTCGCTTAATTCGGGGGTTCGGTTACGGTACTCGAATTGGGGATTGGGGATTTCGATGGGTAATGGTTAATCGAGGCGGCGGCCCACTGTTTTAGGTGCCAGCATATCTCATATGCATATAGTATGTGATTTTTTTTTGCCCATTTCATCTTTGGCTTAGCAGAAGCGACTTTGACTTTGGCTTTACCCACATAATTGGTCTTGGGGTTGGTCTGGCCATGGACCATCCAATGGATATGCTTATGCTTACATATCGTATCGCATCGTATCGGATCGGAACGGATCGCATCGCATCGTATGCCGACCAATTTAGGTGGGCCCCCAATTTAAGTGATAATGATTATGCGTTGCGTCGACTTCCCATATTCCCAGTTAGAGGAGTTAAGTTCCCAGGTTCAGTTTGAGGTCCCGAATCCGAAAAACCCAAAGCCAAAGCTAAAGTCATACCAAAACCGAAACCAAAACCCAAACCCAAACCATAACCGAACCCATGCTATGGAGTTACTGTGATTTGTGGTTAGTTGCAGCTTCTGTGCTACGTTTAAGCCATTGGGAGCTGTCAGGTCTACGTTTGACTTTAAGGCTCATTACGTCAAAAAGAGGCAGTGAAAAAGTATCGTTAAAACCTTTGGCAATCTGTGGGAAAATTCTCTTCACCATAATTTGCATTGGGCTCAATTAAATGTTGCTTTTGCTGTTGCTTTGTTGTACCCCCGATATTCACAATATATGGACATTAACAGGAAATTGATGTTATTGTCTCGAGCCGAGCCGATGCGATGCATGCAGTTTGAATTTGCATTTGACCACTCGTATGTGGACACAAGGAAGCTACCTGAACTGGGCTCACCACTCACTCATTAGTATCGTATCCTTCTAAATTCACTTGGGACCAACATATTTTGACACTCATCCACTCACCACAAGCCATTATTTTAATGACTTTAGCTTCTTGTTTTACATTTTGGTGATTGAAAAAGAGAATTTTGTATTCTAAAAAACCACAACAACAAATTAAATCTGGTTTAATTTTTCATTTATCATTTTTTTAATAGACCATTTTAATAAATTTCAAAAATGTAAAATATTTGGAAAAATATTTCAAAAATAGAAAGGTGTTAAAAAAAAAATATTAAAAATAGATCATACCACGCTTCATCACCAAGTGGACAACCATCTACAGGTGTTTCCTAATTTCTAATGGCAATCTACGCCGATGTAAATATCTCTCAATGGAATGATCCGGCGATTTTGTGAACAGGCAGTTGTGCTACAGATATTAAGAAGCACCTCTAAAAGCAGAGTTTAATATCTGCATTATTACATCCCAGGAGAACCGTGAAAAGCCCATAAAAAATGAACTTGTAGCCAAACCCACGAGCCGCAGCCCCACCAACGCGCCATTTCAGCGAGTCTCGTCGATCCAGAGAATCCAGTATTCAGTATTCGGTATCCACTATCCCAGTATCCACTATCCACGATGCACTATGCCAGCATCCAGCAGACACCGTTCAGGTTGCATTTATACACATAGAGCAGAGCGCCAATGCCTTCAGTCTTCAAGAGCGGCAGATGGAGCTACATAAAGCAGTTTGGGCCCAGCATTAATGCTCCCTAAGTTAATGAATACTGTGTTTCATAGCCTGCCGCAGAAGGCTGAAGTAGTCTTTTACAGCTTCCGACTGGAATCCGTTTTGGGCACTGAAAATCAGCCTTAATATGGCGCACAGAAGACTGCACTGAGAGAAAAGTTTATTATTTAACTTGTATAACTATTATTGTTTTTTTTTTTTTAAATTTATTTTGTAAGATTATTACTGTTTTTTTGTTTTGTGTAACTTTCAATATTTTTTTTTTTGTATGACCGTTTTTTTATTTTGTACATTTAATAATATTTGAATGAGTTATTTAAATATTAGAAAAACTTACCGAATTATAAGAAAAATTAAGAATAATTACAAAATTATAAACTAATTTTAAAAATAATATGCTGATTCTTATAATTAAAAATCCTAACATTATTGATTCTTGCTAAACATATATACTTTATAGGAAATGCCTTTAGATCATTTGCTTTGATCATACTCTTATTTTCCAATTCTGACTAAGTGATCTATAAAATTCTCTCTGTACCTGAGTTTGCCTGAGCAAATGGATTCCAAGGAAGGTCGTGCACCGCAAAAGTGCCTCCGACCGATCTCCTCCACAACCTCATCCGCACATAATCATCATCATCGACATCCACATGCAGCAAAAATACAAAAAAAAAAAAAAGTAAAAAAAAAGAAGGCAGCTAGCAAGTGTAGGCGTAATTGTTTTATGTTGATCGCTTCGCTACCCAAACTTTTTTGTACACGATTGACTGGATGACTGGATGTGGAGATGTGACGATGTGGATATGTATGATATGATCTATGGTAAAACTGGACCTGTCTTTAGCTGTTTAGCAACGTTGCTTCACAAGCTTCATGTCTTTTATCTCTTACTGCACTTGATCCGCACAGGCTTCCATTTTCGTTTGCTTGCGAGCCAAGTAAATGTAAGAACATTTTCAATTTTATGCTAATTAGTTTGAATTTGTTTCGGCTCAAATGCAAAGGAAAGGAGGGACCAAGGTGAAATTTTGCCTTCAGTGGCAGAATCGCTGTGAATCGCCAACGCCTACCTACACAGATAAAAAATGAATAAGAAAACAACTCGATATTAAATGTTATGTAATTTTTTATATTCTTAAAACACTAAAAAAATCTTAATATAATGTTTTTTTTTATTAATTATTTTTTTTATTTATTTTGTTTGTTATTATTTCATATTGAAGAATTAAGAACTTTTAATATAAAGAATACACAGGTAACATAAATTAATCAATTGCAAAACGTTGCTGCAGAAATATTTTTTATATATTACTTGGCCAAAAAAGAAACCGAAGAATACGGGTAGCATCTGTGAAATGAGGGCCACTTAAGAAATCAACAATAATAACTCTGAATGAAGATAAGCTTTGGCAACCCTCTGCTCACATCTCACATCTTTTTACCCCTTTGTCTTTTCGGTGACTGGTGGAAAAACTCTGCGTAACCCCAGGCCCACACGCCCACCATCCATCCATCTATTCGCAACCTGACCCTTCGCTCTTATCGCTGTAATTCCAGCGGCATACATCGAATTAAATGCTTATATGAACAAAAAGGTCCTGGCTCAGACTCTGCTGCAATGTCAAAGACTTTTGCCAGTTGGCGGATCCTAGAAGTTCTATAAAATAAATAAAAGTTTTGATGCTCTATTTAATTTGAGTGAATTAAAAAAAATATTTTTTTTGTATTCCTATTCCTTTTTTTTTGTTTTGATGTACAATTTAAGAAATAAAATTAATTAAATAGCTCTTTCCCTTGATGTTTTAAAATATTATTATAAACGAAGATGAAAGTATTTCTTTTTAACTTATTATTTGATATTCGAGGCTTCTGACGTTTAGAAAGTGTATTGACCAAC